CGTTGTCATCGCTCATAATGATGTCCTCTCGGAATACAGGGACGGGGGATGGAGCGACAACAAAGGTGCCGGTGGCATCGATAGCCAAGTCTTGGAGAGTGGGTAACTCGTTGTTGTCAGAGTTGTCAGACATAGGAGTGATGATTTGTGATTTAGAGTGAGAGTGTCGGACAAAAGTTCAGAAGTTCTTGAGTGGATCGAAAAGTTGCCTTTCTTGTTAGGGAAGAGGTTTCTTTTAAATACTCATTACCGACACGTGTCATAGCAGCGTAGATTTTTAATCCGTATGCAACGTTTGCAGTGTTATAGCAAGGATGTTGTTTGTACCTAGTAATGGTGTAAAGGGAGCATTTATTTTCCTTTATTTTCCTTTATTTTCCAATTAGCAAGCAAAAATAACAAAGATAAAAGAGTGAGGCTCTTTGCTGTTGTTTCTGTCAGCATTTATTATTTTGATTTCGCTGCTATTCGCATAGGTGTCGCAGATCGCTACTTATGTATGCTAATTGCTCTTCGGTCATATCCGAGGGTGACATAGGTTCGAGGTTGCGTCTGACAGTCTCCGGTGATGGAGGTGCGAAGGAAAGAAACAAATGCAATCGCTCGATTAGGAACTCAACATCGACGAAAATACTAGAGATAGTGTTTATTTCTATTGAAGCATCATACACAACCTAAGGATTAGACTGCGTACGGGAGTTAAGGTACGTCAGGCGCTGCTCGTATGTACGGGCGAAAGATTCCCAGGCTTGTCGTGCTTCCAACATGTATCGAAGCTCCTTTTCTTTCTGATCTAGGTGTTGCCTCACCAACGTCAGCTGATCGTATTCCTGCTGCGAGGTGCAGGAGAGAAGCCTCTCGTACACCCGCCCGGCCTGAGCAAAGAGCTCTTGCTGTTGCTGAGTGTAGGCCACTAGCTGTTCTTGTTGGAGAGAGGTCCACCAAGCCTGAGGAATGTTCTCCGAAGATGGTGCCGGTGCAGACAACAGTACAGGTACAGGTGAAGAGACGGGTATAGGCGAGGAGACTGGTGGAGGCGATCGGTCTTCCGCGACTTGCGAGAGCGGGTCCTGTGAGAGACAAACCGTCTCATCGGCCTCATGATCGATACAGTCTTCATGCTCAATACTGTCCTCTTGCTCGATGCTGTCCTCCTTGGACCAGTTGTTAGACGCAGACAGTTGCTGTTGTGACGACTCCAGCTCGTGTGCAAAGCGAGTGTTCTTGACTGGCCTTTTGGTGCCATGGGTGGAGCGGGTTGAGGTCATTGTGAAAGTTGGTAGTGAAAGGTGTTTGTGTGAATGGGATGGAAAGCGAAGAATGTGGAAAGAAGTTGTTTCTTTCATCCTCTCTCTCTTTTCTCATTCTTTTTATGTCTCTTCCTTTTCTTTTCCTGAATGCCAATTGGATCAAGGAAATCAGGACGTGGTGCATGGTGATTGGTCGAGACACTCATGCAAAGATGGCGTGCTTGTAAAAGCGAAAAGAAAAACAACTCATTCTCATGCATACATGTCTTGTGCCAACAGCGCTTGCATCATCCGCGGAGAAGATAAATAAAAAATATAACACGATGCATGATGACATCGATTTTTCTACATCATCTACTGATGAGGGTGATGACATCGTCTTTCATTGTGCATCCTGTGATCTGCAGGTGAAGACTCACCTTCGATGACGCGCAGGAGCAAACATGCTATTGTGCGGGAGTATATTTTATCCTTGTGATTAGGCTTGAGTCATGAGGGAGAGAGAAGTACAACGATTCAAGAGAGAAAACAAAACTGTATTAGTCAGTTCTTTTTATTTAGAGTTGTGTTTGAGATCTTGTTACTACTGATCCTGCCGTGGCGACACAGCTTGCTGATGTTGTTCTTCCGTCTCCTCGTGCGTGGAGTGTTGTTCAGCGTCAGGTCTGTTTGTTTGTACAGCCGAACTCCTTTTTGTGACGTATGGCCGATGAAAGTAGTTGTGCGTGTCGAGGCGTCGAGAGGGAGGAAATGCGACTCTCCTCTGCCAATAATCATCGAAATGGGATAGGGTGCGCTTGACAACCTGTATTTTTGTCTCCAATCCTTCCATCATATGATTGTATTTCCAGTACTCCTGGTCCTGGAGGTCGATGGTGGTACCGATGTCAATGGGTGGCTCGGTTTCCGAGTCGAACATGCCGTGCATATCGCACAGTCGGTGGATGGTTTGGGCGGCAGCGTATGTCTTCGAGGATTGAAGGTGTACAAGAAGGGATTGGGCGTTTCGTATCGCTACAGTGCCTATCCTGCCTTCATCGGGTTGAACCGCCCAGAAGTGCGGTGGAGCAACGTCATGAAGATAGTTGTGAGTCGGTCGCTGGGGCGTTGTAGTGCTGTTCCTTCTGTCAGCGTATGGGTGCGCGCGTGTGGGCGACGTCCTTCGTGGCGGTGTTCTGCCGCTGTCGCTAGTAGAGCGAGGAGGGGACGGGGTATTGTCTCCTTGGGGACCAGATGAGGGAGCGTTGTCATCGTTCATGATGTGTGTGTTTTGTTGCGCTGTCGAGAAGGAGAGTTGTTGGGAGATGGTAAAGGTGTGTTGACAAAGTGTTTTACTTTTTCATTCCTCCTCCATCCTTCTCACTTGTGATCTTGTGCAAAGTTCTCACAAAGCGCATTCATCGCTACCTGATGGTCATCTGCCATTGGTTCATGCTTGAATCACGCCATCCCATAGAAAATCTTGAGAATCAACAAACGATGACATCGTCTTTTATTTTCAACATCATGTGACACTAATCGTCAGTGGAGATCTTACCTGCGGTGAGGTTTTGTCTCTGCTCAAGCATCACAATCGATGCGAGGTCGTGCTTTTGATACCCTTGAGTATAAGCGGTAGTGGTTCCAGTGTTTTCAGACTGGAGTGGTGCCAGTAGTGAGACGGTGCTCTGTCAGCTGCATGGCTGACCTTCCATACGGTGATGGGTGTGCATTCATTCCTTTCGTGTCTTTTTTTTTTTTTTTTTTTTTTTTTTTTTTTTAGAAAAGTGAATGCGTGTAGGGGTGTGTGAAGTGGGGAAGATCCCTATTGTGAATTCGTTAAGAAAAATGGAGAATAATAACCGGGGTTGTGATAGTAAAGGTTATGATGGGAATAGGAATAACGAAACAAAGAGAGGGATCTGTTTAATTCAGGGACGAAGAGTCCTTATGTACTCTTCGTCCTAATGATACACGTGATTATAGCACAACACACCCTTGCTCTGTTACTATTACATTGTCCCTCCTCCACAATATAGTAAACTCTGTGCAGACACCGATGGGTACTGTAACAGGAGCAGAGCAAGAGTGTATGAACAAGGGACAGAGGGGGAGACAAGGACGAGGGGAGGGACAAGATAGTAGGAGGGTCAAGAGGAAAGGCTAAAAACGGATGATGTTTATTATACAGAGAGAGAGAGGTATTTATACTAATATCTGGGAGGCGTGGTTGTTAGGGAGAGTGGAGGCGCGGTGGGGTCTGGTCAGAGTGGAGGCGAAGTAAGAGAACAGTCTACGATACTATCACAGGTACCAAGCACTGCGATAAAATAAGGTTTAGACTCACTTTGTAAGTAACGAGACAAGAAGAAGGTTGTATTAGGGCCCACCAGGAACGATCTCTTATGTCGTTCCTGGTGGCTTAGTTCTAGCTAGTTCATGTCTTCATCTATCTATGATCCACAAGGCAAATACGCAACAAGCACTTCAACATTTTTTTGTCGTAAATCGCCTTAAGGGAATTATGACGCGAATGTCACAGTGTTCTTGTCGATCGCGATCTGGGCTTCATCAACGACCAGCCGGAATTTTGCGTCAATTGAGAAGTTGGGATAGCAGCGGGCAATGAACATCTCTTGCATCGATATAAATTCTAGGTCGATAATCGATGCGCAGTGCAACAGGAACGAGGAATAGTGAATGAGAAGACGTGAGGAACAGGGGACTAGGAAGCAGGGACAGGGTCAAGAGAATCAGGGACAGGAACAAGGATGGTGCCACGTTTAGTGCCAAGTTCATCCATGTCGAGATCCCATTAAGTTGATGCAACTTCGCCCGCGTGACGTCACCGTATTGACACGGTCCCGACACGCGCCCTCTTACATGGTTCTACTGTCGCCTTCGGATAATAGAGCATCGCTTAATATAGCAAACCGCTTACAGTGACCAAGGGGTCCAACTCCAATTCCCCCGCACTACTTTTGCACCCAGTACTAGAACACTCATACAGTACCACTTGAACAACACTCTGTTTCTGTATCTGAACCCTCTGTACTCTGTTATCTTCTGTCTGCCTCTGTTATCCACTCTTCCCTATCATATTCTGCCCAGCTCTGTTCTGTCTGATCTGCACCCGCTATAAGATCAACCGCTCTGTCTGCCCTCTGGACCTGTCTAAGTTCACTGCACCTATACACTTGGGTCAAGGAGCAACTGTTCCCGTCTTGAAAATTAGGTTGTTTTTGAATAAAGAAGCAGCTTTTACTGGAGAAACAACGAAGGTGATGTTGTTCCAGCACTCACTGGTGAAAGCACAGCGATTCCCAATAGGCTCCATGGCGGTACACGGGTCTTGTCGACAGCGATACAGAGAGATAGAGAAAAAGACAGAGAGAAGTCTATTTGGTGGGCAGGTTGGGGTTAAGGAATAAACAGAGTCAAAACGATAGCACGTGTGAACATAAAAGCGAAGCCAGGCTGATTCACTTCTTTTTTAGCTTCTTTCCTTTCTTCCACAGCCTTCATACCCATTCCCAAGCTTCTCATCATGTCTTTACGCACCCAAAACCACTCTCACACCTCACACAGAAAGTATGAACGATACCACCCTTGGCCTCTACGTCTACGTTTTGCACCTGCTATGTCCTGAAAAGATATCCTCCATCACTAACGCCCTGTTTCTTTGGTGGCACTGTGCATAACAGGGTTGAAGGTCAGGCTCGGGGATCAAACAGCGACGACGACTACGTTCAAGAACACCCAGTCCACACAATGCGCACACGCAAGAGGTATGAAGGAAATTTCCATCCGTTCCTGATCGGCATATAGCGTACTTCCCGTCATCCCAGTCGAGAAGTCTCCATCGCTGATGCTTTGTTTGGTGGCACTTTGGCTAAATAGAGAGAAGAGGGAAGCAGCTGAGGCTCTACAAAACAAGGAAAACAATCGTCTCAGGTATGAATGCTGCCATGATACTTCCAAACCACTCGTATCTACCTCTTTATGTGATTCGAGAGAATTCACCACTTACATATTATCTTTTCGGTGGCGTTTTTACAAGTCCAAGACGCAGATTGAATGAACACAACGAAGGGAAAGAAAAGAAAGAGGAAGGATATATCACTACATCCACCGTGCCACGATCGAGTCGGATCTTGCGAACCAGGTATGGACGATGCCAATAGTGCCATTGATCGGCATGCACATACCGATATACTATATGCGTCGAGCTTATTTCCTGACGCTTGCTTTTTTGGTGGCGCTTTCCCCTAAACAGACAGAACAAGCACTCGTTGTTGAATAACGACGACGACCACGACCAAGGCTCCAGCACCCCTGTCGCTATCACCACAATGTCTTCACACTCACGAAGGTATAGACGATGCCATTGGGCTCTTGATCTACATACAGTAGAAACCCCTACTGACAATCCTTGAGCTGACTACTCTCTTTTTACTTTATTATCAAATAGAGCAAACGGAATAGTGAAGAAGATCGAAAGTCAGGACAAATCCCTTGCTTGGAAGAGGTCGAGAGTTGAGGGAGATGAAGGCGACAATGCTATCACCGCCATCTCGTATGTGACATGTAACCAAAATTGCTCCGCAAGTCAGTTGTTACTTCATCAGTGCCTCTGCACATACTTATTTATTATTAACGTCTTATCATTGTCACTGGTGGACTTGTGTTTTTTGTTCACTCGAGTAGAGAAGTGCCCTGGAGTCCATTTGAAAACAAGGACTCTGTTCTCATACTTGGCGACTGGAACGAAGAAAAAATCGATAGCGTCCATGATGATGATGATGATGACCTTTGGCCGGACAAGAGCATTGGCGACACATATTCCAGTGAGGATGAATATGCGGATGAGACCGAAAATCGTGGCGCCCGCTTCAACACTGTTCATATGCGCCAAGCCTGCAAGACTAACCAATATGGCGAGATGCTGGGCAAGGCAGCCCAATTCGGAAAACCTTATCTTGCACATGGAGACCATGAGCGACAAACAGCGGGCATATTCAGGGAACCCACCAAAGACTCGAGAAATAGCAGCAGCAATGACCTGAGATCCAGTCATAACAGAGTCGCCTCGAGCAGCGTCTGCGGTACACCAGGTACGAGCCGTAGCCGGGCCGTCTCAGGCAAGACCATCAGGGATAGTGACGGTGGTATTCCTGGCACACCCAGCGCTTCCAGCTCGAGGGGCACCACTACCACTACCAACGATGGCCGTCAGGAAATGAGAAAAGTCCAGAAGAGATTTCGTGGAAGCGATGGATCGGGAGAAGAGGGCGGTTTCAACAGAGTGAGGAGCCTCGGCAAAACTTCGAAAAAGGGTGGCATAAGGCATATGAGCGACCCTGATGACGACGACGACTTAACCACAGACCCCAGCGACTCGGAGAATGATGATGCTCCCAGCATTGACATGGTAAGAAGAAGATATTGATATAAGAAGAACAAAATATCGGTATCCTCGGCAAGCTAAAATCGCAATTTCTTTTACTGTAGGGCTTTGGTGGCAACACACAAGTATTCATGGCTGATGGCACCACCAAGCGAATCAAGAATATCCAGCCAGGCGAATATGTCCTCGGACCCGACCGCATACCTCGCTTAGGAGGCCTTTCAAGTCCAAATTATCATATGGTGTTTGTTACATCTCTGCAGATCTTGACGATATCCACCGCGTCCATTAGAGGAGAGTGTATGTATGATATCAACCATTTAAAACAACCACTGTAACATTCCTTGCGCGATTATCCTACTAAACACAACTACATTCTCCAAACAACAAAGTCTTCTTATTTTTCGCTCACCAATATCTTGAATGTGTTCATCTACTATTAAACTGTAACCCTCACTGCAAGATTCGACAGAGTAGTTCTTGTATGTGATCATCTAAAGCACTTGTATTCTCAACTGTATCTTTGTCGTGAAATACAGGGGAGAGATTACATTTTAAAAATTCTTGTGCTGTCTATTGCTATTTTATTCTGTGTTCTGTTGCCCATGTTGCGTATTTGCCTTGTGGATCATAGATAGATGAAGACATGAACTAGCTAGAACTAAGCCACCAGGAACGACATAAGAGATCGTTCCTGGTGGGCCCTAATACAACCTTCTTCTTGTCTCGTTACTTACAAAGTGAGTCTAAACCTTATTTTATCGCAGTTTTTTTAACGAATCCAAGTGGTTTGTTTGTATTGTTTTTATCTATCCATTGAACTGTTTTTGCATCCTTGGTGCATTCAGTTTCAATCCATCAAGCTGTTTATACATCCGTTGTGCATACAGTCTTGTCGAGTTGGTTGTACATCCTTTGTGCATCCATTCTCTTTCAATCCACTCTCTGGTTCTTCTAGAGTAGTGATTGACGTACGCCCCACAGGTTCAATCCCGTGTGTGTCGTACTATTGTTCTTTCGCTCTTCAGTCCTTCTGGAGCACTGTCAAATTTTGACTGTGGTGATTGAACTACGGTCCGCAGACTCAACGCCTGTGTGTATCGTACTTGCCTTTGAGCATTTATTACAATTGACTCCGTATTCAACTCGCCGGTTGCTTACACTTGAGTCGCGAACGTCTGATTGCCTTCGGTCGTTTCGCCATTGTCATTGCATTGACTTCTCCATCTCGCTGAATTGCAATTTGGAAAAGATCAATTGCCTTATTATTATTTTACTTCGGATCCACTGTCTGTCTCACTCTCGACTCGCCAGTCGCTTGTTTGTCTGTACCATCTTGGTATGTCAGTTCATCTAAAGTAGATCTCAAGAAATAAAACGAAAAGATGTTATTCTTATCAATGAGCTAGTTATGTGAGTCTGAATCACCGTAATGCGGTAAAGCATTTGCATCACATGATGCAGATGAAGAAACAAAAAAGTCGATGTCATCACTTTTTATTTTATGATTCGTGAGCGAGTGACGCATGCACCAATGACAGATGACCACGCATGAAGAAAAAAAAAGAATGCTTCAGTGACAATTCGAATAAGAAAAAGATGATGAAAAGGATGGACGCTACACCTTCCATCACACACCACTCTTTCTTTTTTTATTTATTGCCACGCACTCTTTTCCTCACACAAACTATGTCAACCCACACCTCGCCAAAGCAGTCGCCAACACGTTCGCCAAGTGACAAAGCTGGCAACACCCGTTCGAGCGGTAGCAGCAAGCATAACGACCCTCCAAAGTCAACTGTTCGACCACACCCATATGCAAGCGGACGGAGCAGCCCAACAACTACCCAACAACCAGTTCTCAAGACGGATCCTCGCCTTTTTGAACAGGTCCAGCCCAGGCTGTGGGCAATCCAGCCGGAAGAAGAGTTAGTTGGGGATACTGCCATGACGAATGGACAAGCCCTACTCTTACATCTCCAAACGTCGCAGACATATGCGTCGGCTCATATCATTAGGCGGTTGTGCGAATTGAACAAGATGTTTGAAGAGCAACCACAGGGTCCTGAGACACAAACACTCGACCTGGGCTCGATCAATGACCTGCAGGACGCGGAGTATCTAGAGTATAAGCGGACGACGGAAGGTCTCGAATGCAAGATCAATGTTGTCGAAACCACCCTGTCCCGGTTCGACAACTATTGCCAAAGAAGAGTTGCTTTCTCACGGGATCGCACTCTCAACAGCTACACATACTTGCACCGACCATACCTCATGAGCGGGGAAGCAGGATCGAGCATAAAGAAACAAGTGGATCGAGTCCTCCATGCCCGCGAGGCACGGAGTGCCAGGAGGGAACAACGATCGAAGGAGAAAGTAGTGGATCGATCACGCTCACGATCGCCGGTAACGGTCAGACGACGCACTGTCATTCCAGAGCGTGAAAGATGCACTGACCACGAGGATCTCGGAGCAATCACGCCGCACTGGCCTGAACTTTGCCCCAAGAGACACGGTAGCGATCATGAGCAGTACTCTGCCTGAAGCAGGTGAGCCCCGTTATCCTGAACCCAATCATGTTGACACGCCTATCAGTTGTGAAAGAAGAAGAAAGTCAAGACTGCATTATTAACTATAGTGCTGTTTCTGTGAACGCTTTGCAGGAGGTTACCAGCAAAACAATCCCGGAGCACAAACACGCTAGGTTATCAATGCCGGTGGAGCCACGAAACAATTTGTTGTCGGCGGATGTTACAAATAAAACAGTTGAAGTGGTAAACAACCCGAGTCTTGATGGTGTAAGAAGGAAGAAAAGTAGGATGAAGAAGAAAAAAAAGATCGTGTTGTCCAACTTTGCGATGTCGGTTCATCTAGGTTCATCTCCTTTGCATCCTCTTGACGGATGGGAAAGTAGAGTTGATGCTGACATGGCTGCATTGAAAGGAAAAGATCAAGTATGGTGCTGTTGGTGTAATCAAGGAAGATGTTGTTGATTGTGCTCTTGGTGCGTACAAGGTCGAGGATGACAAAGATGGACTTTTTTCAAATAGTACACATTTGGTAAATAACTCAATGATGACGTTGTGTACAATGGTTACCTTTTCGAATTTGGTGACGGTGATTTCGGCAATTGTGCAAAAGACATATGGATCTGCCAGACGCAAGAATCAACCAGACAATCGTTTGTTTATTCCCGTCAGGATTCATGGAGATCAGCACCTTGCGCTCATCGACACAGGAGCCACTCACTCGTTCATCAGCTCAGGAATAGTCAGCAAATATTCGATCCCAGTCAATAAAATGAAAGGGTACATCGAGTTAGCGGATACATCGACTATTGCACGCATCGGCGAAACAGAGAACATGGAGGTTATCTGTGGAAAGAATTTGCTTTGCGCACCATACGAAGTTATTGATCAACCCCACGCCATCACCATTGGTATGGATCTCTTTCATCGGTATGGCTTCAACATCATAGGTTTACCTGACCCAGTAGAGTCTCCTGATCGAGTACCTATGCCTGTTGAGGACGAGAAGCCGACTCTCATACCTCTTATGACACCCCCTGTGGAGACGACGCGGGAGTACATCGAGGAAAAGAAGTCATTTATGGAGTGCGTCAAGGAGCTACTGGAGGAGAACGCAAGGATCCCTTCCACCAGCTTTTGCCCAATTCCGGAGATGAAGGTGTTTTTACCTGTACCGGAGGGCATTACTTTGAATCGACGTTCAAGAGTGTTCGCTCAGTCACAACGACCCATTCTGGATGACGCAGTAGATCGCTGGTTGCAGGACGATGTAATTACACTGGCACCGGCTGGTAATCGTCACAACAACACTCTGACGCTCGCAGCAAAGAAGGATGCAAATGGTGAGAAAACCCTTTATCGTGTTTGTCTTGACCCACGCCCTCTCAATGCTCACTTACCTGATGACAATTTTCCTGTACCTCTTATATCAGAGATCATGCAGTTTGCAGGAGGCAATGCTGTGTTCTCGACGGTGGATTTGCGTCAGGCTTATCATCGACTTCCGATTCATAAGGAAGACAGACCGCTTACAGCATTCACGCACAATGGAGTACAGTACATGTTCAAGAAAGCCCCTTTCGGCTTGAAGCCCTTGTCCAGTCTGTTCCAACGTGGAATGTCAAGGATTCTCGGCGATTTGGATTTTGTCCGCAATTTTATTGATGACATTCTGATTGCTTCGAAGGATCGAGCGGACCATCTTGCGCATGTTATGGTTGTCATTGAACGTCTGACCAAAGCCAAACTAATTATCAACATTGAGAAATGTAGATTCTATAGCACGCAGGTAGCATTACTTGGATTTGTAATTAATACCGCCGGCAGACGTGTGGACCCGAATAAGTTGGTGAACATTCAGGACTGGAGCCCGCCGACCACTGGAAAGCAGGTTCAGTCGTACATGGGCACGTTCAACTTTTTTCGGGAGTATATGCCTCTTATCAGCACTGTTGCGGCACCGCTGGACGCGCTACGCAATGTACCTGGATCCTTCGTATTAAACGACATTCAATTACGGTGCTTCAATTCATTAAAGAATATTCTCACACAAGCTCCAGTACTTTCTTTTCCGGATTTCGGCCTACCCTTTTATGTTGCCACAGATGCATCAAATGTTGGTGTCGGAGCGGTTCTGTATCAGTTACCGGGAGGCGAAGGTGAACCTGAGAATATTAAATATATCTCTTTTGTAGCGCGATCGTTACAGGATCGGGAAAGGAGATATTCGGCTACTCAAAAGGAGCTACTCGGGATTGTGTTCGCCCTCAAGAAGCTACATTATTATTTGTGGGGCAACCATTTCACGCTCTTCACGGATCATCGAGCTCTCACCTACATGCATACGCAAAAGGACTTGAACTCAATGCTCACCGGATGGCAGGAGTTGATCTGGTCATACACGTTCAAGGTTGTTTATCGCCCTGGCGTGCTTAATGTGCTTCCAGACGCTTTGTCTCGCCAGTTCCCGCCGGAGTTGTGGACGGGAAGAACAGAAGGGTCAGCGCCGACAAAGATTTATGGATACATGCATTTGATCCAGGATTCAACTACTCCTCGTCAAACAGTGAAGGTCTCTGAAAGGAGAACTATCCTAGCCGACACCCATGCACTTGGTCACTTTGGGACCAATGCCATGGTAAAACACATTCACGGAGTGGACAAGACCTGGCCTAATCTAGCCAAGGATTGTTTGGAGTTCGTTCAACGTTGCCAACAATGCCAGCGAAACAATATCGCTCGCAAAGGGTACCACCCAATGAAGGCCGTTCATGCTCAGTTACCAGGAGAACACATGGCTGTTGATCTAGCCGGACCTTTTCCTGTGGATAGCGGAGGTAATCGATTCCTTCTCATCTTAGTCGATGTTTGTACAAGATTTGTGTTCCTTGAACCTATACCGAACAAAGAGGCACTCACCGTCGCAAAGGTGTTGTTCAAAACATTTACTTTGATCGGTTTTCCCGCCATTCTACAATCTGACAACGGCAGAGAATTTGTCAATGGGGCAATTAAAGTAATGACTACTAATTTAGGTGTGGACCATCGGTTGGTCACTCCTTATCACCCCAGAGGCAATGGTGTTGCCGAGAACCACGTCAAAACGGCGTGTAGCATTATCAGAAAAGAAATCGACGACCAGAAACAAAGTTGGGCATTACATGTTCCTATGGCACAGCTGGCCATGAACACGAGAATTGTGGCTCTTCACAACTCTTCGCCTTTTTCTTTGTTTTTTGCAAGGCGATTTAATGGACTGAGTAATCTCTCGGATGAAAAGGGTGTTATTCCTTCTCATGAAGTGCTCTTAGAACGCCTTGAATACATGACCAAGGTTGTTTTCCCAGCAATTCAAACCAAGACACGTGACACTCAACAGCGAATGATTGAGCGTTTTAACAGAACGGTACTGCACAATGAGTTCCCAGATGGAGCAAAAGTAATGTCTTTGGATCCTATTAGGGGTGACAAGCTATCGCCTCGTTACGAGGGCCCCTACACTGTTGTCCGCCGCACCACTGGTGGTTCTTATGCTCTCAAAGATGGGACAGGAGAATTACTGGGGCGCAATTTCGCACCATCACAGCTAAAGCTGGTACTGGACGACTTTGAGGAAACAGAAACTTACGAAGTGGAAAAAATTCTCGACCATAGGGATGTTCCTGGGGAGGGAGTAGAGTACTACGTAAGTTGGAAAGGATACAAGGAACGAACTTGGGAGCCTCAAAAGAACTTTGTTGAGAGAAAGTGTATCACAGACTATTGGAAGACCCGCGATCAACCAATTACACAATCTCTACCGCAGCCTCGTCAAACGTTGAAGACACATGAGTCAAGGAGCGAAGAGCAGGAGTCAGCTTCAAAGCAACGGAAGGCTAAAGATCGATCGAAAGATAAGCCAATGAATGATACGATCAGTGATGAGATAAGTGGGGGCACGCGCAAGCATGGCAGCCCAAATGATAGTGCACAGATAGCAGTGCAATCAGAACCCCGCAAGCGCAAGCGCTTAATTAAGGAGACTGTCGAAAAGAGTAGCACGGAGAAAAGGACTACTCGCACGCGCAAGCGTGGTCGAAAGTAATCCTCATCACCACAAGATGGAGTGAATGGAGAGAAGGGGTTTTTTTTCAGCTTTCCCCTTATAATCACGCATGAGGTTTTCCCTTTGGGTTTCCCCTCACGAGGATTTTGCTTTTTTGCCTCGAGTGATATGTACTATATGTCATGAGAGGTTTATTGACCCTCAACACGACTGACAAGGTTTCTTTTGTTTTCCTTTGCAGATCAGTGTATTTTTATTTTCTTTTTTATTTTTATTTTCCTTTGGGTTTTCTTTTTTTCCCAAACACCACACACCACAAAGCACCCACGCGTTCCTTTCTTCTCAGGGCGGCTTTCAGCCTTCCCTTGGGAGGGAGTTGTTGCGTATTTGCCTTGTGGATCATAGATAGATGAAGACATGAACTAGCTAGAACTAAGCCACCAGGAACGACATAAGAGATCGTTCCTGGTGGGCCCTAATACAACCTTCTTCTTGTCTCGTTACTTACAAAGTGAGTCTAAACCTTATTTTATCGCACCAACAAAGGAGACAACGACAAATTGAAAAACTTCATGAGGGATCAGGTCTTCGAGAAGCTCCCTATCGAAGTGATTCGTCGATTGGTGCTGTTTGCTCGCAACCCATCTAGCCACCACGCTGTCGCCCTGACACTGGACCCTGCCACAGACGGTCTGTTTGTACTTGGCAACAATGCTGTTGTCACCAGCAAACAGGTACTGTACTATTTAATGTAATTGTGACGCCCAAATTGACTTTTTCCTGACATTCTCACTAACTGACATTCTTATTGACATGATTCTTATTGTCATACAGGACTATTGAGTTGTCTTATTTTGCTCTCGTTTGCTTCTTTTTCTTCTTAGGACATTCCTGAGTATAAGCCTCTGATTTGGGCAGAATAAAGTGAAATTACAACGTTCTAGAGAGGAGAATGCAAGTGGGAAGCAAGCGAGATGATAAAAGAAGTGGTTGGATGTGCTTCCCTCCCTTTTTATTCTGCAGATTCTCTAACCTAAAAAAGCTCTCTATACGACTTGAACAGGAAAATAACCTGTGGGAAACATTGCCCTGCTGTGTTTTGCGGGGAGGGTACAACATGTGCCAGATGCGGAGACACAACGAGTTCATGTGATTGTCAGTCATGGTGTTGTGAAGCAGCAATGAAAATAAAACTGAAAGATAGGAGGCTGGGAAGAAAAGAAAAGAAATACTCAGTCCTGTACCACAGTAGATGATCGTAAGCTCATTTCGACTGCCTGCTCCTCGAAAACCGTTGAGCACGGGCGACAACATTGGTCGCGGATCGGTCTCCAGGTAAGAGGACTGGAATTTTGTGCTGCCCTTGTCGCTCAGAACCTGGACTTCGTCCACGACCAGCCTCAACTTGGACTCGCTTGAGAAATTGGGGTAGGCATGAGCAGCAAGACTCTCTCGCACTGAAAGAAGTTCCTGTCGGACGATGGGCCTCAATGCCGACTCGAATATCGTAAGTCCTTCCAGCTTGTCATAGAGTATCGAAAACAGTCCCGAGAACACGTCTTGGAACATGTGAGGACAGACCTGGAGTAAGGCCCAGCTTGCGCTCGAAAACGTCTGGCGGCAATCGGGGACTCGTAGACAGTATTTGAGGACCAAGAGTCGGGAGAGGAAAAGCAACAGGGTCATGTTCCTTGCGAAGGCAGTATTCTGTCCTGGACCTTGTTCCTCCATTGTTTTGGTGTCAATGAAATCGGCAAGTTGGCTGAGATCGCTCGATCCAAGATCACTCTTTGCCGCGTTGAAGTAGAATCCCCATTGAAGGCAGAGCATTTCTATCACCGAACGAGTTTTCCCACATCCTACAGGATGGTAAGACATCAGGGAGTATATGTCAGTCTATGGAAAACGAAAGTGTTGACATTGGCAATGGATGTACAAAGCCATGAAATACAGCAAGATGCGTACCAGATACACCAAATACCGGAAGGTCTTGTGATTGCATGCCTTCCAGTCTTTCCAGTAGCACGTTCGATCTAAATTTTTCGGGGACAGCGTCGCTGGTGTTGGGCGGAGGGGCTGGTAGATCCAAGAAAAGGAGACTCGGTCTCGATTCCACTTTTTCGATGACGCCTCGCCGTAGGACTTTGGGCAGCCCCTTAATGCCAGTTGTGGTGGTAGGCAAGGACTTTTCTCCTCTCACGTAAGCGTCCAGAAAGAGAGAGGCTGGCGAGCCAAGCGCGAAAAACTTGTTCTCTATTTTGTTGATGTCGACCCTGAGATCACCTGTTGAGAGATGAACCAGTTAGATAACGAAGCAATCTGACCCTGAGATCACCTGTTCGAGAGAACCAGTTAGACAACGAAGCAATCATCACAAACAGGGAAGAGTACAAGAAGCGAGGTTGACTGAACTTACCAGAAAGAGGGGTGCTAGGACGAGAACCATCCGAAAGAGAGCCAGGGAGGGGAGTTAAGGCTCGAGAAGGGACAGGTGCGTGAACTATGAAATACAAGTGGAGAGGTGAATTAAGGTTAGTACAAAGAAATAAGCTCATGCGTGAGGTGTGAATGAGAGCAAGGCGCGATTGCATTACCTGGTGGTGGTCGCTCCCGAGTGCATACAGCAACCTTGATAAAGGAGTGGTTGGCCCAGCAGGAGTTCACTGTTCTCGAGTGGCCAGCCAACTCTCCGGACCTCAATATCATCGAACACGTATGGAGTTACATAAAACAACTTCGCCAGGACGAGCAGGCAACAAGAAGCATGGACGAGCTTTGGGAACACGTACTGGATATTTGGGCCGATATCCCACCGGAATACCTGCATGAGCTGTACGAGAGCATGCCCAGATCTTGCGCTTGGTGTATATTGGTGAAACACAAATACTGCGGCCTTGACCCCTGACCATGCGTTTTTGCTCTTGAATCCATAGTGTCCTCAGGGTCACCAGCACAGTGGTGTGGTGATTCAAGAGCGGGTGCACGGCCGAGTAAGGCTCGAATGTTGCCTCGTTGTCGGATTTTGAACGTAGTTGACGCGCTATCGTGTTGTAGAAGTCTTGGGTGGTGTTTGCTCAGCCTTATATGAATTCGAATTTTTACACGCAAATAAAGAGGTTCGAATAAGTTTTGAGAAACGCTAGTGGCTCACTCAGTACTAGAGGTCTTCCACTGGCTTGTTGATCCTACCATTAGACATCTTCTTGATCCAAACATGGGACGTCGCCTTGGGGTGAAAGAACTTGTTGTCCGAGCCTACGACGACGGTGCCATCTGTCACCATGACTGCTAAAGTTGCCAACACGCACCATTTAACGGCGCCAACCATGACCTTGCGCGTCTGGTCATAACACACGCTCTCGACCTTGAAAGCATGCATGCCCTCTGGTTTGGCTACTTCTTGAGTATGCGGGTACTCGTAGTCGGCCGTGCCATATACCTCCACCTTATAGGCAAGAATAATATCATCACCAGACTGGATCAGCATTCCCTCAAACATCGTCGCAAGAAGCTCTCCATTGTCAGGGAGCGGTAGGTGCCTGTCGCATATTCGCCTAATGGCACCCTAGGATAGATGGTGTTGCAAAAAGATGTGGTGGCTAGGCAGTGGCGGCGATGCTTTAAGTTAACAGTCATATTCTTTAGTAGATAGTATTAGTAGTGCGCCGAGCCCTATTGTCTGCTCTTTGTCCTTTTACACATCACTTCTTGGACGAGAGCAGTATTGACAAGAGTTTCGCTGGCGCGCTGCAGGACGCTATTATCACTTCCCCCCCTCCAACCTACAACCCCCCCCCCCCCCGTACCAATCGAGGACTTCACAGCGGTCCTACAACGCTGGCCTTCGATCCTCTCCCCTGAGTAACAATGGAGACAATAGATTAGACTACCCTTAAGACACATAACAGGGATAGTGTTACAAAAAGATGTGGTGGCTAGGCAGTGGCGGCGATGCCTTAGGTTAGCAGTCATATTCTTTAGTAGACATAGTATTAGTAGTGCGCCGAGCCCTCTTGTCTGCTCTTTGTCCTTTTACACATCACTTGGACGAGAGCAGTATTGACAAGAGTTTCGCTGGCACGCTGCAGGTAACAACCCCCTCTTTAATAATATGAATACAAGGTCCTTTTACACATCACTTGGACGAGAGCAGTATTGAAAAGAGTTTCGCTGGCACGCTGCAGTGTATCGTTTTGTGTGATTCCTTTAGGACGCTATTATCACTTCCCCTCCCTCCAACCTACAACTCCTTCCCCCCTCCGTACCAATTGAGGACCTAACAGCGGTCCTACAACTCTGGCCGTCGACCCTCTCCCCTGAGTAACAATAGCATAATAGCCTGTACCTGGTCTCTCTGTCTCATCAGTTACTAGTGTACGCATACTAAAACCTTAATATATCGCAAAGGCCTCGTCCATCTCAGTGACAGCGTGACTTTGAATGATGTTGACCCGACCAAACGCATGCTCCACCAACTGAGGGTCTACCTCCTTGAGGACAAGATTGTGATCCCCAAACATGCAACGCTGATACATAAGGAGTGCTAGCATGCTGTCGATAGTCTCCACAAGCTGATCCTTGTATTTGTTGTGTTTGTCGTGGAGGCGAGATATCTCTTAGCACAAATTGCCTTTGATATGCCGATGTGCCCAAGATACCAGCTTGTCCTCTGCATCCTTGATGGTCTTCTTCCGTGCACTAGCGTCGTTGCATTCGACAATCCTTTCCTATAGACTGAAAGACAATAAGGCTGTAAGTACTGAGAATACCGTGTGTTCGATCGTTGCATCGCCTCTTTTCTCTTTGTGGTCATCTCAAGGTGACATACCAAAAAAACTACGGCTATTGTCGGACGATAGCGACCCACAAATTTTTGGAACGGCATCTCGACTGCCTCCTGCGAGAGACATTCGTCCAAAGCCAGCTTTGGCTGCTCGTCGTGCAAACAATCCCGCACTCGGGAAATGTACGTATTGATCGACTCCTCGGAGGACCAACCTGGGAATTCAAGATACTGGCGTTGTTTTGTGTGTTTTGTGTGTTTTGTGGTGTAGGTGGAAAGAAGAAGAATAAAGAGTCAAGCATTAGTCAGTCTTTGAGCTCAAACACGACTAGAAGACAAGCCAGCGTTAATAAAGTCGAACTACTCACCTTAAAGGTAGTGGAGCTGTCCTTCAGGCCAGACCCAGAGCTCTGAACCCAGAAAAAGGTGTTGATGCTCAGTCTTGTGCCGCAGGTAACCCAGGAAAGCTGATGTTCACCAATCTCTCGAAACGCATGCAAGATCGGAGAGAGCAATGGGCGCGGGGAATCTGTTGATGTCGTCGATTGAAAAGAGCCGTCGAATTCATCGCCGAGGACTTGCGCTTCATCGTGGACCACTAGGAGCTTGGTGTTGTCCTTGATCTTTGGTAGGCATCCATGCTCGATAAGGTTGCCTTTTGTTTCTTCGTACATAGCGCGCACGAAATCCCAGAGATCGCTCTCATGGTAATGTCGAAGCTTGAGGAGCTGAAGGAATAGCATGTTAAAAATGTCCTGTTCGAAGAACACATGCGGGCACACTTGAAGGAGAGTCCACCTGGCGCTGGTAAATGACTCACTACTGCCGGAGGCATTCAAACATACTGAAACAGTACTTGGAGACGAGAAGCCGAGAGAGAAAGAGTAAAAGTGTCGTCTTTCTTGCGTAACCGTTGTTGGCTTCTCGGTCAACAATAAAGGATCCTCGGGTATCATTCAAATACTTTTGGACAGCAGATCGAAGGGTCACTATTCGTCCGATCCCCAGTCGTCATTAGAAGCATGGAAGTAGAGCCCCCAGTGCTAAGACAGGAGTTCGATCACAGCACACGTCTCGCCACAGCCTATGTGAGCACAAAGGAGTGCAAATTATAGTCAGTACTATACCTCAGAGCTGTTGGGTGATATCCACAGTAATTGTGTTGAATATTCTCTCAATGATCAATCCATCTCACATTCGATGAAAGTGAAGGCAAGGATAGAGTTGAGCTTGTAGGCGTTGTCCTGGACGGGAAGTAATAGAGCGAGAAATATCTATTCCACAATTCATATTATCGACTGCCTGACCACCACCAAGTTATTTCACTCCTGCAATTCCATTAGCTTTGCCTTGGAAATGGCGCCAGAGCACTAACCTTTTTTTGTTGCCAATCTTCAGCTCCATAATAGAGTTGGCCTGAGGACCCTAACCATGGCTCACCTTACTCCGTTGGCTCTTCATTTCACGGGTCCGACTCCTATCAATATCAATGAAATCACACTTGATTGCAGCGATTTCTTCAAAACCAAGTCTCCGTCGAAGTGGCTAGCAGAAGAGTATATCAAGGTCGACTCGACTTTGACATTTATTTCGCCACTCTAAAACGTTTTGGTAAAAAGAAAACGTGTATTTCAGTGGTTTGCTACAAGTTGCTTCAGCATTATCTAAGTAGCGGCGATGAAGAGCAGCTCGAGTTGTTAAAGCAACAGACATCGACCTTTTTATCGAAGGAGATTGCCAAGAGCTCGACACATCAAGCAGTTTACAATGAGATTCACAGTGATAACAATAGAAGGAAGGTTGTACTGGGGAGCAATGATCAGACCCGCGCCAAGCTGAATTCACAAGCTGTACTCACGGCAAGTTCCGGCAGTATACCAAATGAATATCCGGTGTCAAATCCCGGACGCTCTACAAAAGGTAATAATTGACTGACTAACTATGCTAAAGTTGGGATGGAACGTCAGCATTCTCTTCCGCATATGTCCTTGGTCCAATCATGCAGACCGCCAATCCAACCACATATACCCTAATCCAGTCTCCTTATTACCCTCTTACAGCTTTGACAAACGCACAAAATCCTCGACGAATCATAGATTATGCTTCATCTTTGGACTACTGCTCTTGCTTTTCATTCCCTTGGAGTTTTGAACTCTTTTGCTTACTATTCTTTGTCTGTTTGTATGCTCCCGATATCTGATAGAATTTGTACAAGTTGGCCAAAAGCACCCCTGTGACACTTTCGACGATGTAGGCGCTGCACTGCCAAAGACCCCACGAAACAATTGTGAGTATAATTTGGAAAGCTCAAAGAGCAAGCTGCCTTGTTTAGCTGCTTTGTTTAGTCTAGCAGTTGAGCTGACAATTCATTGTACTTTTTATAGCGCCTTCTCTTGCACCCATCCCCATCGAGTCTTTGGACAGTCTCCTCCGGAAGTCAACATTTTTGAACAGCAGAGAAACCCCTTCCTGGCCTGCGAAGACGATGACGAAGTTGAAGAAGAGGAAGACAGTACCACCGCTGATGGTGGAGAAGAAAACGATGTCCTTCTGCCGGACAATACGGACCAGGCCTACCAATTCTCTGCAATGCTCGACGGAATCGACATAGCTATTTGATTTCAAACTCTTTTCACTGCTGTCAAGAAGAAGACAATACATTTTTACGATATTGACCAGGCTCTGTAAGTGTTTGTGGAGATGATGATACCTTCCAAGCTGTCCCTTGCTGATGGATATAGTCCTAACTAGCCCAAATATGTCTTTGATGTGGCCTTGTAGTGCTAGGTCCGGTGTTATCTTGTTGAACAAGGAAGGATCAATGATCCAAAAGCTTCACTTTGGAGAGAAGACCCTTGATCGAATGCGCTAAAAGGTTTGGCAAAGTGGCAGGATATTGAGGCTACGGCTGGTTGCAATCAAGTGCGTTCATGGCTGGATGTAAGTATCACGTATCACCTTTTGAAAAGGTCGGTTTGGACTTGAGCATTTGGAAGGGATGGTATCACTTACTCGCATCTATACGTTTTAATAGACCCTTAAGGACATGGATATGACCGAGAGAAGTCACGCAAGCATATCTTAGAGAATGCACCACCAAATGGGTCATATCAGAAACTTTGGGTCTACCTTGTAAGCGCAATCGAGGAGTTCCCCGAATTCGACAGCAGCAAGAGCTATTCCAAGTCCACGGCGATATCTTCATTTATTTTGCCATTGTGCAGAGCTTTCATGAGCATGCCCAATGAGAGAGTCATCTTGAACTTGTAAGAGAAATGATCGATACTTTCTTTTTCATACCGATTCCAATTTGTGGAGTGCATGCATTAATCTGTGCTCCTTTGATATTTGTAGCATTGACTCAACAACTGCGTCAGGACGATTGCGAAATGTGTCCAGTAGTCGTAAAGAGCCAGATCTCGCTCTTGAGATCAAGGATCGCACAAACAAGACCATTTGCGAAGTAAGGATTGGGGAGGTGACTTCCCATGCGCAAAATGCCCACAAGAAAAAAAACGCCAAGGATTTGGTCCGAGTTGGGCTCTCTTTGAAGGACGCCTTGGACTTCATCCAGGACGAGTATGGCGTTCACGACGCTCTTCTTGTCGGATGGCAAGTCATTGGACAATCTATGGCGATTTACCTCATGTTCAAGTGCGGAAGTCTGTATATCATGGTCCACGTACGCGACGTTACGATCCCCGACAACCTGACAGAGCTTGGCACAATCTGCACCCAGTTCAACATCTGGAATGATTTGAGAGTCACAATCGAGCAAGGATTGGGTCCAGTCTTGCAAGCTGTATCTGGCACAGGATGAATGGTCGGCACTATTGGTCCTCTTGGTTCCATGTACGCTAGGATCGAAACGACCCGTACTCCTGAGTTCAAAACCTTTCTGAACAGGGTGTGGGAGCTTGCACAAAACTTCTGCGCATTGTTGTATTGTATGCATCTTTCTTCTTTCTTTTACCACTCTTCAGAAGTTCTTTTTACCCGCTTACTTCAAGTGATTCGTTGCAAATAAAAAATTATCATCGCCTGCTTTCACATAACAAAATGAATTCAAAGAGGGACTGTGGAAGTCGACGATCCAGCCATTTTACAAAAGATCTGGGTCCTTTGTTGAGAAAAAAGTAAAGACTGAAAGCCCCATTTGCGTTAAGGTGCGTGGTTTGCTCTCTGGGTGAGGAGATGCACTGCCCTTAAGTAATAGAATAACAAAAGAAGAGACGACCTACCAATCGACAGTCGACAATTCGACGGTAAAGCAGCTGTGAGCGATCGAATCTTTTTACGTAAAGTGAAGGGGATTCGAGACTAACCTTCAACTTATTGAAGGAACAACCCCTTAAAGGCAATAAAAGGTCCACCACAGGTAGAGCAAAGCGTCGACGACGCGACCTAGAATGATATTGAAGGAGGAGAGAAAGAGCCAACATCGAAGGATCAAAAAGCAACTTCGCTATGAACGCTTGGCTGCCACAAGCCTTTACTTTTAATGTTGTATAAAATTTCTAGGAAGTTTCAGTGACAGTGACGTGGCTACTACGGTACATAACGGTGATCTCAATTGGCCCGAATTTAGGGCTGCTGAATCAAGACGAGGTTTCCAGCAGTAAACTGAGGAGGAGTGGAAGCCGCAGCTGGCGTGAAGGTAGTCCCTTTAAGGAAATCGAAAGCGATGGTGTTCGACCCAGCGGTAAGATTGTAGGTCGTTCCGGCCCACTTGACGTCCACGCTTAAGAAACCCTTGTTCTCCACGCTGAAAGCGTACCTCTCGGTTTGCTCAAGCTTGTACAGGAGATGCATGGCCAAAGAGAACACATACTGTCCTGACTGGACGGTCCTGATGTGCTCTTGATCGGTAGCCACATGATCTTTATCATAGAACGTGACGGTGGCGTCGCCCTTTCCAAAAACTGTGATGAATGCGTTGTATTGGCTCATGCTGAAAGCAAAGTATCTAGAAATTGAAGGCCGAATAGAAGAAAGTCTGTTAGGTATTTGGTACATCATAAAGCGGAGTAGATGATAGAAAGAAGAGAGTTGGGGATTGATTTACTTAGCAGATGGATTGGTAAAAGTGAAGTGGTGTGAAGAGAAAAGCAAAGTGGGAATAACCATCTTTTATATCTAATTTTGAATCTCTGGTTAGAGCATGATTGGGCACGAGCACGCATCTTCTTGCGGATTACTTTATGCAGTCGAATATAGAATGCGCGATTCAATGAAATGATGCATAACAATACGGCTTACCATTTAGTTGGCCGGTCTCGAGAAGTTGATTATAATGAGGGAAAGAATCGTGGAAGGTAAAGTGGTGGAACAGAACTGTATGGCGACTGAAAAAAACCACCTCCTTGCTCCTCCATTCTCCTGGTTCAGAGCATTGATCTCCGCGGAATCGTCAGGGCGTTATGGTTTCATTCATGCGCAAGATTCTGTTCCTAGATTACTCTTCTGCAGATTACTGTCCAAAAAAATGAAAAAAAAACCGTAGCCATAGTGCACGCTCCCTGGCAGAAACCTTATACCGCTATGGTTGTATTATCTATTTGCAGAACGGGACTTATGGTAGAATGGTGACTTGTTGTGCAATAAACACGAAGACATTTCATATTTCCTTTACATGCATCTCTCTATCTCACTAATCTAATCCGTTCATGCTATCAATTAAAGGATTCGCCTCGAAAATTCAGCAAAGTTCTCACTCTTGACACTTTCGTGTTGTTTACACATTGATTTACTATCTATCTCTCACTGATTTATGTCAACTTTTAAACACAGGAAGCCTTCCTTAATTTCGGCCTATTGTAGCTTCATTTGCTACTCTACAGCCTACTACCTCCGTTCAATAAAGTCGTCTGCAATGAATTTATCCCTTTCGAAATTTGAAGTTAGCATCGGTGGTAGCCCCATAAAGCCTTTCCGCTGTACCAGACGACCCCACGTAGCATGGTCCAGGATCGGAAGGTCTGTTCGTATTGACAGTGAAGCGTGCGAAAAAGAGAAAACCACATAGCTATTGCTGAATTGCAAGAACGGGCAAAAGAAAGGAATGCAAGTGAAGTCGTATAAGCGGGAAAGTGTTCGTGCGAAATGCATGCATGAATGGAATGTTTGCGTCGCCGAATTGCTTACCATATCCGCTTACCGTGGCGCTTGTAAACACTCATGCCTTTCTCCTCGTTTTTCTTTTGTCGCTCGCTCTCTTTTTCTCTATTTTGTTCTCATCAATTTAGTCATCTGATTCTACGACTTTCGGTTTGTTTGGTGCTTAGCCAAACAATCATATTTGTGCATATTTATACATGCAAACGATCGACCCAACATTTTCGGTGGTTTGCGGACATGCGCCTCAAAATACTATTGGTCTCACAGAGGCTAACGCATCCGTCCTTCAGTTATATCACCTCAGAGGAGTGCTCACAGTGCATGAACAGAAAAAGAGGAACGTGCAAAGACGTGGGTAGCGAAGAAAAATGATCATGCACAGCGCATGAAAAAAGACCGGGCGCGTAGGAACGTGCATGGGCGTGGGTAACAAAAACAAAAAATGCAGAAACCACATTGTACTACATGTAGATAGAAGTGTGCGAATTTCTTTTTCGAGGATATATGTAAACCCTTAAGTGACCCAACAACTAATGCATGTGAACAAAGCATCGACAAGCGCCAATTCCGAAGGATCAAAAAGCAACGGCGCTGTGAACGCTTGGCTGCCCCAAGCTGTCGAGAATCTTAACTAGAGTAAGGCAGGATTGACCTTTCTCGAGGCAGGATCAGGTGAAGGTGTGAGAAACAGAAGGTGTAATGATCAGGAAGTCAGAGGTGAGTTGCAAAGGCAGAGACGTAGTGTTATTCAAGTTACTAGGTAAGGATCACTATTTAGGATATTGTTGGCTAAACACAGTATATGTGTGTAAGAGCGGTTATTAATAAGTAAAGGGGTAGTTAATCAAGGAGCGAAGACAACTGTATTCTGAAATAGTTCCGGGCTGATCAATGGTTCCAGGGGCCGAATCATTGTTCTTAGGGGTAACCGGTCACGCCAAGAGTCGACCGATCATGCCAAGAGTCTACTGATCAGTTCTGACCCTAGTGTAGGACGCGACACAAGCCAGTTATCCATGATTTGAGTGAGGGGTGCGATAAAATAAGGTTTAGACTCACTTTGTAAGTAACGAGACAAGAAGAAGGTTGTATTAAGGCCCACCAGGAACGATCTCTTATGTCGTTCCTGATGGCTCAGTTCTAGCTAGTTCATGTTGTTACGGAATCAGGTGGGTTCGGTTGAGATATTGTGGAGTGGTTGTTACACTCACAGTTGAGGTTGATGTTGCGAGTAAAGGAAATGTAGAAGAAGGTTGTTGAAACTGAGGGGGATCCTATGGCACGATACGCAAGCAAACAATACACACTGAAATAAACGGCGTCAGCTAACTCAATCAATTGCTTCGTGAAGTTGTCTTTTGAAAGGACATGGAGCAAAAGATCGAGGTGCCTCGCTATTTCTACTACTGCAGTATCTACTTTGGTCTAAATTACGGTGAGGTCAAAGCACTGCAAGGAATGGGCTCTCTGTAACAAAGTCTTCATCTATCTATGATTCACAAGGCAAAAACGCAACAAGGGGGTGACGTTAAGAATTTGAGGGGGTGACGATAAGAGTGAGAGTGGGTAACGTTAAGAGTGACAGGGGGGGGGGGGGGGGTTGGGGCACAAAGTCCAGGGAAGTGAAGCCTCTTCCAATCTTATAGCCCAAGGGCCTTTCGATCCAGGTGCGGGTACAGAACAGGCTGCCTTCTAGGGTCCACTTGGAGTGGTAGGCGCTGTTCTCCCATAGTGTAACAGGAGCAGAACAAGAGTGTATGAACAAGGAACAGAGAGAGACAAGGACGAGAGGAAGGACAAGATAGTAGAAGGGACAAGAGGAAAGACTAGAAACGGATGAGGTTTATTGTAAAGAAGGGACAGGGTATTTATACGTCTATGATTGAGGAATGATGGCGAGGTGATAATAAGCAGGGGTAATATGTAAGACAAACACACATGATATTAAAAAGGTAAGTAAGGAATAAGGCACTATAAAGCAGGAGGTATTCTACAATCCTGTTACACTATGATCCTGTAACGCATAGTCATCGGGTGTCCAAGGTGATTAGCCTCTTCTACCCTCGCACTCTGGTTACAGTGTCACATTGATTTTCTGCATGGTAGCTTAAGTGAATCACTGTAACGGATAGGCACCAACGTTTGACCGCTGGTAGTGTGGTCATTCCACTAAAACACTCCCCCGGACCCGGCGGTTGGGACTGCAGCCCCTGCCATACCATAAGTCGTTGGCTTCAGGTGTACTGTATATATCGTTTTCACCCCCTGTCTTCAAGGCGAAGAGCCCACAGGTTGCCCATGTAGGTTGGCATCGACTGTGAGACGAACCGAGCCACTGATGCCGCATCAGCGGTCGGTCTCGGTCCCCCCTTCTGCGTCCTCTCACCCGACTACTATGGGCCTAGCGAGACTTCGCGAACCTATCCATCTAAGAGGAAAAAATGAGAAAATGGGCGTGCGGTCCGTGTAAAAAAAGCATGACCAGGGGCATGTAAAAAAAAGATGACCAGGGGCGTGTAAAGCGACAAGCAAAAAAAAAAAAAAAAAGGACCATGGGTGTGGGCCAAAAAGAAAAAAAAGGGTGTGTGCGGGCCGTGTAAAAAAAAGTGGGGTGAAAAGCACACTTCATTCTAGAAAATTTAATACAAAGCCCTTAAGTAATCCAGCCGGAAAGATAAAAAAGAGAGATGTTGTTCTTTCGAACAATTCTGGATAGCGTTGCCGAATGTAATGACGGCTAAAGCCTATTATTCGACAACGCCAGGGACTCTAGATGTGTGTATCTTTCTTTTATTATTAGCCGTGACTTCCGAAAAAAAAAAAAAAAATGAAAATGAAAATGAAAAATGAAAACAAAATAAAGGGGACTCTAGGTGATCTGTTGATCTCTATCTACTTGCTAGAAAAGGGCGGGTCGGGTGGGACATCTAGAGTCCCTGGCGTTGTCGAATAATAGGCTTTAGCCGTCATTACATTCGGCAACGCTATCCATTATTCTTCCTTGCCAGGGACTCTATCTGTGGGTTCAGAGTTGAGGAAATATGGCTGCGGCGAAGTTGCTTGTTAGAGATCGCAAGATCCTGTAGCACACTTCAACAATGGCTGGGGATGACCGACAGCCGTGTGTGTCAACGTCGTCCGGCGGGATCTCCTTCTTTAGCGTGGTGGTAGTGCTCAAACATCCGGGTGCTCCCTTCTCTACTGCTTGTTGCCGTCGACGTTCCAGGCCGAGAGCGACCACATTGGATTCCTCTCGAGGATGTGTGGACTGTTCCCCGGAGCTGGTAAGACTTGGTTCCTCGGGATCCGTAGAGGCTTGTCGACCGACATGGCTGTGATCATAGGATACCAGAGCGCGCTCGTCCAGAATGGAGTGATGATCGTTGCCTTGACCTTGTCCTGCTTGATCTTCTGGAGGACCTTGGCGATTAGCGACCACGGTGGACACGCATAAACTCTGTTCATGTTGGACCAGCTGCTGTTGAACGCGTCCTGGCTCCAGGCGGTTTCCTCTCGCTTCCATGAGATGTATCGAGGAACTTTGGCGTTCGTTGCTGTTGCAAATAGGTCGATGTGGTGGTGACCCCATGTCGACTCGAGGGTTTGGAAGAATGACTTGTCGATCGACCACTCCAGCTGCGTCGTCATCCTCCTGGACGGTGCATCTGCTGGATTGAACTGTGAGGGAACGTATGTCGTCTTGAGTCGTGTGCCAGTCGCCATGCAGTGGTTCCATATCCTGGTCGTCAGGTCGAGTAGTGGTCGAGACCTCGTCCCGCCGAATTTGTTGATCTGGGCAATGGTTGTCATGTTGTCGCAAATAACATGAATGGTCTTCCCAATCGTTTCTGGAAGGTGGACCAAGTGCCAGATGACCCGCAGCTCCTTCCAATTGATGTGGTGAGGTTGTTCCGATGCGCTCCATGTCCTGGACCTCTCCTTGTCCTCGATCACAATCCCCCATGCATCCTCCGAGGCATCGGTGTATGCGTCGACTTCCGTCCTCTGAGGCAAGAATCCTTGACCGTTCCACTCCGAAAGATGAGATCGCCACCAGCTGAGATTCTCCAGTGCCGCCGTATCCAATGTGACCGGGTCCGTCCACTTGCATTTCTTGGCCAGAGCTGTATTCTGAACCTGAATCAGATTCCTCGTCCTCAGTCGAGCCGGAAAGACCGCCACCGTCATCGCGATCGCCTTCCCGATAAATGCCGCCAGCCGCCGAAGTTGAACCGTTCCTGCTCTGATCAGCTTCTCCGCTTCCCTGCGCAGGTCGCGGACTTTTGGCCTTGGAACCGACAGTGACATGTTGCCGGTGTTGATCCTGAACCCAAGATGGTCGATACATTGGGTAGGATCTAGTGTTGACTTGGTGTTCTTGATAAGGAATCCAAGCTTTTCCAGCTGTTCCCGAACTAGACGAGTATGCTCCTTGGCCTCCTCCTTGGTCCTGGCTGCAATGAGGATGTCGTCGAGATATGCCGAGATCCTGATCCCCTTCTCCCTCGCCCACTTGAGAATCGGACGGACGATTTTTGTGAATACGAAGGGGGAAAGTGAAAGTCCGAAAGGCAGAGTTCGGAACTCGTATAATGCCGCTCCCCATCTGAATCGGAGGTACTTGCGGGATGCTGGATGGACTGCCACATGTAGGAACGCATCGCTGAGGTCGATACTCGTAAGCCAGTCGCCAGGTTTGAGCATCCTGCAAATGTTGGTAAGGGTTTCCATCTTGAACTTGGGTGCTGTCAAGAATTGGTTGAGTGGACGTAGGTTCAACACTGGGCGTAGGTCTCCCGTCTTCTTGGGGATAGTGAAGATACGACTGTAAAATCCCTTCCCGCTGCAACCTTCGATAGCCTTTTTCCGTAATAAAGTACGGACCTCTTCGTCGATAGCCGTCCGTTCCTCCGGCGAATTGAACGGATCGTGTAGCGGTGGTAGGCGCAGTGGTGGAGGTCGGTCGAAAATGATGCTGTAGCCCGACTTGATGATGTTGTTGACCCAGGTCGAATCCGTCATCTCTCTCCATGCCTCCTGGAACTGGAGAAGTCGTCCTCCTACTAATCCGACTCCTCCCCGTCGTTTCCCTGGTCTGGTTGCTTCCTGCCCTGACTGCCACCAGACTTGTACCGAGGCTTGCTACCATACTTGCCTCCGTCCGACTTGTAACCCGACTTGCCGTTGTCGGATCTATATCCTGACTTGTCCTTGGGTTGCGACTTTCCCGACTGCTGGTCCTTGGGTTTGTCGTCTGTTGCTGACTTGTCTTTGATAGACTTGTTGTCAGGCTTCTTGGTCTTGTCCTTTGGAGGTTCGTATTTCTTGTATGTCTTTCGAACCAGATCAGCGGCTGCTTTTTTGGCTGCCAGTGATTCCAAAGTGAAAAGGGATTCCTCCTTGTCATTTCCATGCTTAATACCGAGTTCGTCGAGGTAAAGGTTCTCTCGCATTCGACTGATCCTGGAAGCGTCGTGGGATGCTGAGATACGTACGGTGTTGAGGAAACCGAGCGTACGTTTGCCGTGAGCCGAGTCGGATTCCTTATTTTTGATGATCTCATGGGCGAGAGTGTCGTAGAACCGGGTTGTGTGTGCCAAATATCCTTGGATTGTTGCCAAATCACGTTTGTGTCGCTTGGCTGCATCCGTGAGGGACACTTCGGAGTGTTGCAAAACTGGGGGAGGCTTGTAATCCATACCCTCGGTGTAATGGTAGTCGTTCCAATCGAAAACGTCATGGTTCTTGGGAAGCTCGGAATCGAAGAACTTGGGTTCCCCGATGGCTGGATAGATGTTGAGGAGTTCCTCGTAGAGCTTGAGAGTGGTTGCTCGGGGCTTGCAGACCACTTTGCCGTCCTGTTCGACTGATTCGGCTTCCAGTTGTTGAATCCTGGCTTGTTGCTGTTGTAAAAGGAGTTGCTGTTGCTGCATTTGCTCCTGCATAAGGCGAAGGGTCGTGTAAATGTCGATATCGACATCGGGGGCCGTAGGATTGGGTGCATGGGACATGGGGGAGGATCGTTCCGAGATTCGGGGAGAGTGTTCCGGCCGTGAAAAAGAAAGATAGAGATCAACAGATCACCTAGAGTCCCCTTTATTTTGTTTTCATTTTTCATTTTCAATTTTTTTTTTTTTTTTCGGAAGTCACGGCTAATAATAAAAGAAAGATACACACATCTAGAGTCCCTGGCAAGGAAGAATAATATAGAACAATGGGCTTAATTTCAGCAGATCGTAGCAACAAGGCTACTCTATTGCTTACAATACCCCGTTCAATTAAAGTCATCTGCAATGGATTTATCTCTTTCGATATTTGAAATTAACATTAGCAGGAACCTCACAAAGCCTTTCCGCTCTGCAAGATAAGCCCACGTAGTATGATTCAGGATCCGAGGATCTATTCGTATTCAACTAAAAATCGGAAAAGGCGGTAATCGTCGCGTTCTAGCACGGGTTCTGACTTAGAGGCGTTCGGCCATAACCCAACGGACGATAGCTTCGAGCCATTGCCTGCTCAGGCAGACCCAAATACCAATTATCCGAATGAACGGTTCCTCTTGTTGCATCTCAGTGTCTGTCCACTCACTCCTCATTCTCTATTAAGGGTAGTAGTATTATATATATTCTCATAGGGCTCAATAAAGACCCCAGATTCTTTCTTACCATCTTCCTCTCCCCAGCTGTTCATATTACACCTCTCGTACTAAAGTGCTCCAATCAATTGATCAACCAAAACGCGATTTCGACGTTTTTCTTGAAATGCTCATTCATCAATATTCTGAGCAACCCCCAGATTCCTGTCTTTCATTCTCTTGATTCGTAACCTCATTCATCACCGCTTTCTTTTTTTGCATGACCCGACATCGGATCATCGCCGGAATTGAAATGCTTGATCTTGATTGATCAATTAATTGGATCGCATGTAGTGGCGAATGATTTCCATGTAACAATTTACATGGGTTTAGCACGGAGCAAACTGTTTTTTCGAATACTACTATGTCACTGCACTTTCTACAGGCAAACTGAAAGCAGTTCCATAACAAAGACATGGTATGTGATCTAGAAAATAGGTTATGCACAAAGGGTTTATATCATTTACAGAAGGTATCGTTAAAGTATGTTTTGTTACATGGATCTAGCACGATTTCACAGTTTGTCATGATATTACACTCTATTGAGAATAGCTGGCTTCGCACATCAAAGAACTTTAGATCACATACCATGTCCTTGTTATGGAACTGCTTTCAGTTTGCCTGCAGAAAGTGCAGTGACATAGTAGTACTCGAAAAAACAGTTTTGCTCCGTGCTAAACCCATGTAAATTGTTACATGGAAATCATTCGCCACTACATGCGATCCAATTAATTGATCAATCAAGATCAAGCATTTCAATTCCGGCGATGATCCGATGTCGGGTCATGCAAAAAAAGAAAGCGGCGATGAATGAGGTTACGAATCAAGAGAATGAAAGACAGGAATCTGGGGGTTGCTCAGAACATTGATGAATGAGCATTTCCAAAAAAACGTCGAAATCGCGTTTTGGTTGATCAATTGATTAGAGCACTTTAAGTTCAATTACTATTGCAACAACATTTCATCAGTAGGGTAAAACTAACCTGTCTCACGACGGTCTAAACCCAGCTCACGTTCCCTATTAGTGGATGAACAATCCAACGCTTACTGAATTCTGCTTCAGTATGATAGGAAGAGCCGACATCGAAGGATCAAAAAGCAACGTTGCTATGAACGCTTGGCTGCCACAAGACAGTTAATGTCTCCCTAAGGTATATTTATTGGCACCTTTTCCCCGATTTCCCAGCCACACCTCAATCCGTCCCCCCTCTCACAAAAAAAAAAAAAAAAAAAACTTACCGCAGCTCATCTCGATCGATGTAAATATAGACCGCTAGAACGTTCTTTCAGCCACATGCTATTCACAATGAGAGCCACACGCTAGACACAATGAGAGTCGGTGTCAGCCACAGACCTTAACTCAGTCCTGTGCTTCTTTGAATCTGTTTTTCTTTTTTTCTTTTTTTTTTTTTCTTTTTTCTTTTTTTCTTTTTTTCTTTTTGTTGTTGCTGTTATTTGTGAATTCATCGCAATGGAGGTGGTGAAAGTTAAAGAAAGTCGATAGGAGTGATGTGAAGAACAATAGTGAGAGGCGGATGTGGTCGGCGAATTAAGATGTGGAGAAAAAGGAAAGAGCTTTATGTGCAAGAGATGGAATGCTTGAGGACAAGATAAAATTGACTCAGTAACACGTCATTAAGAATATAACAGTGCATTTTTATTGAGTGTCAAGTGGGCAGAGGAAGCTGGAATAAAATATTAGCTCCTCTGCTTTTTGGGGCAGTCCTCATCGCTGCTGTCTTCGTCGTCAGCAGAGGGCTTTCGAGCATCCTTGAGTCGATCAATAAACTCTACATGCTCCTTGGGGAAGAAATCGCCAAAATTGTCATCGCTGACGTTGATCACGACTTGCTGAACACCACTGGGGTCCTTTGGGAGTTCTGAAGGTGCTGGCAGCTTGTCAGTCCATTTGGTAGGGTATGCGACGATCATGCTGATGTAGACGTTGTCGGGGCAGTACTTGCGAAAAAAAATTGCGTAGCCCTCAATTTTGAGTGCCGAGACTGTGCTGAGTGCGTCATTCCAATCCTTCTCCGAGAAGTTAGACGACCCTTGACGCAGCTTCATCTGAACGAAGACAGGGACCAACCGAGCACCGTCGATCCGAATGAAGAAAACCAAGTCTGGTCCCGACGGCTTGGATTTGGGGAAAAAAATGGCGCGACAGGCATGTTGTTGCGGGTTGACCCATGGTTGACATGAGCGTCCATTAAATGCTCCATCGACATCACCCCGTGAGTCGTGCCTTGCTCGAGTCCAGGTTCCCTCCAGCCAACATCTTCCACCTTGCCGACGAGAGCTGGACACATATCAGAGATTGGGGGCTGATGCAGCCACTCAGATAGACGTCGTGTGTTGAATGTCTCACTGAAGACCTTCATTATGAACCGCTCAAACACACATCCCTGTTCAATAACCGTAAACTTTACCATACATTTCCGCACTTCCCTCGCGAAGTAGGGATCGATGGTGGTGAAATAGTTCTCGACAGCTTTGGAAACGAAGGGCTCGTCTATCACGGCAACAGCGTGACCTTGGAAAATCTTGATCCGACTAAACGTATGCTCCACCAACTGAGTATCTACCTCCTTGAGGACAAGATTGTGATCCCCAAACATGCAACGCTGATACATAAGGAGTGCTAGCATGCTGTCGATAGTCTCCACAAGCTGATCCTTGTATTTGTTGTGTTTGTCGTGGAGGCGAGATATCTCTTAGCACAAATTGCCTTGATATGCCGATGTACCCAAGATACCAGCTTGTCCTCTGCATCCTTGATGGTCTTCTTCCATGCACCAGCGTCGTTGCATTCGACAATCCTTTCCTATAGACTGAAAAACAATAAGGCTGTAAGTACTGAGAATACTGTGTGTTCGATCGTTTCCTTGCCTCTTCTCACTTTATGGTCATCTCAAGGTGATACACCAAAGCCGCAGGTAACCAAGGTAAGCTGATGTTCACCAATCTCTCGAAACGCATGCAAAATCGGGGATAGTAGGGGGACGTGGAGACTCGTCTGAAGAAGACATCGACTGAAAAGAGCCATTGAACTGGTCGTCAAGGAACTGTGCCTCACCGTTGATGTCTAGGAACCTGTCGACGCAACTCAACTGCTAATTCAGGGTCAATCCGCCAGGCAGGTGACGACATCACTCGGGATCTCGATCGGATCTGCTGTCAGCATTAGGGAAAAGAACAAAGAGAACATTTCACCACCAACAGTGGACAGTCCAGACAAGATCTCCCCTAGGACAAAAGGAGGTTCTCGCTCGCCAATTCATGACCGGCCAGATGACAACACTCAATGACGGCTAACGATTCATTCAAGCTACGGATAGAGTGCAGGCCCATGTTCAAACAGTCCGTCGGAATCTGAGAGAGAGAGGAATCAAAGCCTACGTCCAACAAAAGAGGCCAGATCTCAAACCGAAGCATGTGAAGGATCGGCTTGCATTTGCACGGGAGTACACTGACTGGACAGTGGATGACTGAAAACAAGTAATGTTCTCCGATGAGAGCATGGTCAGCCGCGTCGGGTCCTTCGGCAGGAAGTATTACTACAGCGATCGTGAGCACAAGCGTCTGTTGCCTAATCAGGTCCGTCCAACACCGCAAGCGGTAGGAGGGAAAATGATGATCTGGGGATGCATTACTTTTTTCGGCCCAGGAGACCTTTGTCGAATCAATGGCACACTAAATTCAGATTTCTACCTCGACACTCTCAATGATTATGTTCTCAGAATGTTTGCTTGGTATGAGATGGGTCCAGCAATATCCATTTTTCAGCAGGACAACTCTCGAGTGCATACAGCCAACACGATGCAGGAGTGGTTTGCCCAGCAGGAGTTTACTGTTCTCAGGTGGCCACCCAACACCCCCGGCCTCAAGATCATCGAGCACGTCTGGCGCTATATGAAACAACGACTAGCCATGTATAAGCAGGCCCCATGGAGCTTGGACTAGCTATGGGAGCGTGTAAAGGATATATGGACGAGTCTACCTTTGCAGTTTCTTCAAAAATCACATGAAAGCATGCCCAAACGCATGACGACATTGCTTCAGAGCAGAGGTGTTCAAATAAATTATTGAGAGAATGTAATAACTGATGATCTTCTTTATTATGAATTAGCAACAAAACTGATCAACCGATCAAGCTGAATGCAATGAACTTTCATGATGACAGCATTTCAAGAAATGTTTAAGAACAGGTACAGCCATGCACAAGTGTCATAAAAATGTTTGAGGGATCTTGGGGTTGATTGCAATGATGATGAATGGACAATGCAAAAGAAAAGGCAAAAAAGCGATTTAGTTGATTAGTTTTGTTGCGCACTTTAGCTTACACCATTTTCTACAATTACACCTCCTTCGCTGCGTTTTTAGCCTCCTCTTCTTTCTCCTTCTCGTCCTCCTCTTGATCCCTCCGCTCGAGCTCCGCCTGCCAGGCGTCCCAATAAGCATCAGAAACAGTGAAGAGTATCTCCTTGCCCCTCTTGGTGCGGACACGAACCGGCGTGGTCTTGCGTAGGCTGAATATAAATAAATGTTCCTTGAAGAATGCCAGAGTCTCGTTAAGGATCTTCAGGGCCTCCGTTTCCTCCGCGGGGTCGATCTCGCTTTGGTCGCCCATGTGCAAAATCCGGTCGCAGGCTAGAGTGAATTCGTCGATCTGCTTGATGTACGTTCGGCGTTCATACTCTTTTCTGCTTAGACAGGCGGCCATGTTGATGATTTTTTTAGTGGCTAACGAATTTTTTCCGGTGAAAAGGGGAAGCGATGAAAAGGAATGAACGACGGAATCAGGGAGCAAGGAAACAAAAAGTGACAAAGGATATGTTAGTGAGCTGAATAACGGAAGAGTTTCATGGGGCGTGCCAGGTTCTGGGCAGAAACTGATGTGGCGATGAGGAGATGGGAAGGTAGAGATGGGTTCAAAGGGAGACGAGGGACTTACTAGGCTGAATGATTTTTATCCCAAGATAAAGAAGAATGGGACTATGGAGAGAAGCAGGGTATTTATGTAATTTGACAAGGCAAGACCAAGAACAAAGAATAGACGAGAACAAGACAGGGACAAGAGTCGAGAACTAATGGCAAGACGGGTTAGTCAAATAAAGGTGTCATGGATATGTAATCTTTTATCACGACTGTAGAAAGAGGGGAAAGAATGATGCAAGAGAATGTGCAGAGAAAAAGGAGAAAATCAAAACAAGAAGAACGTTATAAAAATGTGAGAGCACAAACAACTAGGCCCAAATTACCATTCCCTTGCGAATTTGAGCGAGTTCGCGGCAGGGCGTTGGTAGCTGTAGAAGGTGGACTGGGTCCTTAGTAGTTTTTGAGCAGGTTTCCCTTTCCTCTGGGTGTATAAGCATTGTTGGACGCCATATGGGCTCACAAGTGCCATGCTATTGGTCCTCGTAGAAAAGTACCATGGGTTGAACTTGGGAATAACAAAGATTTTTGATTGGTCGGAAGGACACAAAAAAGTGAGAAAGGATGTATTAGTGACCTGAATAACCGGAAGAGATTCATGGGGCGTTGGTAGCTGCTTAGAATCCGTTGAAGATGGACTGGGTCCTCAGTAGTTTCTGAGCAGGTCCCCCTTTCCTCTGGGCGTGTGAGCATTGTTGGACGCTATATGGGCTCACAAGTGTCACGCTATTGGTCCTCAAAAAAAATACCATGGGTTGAACGTGGGAACAACAAAGATTTTTGAGTGGTTGGAAGGAAACCGAGCTACCCGATAATTTCGAATCTGCTTCTCTGAGCGATTTTTTTGGGTATGTTGAATGTACATGGAGAGGGTAGGGATGAGATGCGTACAGTGCACGCCCTACTCTTATGTTGTCAAACGAGCGAGCGACGAAAAAGCACCATTTTTTTCCAATCCAATTGCACGAAATAAGCAAGCAAAGATTGCTTGGAGTGCTTGTATTGCTTCTTGTATGGTTGTGTAGTACAGCGACGGCTCGAAAAAGTAAAAACTCATCCGCATTTAGTAAACATGGGTCCATCCACACACATTATGCACGCAATGTTCGATCCTTGTTAAGAGGCGGCAAAAAGGACAAATCCTGCCGATCGCAATTTTGTCAATTGGCGTCACAAGCAGTCTTGGTCTTAATTTTTTTGCTCATACACAGGCGCCCTCCTGGTGTAACCGCACGCCAAGTAAATTTTCAAAAGAAATATGCGTCTTCGCTAGGAAGCATGGAAAACGAAAAGCCGTCTACAGTAGGTGGAGGTCGCGCCAATAAGTCCCGGAATTTCGATGATTATTGGATAGCGTTGCCGAATGTAATGACGGCTAAAGCCTATTATTCGACAACGCCAGGGACTCTAGATGTGTGTATCTTTCTTTTATTATTAGCCGTGACTTCCGAAAAAAAAAAAAAATGAAAATGAAAATGAAAATGAAAAATGAAAACAAAATAAAGGGGACTCTAGGTGATCTGTTGATCTCTATCTACTTGCTAGAAAAGGGCGGGTCGGGTGGGACATCTAGAGTCCCTGGCGTTGTCGAATAATAGGCTTTAGCCGTCATTACATTCGGCAACGCTATCCATTATTCTTCCTTGCCAGGGACTCTATCTGTGGGTTCAGAGTTGAGGAAATATGGCTGCGGCGAAGTTGCTTGTTAGAGATCGCGAGATCCTGTAGCACGCTTCAACAATGGCTGGGGATGACCGACAGCCGTGTGTGTCAACGTCGTCCGGCGGGATCTCCTTCTTTAGCGTGGTGGTAGTGCTCAAACATCCGGGTGCTCCCTTCTCTACTGCTTGTTGCCGTCGACGTTCCAGGCCGAGAGCGACCACATTGGATTCCTCTCGAGGATGTGTGGACTGTTCCCCGGAGCTGGTAAGACTTGGTTCCTCGGGATCCGTAGAGGCTTGTCGACCGACATGGCTGTGATCATAGGATACCAGAGCGCGCTCGTCCAGAATGGAGTGATGATCGTTGCCTTGACCTTGTCCTGCTTGATCTTCTGGAGGACCTTGGTGATTAGCGACCACGGTGGACACGCATAGACTCTGTTCATGTTGGACCAGCTGCTGTTGAACGCGTCCTGGCCCCAGGCGGTTTCCTCCCGCTTCCATGAGATGTATCGAGGAACTTTGGCGTTCGTTGCTGTTGCGAATAGGTCGATGTGGTGGTGACCCCATGTCGACTCGAGGGTTTGGAAGAATGACTTGTCGATCGACCACTCCAGCTGCGTTGTCATCCTCCTGGACGGTGCATCTGCTGGATTGAACTGTGAGGGAACGTATGTCGTCTTGAGTCGTGTGCCAGTCGCCATGCAGTGGTTCCATATCCTGGTCGTCAGGTCGAGTAGTGGTCGAGACCTCGTCCCGCCGAATTTGTTGATCTGGGCAATGGTTGTCATGTTGTCGCAAATAACATGAATGGTCTTCCCGATCGTTTCTGAAAGGTGGACCAAGTGCCAGATGACCCGCAGCTCCTTCCAATTGATGGGGTGTGGTTGTTCCAATGCGCTCCATGTCCTGGACATCTCCTTGCCCTCGATCACAATCCCCCATGCATCCTCCGAGGCATCGGTGTATGCGTCGACTTCCGTCCTCTGAGGCAAGAATCCTTGACCGTTCCACTCCGAAAGATGAGATCGCCACCAGCTGAGATTCTCCAGTGCCGCCGTGTCCAATGTAACTGGATCCGTCCACTTGCATTTCTTGGCCAGAGCTGCATTCTGAACCTGAATCAGATTCCTCGTCCTCAGTCGAGCCGGAAAGACCGCCACCGTCATCGCGATCGCCTTCCCGATAAATGCCGCCAGCCGCCGAAGTTGAACCGTCCCTGCTCTGATCAGCTTCTCCGCTTCCCTGCGCAGGTCGCGGACTTTTGGCCTTGGAACCGACAGTGACATGTTGCCGGTGTTGATCCTGAACCCAAGATGGTCGATACATTGGGTAGGATCTAGTGTTGACTTGGCGTTCTTGATAAGGAATCCAAGTTTTTCCAGCTGTTCCCGAACTAGATGAGTGTGCTCCTTGGCCTCCTCCTTGGTCCTGGCTGCGATGAGGATGTCGTCGAGATATGCCGAGATCCTGATCCCTTTCTCCCTTGCCCACTTGAGAATTGGACGCACGATTTTTGTGAAGACGAAGGGGGAAAGTGAAAGTCCGAAAGGCAGAGTTCGGAACTGGTATGACTCCGCTCCCCATCGGAAGCGGAGGTACCTGCGAGATGCTGGATGGACTGCCACATGTAGAAACGCATCGCTGAGGTCGATACTCGTAAGCCAGTCGCCAGGTTTGAGCATCCTGCAAATGTTGGTAAGGGTTTCCATCTTGAACTTGGGTGCTGTCAAGAATTGGTTGAGTGGACGTAGGTTCAACACTGGGCGTAGGTCTCCCGTCTTCTTGGGGATAGTGAAGATACGACTGTAAAATCCCTTCCCGCTGCAACCTTCGATAGCCTTTTTCCGTAATAAAGTACGGACCTCTTCGTCGATAGCCGTCCGTTCCTCCGGCGAATTGAACGGATCGTGTAGCGGTGGTAGGCGCAGTGGTGGAGGTCGGTCGAAAATGATGCTGTAGCCCGACTTGATGATGTTGTTGACCCAAGTCGAATCCGTCATCTCTCTCCATGCCTCCTGGAACCGGAGAAGTCGTCCTCCTACTAATCCGACTCCTCCCCGTCGTTTCCCTGGTCTGGTTGCTTCCTGTCTTGGCCGCCACCAGACTTGTACCGAGGCTTGCTACCAGACTTGCCTCCGTCCGACTTGTAACCCGACTTGCCGTTGTCAGATCTATATCCCGACTTGTCCTTGGGTTGCGACTTTCCCGACTGCTGGTCCTTGGGTTTGTCGTCTGTTGCTGACTTGTCCTTGGTAGACTTGTTGTCAGGCTTCTTGGTCTTGTCCTTTGGAGGTTCGTATTTCTTGTATGTCTTTCGAACCAGATCAGCGGCTGCTTTTTTGGCTGCCAGTGATTCCAAAGTGAAAAGGGATTCCTCCTTGTCGTTTCCATGCTTAATACCGAGTTCGTCGAGGTAAAGGTTCTCTCGCATCCGACTGATCCTGGAAGCGTCGTGGGATGCTGAGATACGTACGGTGTTGAGGAAACCGAGCGTACGTTTGCCGTGAGCCGAGTCGGATTCCTTATTTTTGATGATCTCATGGGCGAGAGTGTCGTAGAACCGGGTTGTGTGTGCCAAATATCCTTGGATTGTTGCCAAATCACGTTTGTGTCGCTTGGCTGCATCCGTGAGGGACACTTCGGAGTGTTGCAAAACTGGGGGAGGCTTGTAATCCATACCCTCGGTGTAATGGTAGTCGTTCCAATCGAAAACGTCATGGTTCTTGGGAAGCTCGGAATCGAAGAACTTGGGTTCCCCGATGGCTGGATAGATGTTGAGGAGTTCCTCGTAGAGCTTGAGAGTGGTTGCTCGGGGCTTGCAGACCACTTTGCCGTCCTGTTCGACTGATTCGGCTTCCAGTTGTTGAATCCTGGCTTGTTGCTGTTGTAAAAGGAGTTGCTGTTGCTGCATTTGCTCCTGCATAAGGCGAAGGGTCGTGTAAATGTCGATATCGACATCGGGGGCCGTAGGATTGGGTGCATGGGACATGGGGGAGGATCGTTCCGAGATTCGGGGAGAGTGTTCCGGCCGTGAAAAAGAAAGATAGAGATCAACAGATCACCTAGAGTCCCCTTTATTTTGTTTTCATTTTTCATTTTCAATTTTTTTTTTTTTTTTCGGAAGTCACGGCTAATAATAAAAGAAAGATACACACATCTAGAGTCCCTGGCAAGGAAGAATAATGAATACGAATGAATTGATTTCCTTTTTGAGATTGATCAAACTTTGTTTTTTCAGTTTGCTAGTTCATGATGTGAAGGACGGATGATTTTGCCAGTTGTTGCTGCCGCAATGGAATATTGAGGAAGTCCTGATGGAATAAGGTGATTCTGGGGGAGTTGAGGTTGATAAGTACGTCTGCGTCTGTTGTCAAGGAGTGATTCTCCTTCCTCCTCCTTCTCCGCCTCCAAGATGGACTCATCAACGCCTCCCTCCTCCGTCTCATCCTCGCTGTCATAAGTGAGAATAGCAAGGCGATTATTGTTATTCTCCATTATATCCAACGACAGTAACCACATCTGCTCCGACAGCTCTGCAAGAATACTCTCTGGATCGAGCGCAAAGTCTCTTCCTCCTCATCGTCATCTGCGACAGCTGCTACTACCACCTCCGCTTCTCTTACCTCCTCTTCCTCCTCCTCTTCTTCATTGTCGTTATCGATGATATCTCCATCTTCTTGTTCTTGATCATCTACTCCATCGACCTTCGGCTCGGTTTTTTTGTAGTTGATGCCAATCAGGATACTCTTGCGCCAAAAAGAGAGAAGAACACTCTCTGGAACGTTGGAGAAATACTCTACCAGCGTGCGCTTGAGTGACAGGGCCGTGTGTCGTCCTGTTGAACTCGCTGCGAAAATGTTTTTGACAACGGCCCAGAACTTTTCAATTGGCTGAAGCTCGTAGTGGTAGGTGAGTGTCTTGGGGATGTTATGGTTTCCATTCTCCTTGGCAGTTTTGTATATCGTCCACTTCGATCGATCGGCATACCTTTTGGCGACAGCCCTGAGAACGACTGCAGTAGAGCACTTTTTGACTTTCACTTCTTTCCCTCATTTTTTTTTGGCCACGCACGATTGAGGGAAAACTTTAACAACAAGAGACTTATTGCCTCAGAGTATCATTGTGGAGAGCCCTCCTTCTAGGCAAAACTTTTGCCGGATCCGCGTGCTTTTTATCTTGGATGCCATTCACGCTCCACCACTCGGAAGCGGGCTGATTCGTCCAGTCTCACTATTTTAGCTGATCGTAGAAGAGGAATCCAAAAAGGCGCTGCGTCCCTTTCTGATTCGGTGCTGATGATGGTTGGTGTGGGGTCTAAATTCTTCTGTTCCAACCATCTCTTTGTCGAATCCTTGGCCAACCATCTCGCGACATCATCCCTATGGATCCACCCAGCGAGGTCTGGCTTCCTATTGCTGGCAGGCTTGGAGTTAGCCTTGTGAAAGTGATACGACGCGCCATCGAGGTGGATACGACACTTCTCCAGGCCCATTTCTTACAGACTCTTGCAGACACCAGTGAACATCTTGTCAAACAATCCAGCTGTGAAGATCCCATGGTAGTCGTTATGGTCGGGAGGGACAATGTTGGCGTCTCGAATAAAACCGGGAACTTCGTTCCACATGGCGGCATCGTGTTAAGCCCTCCTTCCTGTTCCCGGTCCTCTAGTGTGTGCTTGCCCTTTTGATGGCCAGATGTAAACAAATCCATCGACGAGCTTGGACCTGACCTTCCTCCCGTCGAACCAAACGACAAACGCGGCGAATATGACCAAGATAGAGCAGTGTCCTGGCTGCGTCACAAGAACTCCAGGTATGACCCAGCGGCATGGGTTTGTATGGTCGAGATGGCAGTAGGATTCGTCGAGGAAAACCTCAGGATACCGGAGGATCAACTCTTGACCTTGATAATCTCTTGTGAACCGTGATGATAAGTTGGCAAGGCGACGTCTGAGGTACTCGTGGCGGTACTTGACATTCGCTTTCGAGTCGTGATTGAGGTGTCGACGTGTTCCTGTTCCCCAGTAGCAGCCAAGATCGTGTAAGGTGCGGTTGATGGTACGCACGGACACCTTGAAGTTGAAATCCTGCTCCAGGCGGTTGCGAATAAGGTGAATCGAATTGGGTAGACCGTCGTTGCTGGTGTCCTTGATGATGGTATATATAATCTCTTTCAAACTGTCGTTTTGTTGCTTGAGACGACCTGTTCGACCTTTCCCAACAGTGGCGATAGCAGATGCAAGAAAAGGAGTCACACCGGCGTTGGAGTTGGAAGCAATGGTAGCGATGGCGGTGGGATAGGAGGGTGTATCATGGTTGTTGGGAACAGGCACATGGTCGATGTTGTTGTCAAGACCATCGATGGACAGAGTACTGACAGTAGCATTGGCGGCTTCCTCGAGTTCGAATTTCCTCAGGAGTTGCTTAGCCTTCAGACAACTGTTTTTGCCAATGCTGATCAATATAGACAGAGAGACGTGATGTTGCTTTTTCTTCTCTGTCCCTTCGAGCTCTTCGCACCAGTTCATAACATGGGTTCCTGGAGCGTGCTTGTTAATAGTTCTGTAGATTGTTGCCACAGTGCAGGGTTCGTTGTATGTGATGCTTGCTTTGGTGCGTTTTGGAAAATCGGCGGTTGGTTGTCGAGGCTGTATTGTAGTTCGAGTGCGAGAAAGGGGTGAGTTGTTTGTTGAGTTCTTCTCTGAGGAGGGGTAGTTGTCGTTTGGACTAGACTGTGCTTGTTGCAAGGAGGAAAAAATATTAGCATGGGCTATGTCTTTGTCTAGTTGACTGAGGGGGTGAGGACTGAAGAGAATACGAGGGCTCTGTTGAGCGAAGGAGGCACTCTGGGTGTTCAGGAGTGGTTACAAGGAACGGGTTTTGGTCAAGTTCGAAGTGCATGGTGAGTGGTGTGGTGGATGTAAGAAGAGAATGGTAAGTAAAACTCTCTTGTTGTTGTTTGAATGTGTGCCTTATCAGTAACGTTATTTTTTGGAGTCCCGAAATCAATTCAAAGAAATTACTATAAAAATATAGGGTTCCGGGACAGGGTTCCGGGACTTATTGGCGCGGTCTCTACATGCACACTGCATGTCGTCCAATGCTCTACACTTTGCTAGCGCCACCCTAATCAAACACGTTGCTGGCGCTGCCTTAGTCAAATGCCAGACAGCGCTTCGTTGAGGTTCCAATATTTTTTATTGGTGTTACTCTGAGACATTCCTTTTTTTATTTTTTACGGTACTGTACAGACATGATGCAGAAGGACAGTACCAATGAAGCTCGTAGACTTGGGGGTCTCTCCTTTCGCGTACGATGTTGAGGAGAGCGATTAGAAGACAATGGTCCCGAGTCAGGACTGAACAAAAGAATGGATATCGCATTACCTGCCGGATACCATGCTTCCTTGGCCCAGTGGCATGTGGCCCCAGTGAATGGCCTTGTGGAACCATCACTGCCTCCTCATTCCTATAAAAGCGGGTTCTCTTTTTCGTTGTTTATCCGTTTATTCCTCTCATTCAGTGCTGTCCATCACCGATCTTACATTCCAACAACCTTATTCAACAAGGAAATCCAAGGTACACAATCTCATAGCGCAATCTTACGAAAATCATGAGAATCATTGACAAGGAACAGCATTTCTTATATACTAACCATCGCCGCCTGCCTTTTAGACATGAAAGCTATCTCACTTCTTCTCGTCGCCGCTCTTGCGCTCGTTGCTACAGCTACCCCCGCTGCTGAGCCTCTTAACTGCCCCTGTGGCCCAGGCAAGCGTGATCCCTGGCACCCTGCGTGCTGCGCAGAGCTCAAGACTGTCAGCCCTAAGAAGGTCCAGGAGTAAACGTGCGTAATTCACGTTGTACTCGCTCGCTTGTCGCAAGCGCTTTATCGCCATGGCAGTCTCAAAAAATAAACAACCCCCTTATTTTCAATGTGTTGTTCTCAAACTCGATACCTTTTACTAAAGTAGTATGGGGTGAAATTGTTGCGTGGAAATTGTCCACATTTTTCTGCCTTTCGCCTCTATCCCAAAAACCAAAGGGTCCAGGGGCATGTACTACTACGTCCACCACATTTATGGTCTCATCTTCATATCTTTCTAGCGTTTTGGATCTTATGCTCATTTTCTCTCCCTTTCACCCCCTTTTTCCTCTTTCCTTAGTCCACTACCCTGCTAAAGTTATCCTCGGGCTCCTGTAACAGCAACAGAGCAAGGGGATGCAGACAGGTGAACAGAGAAAGACAAGAACGGGAGAAAGGATAAGAAAGTAGTAGGGACAAGAGGAAAGGCTAGAAACGGATGGTGTTTATTATACAGGAAGAGAAAGGTATTTATACTACTATTAAAATCTAGGAGGCGTGGTTATTAGGGAGAGTGGAGACGCGGTGGAGTCTGGTTAGAGTGGAGGAGCGGTTGTTGCGAAGAGTGGAGGCGAAGTAAGAGAATAAAAAAAATCCCATAATCCTGGTAATCCTGGCGAGGAACAAGAGCGACGCGAGACACGCGAGAGGCGCAAGAGATGTAAGGTCGACAAAGGGGAGCGAGCGCGAATAGTGAGGGGGAAAGGAAGGGGGGTAAGAGAGAGAGAGAGAGAGAGAGAGAGAGAGAGAGAGAGAGAGGGAGAGAGAGAGAGGAAGGGAGGAGGAGCAGAGAGAAGAGGGAAGGAAAGAGAACAGAGTGAGAGGGAAGAGTGAGAGGGAGGAGTGAGAAGAGAGAGAGAGAAAAGAGAACAATGAGGAGTAATATAACGTTGACATTCCCTTCTTAAGGAGACCTAGTGGCGGAGTGTCTGCGACCAATACTTTTGAAGAGTTTCGTAGGTGTGGGTCCAATGGAAAGGGGGTCAGGCGACGCATATCTCCCGGAGACTGCGTTCTTGTTCTTGTAGGTAAGCGTATTGTCTTCGATACCATTCCCGAAGGTCTTCGGTTAAGGACGTGTCGCAGACCTTCAGAGCGGCTGTATCCAGCTGATCGCACGTCTTGCACCATTGAATCTCCAACTGCGCAAGGTAGCTTCCACTTGTGCCGAATGTGTTTAAAGGAGGTCTTCTCGAACAGAACGAGAGGCGGTGTGATCTGGAGGCTCAGCAAGGACTGGGTTCTCGTCTTCATTGGAGTCAAGTTTGACAATTGGTTGCTGTGAAACGAAGGTAGTGTCGGCTTCTTCGTTGTTGGATGCCGTTTCTACTTCCTAGGACTGTTCCTGTGAAGGGGGAGGAAAGGCTTCGAATGGGGGCTGCTGCAGGGTCCTTCGTGCCGTGGAAGGAAGACTATCGTTGAAGGGGGGTTGTCTGACGGCGGGGTCGACCATCAGGGATCGTCTTGATGGCGGAACTGAACTGTGTGCGCTTGCTTGTCATGGTGTTGGTTGAGGGGGAAGTGAATGGGGGAAGCGAGTGTAAGAATGCAGGTGTGAGCGAGGGAAGGCGAATGAGGTAGAGGCGGAGAGAGGATGGCAGAATGGAAGGGTGAAGGGAACAAAAAGAAGAGAGGTGAGAATGAAGGACTTGTCGCTTTTGAATGGTGAGTGGAAGGGTTTGTACAATGACCTGGGTCATGTTGGCAAGGGAACCGATTGTGCATGGGATGAAAGGGATGATGGCGTGCTTGACATTTTGTTGTGATTGGCTAATGAGGAAAAGGGGGGAACACAAGGAGAGAATGTTTTTGCATGGAATGGAGGAGAGATCGGCGTGATCAATGAAAGTGTAACAACAGGATTGATTCAGGATGACAAGAAGGATGAACGCATGATCAATTTGGTGAGCGCTGTCTTCACGCCGACGTGCATGAAGGGAGATTATTCTTCCTTGCCATGGACTCTATCTGTGTGTATCTGACTTCCAGGAAAATGGAAATGAGAAAATGAAAATTCTTTTTCTCGGCCGGAACACTCCCCCGAATCTCTGATCGATCCTCCCCCATGTCCCATGCACCCAATCCTACGGCCCCCGATGTCGATATGGACGTTCACACAACCCTTCGCCTTATTCAGGAGCAAATGCATGGTCTTTATGTAGCAACAGCAGATCCTTTTACATTTTACAGCAGCGGCAAAGCAGGATCTAACAACTGGAAGTCGAATCCATTGAACAGGACGGTAGACTGGTCTGCAGGAACCCTCGGGTGACCCTCATCAAGCTTCGCCAGGACCTTCTCGATGCTTACTATGCCATTGGCGAACCCAAGTTCTTCGACTCGGAACTACCCAAGAACCACAACGTTTTCAACTGGAACGACTATCACTACACCGAGGGTATGGATTATATGCCTCCCCCGGTTCTGCAGCACTCCGAAGTTACCCTCACAAATATGGCTATGTGACATGAACGCGATTTGGTATCGATCAAAGGATTTTTGGCTCAATCGACCCGATTCTTCGACACTTTCGCTTTTGAAGTCCTTGAAGACGGAGACGAACAGTCGGATCTCGGCAAGAAGATACTCGGTCTCCTCAACACTGTACGCATATCCACAGCCCACGACAATTCCAAGATCAATCGGATGCGAGAGAACCTTTACTTCAATGAGCTCGGCATCAAGCATGGCAACGACAAGGAGAAACCCCTCTTTACTTTGGAATCATTGGCTGCTAAAAAGCAGCCGCTGATCTGGTTCGGAAGACATACAAGAAGTACAAACCCCCCCAAAGGACAAGACCAAGAAGCTTGACAACAAGTCTACTAAGGACAAGTCAGGAGCAGACGACACACCCAAGGACCAACAGTCGGGAAAGTCGCAACCCATGGACAAGTTAGGATACAGATCCGACATCGGTAAGTCGGGTTACAAGTCGGACGGAGGCAATTCTGGTGGCAAGCCTCGGTACAAGTCTGGTGGCGGTCAAGACAGGATGCAACCAGGCCAGGAAAACGACGGAGAGAAGTCGGATTAGTAGAAGGACGACTTCTCCAGTTCCAGGAGGCACGGAGATGACAAATCCGACCTAGGCCAACAATATCATCAAGTCGGGCTACAGCATCATATTCAACCAACCTCCGCCACTACGCCTACCACCTCAGTACGATCCATTCATGTTGCCGGAGGTACGTACAGCCATCGATACAAAGGTCCGTTCCTTATTACAAAAGGTCATCGAAGGCTGCAGCAGGAAGGGATTTTACAAACGATTCCCAAGAACACAGGAGACTTACGCCTAGTGTTCAACCTACGCCCACTCAACCAGTTCTTGACAGCACCAAAGTTCAAAATAGGGACCCTCACCAACATTTGCAGGATGCTCAAACCAGGCGACTGGCTTACGAGTATCGGACTAAGTGACGCCTTCTTGCACGTGGCAGTCCATCCGGAATCTCGCAAATAACTCCGCTTCAGATAGGGAGCGGCATCATATCAGTTCTGAACCCTGCCTTTCGGACTGTCACTTATCCCCTCCATCTTCACAAAGATCATCCGTCCGATTCTCAAGTGGCGAGGGAGAAGGGGACCGGGATCTCGGCATATCTCGACGACATCTTCATCGCAGCCAGGACTAAAGAGGGGGCCAAGGTGCAATGATCAGACAGGACTCGGAGGAATGTGTATTGCTTTTGTTATGTTTTATTATGAAGGAAAAGAAAGGAATAAGAAGCAGAGTGTGCAGAAAAAAGGCAGGGGACAGATGAAAGTGAGTTGTTGCAGACTGGGGAACAAAACAGCGGAACATGGGGTCTATTTATGCTAAGGGCCGGATGAGCAGAAGGAACCAAGCCGGCGCTTGGACATTGGACGGGGCTTGGGACGTTAGACGGGGCTTGGAACATGGTGCGGGTTTGGGGTCTTGGAATGTCCGGTTGGTGGCGGCAGTCACGTGACACGCAATCCAAAATCCATTACGCGTTCAGTGGGACTAGGACAAAACCTATTCTCGCGTAACCCGGGCATTCTGGGGCCTGGCACCCTTGGGGCAAAACGTGGCATAAGGAGCATACTCGTCTGGTTCGGAGGACGCCAAGTCAGCACTCGACCTTACCCAATGTATCGACCATCTTGGGTTTAGGGTCAACACCGCCGACATGACACTGTCGGTACCAAGATTAAAGGTCCGCGACCTGCGGAGAAGATGATCAGCGCAGGAACCATCCAACTTCGACGGCTGGCGGCATTTTTCGGGAAGGGGATCGCGGTGACGGTGGCAGTCTTTCCGGCTCGACTGAAGACGAGGAATCTGATTCAGATTCAGAATGCAGCACTGGCCAAGAAATGCAAGTGACGGACCCATTTACGTTGGACACGGCATCACTGGAGAATCTCAGCTGGTGACGATCTCATCTGTCGCAATGAAACGGTCAGGGATTCTTGCCTCAGAGCGCAACCACTACTCGACCTAACGACCAGGATATGGAACCACTGCATGGCGACGGGCACAAGACTCAAGGCGACATATGTTCCCACACAGTTCAATCCAGCAGATGCACCGTCCAGGAGGATGACGACGCAGCTGGAGTGGTCGATCGACAAGTCATTCCTCCAAAACCTCGAGTCGACATGGGGTCACTACCACATCGACCTATTCGCAACAGCAACGAACGCCAAAGTTCCTCGATACATCTCATGGAAGCGGGAGGAAACCGCCTGGGGCCATGACGCGTTCAACAGCTGCTGGTCCAACATGAACAGAGTTTACGCGTGTCCACCGTGGTCTCTAATCAGGAAGGTCCTCCAGAAGATCAAGCAGGACAAGGTCAAGGCAACGGTCATTACTCCATTCTGGACGAGCGCGCTCTGGTACCCTATGATCACAGTCATGTCGGTCGACAAGCTTGTACGAATCCCGAGGAACTAAGTCTTGCCAGTTCCATGGAACAGTCCACATATACTCGAGAGGAACCCAATGTGGTCGCTCTCAGCTTTGAACGTCGACAGCAACAAGCAGTAGAGAAGGGAGCACCCGGATGTTTGAGCACTACCGCCGCGCTAACGAAGGGGATCCCGTCAAACGATGTTGACACACACGGCTGTCGGTCATCCCCAGCCATTGTTGAAGCGTGCTACAGGATCTCGCGATCTCTAACAAGCAACTTCGCCACAGCCATTTTTCCTCAACTCTGGATCCACAGATAGAGTCCCTGACAAGGAAGAATAATGGTGAGCGTTACGAATGTAATGACGGCTAAAGCCTATCATTTGACAACTCCAGGGACTTTAGATATCCCACCCGACCCATCCTTTTCTAGCAAGTAGATAGAGATCAATAGATCGCCTAGAGTCCTTTTATTTTGTTTCATTTTTTTTCATGACTCACGGTTAATAATAAAGGAAAGATACACACATCTAGAGTCCCTGGCGTTGTCGAATAATAGGCTTTACCCGTCATTACATTCGGCAACGCTATCCATAGTTTATTGCAACCATCGCATCCATATCTTAATTTTTTTTAAAAAAAAATCGCTCACCATCAGAATCAGATAATTACACGACACACACATTCGAATGCACAAACAGACACACACACCACACACACACACACACACACACACACAACACAACACACACATCTCACGTCTCAAAAGAAAAGAACATGCATAACATGGTTGATATTGGCGGACTGTGACGGTGCACTACTAAATCAGGCGACACGCAATCGCTTTGTATTATTATACTCGACAACTAACAGTCGAACGATCACATTGTTCGAGCACGAATAGAGGATCGTTTGGAGTTTGGGTAAGTTTGGTAGGATTGAATGTGAGGACATTGTCAGAGAGTGTCAAGATCTGGTTCTGCATTACGCACTCCCAGATGGCAACATGGTTCTTCCGATCGCAAGATAGATTCTCTGGATGGACTTTGATCAAGACTTCGCTCTGGCTGGAGCGGAAGAAAAATATATCGATATCCGCTGAGACGACAAGTTTCTCGATACCCCAGCCAGTCTTTTGTCTGAAGATTGCGTGGGCAGAATAGACATCCATAGGGAAATTGGAGGTATTCATCAATCGGCGTCCTTTGGCCACAGCGTTGATTTGGACCTTCGATACCTTCTTGTTGGCGGAGTAGCTGAGACCCTCGGTGGGAAACTTCAAGTTGAAGCCGAGAGAAAGCTGCGATGAGATGTTGGCTTCATCTTTGTCGGAATAGGTGATGTCTTGGTTTCGATTGACGGTATCGATCTTCTTGAGTAAGAAATCAAACGTGCCATCCTGAGAGTGTCCGATATTGCGGAACATATCAAAGGATATAGGCTTTCCTGGCTCCATTTCTGCAAACAGTTGTATTTGCAATAACCTTCTCTCTTCCTCCTCCGCCTGGGCCTTACGATAGCTTTCAGAATCAAGCAATTCGCCTTGATGCAAAATCAATCCTGTACTTTGATACAGAAGCGATTTTGCACCTTGTTTCATAACGAATGTAGTTTGACTCATTGCTACCTCGAGTTGAGAATGTGTAAGAAAGTGAAAACGTGAGTTATGAAAAATCATTGCTACACCTGAAGTATAATCGCGAAAGTTCAATAACATAGCCTTACAGGAGTAGTGGCCAGATCAGGTTTGATTGCGCAGGTCTTCCTGTGATGGTTCTCGTAGTACTTGGTGAGTGCGTTGTGAGTGAGTGCCGTTACGAGTCTAGATGTGTCCATGCAAGGTGCAGGTAGACGGTATGGATATAATGTAGAGTACACTGGAGGAATCTAATGGAAATGTAGAAGCAAGTTTAAATTAGAGACTAGCAAGGAGATATCAACGTCCATATAGAACAAGAGGGGTTGCTTACTTATGTATAGGTGGAGAGGTCTGAGAAAGACGAGAGCCATGAACGGCGAGGCCATTTATATATGGATGGACAAATAGACCTGCATTTGTAGCTGATAGCACAAAGCATATCAAGCCATCCCGGAAGCAGAACGCAAAGGGCGAGCAGAACTAATCAAGGGACACAGCCACATTGAAGTTGAATGGAAGCGAAGATTGAGGTACGCTAAGAAGAGATCAGCGACAAGGATGCACTGAAGAAAAAAATTGGGGACATTTGCATGAGCAAACTCAAGGAGTGAGAGAGCATATTGAGGCATGCAGAGGAGGAATCAAAGTAAGAAAAGGGTGTGCCCAAAAAGATAGGACGCAGAAATGGCCCAGGGACATATAGATGTGCGATACACAAAGATCAATGGTCAACATCCAAGGAAAACGCAAACGCCTAAAATAGATGCAAAGGGACCGCATGATATTTTAAGAGAGAACGGAGTGGTGCACTGGACGGGTATGGACAACGATCAAAGGATCGCTGAGAAGAGGTTAGACACTGAGAGCATCACAAAAATCTAAAGCAAAGGGAAGGGGGAAGTAAAGATCAAAGAGCACAGAGCAGAGGGAAGAAATTTCTTGGGGGTGGGCGGACAAAGCGGAAAAAATCCTAGGGGGCGGGACAGAAAAAAAATCGAGAAAATAGAGTGGGAAGAAAGAAAAAAAATTCAAGGGATGGATCAAGGCAAAACACAAAATGGACAACACATCAAGGGACAGCACCAAAGGGCAACATCAAAGGACAACATCAAGGGACAACACTAATGGACAACACCAATGGACAACACCAATGGACAACACCAATGGACAACTTCAAGGGACAACTTCAAGGGACAAACACCGAGGGACAACATCAAGGCATAACAAGGGAGGGAAAAGTTCAAGGGGACAACACCAAAAGACAACATCAAGAGACAACATCAAGAAACATCAAGGGTCAGTATCAATGGACACCAGAAATAGCATAAAGCAGGGGGATGACGGCGCAGCTGGAGTGGTCGATCGACAAGTCATTCTTCCAAAACCTCGAGTCGACATGGGGTCACTACCACATCGACCTATTCGCAACAGCAACGAACGCCAAAGTTCCTCGATACATCTCACGGAAGCGGGAGGAAACCGCCTGGGGCCATGACGCGTTCAACAGCTGCTGATCCAAATGAACAAACTCTATGCGTGTCCACCGTGATCTCTAATCAGGAAGGTCCTCCAGAAGATCAAGCAGGACAAGGTCAAAGCGACAGTCATCACTCTTTTCTGGACGAGTGTGCTTGGTACCCTATGATCACAGTCACGTCGGTCGACAAGCCTGTACGAATCCCGAGGAACTAAGTCTTGCCAGTTCCATGGAACAGTCCACATATACTCGAGAGGAACCCAATGTGGTCGCTCTCAGCTTTGAACGTCGACAGCAACAAGCAGTAGAGAAGGGAGCACCCGGATGTTTGAGCACTACCGCCGCGCTAACGAAGGGGATCCCGTCAAACGATGTTGACACACACGGCTGTCGGTCATCCCCAGCCATTGTTGAAGCGTGCTACAGGATCTCGCGATCTCTAACAAGCAACTTCGCCACAGCCATTTTTCCTCAACTCTGGATCCACAGATAGAGTCCCTGACAAGGAAGAATAATGGTGAGCGTTACGAATGTAATGACGGCTAAAGCCTATCATTTGACAACTCCAGGGACTTTAGATATCCCACCCGACCCATCCTTTTCTAGCAAGTAGATAGAGATCAATAGATCGCCTAGAGTCCTTTTATTTTGTTTCATTTTTTTCATGACTCACGGTTAATAATAAAAGAAAGATACACACATCTAGAGTCCCTGGCGTTGTCGAATAATAGGCTTTACCCGTCATTACATTCGACAACGCTAACCACAAGCCAGTTATCCGGTGGTAAGGGATAAAAGAGCTGATGGGGGTGCGTTTCATGCACTTTCCAGATACTTTTCCACAAGAACTCTTTCGTTTCAGCCCATCATACTTGCATGCAACAGTTGGCTTTCTAAAGGGCAACGGAATAGACGACTCAACACATTCGTGCGCTCTTCACCTAGCGCTAATATCAGTTCACTTCTTGAATAAATACTGTGATGTACTCAAAATAAAACATCAGTCGTTCTTCACTATGGTCATCTCCCCTGTCCCTTTGTCTGCCCCTATTTGCAAATAGTCTCCATTGTAAAGGTAAAGAACCTCAGTCTGCAATACAAATACAATAAAAACCGTTTCTGTTGCCTTTCCTTTCCTAGCCTTTACTTTACACTTATTCTGTAAATTTCATTTTGCATGGTTTGCGTGGTTTGCATGGTTTGCGTGGTTTGCGTGGTTTGCATGGTTTGCATGGTTTGCATGATTTGCATGGTTTGCATGATTTGCATGGTTTGCATGATTTGCATGATCTACATGAATATTCTCAATCTTTTGTTTACCAGAACTATAGCCTTTACACAATAAACCCCATCTGTCATAAGCACACCATGGCATAGCCACAGCAGGAGAGCACAATGGCCGTAAAACTTTTATTATCCTTCTTGCCAGGATCCTATATGTGTTATCCTCTTTATTGAAATAACGCGAATATGAAATTCGCTCTGGGGTCAGACTATGCTCTTCATCTTTTGTAATGAGCCCGTGAAAAGTCCCCGAAGGAACCAGCAAGTGAAGGACAGGGTGGGAGTCTTGGAAGGTAGATATATGGTTCTAGCCTTCGGATAAGAAGCTTGAGTCTTCATGTTAATTCGACCCCGCTATTTATTTATTGGAGATTGGCTTAGCCCTACTTCGCCCGACTTCACCTTTGAGCACTACCATAACCAGTCCTTGTTGCCTCTCTCTCCCTCTCCCCCCTCTCCCCCCTCTCTCCCTTCCTCCTCCCTCTTCACTTCCCAATACCTTCCCAATCATCATCCATTTCCTTGCTTGTCCTTCCCTCTATCATTATTCTGTTCATTATCACCTCACAATCCTCGGCTCTTCTCCAAACCTGAAAACATCGCAGGTACGTTAATCTGAGCACCCTTATTGTTTCTTAAAAAGATGCCATGCTTAAAGCTAATTTGGAGCGAAAATTCGCATACAATTGACACGTTGTGCTGGGCCATCTATACACCGTTAGGATGTCTGCTGGCGAGAAAATGCCCACCCGGGACTTCATGCCAATGGAGGTTATCGACCAGATGGACGAATCGGCAGCGAGTGTAACTGCCTTTGTCAAGCAGTTGAGGGGATTGAACATCACCAAGCTTGCAGAGCACGAGAAGAAAGAGTATCTCGACATTGTTGGACGATATGAAGACATTCTGGAGCGTCTGCTGATGTATATTGGCAATGAAAAGTCAAGGTTCGAGTACCTGCAAGAAGCCGTCACTCAAGAGGCGCCCGATATATACGAGACACTCTGCAAGGAAATGGACATCGAGACTCCAACTAAAATCTATGCCGATATATCCAACCTACAAAAGCTTGTCAGGGACAGAAAACAGGCGCTTGGGAGCAAACGTCGCGACAAAGCGCTGCGACTTGTTATTATGGGCAGCGCAGGGATTTGCCTTGTCATTGCATCCATTACAACTGCGCTGATCTCACTTGCTAGTGCGGGCGCAGCAACACCACTGATTGTTCCGATCATCACGACGGCATTTGCGATATTCTCTGGATTCGGCGGTTTCAAGATACTATTCGACCTTATACAGAATGGCACCGAGCATACCAAGTTGAGCCTCATCGACAATAATTTAGCGACATTGGAGAAGCACCTGAGTGATGTTCGACGAGCTGAAATAGGCGAATACGATTTTCGGCTACGATCGGAACTAAAATAACTTTTCAAAAAACGCCATCATTTCTCACCATTTGGAATCGGTCGCTTCGTCTCCTCGTCGAGAAGAGGTTCTGGTGGCGGGGAAACAGGGATCAGTCTTGATGGAGGTAGAGGGTTGGAACAGGGCTGGCTTTTTCTTGTATGGACGGCCTGCTGGTGTTGATGGAGTGACTTCAGGGTAGTGTAGCCACTATCACAATCTGGCTCCGGACCAGGGTGCGGCCGATGTTGCTTCTGGTGCAGCTTCCAGCTATGTGCTCCTTCGATCAGCTGGTAGCAAGTGTTGCGGCGGCAGTGGTATAGCTGGTGGATTTTTCGCTCATGCGTAACGAGCTGGTAGTCCCAGCTGAAAAGGTTGTCGCAGCCAGGAGAACGGCAGGGGAACCTCTCTTCAGTGTGTTTTGCGGTCGTGGTTGCTCATGTCTTGACAGTGAAGTGGGAGCAGTAGTAGTGGCGGCGAGGGCGGTGCAAGGTCAAGAAACAAAAATATGATATTTTGACAGATGTATGATTTATTGATCGACAGGCATGATTAAGCTCGCCACACACAGCTAAACATTTATCATGCCGGCAAGTAGCACCGGTAAGCCTGAGAAAAGATTTGCTCACCAACTCCTGACTTTTTCCTGCTGCGTCTCCGAAGGATACATAATTGTATCGTTTGTCGGATTGCTCGATCGCAGCCAACGCATGTACAGTACGCTACACGTAGAGCGATGTTCCCTGGCAACTGCAAGTATCGAACCCAGTTGAATGGAGCTACCTGTTTAAGCTTCGATGAGACTACTGGATAGCATACAGCGTGAGCTCTCTGTCGTTGATCTCACCTGTGCACACCCTGCCAAAATGTTCCTGGGTCAAAGCTCCACGACATCCACATCCAAGAATTATTGGATCATGTAGTATGAATTGCATTCAAAAGAGGGATTACCTCTATCAGTCGACCATCGAAAAGAACGAGATGAAAGAAAGGCTGTCGCCAACTGGGGCCCGTTCGCACGCATACCACGCCCCACGACGCAGCTTGGAGGGTATATGATAACGATTATTCTCCTTCACAAGTTCGAGAATAGATCCAGCCGCATGATTCCTTGATGCCGAGTCAGGTGTGGATGGGTCGGGGAGGTCCATGAACAGCAGACTGGGTCGGGTTTCTGGTGCTTTCCGATTCCGCGACGCCATGCTCGTGGCAATCCCCTGATAGCTCCAGTAGTAACTGGAAGACAGCCTTGGCCTCTCACAAACGCGTTAAGAAAGTCGGCAATTGGTCCTGGTGCAAAGAATTTGTCCGTGATCCTTTTGATATCAGCATGGAGGTCGCCTAGTATCATAAAAGAAAGGGCAGGGTATGAGACAACTGAATGCTAGAAAATCAAAACGCATACAAAGGGACACGCAATGGTGCTTACCAGGCAGTGGCGTGCCAGGACGAGAACCATCCGACAGAGAGCCAGGGAGGGGAGTCAAGGCTCGGTGCATGGACTACAACAGCGCAAATGAATAAGTGCATTAGGTTAGTACATGTACCATCAACAAGTTCATGTGCTTGGTGTGAATGAAAGCAACGCGTGTGTGCATTACCTGGCGGGGGTCGCTGGACGATGATGTGAACCGTCTCGTCTGGAATATCCTTGGAAAACACTTTCGAGAGACGAGTCGCTGGGCCGAGCCGAGTTTCTTCTTGTCCTTGTTGGTGACATTGTCAAGCAGGACGGGGAGTTCGTCGTTGTCCATGAAGATTGGGATTGAAACACGCTAGATGCTAGATGGTGAGATCAGCAGCAGCGACATCGTCAAAGCGAGGAATCTTCTTGTCCTTGATGAGGTTCTTGAGGTCATCGACAGTGTCGGTTGAGGGAATCGTGACAGAAAACTCGTTGGATGTGCCCTCTCCATCGACAAGACAGAACAGGTTCAGGAGGTTGTTGGTCATGATGTTATGAAGCATCAAAGGAAAAGAAAGTGGAGGGGAAGAAAGTGAGGGCTGTAAAGAGAGTGAGGTTGTAGAGAGGTGTAGAGAAGGTGAAGGATCAAAGAAAGAAAAAGAAAAAAAAAATAAAGGCAGGGGATGTAAAGAGGGAGGGTTGCTATGATAGAAGAGTGAGGGGCAAAGGAATTTTTTTTATATAGGCTTAATTAGCCTTGATCGAATTATTTTGTGCTTTGGTTTTATGAAATGCAGAATAGTTTGATTTCCATCTTCACCCTGTCCCATTGTTGGGGTTTGTTTTGGTGGGGACGGGGCAAGGAGAAGGTCGCCAGGTGGTCGGTGAGATCCTTGATAAGGTCGTTGTTGTTGAGGAGCTGGGTATTCATTCGCCATATCCCTCGACCTGTCACGGGGACGGAGGCTGAGGAGAGTGTCAGTAGCAGCATGTCGTGATCCGAGAAAGGAGATGCACAGGAATTGGATAGAGGAAACAATGTAGTCGATGGTATGGCGGGCTTTGTTCCCTGCAGGGGTGCAGGTGGGCTTGGGGTTGGTATGGAATGGGGCGATGCAGTCTACGAGATGAGTATCAACCCAGTCATGAAACAAGGGATAGGGTTGAGGGTGAGTGTAGTGTATGTAGTTAAGATCGCCTAAAAGAAAGGCCTTTGGGGGAGGGGAGAGAAAGAAAGGGAGAGAGAGGCAGTTCAGCATGAATAGCCTTCGTGCTGTCCTGTTGGCCGGGGTATACATGATACAGAAGGTGGCCATAAAGGAAGAAGATGAAGTGACGGCGGTAACAATAATAACTGATAATCCGTCGATGAAAGGGGAGCAAACTGCTTGTCGCCGACGGTGATGGGGTTGGTAGAGATAGCCGTAGCATCCAGAGATTCATGGTACACAATCTCGATACGGTGGTGGACATTATTAGCGCAAGGGAAGGACATGTTGCTGAGAACATGGAGAGGTGCTATGTCATCATGGGCTTTGAACAGAGCTGCGTGGGTGGATCCGACTGCATCCGAAAACGCGCCAGAAGAAATAATTTGGGGGACAAATGTATGCAAAACAGCTCTTGGGTTCACCAGGTCGCGCAGACGAGCTCCCTTTGGCGCAAGAGCGGCGGCAGCAAGGTGACCCTCTTTGGGGTCGGTGATCACTGAGTGAATTTGTACCATGGAGGCATAGGAGAGTTTCCAGGCGGCAACAACAGCCATTTAGTTGGAGAAGAAAGTATTTAAGGGGTACGTTTTCATATCTTACAAATGAGGCAATGACTCAAAGACGTCATTGGGGTGTGGGGATTGAGTGTCCGCAATGTCCTTGGATAACAGAATAAGAGCTGACGCCAAAACAGTGCGCAGAAGACACAAGGTGCGCCCAAGACGAGTATAAAACGCCCACATGAATGCGAGCTCACCCTTTACCCTTTTCCGCCTTTCACCCTTTCCTCTTGCAAGTACGCTTTACCTGCCCTTCTCCCACAGGGCTTCAACTCTTCCCGCTGCTGATTCAACACTTTATCGCCATAAACCCGCCGCTCTCCCCTTCTCCCCCCTAGTTCGACACCTACTAGTAGCCGTCATGAGTCTCTTCGATAACCTCATAGAGCCATGGGTCTTCATGTGGCTTTCGCTCTCGCATGCCCCTGCCACCATCCGAGCGCTTGTCGCCACCAAGGACTATGGCACACTATTTTCCCCTTCAGGCTTTCGTGAAGCTCTCTTTGGCACATTATGGGCGACCATCGGCCCGAATATCAAAGCCAAGCATGAGGAACGTGTCACTGCCCTCCTGGAGGGGCGCATCAAGGGTGGTTGCATCCAGGACGAGGTCGTAAGCACACCCATCCATGGAACCGTGCTTGAGATTGGTGCAGGAAGCGGTATGTGGGTAGACATCTTGGCCCGTTTTAGTAGCAACGTCAATGCTGTTGGGGGACTCTACAACAGGAAGAACACTGGCCATGGTATCACCAAGATCTATGGTATTGAGCCAAATCCCATCTCAGCCAAGGCGCTGCAGGAGCGTGTTAACGAGGTCGGTCTGCAGGATATTTACCATGTCATTCCTGTCGGCATCGAATCCGTTAACGACCCATCTGTCTGCGAGAGCAAGATCGAACCTGGCAGCGTCGATTGCATTTTTGGTATTACATGCCTGTGTAGTATCCCTGAGCCCGAGAAGAACATCCAGCTGCTGTACAATCTCCTCAAGCCAGGCGGTTACTGGTTCGTGAATGAGCACGTCAAGGTCTCACGTGGCAGCCCACTGCTGTGCTTCTATCAATGTAGGTATTGGTCTTTAGGATTTACCATGGTATTGGTCTTGCTCTCTCGTCTTAGGACTTACCATAGTGACTAATCGGCTTGTTTCTCTTAGGGTTCTGTAACATCGGTTGGTCCTTTTTCATGGGCTCATGTCGCCTCTGCCGTGACACTGAAAAAAGCCTCAGGGCTGCAGGAGTTTGGCAGGAAATCGATCTTGCTCAACTTCCAGATCAGACTGGCTATGAGGTCATTCCTCATATTATCGGTACCTTGAAGAAATAAAATTGAGGGCATAGTAAAGGTTAGTCTCATTTGGGCTTCCTTTCAGCCACAATGAGCCACATCTTACTAGCTTGCGACGAGATCCTCTTCCTTCTTTTCATCTCACACATCCACTGCAACGCAACAGCAGCAGCATGTTGAAAAGACCCAGGTACAGGATCGCATTCAGGACCATGAACGCGTTCATCAGTAACAGTAGCAGTAGCAGATGATCGAACTTGCTCATCTTTTCTCACAACAATCACAATTTGGGACACATTCTGCTGTAGTAGCGACCGCTTGGGAATCAGATTCTCAATTCCTTACAATCCCAAAACTCTCAAAACTCCCAAGTCTCCCAAGACTCCCAAGACTCGGTCCCCCTGGACAGGCCGGATAAGGCTACAGCTTAATGCAGCGCTCAACGAGGTTTTTTATGTCGTCTTTGTTGCCGCGTTTTCTAACCTGTCGATCTTCAATGTGGGATAACCTAGTCGAAAGGTGTAGGCGGGGTGGGCATCTTTAGCGTCGGCAAGCCTGACGTACTGTCCCAAAGGGAAGCCATTCCAGTGAACACTCTCTCTAACCATCTCTTGACACTTTGAATTTGCTCCGCATAGGACACTTCTACCAACGCTATGGACACTCGTCTCTCCTCGAGTATGGCATGGAGTGACCTTCTCGGAAATGCCAAACCCTTTCTTGTCGGATCCTCAGCCAGAGCAACGATTGTCCGGAGAGCATTTCTTCAGTTCTCCAACGCAATCCTTACGTATAGGCTACCAATACGATATCACCACAGCATAGCCATCGACAAAGTCGGCACGAGTGGCTTCCGTGGGATCGCCCTCAACTGCCTCTCCAAATCATTCATACCGTTGACTCGGTCCTGTTGTCCTTGAGAAACCATATCCGAGTTGAACGGGAAGTTACAGTGCACCACAAGAGTGTCTCCATAGACTTCATTGATTGTACGCCGGTTCTTGTTGATTCAGTTCTTGCTGTGGCAGTGTGTGATTACGAGCACAAAGTTGCGCTCTGTCCCATCGAAAGTTTCCTTAAACAGTTTAAAAAGTTCGACGTTCTCCTGAGTGGAGAGACGGCTCTTTTGGACCACAAAGGCGATATAGTGGAATCCGTACTCGCCTTCCTTGAGAACTCGGACCAGGAGCTGCGTTGCCGGGTCCACCATTCCAAGTCCCTGACCGCACAACTCTCCTAAATCGACAGTGTCACAGGCGGTCCAGTGGCGACCGTCAACGACTTGGACGTCGTAAGAGACACCCGCAGCGCTGTCACTGACCTCGCGGATATTTTTGGTGTAGAGGTCGCCCTGGACCAGCATGTTACATAGAGTGGATTTGCCACTTCCGGTCTTGCCGACGACAATTATTTTTTGACTGGGTGCTGATAGCGGCGACATGGTATCGAATGTTGGGAAGGAGGAGAAGAAAAGAAAGGTAAAGTGAAAACGAGTAAGGGAGTATCGGTGAAAAACAAAAAAAAAACAAAGAGCAGATTGCTCAAACCTTTTATCGATCACAAGTTGCAGTCCTCGCCCACCCAGGCCTGGTGTGACGGCACACTCTTAAAAGTGCATGAAATATTGCGGTGATAGGCATTGATATCTTTATTCTAAAGTCTGTATTCGATGATTCATGGCACTTGGTGAGACATTCAAGACATTGTTGTAGTCACCGAGGATTATGTCGCTCATAACTCATCGTAGAAATGCACTCATCTGAAATGGACGCGAAGCTATAGATATCAAACAATGGAATATTGAAATGGAACTGTATTGGTAAGCTTTATTAATGGCCTCGTTCAGGAATTACCGCCGTGGGGTCTCACCCGTGATTGGCTGATCTTTACATGGGAATACGTTGAAGGATGAGGCGCCTCCTACAATCAATTTTCCACATGGCGATTAACAGGGTCCATGGTCTGACCGTAATATTCCTTCGCGTGGCGTGATTTGCAGGATGGTGATGTGAGGGCATGCTATTTATTCTTTTTATCAGTCCGAAGAAGTATCGGTGTCAACTGAATCATTAGAACGATCCGACCCAAATGTAATATTGAGATAAGTTGTGTACTCATCCTAGACAACGGCCTTCTTCCAGTCAAATCGTCCTCTTCCCCACATGCCCCTCCCTCAGCCAGCGCCCGGAAGAGATCGGCGGGGATACTAGGCGCTTACTACTAGCCAGTGATCTTAGGACGTTTTTGTAACACACCTTCCACTTCTCTATCTCATTCCTGACCTTCCACTCTTTCTTGGCCGTCTTTCTCGCTTTCTTGGCCATTTTTCTCTCGTACTTGATCCTTTCTTGCGCTTCCTTTTGGAGTGTCAGCAAGTTGAGTTCGTCTGCCAACCTACTCCTCTTGTCCTCCAGTCCGCGAATCTCACTCGAGAACTTGTTGCATCGGTAGATGTAGGCCTTGGCATAAATGCTCCAGTAATCGTCTTCCGGGCATTTGAATGAAATGCTCCAGTAAGTTCACCCTGCTCCGCCGACTTCTTTAATGTAAGTGTTATAGCATTCATAATCGACCTTGCCAATGGTCCAGTAGAAGTGCATGGTAATCGTCCTTGCTTTTGCGTTTCGGAATAGTTTGGAGTCCTCGGAAAAATACTCTTCGTTCAAAAGTTCCAGGTCATACGTCTGGTACCCTCGAGGGACTGCGTGCATTCTTCGGTGAGGTGATCAAAGACGCCAAGAAGGGGTTGAAGGAAATAGAGGAATCACGGTGGGGGACGGATGGTGACGACGACGACGGCGACAGCGACGACGACAGCGACGATGATAGGGACGATGTGGGATATTTCGAGCACAGATACGGCTATATTTCCAGAATGCGTAAAGCGCCTCTCACCGCGGAGCTTGAAGTTTTTCTTGAACCGGTGGTCGAATTCTCTCATCCGCGGGGTCTCGTTGATGTCGCGGGTTGCAATGAAGACAGACTCGTTGCTTATGCTCAAGTTGAGAATGTCGCGTATGATGTTGTTGGTGAGGCACATCCGAATAGGTCTGGTGGTATCCAAGTCGCAGTCGATCAGAAAATGACGCAAGTTGCTTCGACCCATAAGGCTTTCCACCAACTTTTGCCTCTCCCTCATATTGTTCCTGGATGTTTGGTTGTCTAGATGCAGGTCCTGATACTTGACTTTGGTGTGAACGAACGCAAAGGCGGGTCGTAACTCGGGGAACATGTTGGCGTAGGTTTTCAGCGCTTCCTGGAGTTCCTGGGTTAACGGTTCGTTGCTGATGACAGTTAGGACGAGGTCGATGGATCCAGCGGCAACAACGGCGTCATAAATCCGAGAAAGGTGCAACTCGTCCCTGCCTTCCGTATCATTAAATCCAGGTGTATCAATGATCCGGAATGTAGTTCCAGAGGACGGGTACATTATCTCTGGCCGAACCATTTCGATCCAATTGCGCTCGTCCAGTTCGTCCTCATACTCCTTCATATCGCCCACGGCCATGAGCTGAGCAACGTCTGACGGAACCTCCTTTGGTGGCCATTTTGTTTGCACGACTTTGCACCGAGGTAGTTCAGTGACGATGGTCCAGTTGGTTGTGCAATCGGTGTGTGAAAGATTGGCGTTTCCTGTAAGCAATTTACAGACGCTGTAGTTGGGGTTTGCATACTTTTTCATGCCCTCGATCAATGTACTCTTTCCTGACTGTGTGTTTCCTATGACCAAAATATTCCGTTGAGAGTTTCGCATTGTCGGGTATCACTATGGGCAGGGGCAGGAAGAAGAATGGGTGAGCGATGGAATATGAGAAGCGACTGTTCAATCGACATATGAGACGTACCTGTTTTGAATCGGAATGGAGTGGGGAGTGAAGAAGAAGACAATTTTTCTTGTTTTATTCCAGAGCATATTTTTTTTTTCGTTGCCAGACTGTAAAGAGTCGATCATGCGGAAGCTCATGAGCGATAAAAATAGCTTTTTTGATTTATTTATTGGCGAAGGCGACAGAAAATCGATTCCTGGTATGAGTTTTGCGGGACAGACGACAATAAACAGTATTCAAGGGAGCCCTGGAAGAAGACTCCTGAGCCTCCCATCAACACCTCCATCGACACCTCCATCATCACACCCACGGTTAACACCAAACCACCACCGAACCACCCCTCGCCAGAAAGCATGGATAAGAGGGATCTTGTCTTGGCAATGAGGCGGGAACACTCAACTGTACTCTTGATATTGGTACCGCTAACGCCAATGCGAGGCAAACCTTGACAACAAAGCCGTTATTCGTGTACTTTCCTCATCACACCTCCATCCTTCTGATTTTCACGCATAGCCAGCACTGATATAGTTAATTCATTTTTTTTATTAATCGAGGCTAATAGTTACATCACAGAGTCTTTGTCGGTATCACCAACTGTAAACGTTCAGAAACGGAATCAAGACACTAAGAACAAGTTCCACAATACTCTTTCCAACCCTCAAAAACTCTTCCAAGCTGTTTGTAAACTTTTGCTGAACCACCACGGTGGCAGTCTCCTTGAAGGACAACTTGAGAACAATCGGTGACCTTGGCAGGGCTGCCAACTGTGCTTCAAACTTTGGCAAGGAATCTAATCGCTCCTGCCTTCGGTACGAAATATCGTCAGCATCAAAAGGAAAATCGCAGGTGACGACGGGGATGTTGCCAAAAGTTTGGGTAATGATCTCTCGGTTGTTGGTGACCCACTTGGGGTTGGGGCAGTGGGTTACTACCAAGATAAAATTATCTTCGGCACCTTGGAAGGTCGCCTTGAATAGTTCAAAGAGTTCGTAGTGCTCCTTGGTCTGCAAGCGGTCCTGCTTGATCACGTAGGCAATATAGTGGAATCCGCGTTGGCCTTCTTCCAGGACGCGGACGAGTAGTCGCATAGCAGGGTCTGCAGACTCGTTACTTTTTCCTTGCATCTCACCAAGGCCGACAGTGTCGCAAGCAGTCCAGTTGCGGCCATCGACGACCTTGACCTCGGATGTGACACTGGCAGCGCTGTCGCTGACTTCCCGGATGTTTTGAGTATAGAGATCGCCTTGGACGAGCATGTTGGTGAGGGAGGATTTGCCGGTGCCCATCTTTCCGACAAAGATGATTTTTTTGTTGTTGGGGAATTGTTCGTATGGAGCCATGGCGGAAGTGTCAAAATACTGGAGTTGCTGTATGTGGAGGAAAGCGATGGGAGCGGTGGGGGGATTTAAGAGAAGAAGAGAGACTTGATTAAATTGCGACAAAGCCATCATTTTTATTCAAGGTTTGCATGATGGCAATGTTGATGGGGGAACGGCCTTACTGCTCTCAGATCTCTCTTTTCCTTGCTCCATCTTTTTTTTTTTTTATTTATTTTCTTGTCGCTGATGGCCAAGCCAGAGGCAAAAAATCAGCAGACAGTGTGCATTGGCGAAGCATGTATTTTTCCGACATTTTCTTTGATTCCCCGCGGAGCCCATGCCCACTTTGCCATTTGTCACGAGGTGATTTTCTCCTTGCTCTGAAAATGAAAAATCAGCAGAGCCCCTATCTCGACTCTCTCTTTTTGTCTGTTCTTTTCTTTCGCACTCGCACCATTCTCTCACTCATCCCTTTCACCACTCTCAAGCACACTCACCTGTAAGTACCGTTTACCTCTAACTGACATACATGCCAATCAACAAATTCTCACAATTCATCCCTGTCTGTCAATAGAAACAGTCATGACTCAAACCACGTCCGAACCGCCACGACCGGCAGACATCCCAACAGCATGTAACATACTCCTCATCGGCGAGACCCAGGCTGGCAAGAGCACATTCGTTGAGGCCGTTAGACAGTACACCAACCCGAGCTACACCATTGACAAGACCAAAATCGGAACAGGCACCGTGTCATTCACAAAAGAGGTCGCTCGCACTCGTGTTTATACTGATCTCCCAAGCTACAACGTCATCGAAAAGTCAAAGGGCGTCCCCGTCGGTGCATACCCTTCACCACCAAAAGTCATCAACACAGATGCCCTCATGGACGAGGAAACGAGTTGGGAAGACTATGAAGAAAGGATCAATAGGCGCCGAGGCCTGACGTTGGAAAGGGTGGCTCCTCATCCGAGAACCCAGTACCAGTTCGACTTGTTTGATACTCCAGGACTCAATGATACCAACGGCGAAGATGAAGTCCACGTCAACACGATCTTCCGAGCCTTGAAGCGCCTGGATAAGATCCATCTGGTCCTCGTCATGGTTGGCCCAAATCCATTCACACCTAGCTTCCAGAACGCACTCAAATGTTACATGGATATCTTTCCCGAGTTTCAAGGCGTGATTGCGTTCATACATACCAAGGTTGACTGCACTGGCTTGCATCCCCAGCGAACGGACTTTCACCGCAAGCTCGAGGAGAAGAAGAGGTTCCTTCACGAAATTATGGGACGCAGCAACTGCCAGCACTTTGTGATCGATTGCGACTTTGAGTCGACCAAGCCCATTCGGGCTAGCATTACTCTCAACACAATTCGACGAATCTTGTCCTTGGCGCCTTACAACGAGCCCGTCAGCATCAACAAGCACTCCTTGCACAAGACCGCCAAGATGATGGCCATGGACAGGATCATTGCCAACAAGTACTCTGCTATGATCCAGGCGATTGTGATGACTCTCAGCACAAAGGACGCTCTCCAAGGAAGCATCCTACAGAAAGTCTACGAGCTCAAGACAAATCTGAACACTCTGCGAGCGGAAAAGAGGGACGGAGAAGAGCTCCTTGCCGCATACGACACGCAAGAGCCTGTGATGATCCACGAGGGCCGATTCGACGAGCAGTGGAGAATGGTCCACATCAACCGTCCTCACCAGATGTTTTTCCCCAATCAAGAACACACGATTCACAAGGTCGCTCTCCTGCAAGAAGCCACAGAGGTCCTGAAACAGAAAGGTGGCGAGGGCTATACCGCCTGGGAGATCGAGTTCCAGCGAAAGTCATTTAACGATGGCGTCCTCCACGCCAAAATTTACACTACCAATGCGGACAAGTACCGGTTGGATATCTCGAGAAGAAAGACTCGTGCTGTCTGTTTGCAAGCAGAGATCCCAGAAGCTGAGGGGAGGTTGAGCGAGTATGAGAAGACGCACGCGAGTCAGCAACGGGAGATTGACCAGCTTGTTGAGCAAAACAGGCGGTACACGGAATTGTTATCCTTGGCCAAAAAGAACAGGCTCGATCCAGACGTCTTTGAGCGGTTGGTGGAACAAAAGGCATACGTAGGGGAATCAGCCGAGAACGCCGTCAAGGTCGAGTACATGTATTTGCAAGTTGTGTAATAAAAACTGTTATTTTTCCTGCAATTTTTCTTTGTTTATTCGCAGAGGAAGGTGGACTGGAGGTATGAACGAGGTTATGATACTGTCAAAAGAGAGGAGCATATGTTTCCTGGCTGAAAATGGCCATCCAGACGGTTTTGAGGATGCGGATGAAAACCAATTTGTGAATTGGACCGGTGAGCCAAGGAGTTGTGACAAGGATATGAACAATGGAAAGGGTGCAACAGCACAACCTCGTTACCTCTCTCCACATCATGTTAGCCTTTTCTGATCGCCTGTCACAGTATCATAGCACACATTCATTCCTTCTGTCACCCCTTACCCCTATCCTTCCATCGCCCCAGATATATTCGACACCTGACGCCATTATCGTCAACCCCACCAAGATTCGCGCGGATACTCTGGAGGTGGACAGCCGACGAGTTCAGAGGTCTGACTTTTTCAAGAAAGTTGCTCCCCTCAGTGACGAATGTTGTTGTCGTCCTATTACACTGTATCCTTCATATATATACCTTGGCTCTATGTACAGATGGATTACAAAAGTTTTGCAACAAAAAATATGAATTTTTTTTGGAGGGGAGAAGCCCTTTTTGTTTTTGTTGCAAAACTTTTGTGACCCATCTGTACAATAAACGCCATCCGTTTCTTCCTTTTCCTCCTGCCTATACACCCTTCCTGGTCTCCCCTCTTGTCGTTCACACCTGTTTCCTTATGTCACTCTCACATCGCCAGTATTTCTTCTGTCGAAATTCATCATTCTTATATTATTCGTTGCACTATCTATCGCTCCTTCGAGACCACTGCCAAATATCGTGCTTCAATCATCTCCACAACCCCCGAATTATCCACAGAGTAAGTCCCCATCGCTACTGATTCCTCAAACTGAGCCAGCTTCATTGAAGGTTCTCTTGCCTTGGCAATCATGTCTGTGGCCAACTTGTTCCTTTGCCGGAGGACCCCGATCTCCTGAAGCAGACGCGCCTTGTCCACCGTAAACTCCTTCAAGTCTTGAATCGCCCCTGGATAGTCGCGTTGTGCAGTAGTGAGTTTTTTCCATGCATCCGCAATCTGGTACCTAAACTTTTCGGCAGAAGTCGTGTAAAACTTGGCACGCAGCACTCCGTGCTTGTACGCTTTCCGTTTAAAGTCAACCCCCCAGAACTTGTCACCTTCTCCACCTCTAGTGCGTTTGATATAGGTGTGCTGCTGAGAAGTAAGCACTCGATGGATAGTGTATTCTTGCAAGGGCAACGACATGGTGTGGCGACGGTCCAGGTCCACGATACGCCAGGGCTGGTCAAAGGAACGCTCGTCAATGAAAATATACTCTGGTGTGTTGTGGGTATTGATGTAATCCGACATTTCTGATTCGGTTGCCTGGATCCTGTTCAGCCTCGTGTCAAGCTGGACGATCCTACTCATGGCAGCGCTCTGTTCGGAATTCTTGGTCTTGAGGGTTTCGGTGGTGGCAATCAAGATGGCGTTGTACTTGTTGATGACGATCCTGTCAACGGCCTTCATCTTTGGCGTCTTGCGGACAGTCTCAGTACCGATCGACACTGGCAAGTTTGTTTTCGCCTCCATGAGGATCTCTCGGATTATGTTCTGGGTGATGCATCTCCGGATCGGCTTGGTCGCCTCAAAGTCGCAGTCGATCACAAAGTGCTTGCAGCTCGGACGACCCATGATTTCGTGCAGCTTCTCCTTGCGTTCGTCCATGCCGGAGATCTTGTCCTTTCGAAGAGGGTGAAGGTTGACATAATCGAATTTGGTGTGCACAAAAGCAATGACGCCTTGGAATTCGGGAAACACCTCCATGTAGCACTCGAGTGCAGATTGAAAACCAGGCGTGAAGGGCGAGTTTCCAACAATGACGAGAACGAGATGGATGCTCCCGGCTGTCTGAAGACTCTTGATGATGGAGGCAATGTGAACTTCATCTTGACCGTTGGTGTCGTTCAGGCCAGGAGTGTCATAGAGATGGATGTGATGTTTTTCCTGCTCCTTGGAGTCATCGCACCGATGAAGTTTCTTCTTCTTGCGATCGTCGAGTGCATCTTCATAGTCCTCCCAGTCAGCCTTGTTCTCGTCCAAAATCGCATCGACATTGACAACAGAGGTGTTAGAAGTTCCATCGTTAGATTGAGTTTCTACGCGGACCTCATGCTCTGGATACTGGGTATTGACGCAATATTGGTGGACATTTTTGGTCTTTGACGTGTTGCCACTGCCAATGGTGTCCTTTTCAATGACATGCTTTGGGTTGGCATATTGCTTGACCGCTTGGACAAAAGTGCTCTTTCCGGCCTGGGTCTCGCCAAGGAGGAGGACATTGAAGACGTTGGCACCAGATATTCTGCAGGGAGGGACAGGCACGGTGTTGATGGACATCATGGCGTGAGTCCGCTGGTTGTGGGACTGGATGGCTTGCGTAGAGACGGTAGTTGAGGTGTGAGAAGGCAAGAGAGGCAACTGAAAGAGTAATTGGTGTCAAATGATTTGAAAGAAAGGAAGGGAAAAAAAAAGAAAAAAGGAAGGATGAAAGGAAGAGATAAATAATCTCGTTCAATTTGTTCACTTTTTTATTTAGGATTCGTGAGCTGACCTTCCACTTGGAAAAGTACTTTCGTTTACTGCCACTTTGCTCTTGTTCATGGGTGAATGGTTTGACTTTGCCCACCTAATTACAGCAACCAAGTGCACCGGCCAATCCACCTCATCTGCACTGGAAATTTTGAATATTAGCCCACTATACCTTTGTCAAAGCCTGCGCCAGATTAAATTGCACTCGCCTTCATGCGGCTCACATCTACTGATTTCTGAACTGTGTATTGAAAGGAAACTCCCCTGTTAATGCCTACATGTGTTGGCGCAGAACCCCGTCGTGAAATCCTGCGACAGATTAAATTGCACTCGCCTTCATGCGGCTCACATCTACTGATTTCTGGGCTGTGTATTTGAAAGGAAACTCCTCTGTCAAAGCCTACATGTAATGACGCAGAACCCCGTGATGAAATCCTGCGCTAGATTAAATTGTACTCGCCCTCATGCGGCTCACATCTGCTGATCTCTGGGCAGTCCATTGAAAGAAAACTGAAAACAGGTTTAGCCTGAGTGTGCTTTTGACGAGTCGAGCACTTACTCACAGAGTCGGGCTGTTCATGTACTCTATATTATCTGAGTGACAGTTATCCCCTCACTTCCCCTGACCATAACTACATGGAACCTGACTGTCATTGCCAAGACATGATGGTGACAAACAAGTAAAGAAAGAGAACGACGTGGGTGGCCATAAAGCAAAATAAGGAAAGGTAATCTGGTTGAAAAGGGCAAGGAAAAGATGAGGCGGTGAATTGGCACTCTTGTCTTCATACTTTCTCCACACGCACTCTCTCTTTCCTCTTCCTTCGTTTTTCAACACAACCTCTCTTCCTTGTCCCTTCTTTTTTCAATACCACTCTACGCATCCCCTTGAATACTTCCATCCCCTGCGCTCACTCGAGTTGAAATGACCGTTAAAACGTTCAACGTCCTCGTCCTGGGGGAAACACAATCAGGCAAAAGCACCCTCTTGGAAGCACTCAAGCTCTACGCTGACCCAACATACAAAATCGACAAGTCCAGGATTGGGTCAGGCAATGTCTCTTTGACAACTGAGGTGCGACAGGAGTCTATCAAGACCCGACTGCCAGAATATCTAGTCAAGAAAGTCGATCGCTCCCAACACTCAGAGGAGCAACCGAAAGCACAGCAGCACCCTGTCGCTTACGACGTCTTCATCACAAAGGACAAGGATACTTACGAAGACGAGCTCAACGCCAGGCGCGAATATCAGCCACCAGTGCAAGGGAATCCATGGTCCAGCGAAGAGCTCACGTTCAACATCATTGACACCCCCGGTTTGAACGATACCAAGGATCAGGACGAGCACCATGTCTTCAAGATCATTTCGGAACTCGGTGGCCAGTCCCTCGATCTAGTTCTTGTCACGGTCTCTCGAGGCGCTTTCACCCAGGGCCTGCAGCAAGTGCTTCGTTCCTATATGGACCTATTCCCACAGCTCGGAGATATAATGGCATTTGTCCACACCCGTGTAGATTACCTGGAACTCCACCCAGATATGACCAACTTCCAGAGCTATATGAAGGAGAAGGTGGCGACGCTGAGCGCTATTATGGGTCGTTCATCCTTTCCGCATTTTTGGATCGATTGTGATTTCGAAACTACAAAGCCGGTCCGCAAGTGCATCACCAACAACACTCTGCGCAGGATCCTGCGTCTGGCTGTGGAAAACAAGTCTGTCGTCATGCTCCGCTCCAAGACCTTGAACAAGACACCCAAGATGAAGGAGATTGATCGGATCATCAAGAACCAGGTCCGAGCAGTCATTCAGGCGATCGAAAAGACACTTGAGTTCAATGACAAGGACGAGGGCGTGCTGTTGCAAGGAGTGTATATCCGTGCTACGGAGATCAATGAACTCCAAGCGAAGATCAATATCTTGCAGGATCTCCAGAAGAGCTACCAAATCGATGAGCTTGGGTTGCTACACGAGGAACGAGTCGATGACATCCAGCGACCCTTGGCCATGGGTGTGTCTTGTCCGGCCCGCTACGCAGGGGAGCATACGATCGATGATGCGGTCGTGTGGTGTGAGAACTTCATGTTCTGTGGCTTGGATGGAGAACAGTCGTCAGGGAGCTGGGAGGGTACTTTCAAAAAGAAAACACAGGGCTACAACGGCTACTACCATGTCAAGCTCTATGCGAAAAAAAGCAGCCGTTTCAAGGCCGAGATTGATGTCATTGCTACGGAGATTGCGGATCTGGAAGTACAGCTCCAGCGCAGAGTCAACGAGAGCGACCTGCCGCCAAAAGAAGCACTCTCCAAGATCCAGTCCTTTGTGGACGCTCACAACCGACACATGGAGGTCATCCGACTGGCATCCGCAGACACCTTACACCACGACCTGTTTGTTGAACTGGTGAACGCTCGAGCATTCGCAGGGCCCACAAGCGAGAGTTCCGAGAGAGTAGCCGCTGTCTACAGAGCGTCTGCTCACACGAGGTTTTTAAACGTCAACAAGCCTCTTCCTTCTCCCCAAGCAAGATTCGCGTGGACTCCGCAGATGCACACTACAACGCCCACACGATCAAACGCGGTCGATTATACGACTGTTGAAGGCCAAATGCATCAAATGTTGACGGCTAAGGACCTGCCACCATTGCGGCACCTGTCACCATTGCGGCACCAACAAACACCATCGCAGTACCAACAGATACCATTGCAGCACCAACAGACACCATTGCAGCAGCAGCAAACACCATCGCAGTACCAAAACATACCATCCCAGTATCAACAGGCACCATTGCAGCACCAACAGACACCATCGCAGCAGCAACAGATACCATTGCAGCACCAACAGATACCATCGCAGTACCAACAGATACCATTGCGGCAGCAGCAAACACCATCGCAGTACCAAAACATACCATCGCAGTATCAACAGGCACCATTGCAGCACCAACAGACACCATCGCAGCAGCAGCAAACACCATCGCAGTACCAAAACATACCATCGCAGTATCAACAGGCACCATTGCAGCAGCAACAGACACCATCGCAGCAGCAACAGATACCATTGCAGCACCAACAGATACCATCGCAGTACCAACAGATACCATTGCGGCAGCAGCAAACACCATCGCAGTACCAAAACATACCATCGCAGTATCAACAGGCACCATTGCAGCACCAACAGACACCATTGCGGCAGCAGCAAACACCATCGCAGTACCAAAACATACCATCGCAGTATCAACAGGCACCATTGCAGCACCAACAGACACCATTGCGGCAGCAGCAAACACCATCGCAGTACCAAAACATACCATCGCAGTATCAACAGGCACCATTGCAGCAGCAACAAACACCATCGCAGCAGCAACAGACACCATTGCAGCACCAACAGACACCACGACTTCAACCCCAGGCAGTGTCAAGGAACTTGCTGCCTCTGCCTCCACGTGAGGGAGCCATCATTGGCTCTACTACTCCACCCGTCGACCACAAAGTTGACCAGCCCAAAGTAGTAAGTTCAGATGAACTTCCAGCCCACGAAAAGGACTCCAGAGTGGACAGGAGTGAAGAATACTGGGAGAAGACCATTGTGTAAAGTGGTTTGAGTGTGGTTGATCTCGTTTATTTCGATGGGCCACCCGAGGAGCCTTTGGGTACAGGGAAGGCCATGGTCGAGAAAGAATAAAAAATCAAATTTGCCCGTGGCCTCAGATTATGTACTCGTTATTTCCAGGATATCCAAATTTATGCTGTAGCTCTCTTCAGAGCAAGAGGACTCTCTAAAGCTGCGTTTCGCTCTGGGGTCCCTAAAGTCGGGGAAGAGATTTCTTGTGGCGGCTTTCCTCTTTTGTGTTCAAGACGACCATTGTCGATATTGATCACAAGTCTGGACTTGAATGCGGGGGTTGTTTGTGCGCCAGTTTATGAGAGGATTGGTTTGGATGAGCCAAGGTTTGCCCAGGAGAAGGTCGTATTTTTTTTAATGGATAGACAATGGGATTGAGGTCGGTGGCGATGGAAGGTGACGTTGGTTGTGTGAGCAAAAAAGGATTGTGAACTGTTGGGGAGGATGATGATGAGAGAAGAAGAGTGAAGAGGGATAGACCGTGCCAGAGTAAATTTCGAACGTTTGATTCTTTTTTTGCTACTTCCACACTTCCATTTCCATTCCCATTCCCATTCCATTCCTCTTCCATTGACATTGTCCATTAACATTCCCTCTCAGGAGGAGACGGAGAATAGCGAGCAGGGACATTGTGAGAGCGTAAGGACATGGTTCTCTGATGGGACGACATGGTGAGAAGGGTTTTGGTAAAGGGCCGTTGAGGTGAAGTGGGTTTTTTAAAAAAAAGAAGGAAGGTGGCGATGGAAAGAAAATATATGAAGATCACAATGCGAAAGGCTTGTGCATGTCGTGAGGGTCTGAGTGTACAATACTTGGTGTGAGGTAGGATTTGTGCGATGTTTAGAATTTGCGATCTTTGAACTGAAACAAAATGGTTGGCCGAGAATGAAATTCTACATAACCTTTGCCATTTTGACCACAGAGGGGGAAGGAGGAAGAGGTGGTAGGGGTCCATAAAATAACAAAAAAAAACAAGGCAAGGAAGGTCGAGAAAGGTATGTAAAGTGAAAGAAAAAAAAGAGAGAGAGAGAGAGAGAGAGAGAAAAGGAGTGTGAGAACGAGCTGCAGGTGCTCTGAGAGACATCGATGGTGGTTCCTGTTTCCTAGGGGGTGTACGTTTGTGTGCTCATGGGAAGGGTGTGCACAAATGAGTTGTGTTGCGGAGAGGGAAGAAGGAAGAAGGAAGAGGGGATGAGGAGGTGAAGGGTAAAGGAGAGGTTGAAGGATAGAGAAGGAAGGAAAGGGAAGAGAGAGAGTGAGTGAATGAGAGTGATCATCTGACGTTGGGAATAGGGATTACTGTCAGCACCTTCTCTCTGCTGTTGGTCTGGAGGGGGGGCGCTGTCTGTCTGTTTTTGATGTTTCTGACCGTGGAGGAGATCTCGACCCTCCAAGGCAGCAGCTACAGGTCCAGGTCAGGTCGATAAAAATAAGCGAGAGGGATGTCCAAGGATAGCTATAGTTCAGGCGGATCCCATGCTCATACTGCGCTTAATTCTATTTATAGAGGCCCCCCTCCCCCAAGAACCCGGTGCCAATTTCGAACATACCCCAGGGTCTCCTCCTAACATCAGTGTAAACAACGAACATCTGACGATGAAACGTGTTTTTTTGGCTGTGATTTTCGCCCATGACACACTCAAAAGCACACTCTTGCAGGTCGTGTAAGAATTTCACTTGACAGTCCCTGTAAGTAAACGTGGGTCAGATTTCATAACGAGCAACCACAAAAGCATGTTCTTGGCTAACAAGACCTTTCTTTTAACTCATCCCCATTCCCACTTACACTTTTTTCCTCGCACTTTTACATTTCTACCTTCAGGTAGACATACAGGTAGTGCCATCAAAGAAATCAGATTGAAATTTGTGCGACAAACAAAGCAGCCTGCTGGTGAACGAATGGTGTCCATTGGGCCAGCCATTGGAATAGGATACGACCCTTGAGCAATTGGAAGGGCACAACTGGAGAGGGACTGGTCGTGGGATAGGGGTAGGGATAAAGAGGAAGGGGAAAGGAGAGTTAAACGCGTGGTTAGCGTTTAATGAAATGCTCAACAAAATAAAGAAACAATAATGAGATGAAGGGAACTCGACAGAGAAAGGGAGGAGTTGACAGAACAAACACCATTTTTTTCAGCCGTTGCAATTGCCATAGCCGTTTGCTGATGACAGCCATCTCTCCATTCTTCTCTCATGCCTTTCTCTCCTTATTCCTCTCGTCAATTCCTTTTTGGGCGCCAACCAAAAAAAAAAAAACGTTTGTCAACAATTAGGGGTTTCATGTCTGTCGGGTCCCCTTCTGTTCCCTGGTAGGCTTCCCCTCTTTCTCTTTGCGCAAAAAAAAAGATACTGAGTTCTCATACAGAGTAAGGTGGAGGTGGAGAAAATACAGAGAGCCTTTTTTTTTTGTGCTTCGGTAAACGAATAGAAGAATGTGGAACGCGAACGTAAACCGTCGGGCCTCCCTTCTCTTCCTTCCCCCGATCTATCATCACAAACAAACAACAAAAGAACAAGAAAGGGCATCCAATCATTCGTTTGTTCCTGAAAAAAGTGCTCTTCTCTCAACGGCCGACAACAAGCAATGAAAACCAATTTATGTTGGCGTTTTTTTCTCTTGCGCCCTTTAACTTTGTATCCTCTGTTCCTGCCCCATCTCCCTTCCCTTGACTTGGGTGGGTAATCCTTATCATCTTGGACTGTTTTTTTTTGTTGTTCTTTTTCTTTTTTATGCGCGTTGGTACTTCCCCATGGTATGTAAAACCCGTCACGGTTATCACGCACACATCATGTCCATACTTTTCGTTTCTTTGTTGCTCTCGCTGGAAGGCACGATTGCATTGGGGTTGAAAGAATAAGAGAGATGAAGGGCCTGGACGCAATAAAACAAGAACAATAAGCTAGCATTCATTCATGGCTGCATCTCATTTCCCGAGAGTTTAATTGATCTCTTGGCTGTTATTCTCACCGACGAGCACTAGACGCGACATGTTGCCTCCTTAGGTTGCGATGGGGATAGGTACCCTAGCTGTTTGATTTCTCGCTCGTTTTTCTCATTTCACGCGCCCTTGCCCTCGTTGCTCGGTCTCCCTCCCTGTCTCGTTATTTTATCGCTTCTTATATCAGAAATAGAGTGAGAGAGAGAGAAAGAAAAGAAAGAAAGGATCGTTACCATAATGTGATACGGTGTGGTGGTTTGTTACCGAGAAAGAAACATTCAGGTACCATCAATTGATTGTTTGTGTCTGAGATGGGAAAATCAGGAGACTTTTCTCACTTTTTCTTTCATTTCTTTGCCTCTCTTCAATGTTCCTGTCTGGGCCTCTTTCTTCTTCCCTAGGGAAACAACAACGAATCGATTGTGTGTGTGTGTGTGTGTGTGTGTGTGTGCGTGTGTGTGAGAGAGAGTTGTTCCCGGAGCCCTTATTCGCCATAGAAGGGTAATTTTGTCATCGACAAGAACGAAAAAAACGCGAACGCTTCTTTTTGTTCGTTGGGAATCATGTGTCTTGAAGTAATGGATTGCGCTTTTTGTCTGCTTTCGTGTGCTTGTCTGACTCCAATTTATTTCGTCTGGGCATAGACATCAAGATTCAAGGTCCAGAACACAACAAGGCCCGATTCCTTGCGCTTTCTTTTTGTCAACAAACGCTCTCAACATACACATACTCACCTCAATTAAACAATGAATGGTACCGTAGAGAATGATGAGGAGCAGCAACGAAGGCGGAGGTACCAAGAACTGGGTGGAGGAGGAGAGCACTTCAAATTATTATTTTGTGGCACCCTGTGGCCCATTTCCAACTCCACTCGTTCATTATTACCCCTTGAGGGTGTGTATCTGTGTGCGCGGTTGTACGGGTAGGGTAACCTGGTCAGTAGTGCATGACTGCATGCAGGCAATTTCATGGTTCAATAAAAATGAGAGATAAAAAGGAACAATGAGGAGTAAAACGACGCTTGCTGTCTTTATTAACGTAGCACAGACGAGGTTCCGGACAAAACTAATGACCGATCGCTTTTTCAGTCAGTGTTCTCAGTTGCTCATCTAAATCTACATCCACATCCGCACTCTTGCACAATTGACACTGAACAATAACTCGTAGCTTTAGCTACCATCGGGAAAGAGTGCCAATTCGTTCGCTGCTTTTTGCTTCTCTCTCACACTCGCCCCTTTCCTTCGCCCTACCAAAATAGTGCTCACCACTATGTTTGCTTTAACTCAGTCTGCGTATTCTCTGTTTTGTACCTTGTTGAAAGTTCCCTCAACCACCACCAATAACAACAACAATTCAAAGTGGGAATGGATCAGTCAATGTCTTTTCTTGTTCTTGTCGCGTCTCGTGTTCCCCGGGGCGAAAGAAACAGCCATTCTCGATTCAATTGAACAGTTTACCAGGGTTTAGCCTACTCATGGCCCTGGTCCTACTTCGCTTACTCCCGTCTTTTCGTTCAATGCTGGGGGGAAGAGTATAAAAACTAGGGTCTTCCCCGGCATCTTTTTTATCTTCGTTCATTCCCATTCTTGTCATCTCACACCCCTACCGCTATACTACCTAGCACCCACTCCACAATACCCTAACCCTCCTTCACATTTTTCTCACGAAACAACACCCCTTGTACCTTATTCTACCCTCCCCTCTCACTTCAACCTTACATAAATCATCATGGTTCTCAAGTCCTCCTTCACCATGCTCATCGTCGCCACCTTGGCCGTCTTCTCCTCCTACACTCCCCAGGCTGAGGCTCACTCATGGGCTGACTGCATTGACTGGAAGTTCAACAAGGCCGGCAAGCAGGACTGGTCCGACAAGGGAGGCAAGTGCACCGGTTACGCCCGTCGCTTCCCTCTCGGCAAGGTGTTCGGCTCCCTCGACTCTGCCTACCCCAATCGCCACTACCAGCAGGACCGCCAGAACCCTAGCACTGCCTTGCCCTGCTCTGATCGCAAGGTCGGTGCAACGCGCGGTTCGGACGAGACCCGTGCCAACCCTCCCTCGAAGGCCTACGGCGGCCAGTACGGTCGCATGACCGTCACCTCCGTCGGCGATACCCTCTGTGTCCGCTGGCCCGCCAAGAACCATGCCCAGTTGTTCCATCCCAACAACAAGGTCCAGATCCACTTGTCCAAGTCCCGCAACGCCAAGGATATCTCCCAGAAGGAATTGTTGAAGAACACCATTGCCAATCTCAACTACAAGAACTGTAACTCTATCACCGACGAGGACCATCGTCCCTGCGGTGGATGCTTCAAGGTCCCCGTCCGTGCCAAGGGTATCTACCTCCTCCAGTGGCGCTGGATGTTGAACCAGGGCGAGTGGTACACTTCCTGCGCCGATATCGAGATCAAGTAGATGTCTTTTTTGTCATTTCTCCTTTTTCTCGCTAGTCGGGAGTTGGATGTGGTGAGGAAGAGAGTTCATTAGCTTGTAGAGGTACACATAACTGGTTTCGAGTGTCGATCCCGGCTGTTGCAGCCTTTCACTTTTATCCCCCCCCTCTTCTTCCTTACGCCTTCTTCTCTACACTTTCCATTTGCTGGTCAATAAATCAAATGAACCGAAGTAGGCATTCTCTCATACAAAAACACATCGTGTCATCTCTCACTGCTCATGTTCATGTTTGCTTCAACTGAAAAGCAAAGAAAAGTTTCTACGCTCATGTTCGTTCGTTCTCGTTGTTCTTCAGGTTTCTGACCAAAGCCGTTGAAAGTTCTTAAGAAAAAAAACGAGGCCAAGAAAACAACAAGAAGGGAGATAGAGTAAAAGAACACCTTGCCCAGAACTAAAAGCCATCTAACGCGTGAAAATGTACACGTGCACTATTCTTTCAGTCAATTAATATCGCCTCTTTTCTTGCTCTTCCTTTCTCTTCGCTCTTCTCTTCTTTAATTGCTCCACAAGGAACTGAAACCCATCGGGGAAGAGAGAAAGAATATTGTGCGCAAAAAAGCTCTCAGCACACAAAAAAACAAAACAAAAGCCGATCTCTCTTACCCTTGGTAAATGAGTGTAAGGGCTCACCAATTGATTCAATTCGCTTTTATTGCATGTGCAACCAGAAAAAAAAAATCAGAGAAAGCCAACCAGCTTGCACTCCGCAGTCGATCCCAGATGTAAACAACAACACCTCTCTCTCCCTCCGTCCCTCTCTCGATTTCTGCTTTTTTTTTGGGAGATGCTCATCGCCCGATCCCCCTCTATCATGTATATGCTTTTTTCCCCCCTAATCCCAGTATGTTTCGGAATTGACGTCATCATGAAATGTTCATCTGATCCAGAATCAGAATCGAAACGTTTATGGTGTCCAGCAAGGCACCCTAATAATCTATATGGCCTCCTCTTTTTCCGAGCAACGCATCCATGCGTCTGGGCATGCTCTCGTACAGCTCATGCAGGTATTCCGGTGGGATATCGGCCCAAATATCCTGTACGTGTTCCCAAAGCCCGTCCATGCTTCTTGGTGCCTATTCGTCCTGGCCGAGTTGTCGTTTTATGTAACTCCATACGTGTTCGATGATATTGAGGTCCGGAGAGTTGGCTGCCTACTCGAGAACATTGAACTCCTGCTGGGCCAACCATTCCTCTATCAAGGTTGCTGTATGCACTCGGGAGTTGTCCTGCTGAAAGATCGATTCCGCGGGATCCATTCCGTACCAAGTGAATGAGTTGAGAACATAATCGTTGAGGACGGCGAGGAAGAATTCCGAATTCAACGTCCTATGGATCCTGCTAAGGTCTCCTGTGCCGAAATATGTGATGCAACCGCAGACCATCATCTTGCCTCCACCACCTTGCTGCATTGGTCGGATCTGATGAGGCTGTAAACGTTTGTGTTCGCTATTGCTGTAGTAGTACTTCCTGCCGAAGGACCCGACGCGACTGATGATGCTCTCATCAGAGAACATTACCCGCTTTCAGTGATCCACCGTCCAGTGAATGTGCTCCTGTGAGAATAGGTAACCGTTCCTGCACATGATGCGGTTTGAGATTAGGCGTTTTCTGTTGGACGTAAGCTCTGATTCCTTCCTGTCGCAGATTCCGCTCCGCCGTTCGAGCATGCACTTGAACTCGATCCCTCTCTTGAACGAACCGCTAGCCGTCGAGGAGTGTTTGTAGTTGACCAGTGTTATAATGGCGGGTGAGAACTCTCTTAGTTTCGGGGGAGATCTTGTTAGGTCGACCTCTGCTTGGAGGAGGAATGTTCTCCTTGTGCTCGTTGCGGATGTCGATGACAGGTCCGAGTGAGATCCTGACTGAATTAGCCACCTCTCTGAAGAAATGTCCTTGAGTGAGTTGTTGAAGGGCATTTGCTTTTTGGTGCGAATAATGTATATGTATCTTTTAATGTTTTGTTCTACTAATTGCGGCATCGTGTCTTGTGGTGGGAGAGCAAATGAAAAGTATAGATAATGATGAGGCGAAGGGTGAAAGAAGGGAGATGAGGAAGAATGCAATAGCGGGATGAGCCCCAAAAAGATTGATCGAGAGCTTCAGTTCGTCTTGTGACCCGCTTCACTAACGTAGTGCGACTCAAGGTCTACTATCTGGAAATGGATGTTTCTTTCTTTCTGTCTCTTTGGATCTAGGCTGGTACTTATGGGCTATTTGCCTAGACCTGTTCATTAATGGACTCTTGTCTATCCCATTTTCCCCATTGCCAATTCGCCTCTGCCATTCATTTGCCATTTACCTTCTTTCGGCCCAATTGAACATTCCAGAGCCAGTCCCATGATCTCTTTGTTCATCATAAATAAACCCCCCTCCCCTGTTGTTGTCTCTCAGTCTGCAACAACTTCTTCCCCACCCGTCTCCTGTACTCCCCCTTTCTTTACTATAAAATAATAAATAACGTTCGCCTTTCAAAGTCTTGCCTGTTCATCGCAACGAAGTGCTAAAAGACACCAACTGCGACAGCATAGTACGAGGAAAAACAAAGAAAGGAGATGCTTGTCTGTGTGTTTTATTGAAGGCGAGAGTCACCACGGGCCATTATTTCCAAGTCTGAGGCCATCCTACACCCTCAAACTCCCAGTCGCCTTTCAAGTCCAATGACATCTGCGCAGTATGCAACAGCAACTGCGAAAACGACTCCTCAGCACCGAAAAGAAGGTCGCCGAGGGCACACGCACGTGCGACTTTGGTGACATGGACTTCATCAATCTCAATGGCGTGTTTGATAATTGACAGCCAAGGATTGGACGGGTCCAGAATCTGCTTTCCACGGTAGTTTAGCAAAGCATCGACATCGACCTGAGGGCGCCCGCGCGAAATATAATAAGCGAGGCTCGCACCAAGGTGCGACTTCAAACACGAGACGGCATATGCTGGGGGGAGTGCATGGGCAAGTTTGTGCACAAATTGAACCGAGGTCAAAGCATGCATCCTATAATATGGCTAGTTGTTAGAAGCCGGCTATACCTTTAGAATTATGGGATAACATCACTCTCAGAGTTCAGTTCTACTTACAAGAAAAAATCTTGCTTCACTTTTCCATTGTGGAGTCCGGTGCCACCGACGGCCAAAAGACATGCCTTGTATGACTCCTTTGCCTTGAGATCGATGTCTTGGATGGTTTCTGATAATGAAAGAAATAAACCCAAAAAAAAAGAGCAACATTTAGCCATTACTGATGCACTGTCTTCGACAAGCACACATAACTTTTATGGGACACCCATACCTTCAACCTTCCATTCCGAGAGGAGTTTCTGGACCTTTGAAGCTGCCACTTTGCTCTTAGCAACATCCATGGACTTATTGACCTCAGGATAGAAAGTGACGTCGTCCAGTTCGCGATCTTCCCGAATAGCAGTCAAAATATCCACAATCGTCTTTGCAGAAGAGGGCTCGGAAATCGACAGTTGGGACGCTATCTTGGTCGCCACCTTCTCGACCTTAGTAGCAGGCGCAACAACGAACGGAGACATCATCTTAGAAGTGACTGCCATCATCGCCAGGCCTTCTGCGACGATGGCGTCAATTCCGAAATCAATACCATAACCGAGATGGATGAGCGGATGGAAGGCACCAGAGAAAGTCCTACCAATCACGTCGGTATCAAAGGCATACTTGACGACGGCCTCCACGCGACCGAGTTTTGGAACCTCTTGACGGAAGAACTCCAAATAGGAGGCGTAGAATTCTTGGTTGCCAACCTCGGATTTCCAATCAAAAGCTGTGAAATTCTTTTTAATGAAACCAATGGGGCGTTGTTCCACCGCATGGCTCTTGTAAATGGCTCGCAGTCGTTCGGGATTTGCCCCAAGGGAGTAGCTGGCAAGAACGGCGTGGACCAGGTGATTGTGGAAACCCTTTTCGTTGAAGAAGCAGTGATGCTTGTTGTGATTCTCCTGTAGCAGTTCGGCGACAGTCTCCCTGGCCAGCTTGGTGATTCCAGGAAGGGCCAGTGAGATGTTTTTGGATGGGATCTGCGGAATAAAGAGTTTCTTGGACGCAGACAATGTAGCCATGATGGGTGAGTATGTGGGAAAGTGAGTGTGTGGGAAAGTGAGTGTGTGGGAAAGTGAGTGTGTGGGGAAGTGAGTGTGTGGGGAAGTGAGTACGTGGGGAAGTGAGTACGTGGGGAAGTGAGTACGTGGGCGGGTGCGAGAAAAAAAAAAGTGCAGTGATTCCTTTTTATCTCAAAATGGTGCGTCGATGATTGCCACTTACGTCAGTGGATGACAGGCTGCGCAAGTCATATCAGTTGACCCTATTTTTTAGCCTCAACCACATATATCGTGTGACGCGTTGACCAATTGAATTCGAAGCACAGGCCCTCTCTCCTCGGATCGAGCATCAAAGGAGAGTGTGAATGTTCACGTCTTCTTGTGTTGTACTACCTTAAGACCATACAAAAGAATTAAGTAGAATACATTATTTATATTACGGCAGACCTCATCATCTGGGACGAGGTGCCCATGATGCATCGACATGTCTTTGAATCGGTGGACCGGATCTTTCGACATATTATGGATCCACCCTTGGTTCCTTTCGGCGGAAAAATTGTCGTGTTCAGTGGCGACTTTGGACAGGTGTTGCCGGTGGTTGTTCATGGATCTCAGTCTCAGACCGAGGGCGCATGTTTAAAGATGTCTAGCACCATTTGGCTCAATTTCAAGACACTCAAGCTAACTCACAACATGCGAGTCAAGGCGGACGAGAGCAGCCCTTTTTCTTTCGTTGATTTTTTGCTATATGTGGATGAAGGTAAGGAGTAGATATTTTCATTTGACGACTCTGATGATTACATCAGGATTCTCGACCAATCCTTTTGCGCCACATGAACCCAATCTACGCGCACGAGATCCAACTTATCCGCGTTACATATCCCAATATCGCCAACGGCAACTTTGCACTTCAAGACATCAAGCTATTTTGACAACACTGAACAATGACGTCAATTAGATGAATGACCTTACAACCACACTATTTCTTGGCGAGGCAACAGAATACCTTGGCCAAGACTCCGTTCCGGATTCAGATACCAACGGCGTCGCCCACTATCCTACAGAGTATCTCAACCCTTTGGGCCCCACTGGTTTACCTCTCTACAAGCTGGTGCTGAAAGTTGGCATGCCCATCACTCTCCTCCGAAACGTGGACCAAAAAAAAAAAGACTCTGCAACGGAACTCGCTTGACCGACTACCGCCTCAGGCCACGCTGCATCATGGCATGACAACAATCCTGACGCGACCCTTTGCCACCGGGTTGGTCTTCATCCCACGAGTGCCGTTTAAAACAACAAACGACAAGTCCTCCCTGATCATATTCAAGAGACGACAGTTCCCGGTCAGGCCCGCCTTTGTCTTGACGATCAACAAGGCCCAGGGTTAGACCCTTGAAAACGTCGAACTACATCTCCCTACTCCTGTGTTCACACAGAGTCAGCTTTATGTCGCTCTTTCTCAATGCACAGACGAAAAAAATGTCAAGGTTCTTATCATCGATGGCAGCATCCCCTGGCTTGAAGGCACACGCACTAGAAATGTTGTCTCTAAGAGAGTCCTGTAATTATACACTACACCATAGAATCGATCAAAATGTACTTTCATTTTGGAAGAGCGCACACTGCACACCCGTTTTTTCTTTTTCATCCTGTAAAAACCATACTTCAAATCCTTTAGAGCCGGCTCCTACACATGCAGGCAGCCCGTACGATCAGTCCCTCTCATCCTTCTTGCTGGCTCACTTTTTTTCGAAGGATATTTTTCACCTTTTGTAGTCAAAAGTTTGACTCAAAACACTTACCCCAGGTCGGCAACACCTGTAGCCCTTAAACACCAAAACCTGGGAATCGAGAAAACGGTTCAGCGCCCGCGGCGTACCCGCGGCCACTTGCTAGTGTTATAATATAGGGGATGTGGATGGCCTCCTCAGACGAGGAACGGATTGTTGAAATCTTCGAACGTTGGCTATTGTAAAGGGATCACATATCATATGTGAGTATCTACAGTATTTACAGGCATATATTTCCACATATTCATCCTAATATAGTTTCATGAAAGATACTCTGTCAGTTTACATACCTCTTTCCGGCTGCTCAGGTCGGGCTCTCTACTGGTCTCGGTCGTTGTCGACGTCAAACCTCTATTTGTGGTCGACCACTTCCGCTTCTTGGGACTTGATGATGCTGTCGACGACGATGAGGACACTGAGGAAGTCCTAGCAGCAGCTTGACCAGATGACTCGTCATCTATATTATCATACCACAACATGAGTACAGGTCTACTTCATGGGCTTTCTTTGTCCGAACCTAGTCAGTTGTGGTATAGCAGTAAAAGGCTTGTCTTACCTTTTGGCTGTGGGGTTATATCCTATGTCAAGAGATAACAATGAGTGGAGTGAAAAGTACCAAAACACAATAAGGAAAAATACCAGTTTGATACTTACATGTCCAATTTTTTTCATTGCGCTTGTTGAGAGCTTGGCTTGCATCCTGGTGAATGACAGCTAGTTTTCCACCGAGGCTTTGAGCATTTCGCTCGCTGTTTCCGCTTCTGATAACACCACTCTCCCATTGTCGCTGTTTTGAAGGTATCGCCATAGGCTAGCAGCATATGCACCAGGAGGCGCCTGCATCTTCGAAATAGTTTACAACCCCTGTAGAAAATCCTGAACTTGGGTGGCGTCAGGAAGTAAGGCAAAGTGCGAGGGATGCCACTCACTGGGATGGTGGTTGTTGCATCTCAGTGTCTGTCCACTCACTCCTCATTCTCTATTAAGGGTAGTAGTGTTATATATATTCTCATAGGGCTCAAAGACCCCAGCTTCTTTCTCACCATCTTCCTCTCCCCAGCTGTTCATATTACAGTGGTTCTTGAAGTATGTATGCACTTCGATGTTGTCCAGTTTCGTGGCCTCATGACCTTCTTGGAACCAGGAAGTGAAAAACGACCCATATTCGGGAGATATTCACTATGTAAAACTTGATCTCAAAGGGTAGTTAGATACTACGCAATAGATCAACGAAAGTAGGTTTGCACATGCTAAGTGCAGGTGGATAAAGGGGATTCCTAGTCTCATAAACCCTAATGGAAGCTTGGGGTACTATACCTTCGACCCAGTGTTCACCCCGAACAAAGGGCCGCATGGTTGAACTGCCACAATCCACCCCAGACATGTGCGAAGGAGCTGTGTCCTGTCATCAACCATGAGATAAACAATAAAAACGATAAAAACAATAAAAACGATGGTGGAGCAATCCCTTAATGCGATAATATCTAACGTAGTAAATCACGAATCTTGGCGATTTCAGAGACAAGGATGGATGTGATGAAGCGGGCGAGGAAGCGATGGAGAGGTGAGTAAGCGATGCGATGGAGAGGTGAGTAAGGAGGGGTGAGTAAGGAAGTGCAGGACAATTGGCGCGAGAGTTACGTCACCGATGCTAGAAAATCGCCTGCCCTCCCGAATGATCCAGGTATTTGCTAATACGCTTCTCAACATCTTTTTGGCACTATTCCCACACTTCATCCCTCACCACCACCCCACGCTTAATCACCTTGCCATCGTTCGATTCCTGTCACTCCCACGCTCACTCTTCCCACATCTCTTTGCTGTGCCACCCTCCCCACTCTTTTTTTTTATTGCCTTTCCCCCTTTTTCTGCTATCTTTTTTTTCTCACCTCCATTGCCTTTGCCATCGCTCCCACGCTCTCTTTTTCAACCCTGCTTTCCGCGAATCAAGAAGATTTAGTCAGGCGAACATGTCCTTGGACCTGACCGCCTGCCACGCTTAGTCATCGGCACCTCTGCTGGATGCTCGCCTATGATCCAAGTTCGGGAGCTCACGCAAAATGTTGCGCATCGGTCTGATGACTACTTCGGCTTCGTCACTTTCACCTGCACTCCAAAGCAGGCTCTCCGCCTGGCAACTACGTAGCACCAAGGCATCCATGTCGGTCATGACGACAAATGGGGTCTCCACAAAGTGCACTTCCGGAGGCTCAAACGCGTCCAGGGAGTGTTCATCGTTGTTAAGACCTCAAAGTCGTTAAAAGACTCTTTGCCAAGTGCGAGACAGAAGGCGGATGCGTTTGCGCACAATCGGAGCTAGGATGCCATCTACCAGACTTTGCCCAAGGATCGCCACGATCTCGTCTCAGTAGAAATACAGCTCCAGACTTACCATTTGACCGCCGCGCTTGACTTCGAAATCGGACGCCTCCGATATCATGCCCTGAGGTCGGGATTCGCAGACGACATTGGAATGCCGGAGAAGCTGGCGTACATTTGGGGTACATGGATCGGTGACGGTGACAGCATCCAGTCCATGATCGCCATCAACAGGAGGGACAAGGAGCAAATCGCGCGGATTGAGGAAGTTTGCCATGATCTAGGACTGGCAGCGAGGCTATACGAGCAGTTGGAGAGGGATAAGGCACAAGGATCTATGAGTGGTAGAGTCAGTATCACCAGTCGAGTCCACAACCGCCGTAACTATTTCATGACGTTTCTCCGTCGCTTGGGCCTCGGCAAGTCTGGATCCAAGTACATACGTTGGTGGCTCCGCAAGGAATCGACATCCGTGCGGGAGTATTTTCTCGCAGGGTTGATTGATTCTGATGGATGTTATGAAGAGCAGCGGCGTTCATTCGCGAGCGACAATAGCGGTGCCACTCCACACGACCGTGACAAGTCCAGCCAGAGCCAGATTTACAAGAAGGTGCCCATTGCGACCATTTATCCCAAGGTCGCCGAGGGAGTATTTGTACTTACACGGTCTCTTGGTATCCCCTACGCGGCTTACTACAAACCAGCAACGTCTCATATACATACCACAACTCAGCAAACAACTACGATCAGACTCCAACCCTGTCGTACATGTCTCGCTCCTGGAACGTTTTGTCCTTGATCCCATCCTTGGTCGCGCCTTTCCTCCACCTCGCCCATTGACATTGATGATGAGCTCGAGTATGGGGTCACGTCTGTCATATACTCTCGTCGTCGTTACGACAGAATCGAGTGCTTGGTCGAGTACAGACAATGGCAGAGATACCAACTCTTGGGAATCGGCAAAGATCCTATGCAGAGTCAAACTTATATCTCTTTCTTCGTGCTTCTATCTCTCCTCTGTCGTTATCGCCACCATCAACTCTGTCCACACGGCCATTCTCATGGCTCCCTTCTCATGGCTCCCTTCTCATGGCTCCCTTCTCATGGCTCCCTTCTCATGGCTCCCTTCTCATGGATCCTTTCTCATGGATCCCTTCTCATAGGATCATCTCTTGGCGCTATCCACCTCCGTCGATTATCTTTTTCCATCTGCTTCTCGTTCCTTCTGACTACTTTCTTATCGTAATCGCTTCTAATTGCACCCATTTACTACTTGCAAGGTACTCCATAGCATTGATATTTAAGCCTACTCTTCCATGCGTGTCAGTTCGTGATAAATATATCGATGATGTGGGCACATCTTGAACGATGAGAGCGAATGCTCTGCTCTGTTATCTCCTTATTCATTTTCACGCTCCCTCTCAGTGTCGTTTACAAGAACTTATTCCCGGATTAGCAGTTTAACGTGTTCTTGATCAATGCTTTATTTAGCGGCGTAGTCGTCAAATAAGAAAAGCTGAAAAAGAGATAAAGTGTAGAGTTTTGGCTTAAGGGGGAGGGGGGACAATGAAGACAAAAGGCCAGGGCCTCATAGATCTCCCCCTGTGAAAAACGGCCTTGAAAGACTCTGACAACGACTTGTGTTTGATATCATCAAACTTGGGTGGCACCGAGCTTTTTGCCGACCTTTTCAGAATACTGAACGTATTTTCCCTGGTACTCGGAATTGCAGAAGGCCGCAGCAATGCCTGGTCTTGGCACTCCAGGTTCGCATAAGTGGTAGACGGTGCCTTTGTAATGATGTTTAGAAGCAACCCTAAAATGACAAGTTACAACGTATTAATATATCTCGTCTGTAACACTACAGCACGACTGGGAGTTTAGCGGACAATACAACGTACCTCTGACATTCGGCAGGCCAAAGCTTGCAAAATTTGTCGACGCTTTGACCCTTTTTAGGTTTGAAATCCACTCGGAAATCGTACGCGGCAACGGTAGTAGCCAACAGAGCAATGGCGAGAATGGAAAGCTTGAGCATGTTAGATATGTGGAAGAGAGACGAAGAACTGGTTGACGAGGAAGGCCGCAACCTTTCCACAATTTATACAAAAAAAAATATATATCTGTTGACCTCACGTATTGTGTTAAACAGCAATGACAGCGTGTTCTATATTTGATATGAACATTTTTTTTCCGGAATGCACGACGGGCTGCTTCCCTTGACGTTCGAAAGACCCGGCATCATGAACCAAACGATCACTGCTCTGCCTTCGACTTCAAACGATTAGTGCTCTGCCTTCAGCCTCAAACTAAAAATAAAGACGGTGAATCGACAATGTGTGGAGTCATTATCATGTCCAAAAAAGGATAAACTCGATCCAGTTGGACGAAATAAGCGTGAGAATTTCAATGTTCGCCGTTTTTTGAAACATTTCTTACTGTGGGTCAAAGAATAGGAGCGGTGTCTTGGTTCCCTGTACACCTGATACCCTGCCAATGGTGTGCACGGACATCAAGTTGGGCGCATCTCTTAAAGAAAGGGAGGGGGGGAGGGAGGACGAAAATAAAGAAAGGAAGAGGCAGAAAAGGGAAAAAAAATGTTGCTGTCGTATAATAGAAACAAAATTATTGACCAACGGAACAATTTTGACGCTTAGATTTTTTTTAATGGGACCACATGTATGCGGCGGACGATCTTCAGGTCCTAGATTTCATAGGACTTTTCGCGCAATTCACTATCTCCTCTTTTTCGCACTCTATTAAAGCTCGTAATCACTTGCATCCGAAGGCACTGCCCTACCTCTTTACTTCATTCTCGCGCTGTGTTTCAACAAGAATCAAGGAGTCACCGCAAAAGGAAACTGTCCGTCACACAGAGTCTATTAATATTGCATGTGGTCCTTACGAAAAAAAAAAAATCAAAGCGTCATGCGACAATTACACAGCCGCCAGGATACTCTTAGAGTAAAGAAAAGATCTGCGTCGCAGTTTTGCACCCTTCAACGAACCCTTTTTTTTAGAGGGAGAGAGAGAGACAGCACTAAAGCTCAGATTATACTGTTCGCGTTCCTTTCGTGCTCTTGCAGAAGTGGTCATTTAATGGGTTCTTGGACATGAGACCCCTTCGATATATTGATGATCAAAGGAGAGACAAAGTATCACCTTGTGGCTGTTTGCTACACTCTTCGGCCCCTAGGATATTCAGAAGGATCGCTTCAAATGCACTAGTCAACCTTGACAAACGGTTGCCTTTCCAATGTCTACCTATTCAGACCCGATCCTCAAGGCGCACCTCACCTCTCTCCACCTACAATGGCACGACAGCACAACAAATGAAGTACTCACCTACCTTGGCTTTCCAATATTTTATTGCAGAGAGCAGGCAACAACATTCTGGAACAAAATACTCGGAAAAATTAAGGCAGGGATCAACATGCATTCATCGCGTTCCCTTTCGGTCCTAGGACACGCTACCGCCGTCAATGCCCTTATCCTCTCCCGCCTTCGGCTCCTCGCGTGGGTGACCACATTCCTGACCTCCTTCTTACCCAAAGTCTGACAGACCATCACACGATTCGTTTGCCCTTCAAACCCACAGCATCATGGAAAGTCATCACCACCCCTCGACACAACGGCGGCCTTGGGGTTATTGATCCGGCCAAGCAGCAACAGACCTTCCTCGTCAAGCATCTTCGTAACGCCACAACTACGTCAGTATCCTGGGGAAAGGACATTGCACTGGACCTCATCTTCTGGAAGACGAAGTTCACTCACCGCTTATCCTTCATGCTGAACCCCCAGGAGAACCGACTCCGCCATCAACTTAAACACCTCCTCCACTTTCTGTAACTAGTCAAAGCGGCCAGCACACTTCCCGTGCTCAAGATACCTACCATGCAAGCAGGACTTCCAGATTCGACCCCTTTTCTGGAGAGCCCGCAGGAATGGTGGTCCCCTTCGAAGGATGACAACAACACCACCCTCACCGCACGAATTGGAGACCTGTTCGCGCTGGAGATAGACGAGAACAAGTCCAAGGTGGCATACAAGCGTCGACTCTCCCGTAAATCAAAGCGTGTAAGAGACGACCTTCCCACATAACTTACAAGAACCAATACCCGACGGATGTCACAGGTATAGCTGGACGCGATACAGACACCACATGTTGGTGTCGTCGGAGATCGCCTGGCTCAGAGGGTGCACTCACTCATCCTTCTCGATACTGGCAAGACAAGGGTGACTTTAGGGACTACCTCCGCCAGACAAATCCGGCAGTACCTCTCCCCGACTCCCGAACCCGAACCTCCCCCGACCCACTCGTCGATGCACCCTGAATCTGGCACTAAGTCCCAGTGGCGCAAGGTTCTGGAAGACCAAGATTCCCCACAAAGCCCGCACTTTCTGGTGGCGATACAAGCGTGACATTATCTCATGTGGCACGCTTCGGGCCTACCGGTGGGAATAGGACGGTCAATGTAGCGCTCAGGGATTCAGTGCAATGATCAGACAGGGCTCGGAAGAAATGTGTATTGCTTTTGTTATGTTTTATGATGAAGGAAAAGAAAGGAATAAGAAGAGTGTGCAGAAGAAAGGCAGGGGACAGATAGAAGTGAGTTTTTGCAAACTGGGGAAGAAGAAAGGGGAACAGGAGGTCTATTTATGCTAAAGGCCGGATGAACAGAAGGAACCAAGGCGACGCTTGGACATTGAACGGAGCTTGGGACGTTACCCGGGGCTTGGAACATGGGGCGGGGTTTGGGATCTTGGATGGGGCTTGGAATGTCCAGTTGGTGGCGGAAGTCACGTGATGAGAAATCCGAAAACCATTGCGAGTTCAATGGGACTAGGACAAAAGCTATTCTCGCGTAACCCGGGCAACCTGGGGGCCTGGCAGCCTTGGGGGAAAACGTGGCATACAGAAAAAGAAAGGCGGACAAGAGCCACCATGTCTTCGGATGCAAGAGAATACACGGATAAGCCCACATGGTCCGATGGGATCTCCATACTTTGCTCTCCTTTAAACCCCATTAAGCCCAAATACAACACCACTCCCTCACAATTGCTGGCGTGCTGCCTCATAGGTATAAACGCAGCAAACATCATCCTCTCCCTTCACAACCACACGAGGACATCTTTGACTGTATTTCCATAGAAATTAAGAAAGCGATAGCGCAAGCCAAAAATAAAATCTTAGAAAAGCAAATAAGATATAAAAAAAAAACTGACCTCACTCAATTGCCACTCCTTTCCTCCAGTATCACCCTCTCCTTTCACTCAACAACTCCAACACCGCTCAAACCAAGCAATAACAATCAAGTGCATCACTCTTGCAGCTGATGTCTTCCTCGTCGTGCTTTCCACTATCTAAGCTGCCCCGATGCCCGGTACCATTAACCTCGACAAAACTCCATGCTCCCATCGATGTCCCTATGAATGTTGAGGTCAAACACAATACTATCCTTCGCCGAGATCTTCACAGACGAGGCAGCGTCTCCCTTGCCAGCGCATAGGATGCCTATATTCCTGTTCATGTTCCTGTCAACGTCGAGGTCAAGAACAACAACGTTGGTGGACAGCTCACCCACACTCTAGAAAAAGGTTTGGGTCTTTGATGAAGTACTTCCGATATTCACCTAACTTAAAGACCATGCTTCTAACAAAGTCTCCATGCAAGATACAAAAAATACCCCCCTCCGCTCATCCTCATCCTCCTCCACCAGTGCCTATCTTTTTCTGTAGACATACAACTATCTATACTGTAATAAAACGGGGTTGAAGCTCTGTAGCGAAGTCAGGTTCATAGGAAGATTGAGCAAGTTCGAGGACCTAGGGCAATGGTGAAAGAGGTCCGATCGATAGGAAGTTGGTGGCAAAGAAAACGTTAGTAGAAGCAAAAAAAAATTGGGCGCAGACGATGCTATCACCGTAGTTAGACTTACTGCAGGTCATAGTTTACACAGAGATTAAGTCGAGTATACGGAAAGTCGACTCGAGTGCGCAGACTTGAAAAGTGTTTATTAGGATTCCATCACACTGCTACATCCCTCTATCACCCTTTTCCCACTCTACGATTGTGAACGTATCCCGTTCCGCCGTCTGTCTTCGAATCCCCGATTTGTAACAACGAGAGTAGGCGGTATTCCCTTAAAAATTAATATTGGTACTGTGAAATAGAAAGAGATGGAGTTGCTTCATCGAGCACTACATGTACACCAAAGAAGGTAGACCTGCCACTAGATCTACTTCTACAATTAAAAACAATCGAACACAATAATAGATCAGAAGGTTGGTATGTGTTATCTACATGGCAGGACTGATGTGGTTGCTTTCCAGGAACTGCAATCCGATGCCTCCGGAATATCCTAGGGGCCGAAGAGTGTAGCAAACAGCCACAAGGTGATACTTTGTCTCTCCTTTGATCATCAATATATCGAAGGGGTCTCATGTCCAAGAACCCATTAAATGACCACTTCTGCAAGAGCACGAAAGGAACGCGAACAGTATAATCTGAGCTTTAGTGCTGTCTCTCTCTCTCCCTCTAAAAAAAAGGGTTCGTTGAAGGGTGCAAAACTGCGACGCAGATCTTTTCTTTACTCTAAGAGTATCCTGGCGGCTGTGTAATTGTCGCATGACGCTTTGATTTTTTTTTTTTCGTAAGGACCACATGCAATATTAATAGACTCTGTGTGACGGACAGTTTCCTTTTGCGGTGACTCCTTGATTCTTGTTGAAACACAGCGCGAGAATGAAGTAAAGAGGTAGGGCAGTGCCTTCGGATGCAAGTGATTACGAGCTTTAATAGAGTGCGAAAAAGAGGAGATAGTGAATTGCGCGAAAAGTCCTATGAAATCTAGGACCTGAAGATCGTCCGCCGCATACATGTGGTCCCATTAAAAAAAATCTAAGCGTCAAAATTGTTCCGTTGGTCAATAATTTTGTTTCTATTATACGACAGCAACATTTTTTTTCCCTTTTCTGCCTCTTCCTTTCTTTATTTTCGTCCTCCCTCCCCCCCTCCCTTTCTTTAAGAGATGCGCCCAACTTGATGTCCGTGCACACCATTGGCAGGGTATCAGGTGTACAGGGAACCAAGACACCGCTCCTATTCTTTGACCCACAGTAAGAAATGTTTCAAAAAACGGCGAACATTGAAATTCTCACGCTTATTTCGTCCAACTGGATCGAGTTTATCCTTTTTTGGACATGATAATGACTCCACACATTGTCGATTCACCGTCTTTATTTTTAGTTTGAGGCTGAAGGCAGAGCACTAATCGTTTGAAGTCGAAGGCAGAGCAGTGATCGTTTGGTTCATGATGCCGGGTCTTTCGAACGTCAAGGGAAGCAGCCCGTCGTGCATTCCGGAAAAAAAATGTTCATATCAAATATAGAACACGCTGTCATTGCTGTTTAACACAATACGTGAGGTCAACAGATATATATTTTTTTTTGTATAAATTGTGGAAAGGTTGCGGCCTTCCTCGTCAACCAGTTCTTCGTCTCTCTTCCACATATCTAACATGCTCAAGCTTTCCATTCTCGCCATTGCTCTGTTGGCTACTACCGTTGCCGCGTACGATTTCCGAGTGGATTTCAAACCTAAAAAGGGTCAAAGCGTCGACAAATTTTGCAAGCTTTGGCCTGCCGAATGTCAGAGGTACGTTGTATTGTCCGCTAAACTCCCAGTCGTGCTGTAGTGTTACAGACGAGATATATTAATACGTTGTAACTTGTCATTTTAGGGTTGCTTCTAAACATCATTACAAAGGCACCGTCTACCACTTATGCGAACCTGGAGTGCCAAGACCAGGCATTGCTGCGGCCTTCTGCAATTCCGAGTACCAGGGAAAATACGTTCAGTATTCTGAAAAGGTCGGCAAAAAGCTCGGTGCCACCCAAGTTTGATGATATCAAACACAAGTCGTTGTCAGAGTCTTTCAAGGCCGTTTTTCACAGGGGGAGATCTATGAGGCCCTGGCCTTTTGTCTTCATTGTCCCCCCTCCCCCTTAAGCCAAAACTCTACACTTTATCTCTTTTTCAGCTTTTCTTATTTGACGACTACGCCGCTAAATAAAGCATTGATCAAGAACACGTTAAACTGCTAATCCGGGAATAAGTTCTTGTAAACGACACTGAGAGGGAGCGTGAAAATGAATAAGGAGATAACAGAGCAGAGCATTCGCTCTCATCGTTCAAGATGTGCCCACATCATCGATATATTTATCACGAACTGACACGCATGGAAGAGTAGGCTTAAATATCAATGCTATGGAGTACCTTGCAAGTAGTAAATGGGTGCAATTAGAAGCGATTACGATAAGAAAGTAGTCAGAAGGAACGAGAAGCAGATGGAAAAAGATAATCGACGGAGGTGGATAGCGCCAAGAGATGATCCTATGAGAAGGGATCCATGAGAAAGGATCCATGAGAAGGGAGCCATGAGAAGGGAGCCATGAGAAGGGAGCCATGAGAAGGGAGCCATGAGAAGGGAGCCATGAGAATGGCCGTGTGGACAGAGTTGATGGTGGCGATAACGACAGAGGAGAGATAGAAGCACGAAGAAAGAGATATAAGTTTGACTCTGCATAGGATCTTTGCCGATTCCCAAGAGTTGGTATCTCTGCCATTGTCTGTACTCGACCAAGCACTCGATTCTGTCGTAACGACGACGAGAGTATATGACAGACGTGACCCCATACTCGAGCTCATCATCAATGTCAATGGGCGAGGTGGAGGAAAGGCGCGACCAAGGATGGGATCAAGGACAAAACGTTCCAGGAGCGAGACATGGAAGACAGGGTGTGTTTGGGACATCGACGACGAAGGACAATAGGTGGCTAAAAGGAGGCTGTACAGATCACGCATCGTTTCAAATGAAGTAGCATAAAAGTGGCGCATCCTTCCCGCCAATGGCAAGCAGAGGGTTGCAAACGGTCGACTGGGATGTCAACCATTACCTTGGGGTACCCACCAATAGCAGCAGTAGCACCCGACGGAGGTATATTATCCCGCCGATGGCAGACAAACTGTCTTGTGGCAGCCAAGCGTTCATAGCGACGTTGCTTTTTGATCCTTCGATGTTGGCTCTTCCTATCATATTAAAGCAGAATTCAGTAAGCGTTGGATTGTTCACCCACAAATGGGGAACATGAGCCGGGTTTAGGCCATCGTGAGACAGGTTAGTTTTACCCTACTGATGAAATGTTGTTGCAATAGTAATTGAGAGGAACTGTTCATTCGGATAATTGGTATATGGGTCTGCCTGGGCAGGCAATGGCCCGAAGCTAGTCTCGCGGCCATCCTCTCCCTACGTGGGTTGGAATCCAGTTCCAATTTTCAATCTTCTCGCAGCGAAGACCTCATGCAGTGAGGGTCTGGGTCAAAATCTGGTTACTGACGGAGCGGGTCATATAACTAGAAAGGAAGTTCCTAAGGGTTCTGGATGGACGTGGTACGAGGGGTTGAGTTGATCCATTAATTGTAACACAAATATCGTTTGCAGTGAGAATGCCATTTGCATGACGCTAGTTTTTTATCTGGTGGGGCCGAATGCTTGAAGGCTCAAGCTTATTATCCGAGGGCCAGGGCCATATATGTATTATCTTCTTTTATTGTAATAAATGCGAAAATCCAGAACAATAAAACGTATGCAAACTGCAAAGAGAAATAAGTTCTGCGATTAACCCCCGATCTGTCCCTCATCTTCTAGAAGGAGCCAGGGGGGCAGAGAAAAAAAAAGAAAAAAGGTGGGGAAAAAAAACCAAAGGGTGGGACATATATGGCCCTGGCCCTCGGATAATAAGCTTGAGCCTTCAAGCATTCGGCCCCACCAGATAAAAAACTAGCGTCATGCAAATGGCATTCTCACTGCAAACGATATTTGTGTTACAATTAATGGATCAACTCAACCCCTCGTACCACGTCCATCCAGAACCCTTAGGAACTTCCTTTCTAGTTATATGACCCGCTCCGTCAGTAACCAGATTTTGACCCAGACCCTCACTGCATGAGGTCTTCGCTGCGAGAAGATTGAAAATTGGAACTGGATTCCAACCCACGTAGGGAGAGGATGGCCGCGAGACTAGCTTCGGGCCATTGCCTGCCCAGGCAGACCCATATACCAATTATCCGAATGAACAGTTCCTCTCAATTACTATTGCAACAACATTTCATCAGTAGGGTAAAACTAACCTGTCTCACGATGGCCTAAACCCGGCTCATGTTCCCCATTTGTGGGTGAACAATCCAACGTTTACTGAACTCTGCTTCAGTATGATAGGTGTCCTCCAAAAAAAAAGATATATGTGATTTACTACTGCCCTGCAGAAATTTGAAAGGAAAATATATTTTTAAGAGTGAACGAAAAAGCTAATCATCCGAGTTATCCGAATCATCCATATCGTCCAAATCGTCCAAATCGTCCAAATCGTCCAAATCGTCCAAATCGTCCTCCGGATCATAACCCGAATCATCGGAACCGCAACGACCGTAAAAGCTCTCATCACTGGCAGTGTGTTGGCCAAGGGCTGCTTCTCTGTTTGACTCCTATTCTCAGACAGCCGCAGGGAAAAAAACAAAGAGGAGGGAAAGGGGTAATGCACTGTTGAGTCGATGAAGAGACAATGGGGGTGTTTGATGTTCAAAGTTGAAAGTAAATGGGAGATGGAGAGGAAATAAAGTGATGATGCAGCCGAGGTAGAGAGTAGGTAAGACCCTCGCCGCACTTCGATGTTGTATCTTCGCCATTTCCACTTGTCCACCAGACGCCACTCGGTGAGTTACACTGAGCCTTGTAAGCGCCCCTTAAGACTTAAACAAATCCTATTGCTGTTGCAGAATCAGGGGACGAGAAAGGAGCAAAATCGACTCCTCTCCTCTGTAGGCGCCAAAAAAAATGGCGGTGCACCAAAGTTTGTGTCTGGGTGGCACCTTCATCATGACTGAACTGATTACAGTTGTAGAACTACCACTCCCTATGCATTTTCCCACATCTCGTTTCCTAGCAAAGATCTCGCATTCAGCAAGAACAAGTTTCAATGAATATAACTATTTCCAGCATTTTTATGAACAAGACGTTGTTTGCTAACAAAAGCAAGGAGGGATCAGTCGTCAAAGGGTATCTTTTCACTCAGGGTGTCATCATCTTTTCTGCCTACACTAGGACTCCCATGTCCTGAATGAGCCGAAAGAGAGCGACTGCGTTGGAGACTCTTATCGGCTTGACGCTGCTGCATTAGTCGGGCCTCTGCCTTTTCGTCGTATTCATGATCGCCAAACAGTCCTGATGATCCGTCTTGCAAAAGTTCACCTGCAATTTGACCCAAAGCATTCGAAGATGGCTGCCGACTGACGCCTCGGCTACCGTGTCCCAAAGTTACATCTCTTGTGGATCCTGCAAGCATCAAAGATCCCAATCCAGAGACTGACGCCGGTGTTGTTGCGTTGGCTGCCGTTTCCACTCGAAGCTCGTCAAGGATCTCCATCATGTCACGCAGCCGACTCTTTTCAATCTGCAGTTGCCGTGCCCCAAAGTCGCGCATCGATCGTTCCAGTTCCTTGGTATGGTGATTTTGAAGATGCGCGAGTTCCTCAAAGAGCGAACCGCGAAGACTGTTCAATAAACTCGACGCTTTTCCAATCTTGTCTTGAATCTCTTCCAGCGGCACTTGACCAACGGCAGCCGAAGCAACAGCTGCAATAGAGGTGAACGGGGTTGTCAGCAATGACGATGAAGACAAGTTTCTTGCGTTTAGATCCTGGAACTGGCGAGATCGAGGTCGAACCGGCGTCAATGTGGTAGTACTACTGCTCTGTGAAGGGGTCGACGGCAGCCTCACCACCAGTGTTGACTCGTTAGCAGGACTAGAGGGTGGGGTGGTCGGCATCCGAACGATTCTTGATATGGGCTGAGGAGAGAGGGCTCGTCTCCCACCTGTGATTGACGGTCGTTTACTGGCGACACCCTCAGAGGCTGACCGCGCGTGTTGAGAATGTCCAATACCGCCAGACGCAATCGTTCCAGAGACGGCCTCAAATGTTGAGGTTGCTGCATTACCAACCGCTCCCAACGCCGCTCCTGCTCCGCCGATCGCTGTCATAGCTCCTTCTCCAATCGACGATAGACCTGACCACCACATGTCGCTTCGTCGCATAGATTGCTCAGACTTGACGGCCGATGCTCGTAGTTGCCGGATAGAGTTGATAATCTCTTGCGGATGCTGCAATGCCCTCAGAGTACCCTCGATGACAAAAGAGAAATCTAAAATCCAAGATCATCGTCATAATTAGTGCCTGTGTAGTGCTGATGATATGTCAGTGCGCACGTTCCCAACAGTACACATACCTTCAAAGAGGTTTCCCAGCGACTCAATGTCAGAGGTGTACATTGTAGTTTGAGTCGCTGCAATCGACTTTAACGCCAGCACGTATTCATCCTTGTTGTCAAAGTTGATCTGATCAGCTCGGTCCAGCATAGTCGATAGTATATCCAGTTCCTGAGGCACATCTATCAGATTCGAATAGAAAAAACACGTATTTTAGTCCCGATAACAGCCTGAACTCGTGCAGGCACAGTTGGACCATTAAAGACAACTACAAGATATACCTTGAGCGCTGCGATTCAGCTTTCGAGAACAGACCCAGACGTCGTGAACTGCCTTGTCAAGTTTGACAATCTCCTCGCTCAAAAACTTGAAGTATGTCTCTTCATGCTCTAGATTCTCAACAACGGACGGGTAGTTGTCAAAGATGCTGTCGAAAGAGTTTTCCTGCTTGCACTGCGATCTCTCTGCAATCATCTCTCGCTATCATCAAAAACAAGAGGCGCAATGTCAGTAGTCATTCAAGAAGAAACACAGAGGTAGAGTCGAGTTGCCATGGCACGATGTTGACTTGTACCTGCAGTTCTGGCATGAGCATAAATTCCCAGACCAACTCATGGTTCGCAAGAACAGGGTGATCCGACAAGTAGTTCAAAAACATGTCCAGCCTGCGAGCAGAGATAGCCAGGACTGTCTTGGATGGACGGCTGGGTGACAACAGAAACGGCGAAAAGAACCCTTCTAGAGACGGAATGCAGGCGTCAGGGCACTCGACCAGCAAGTTCTCCCGTAGAAAGCGAAAATCATCTAGAGACCTGGGCATGGTGACAATCGTCGACCTGTCTGCTGTCTGTTGATGGATAAAGAAGACGTGTGAAAACCGATGCGAGTAGTCACCATGCAATCAAAAAAGAACGGCAAAACATACAACACCACTGTAACTTACAGAGCCGCTTTTGACAATGTATCGGATCTTGCCGTCCTGTTCCACAGCTCCACGGACGACACGGATGAGTCGCTTCGCCACTGACTTCGAGTCAGCCTTCTCGTTACTTGACGTGGCCTTCTCCTGGGTCGAGTTGGTCGGCGCCTTGACGACGTCTACTCCGTGTCCTTGCCTGCTCTCCCAGAATAACAAGGCATTATCCAGCATGTCCAGGATAGCATTGTCGGTCGTCATATCGGCAGGTGATTCGTTCGACCATTCTCGGAGCTCCGGGTTCGCGCCACTCTGCAGTAAAAACTCGACCACAGAGGCCGAATTCGACTGACATGCCAACTGGAGCGGCGTGCTTCCGTCAATGACCGACTGGAGATCGATCGGCGTGTGCGCCTGCAGCATTTGAACCATATCGAGGTTTCCACGAAGGCAAGCCATATGGAGTGGCGAATATCCTCGAGAATCCACCATCAAGACATTGACCCGTCCCGTCTCAAGCAAGCATTTGACCACCGCGGCATTGTCGTGCAGCGCCCATTTCAGTAGAGGTGTCCAGCCAGCATAGTTGTCGACCTCAGGGTTCGCTCCGCACTGGACCAAATGGTTGATGAGCGTTGTGTCGGTAATAAAATGTATCGCCGTATCGCCGCGGTTGTTCTGCCGATCCAGTTCCTCTGACTTCATATTGGACGAGAGAAGGAGCACAGAGCTGCGATAATGATCACTCCTCTCACTCAGTTTTGAAGCAATGATGAGAGGTGTGTCGCCGTCGTTGTTGGGTAGGCCGAGGTTTGGACCGACTGACAAGAGCTCCTTCAAGAGTGCCAAGTTATCCTTCGCGGCAGCCATATGCATAGTGGTATTCCCGAGGACATCTTGTCGATTGATCGCTTCCTTGTCCTGTAGGGCCAGAGTTTCCAAGATAACACGAGTCAACTCGACATTCTCTAGTTCGACGGCCATCATAAGCGGTGTCTTGCTTTCGTAGTTGGCTACAACAATCGAGCTCCCTTGTTCCTGCAGCAGATACCGAAGCATATCCACTTGCTGCGACTTGCAGGCCAAAAGAAGTCCATTGTTGCCTTCAGCATCTCGACTCTGCATTGGCGATGCCGCAAGGGAGATGTGAAGGGTGGCATCTATGGACATGTCGCTCCCATTCTCCAGACTGACTGTCGACACTCGTCTGCTGGGTGTCGGTCGTTCTGGCTGGATGTTGGATGTGTCTGGTGTTTGGCTGTAGATGGTCCTGATGCCCTCAATATCGCCTCGGCAAATCGTTTCCCAGTATTCCTGATTCCTGGCAGACAGTGGCGAGAGCTGCTTGACGTGCGTGAGAATGTATCGTGAGACGGCCTCCAAAGTCGAAAGAGAGTATCCGTATTCGCCTCGACTGGCGTCTCCGAAGAGGACAAAATTCTTCATATAGTAGAGGTTGGACGGAAGGTTGCTGATTCCTGACCGAAGAACAGTGAGGAGCAGTATGGGGATGAGGTCATCTGCTCCACCGGACAAAGTACTGGTGACACGGATGGTTTGGACTAGACAAGCCAGCTTCTCCTCGGGAGTGCGCAAAACCCCAATGGACTGGAACTCGTTGAGCGCAGACACGACGCTCTGAAAGTGCTGGGGCGTATCTGGCAAACCCACCTGTCCAAGATCTAGATTCTGAGAAAAGGGTATTAGTCTGATTAGATAATGTCCACAACCAAGGTGCCCTTGCATTGAAATGGTAAAGTCGACAGGGAAGAGGCACGCACCCGCAGTTCCCGTATTGCCTCTGCCAGCTCCCAGTCTTGCTGCTTCAGGTGTGAGGTGATCTTGAAAAAGACAATGTCGTATGTTGAGTTCATAATGTAGTTCTCCAGGAGCTTGTCGAGAATATCGACAGTTACTCCGTATTCGTCCAGCAATGCCGAGAGGACTTTTGGGTCCACTTGGTTCAGCAACTAAGTAACGAAAGCGCAGACGGTGGCTAATTAGCAATTGATATCGTCAATTGAAGAGCATGCACATCTCATGAAATGGACAAAGGTAACGGCACGTACGTCGACACTGTCGGCAAGTAAGCGATCGACTGCCGAATGAATCTCTTCCAGACTGCCCTGTGTCATGATCGCGTCGTTAAAGTCCATAATGAGCTTCTCCAGGTTCTGAAAGACTCCTGGGAACCGCTGCAGTATTAGTTGCAGCGTGAGCAATGGCCAAGCCTTGCTTTTCCGCCGTGTCTCCCGATATGGTGCTGTGGTATAAAAGTGTCCTGACCGTTGTCTGTTCCTACGACTGGCTCTGGTGCTTTCCTGCCTGTCAGCCACTTGTAGTTGATTGATAGGTGGGGAGTTGATGGGCCGTTGGATGTCGTTCTTATTGAACCCTGGTGACCCTGGGGCAGAACTTGAGCCTTGCCCTTCCTGCGAGAGTCCGACCAGGGGTCGATCGATGAATTGAACAATCCAGCCTCGTCCCTCGTTGTCGTAAAATATCTTTTCCGAGACGAGTCGCGCCTGTCGAAGGAGTTTGAATCCCTTTGCCGTTGTCACTAAGGAATACGGGGTTGTCAAACAGGTTAACAATCAGGTCGCCGGTTGTCACAAAAGTGCTTATCCAGTTCGTACCGATTCATACCTGTAGTGTCCGTTAGGATCAAGGATCGCCCATTCAGAGTCGTCACTGACAGTCCCTTTGACACCGGATGGTCTCTCTCTGCAACGCGGACAAGATGGCTCACTATGCACAAACAAGCACAGAACAAGAAAATGAGTTTTCAGGCGTGAGGTCTGACTCCGAGCTCTGTCCTTCCCTCCATGACTTGCTCCACCTCGGTTCTAACGGGTTATCGCTCTCCTGTCTTTACATTGTATCTGTCCATCTTCCTTCTGCCTTTACTCTCCTCTCTTCATCAATGTCCTTCCTCCTCTGCCTTGGCACCCTTTTTTACTTTTCATTTTTGTTTACAAAAGAGAACTGAATGACCGATGCCGAGAACATCGTCGAGAGCAATAAATAAGTGTGTCGCTGCGTACTTATGAACTCTTCGTCGATTCCTCCCCACTCCCATTCCAGACCAGAGATGGTGTTGAGACCGATGAGGGACTGCTGGGTCGGACAGAGGATGACAAGTTGGTGGCGACTGCGTTCCCTGAGCAAGGTAGCGAGGGCAGCCTCGAAGGCTTTCCTGAGGAACTGGAAGGTCTTGAGTTGCTCTTGGTTAACGAGACTGACGGTAGCAAGCGAAGTCGAGTCATGGAAGAAGAGCAGGGAGAGAAAGTGGTTGGAGGTGGTGGTCGGTGCAGGCTTGGGACGGGGCGAAGGGGTCTGGGCCTGCTGTTGCTGGAAGATGGAGATAGCGAGATCCATGGTCCCCTTTGCTTGGTGTTGCTTGTTTGTTGTTGTTGTTGTTGGCGATGATGAGTGTGTGTCGTCTGATGGGTGCGAGTTGTGAATGTGTGTATTATGATCAAGAAGGAAGGGAGAAAGAAGTTGAGAGAGAGAAGAAGGATGCAGCTGTGGTGTTGAATCCACAGGGAGAGAGGGCCATGGTGGTGGTGGGTGTTTGGTTAGAATAGGGGGGAGGAGAGAGAGAGAGAGAGAGAGAGAGAGAGAGAGAGAGAGAGAGAGAGAGAGAGAGAGAGAGAGAGAGAGAGAGAGAGAGAGAGAGAGAGAGAGAGAGAGAGAGAGAGAGAGAGAGAGAGAGAGAGAGAGAGAGAGAGAGAGAGAGAGAGAGAGAGAGAGACAGGGTCAGTTGATAGGAGAGGAGACGAGAGTTTAAAAAAAAAAAAAAAAAAAAAAAAAGTGCGCGTGAACACACATGCCAGCAGGAGAGTCAAAGAGCATGAAGGGATGTTAGAAACAAAAAACCCAAGGACTTGTGCACATCTTTTGTTCCGATACTCTACTTCCTCTCTTGTTTAATCTTTCTACCCCCTACTACCTTCACCATGCTTTGTTGAGTGCAATTGCCCTTCATCAGGGTGTCCATTCGGGTTGCAAAATGGAGTGAGAGGGAGTTCTTGTTACCCGACATCAGGTTTTGCACAGGCAAAGCTACCAGTGACGGACTGATGGACTGATATTTCGACCTTTTGTTTGACCATCAATCTTCTTATGGGTCAACTACCTCTTCTCGTCCCATCACTTTTCATCCCAGTCCATGGTTGTATTTTGGATTTGAATGATGTTGATACGCTATCGAAAAAAAAAAAAAAAAAAAGGTGAATAAGCGCTAATCATCATGAACTGAATTCTCTCCTTTCTTTTGAGTTGTGGAGGTTCTTTTTTCTCCTTCGTCGTATCATTTTTTCTGCACGAGACGTCTAATGTGGATTACAAGACCCATAGCAGGATTGAGCCATCGGTGAGGAAGGGCAGACACATGTCTCTTTATCAATTCTAAGGAAATCTAGAGTAACACGCGATCAATGCCTGTGATGCATCAGATATCCTTAATAAAATCACGTCTGGGACCTGGATCTTCCACTCAGAAGGGAATGCAATACGAGCAAACATGGAGCGTCACCGAATATTGTGATGCGACGGAAGAACGCGACGCGACAATGATGAAGAAGGTCGAGTCGCATGACTCAAACTGATCGCACTCATTATACAATGATCGGCAGGGAAAATAAACGGTACCAAGAAACCGGGCTTGGGTCTGCCCCCATACTCTTACTTCCTTGTCTTTTCGCGCTTCCTTCCTTATTCATAGCCCGAAACAAGGAGGGATGGTGCAGACAGCACCCGATCGCAGCAGCTCTCTCTGCTTGTCGTACAGCAGTGTTTCATTAGAAGAAAAGGAAGGGGTAAGAAAAAAAGATGAACTAGCAAGATCAAGATGGGTTTGCTCTGCTAATTGGGAGTACATATGCGCTCTCCAACGGCTTCTTGTCTTGACTTTGTAAGGCTTCAGGTGTCAATGCGAGCTATTGATGAGCAAAGTTTGAAGGCGGAGAAATAACTCATCTCCTTGTCCTGTGTTTCATAGCCAGCTCCGTGTCCACCATTCGCTTCTTTTGATTTCTTCCCGCGGCAAGGATTCCAGCCCCCACATTCATTACAATACAAACAGACATACACTCTGCCGAGGACGGGGTAAAAGGAGACATCATTGTACCCCTCTCCCCTAGATTCCCAGCTGGGGGATGTAAACACAACACAACCTGCGGTACAATGGTCGGTTCCAGGTGCCCGCAGCGTTAACCCCTCTATTTTTAGTGACTGAAGTATGCGATATCGAGAACGCCAAAGTCCAATGGCGGACCGTGCATCATCAATACGCCATGCAACTTTGTTGTTTACCTCGCGCAGAAGACAAAAACAAAGAAAAGGTGGCACAGTGCAGGGATGTCTTTACATCAGCATACAAGGGCACCTACTGCAGTTAGTCTGGAGATGGGGAAAAACACAAACAATGGGTAAAAAAAATAGGGACGAATGGCTAACCTGGCGAAGAGAGGGTTGCAAGGCCCCTTACTCTGGGCAGTGGGGATGTTCATTTGTCCAAACATACAAACAAAGCGCTACGACCCCCCTCAAACCCTCACTCGCGTAATGCATATTATTGTACCACAAAAGAGGGTCAAGGTTGCATAATGCCGTGTAACTCTAACAAGGCCGACACAAAGCCATCTCTGTTCATACTCGCATAAACAGCAATGAAATGACCGAATGGGACAGTAAAGAGTTGTCAAAGGGAGGATTGATAGGACACAACACAAATCAAAACAAAACAAGGTCCAGGGCCTTCTGTTTTGACATCACTTACTGCGCGCTGCAGTAAACTATTACCAACGGTCCCAGACACAGAAACTAAACTACCCTTTTAAGTTTATTGTTCCATCTGGGGTGAGGTATCCTTTTTATTTTGTTCGCTTTGGTCGATAGATAAGAGAGGGCTAAAGCACTTGCATGATATGGAGATATGGACCTTGGACTCCATGTTTCGTCTTGTTGAGTATCAAAGCAATGCCGGAAACCTTGCGACAGAGCGCAAAGTAATGGAAAGGGTGAGAATAACATTTGGACTTTGTGTATTGTGAGTTGCGGGCACTCCTTGGTCGCTTAGTGTATCCTGTTGCACGGCATGCGCATTCATGCAGCGGGACAAACAAAGTTAATGCTATCGCATAATTTGGTCGCGACAAATGTTGGTCCTTCTACACCTTTACGTGTATTAAGCCGCATAGCATTTGTTCCTCTACATGGAGAAGGAACATCAGTCGACAGCATCATGATTGGATAACAAGGCTAAGTTCAGGGGATCTGGACAGTACACCAATGTGGACGCGCCGAAGTCTCTTCTCCACCAACCAACCGCGGATGGGCGATGATATCGGGGGGTAGTGTTGGAAGAGACAAGGTCACATTCGCGTTCGGATTCAAATGCACAAGGAGCCAGACAAGTGTCGGTTTCCCTCCTTTTTTTTCACTTGGTGTAACGGACTATTTTTCCATAGTGCTTTTTTTTTTTTTTTTTTTTTTTTTTTTTCCGCGCGCGCTCGGTGGAGAGGATCAGAGGAAACACTTTTGGACAGAGGAGAAATGGGTAACCTTTTTGTTGATCCGTGTAGAGGGACAGTCGATAGGCATGCCAGTTGAAAATAGAACCCTCGAGAACGATGAAACGCTTCAGGGAGAGATTTCCGTTGGAGCAAGTTAGTGAGAGAGAGAGAGAGAGTAAAAGAGCGACAGCGCGAATGGCTCTCACTCCAACGCCGTCTTTCTTTGTACAACGTACTCTCTGTAGGTACAGCAAAAATGCAGGTAATCAGAAACACAACAAGGGCAGAGAAAAGAGGAGAGTAGACACTCGGTTACCCCATCCATTTTTTTTTTGTTTGTTCCTAAAGATCCGAATGGCCCGAGGGCGAGAAGAGTAAAGTAGCGATGGAGCTGTTGCTTCTTTTGTCATGTTATTGCTGCGACCCTTGTGCGTGCATCTCCAACGGTTTGCTCACATACAGAAGAAAAGATGAAGCAGAGAATAATGCATTGATAATGGCTCTTAGTGTGTTTGCTAATTAGAATGCATTAAATAAATGCCTTGTCTCTTGCATAGCATATCCTGCAGATGTTCAAACGAACGACATGTAAAAAAAAAAAGGCGGTAGTAACAATGCAAAGAGTCGTGGCCCATGCTTTCTTTATTTGTTTGTTTTATTCGACAGGCAGTACCTGAGAGACTGACACCGACACTGAGTGACACCACCATCACTGACTAAAACTGACACACATGAAACAATTCGCCGTACTGGCACGATCACTGATCACTAAAGTGATGATGTTGGGTCGACAAAAAAAGGGCGAGACCTGATTGCAGTCAACGCGGGTCGCTATCGCACAACAAAGGTACCCTTGCTACTTTTCTCCCCTGTCTCACAAGGGCCAACGATCGTCTAATGTCACACAGTCCTTGCTCGTCAGTTGAACGCGTTGTGGGTGAGAATAGGAATGACAAGAAAAGATGAGAGGATGGGGACGTGTTGAATGTGCTGGTGCGTCCGTCCATATACGGTGTTGTCTGCCCTCCTCTCCAATCGTCACTCTCAGCGCCATGGTCTTATCTAGATGAGAATGCAAACGATCCTTACCTGGGTCACCGCCCCCTCCTTTTTTTTGTCCCTCATTCCCCCTCACAAAGGTAGCCAGGTCGGATCTCGACTGGTGCCCATTCTCTCCCTCTCTCGTACTTGGGCGGGAAAAAAAAAGGATTAGCGAGGGTCCTGCGTGCGTCTGCATGATGTGCGTAATTTTGTCCTACCATCCGCATCTCTGTTTACGTATCAAAAAGAGCGAGAGAGCGAGAGTGGGAGGGAGGGAGGGAGGGAGGGAGGGAAATACTCCGTGCAAATGGACCCCCTTCTCAGTATCTCCCTTTTTTCCCTCTTTCTCACACACACACACACACACCATCCCTCCCTCTCAGCTACTACACCGACAGTCCAATTTTTTTTTGCGTTCAAACTGTTTGTCCCCTTGCGTTTCAATTGAAACGAATTTCTCAGCAAATGTCTCCCCTTTTTTTATCTTTCCACTCACAGCCTTCACGCTCTCCTTGCCCTCTCATTCGTGTGTGTGTCTTTATCATCCTTTCATCTGTGCCATTAGCCTATTCGATGCTTGAAAACGTATTCGATTAAAAACATAAAACAAAAAGAGAAAGGAGAAAGGGAGGGAAAGGTGCAAAAGAGAGTGTGGGCGAAATTCTGCATGCGGGTCCCTCCTGGGTACTGTTAACGATGTGTATGTGTGTGTGTGTGTGCATGCTGTGGATGCATCATGTCTGCCTAAAAATGAACAGATGGACCAATAGACGTCGTCTTTTTTCTTTTTCTGTTGTGCGAATACAAGGCGTTCGCCCCTTCCTTCTTCATCGTTTCCATGCTCGCTTGCTCTCTCATCTGCGTTTCTATCGTTTCTTGGCGCTTTTTTGAGCATGTAACCCCCACACATATACTTTACACTGCCGAAGAAAAAAGAATGAGAACAAAAGGAGCAGCGAAGGATAGTTCTTTGTGTGTACATCTCTCGTTCTCCCTCTCTGCCTTTCCACCGATATACAGAAGAAAGGATCAGATCTCGAGCAGCAGCCCTCATCTCCTTTTCACTCTCTCGCATACCTCGCTCTTAATTGTATTCGATCTATTCAACTGACGCTCTGTTTAGTATGGGCATCTGTTAATAGGGTATGTATGGATCGAAGATAGACGATGCAAGAGTGCGAGATCAAGAAAAAGGGTATCCGATGCAATGCGATGCAATGCTTCTCAGACGTTAGACACACCCCGCCCTGCTCTATTTTTTCCTTCTTGTTTGATAGGTCTTCTTGGTTTGTAGCTTACTGTTAGTTTTGTGTGTTCACCCCTTGTGTTTGTTGTTTGTTTGTTTGTTTGTTTCTTCGTGTGTACTCTTCTAACCTGGACTGAAAAGAAGACGAATTGGCTACTTCGACCGTTTGTCCTGTATTCTATTCTATTCTATCCCTTCAATTGTCGTTGTGTGTTCCTCTATCAGCCCTTCCCCCTGTTTGTTTTGTTTGTTTAATTTTCTTGTCGTTCAATGGGGCACATTTGAATGGTGTCCCCCTTTTCTCTTCTTTTGGCGCTCTCTCTGGAGTATTCATTCCTATCCTCGGGCCCTTCTTTTTCGTACTTCTTCCACATGCACACACAGGCACACAGGCTGCTGCACTGTCAGCCCCTTGAAGCCGACGTCCCTTGGCCCCAGCTCACAAACACCAACAACAACACGCATATGCTGCCCTTTGTCAAGAAAAACACATAAATACCCGACCGTTGCTCCGCATTTTTTTTTCTTTTCTCTCCATATCTCTCCAATCTTCTTGACTTCTTTTAGCTGCTCGCTCTTCTCACTCTATCTCCCTCCCTTTACCTCCAACCTTCCTCTCTTCCTCCTCCTCCTCCTCCCTCATTGACTGTACTCGCTTTGTCTCCTCCGACATTCGTTCGCATTCGATTCCTCACAATTCGCTCGTAGTTCCTCCCTACCAGCATTCTTCCCAACCCATTCCTCTCAGAAAACATATGTGTTGACAACTCAATCCCCCGCTATTGTCAAGAGATATCACCCCCACGCCCACACGGCAAGCACCCACGCACGCACACAAGCCAACATCTTAGTTTACACAACTGCACCCTCTTTCTACATCCTCATCTTTACCAAATACCCTATTTTCACTTATCTTACTATTCATTACATCTGTAACGTCAATCACATCCCTATTATTTACTCCATAACAACAACAACAACAACACCCTCAACCCCATTCCACCCTCTTACCTTTCCTTCCATCATAACCAACATGCTCGTTAACAATGCTCAAGGAGATCACCAATTCGGCCGCCCCAGCCACAAGATGCGTCAAGGGTATGTACTATACTCTACTTGAGCCCACCCCTTCTCACTTGATGCACTTACTCGGTGTGCTCAGCCCAACACTGCTTTGCCTAGTCAATGCTCGACCAATGCTTGTGTTCGTTTTCTCTCTTGCTATTTTGTTGCACCCCCTTGACCAGTTCGCGCCTAAATCCATTTCAATCGTCGATGCATTCAAGATACTAACCTCCTTTTTTTTATTCCCCTTCTTCACTCTTCTCTATTCTCTTGATCATTATTTCTTGTCACTATCCTCTCCTTCTCAACTCCTTTCCTTTCAACAATATCTATATATACTCATACCTCGGACTTTTTCTCTCTCTTCCTTCTCTCTCCTCTCCTCCCTCTCCCTCTCTCTTGGATGCCACGAATTAACCTTCCATCCTTCAACACTAAATGACCCGAATGCGCTCGCAATCTAATGACTGTACAAACCTTCAGATCGGCTGCCTACCACCGCCGGTCCCACAGCTGCCTAGCTGTCGCTTCCCATCATGAACATTACGAGAGCCCTTCTTACCAGGCTGCCCCCGGTAGCGGTCGCTATTATGACATTGTCGAGGTCTCTGAGGAAGGTGGTGCGACCACAGCGATTGCGACCGGTGCTGGATCTTCTTCGCCCACACACATGCGCCATATCTCCCGCAAAAGCGATGGTACCATCTCCATGACTCAGCTCCAACGGTCCCTCTCTAACGCTGCTGCTGTTGCTGGAGGCGACAATGCCGATGGTGTTGTCAGCGTTTCTGCTGGAGCCCTCGGAGGCAAGCTCAAGGTAAATACAACCACCACTGTTAATCCCCTCTTTTGTTCTCTCCTCAATGCCCAAATGGGCTTGGTCCATGTTGCCAAGACAAGACCACATCGGTCATGCTCGGCACACTCTTCTCTTCCCTCCATCTTCACCCCTCTCACAGACGTCGATGATCGCCAATTCGCTATCCCTTCTCGATACACATCGACGATATGCACGGGCAGGACAGACCAGGACAAACAGGGCAAGGCCAGGGCAGGGCAAGGCTATCAACAAAAATAACGTGCGCGGACACACGATTCTGCTCACCAACACCTACACCTTGCACGCAATACGCACATACCCTTCGATTTTTTTTTTGCATGATGCATGCTCCTTACCCATCATTACGCACTGCTGCATGCAATGCTTGGATGGAAGCATAAAAAAAAAGTGCGCTTTGGACTAAAACCACATACCTTTTTTGTCTTTTTCTTCCTCTCCTCTTTTTCTCTTCTTTACCTCTTTTCACACTCTTGCTTCTTCTCCTCTCCCCTTCCTTCCCTCCTTCTCTTAACCCCCTTCACAGTTGAACCCAACCCTCCCAACCTCTCGCAGATCCCTCCTCTCCGACATGCTCAACAGCCAGTCCCAAAACGACGCCCCCGCAAGCCGTCTCGAACAAAACGCCACCCGCCGAAGAATGCTCAAATCCATGCGCCGCTACTCTGTCGACGCCTCCGAGATGGATTTCGGTGCCCTCGGACTCTACCCCTCGACCTTGAAGGGTATCCCTTCCGAGGGAGAGGAAGGTGGGAACAAGGGTCTCTGTTCCAAGCCTAATGTCAGATACCTCCGCAACCCTAGTCATGCGACCGTCAAGACCAAGCTTATCCAGGGCGGTGCCCGTCGTGGCGATGATAGTGATTCCCCTGACTACTTTGGTGCCGAGGATCGCGTCTGGTAAACCTGGTTTTCCCCTTCCAGTTACCTGGCGCCACTTACTGGTTCTTGTCGTCTTGACTCTTCCTTTTTTTATATGTCATTTTTATTTTTCACATTGCTACATTACTACAAACACTCCGCATTCATCATCCCCCCCAATTGTACTCTACCCTTTGCTTTCCCGTCCGCCATCCATCCCCATCATCCGCACTCGGCATTTTTTTAGTTCAGCATGAATCATTGTAATTTGTACTTTATCGTTCTCTTCTCTACTTCTATCGAACGGACAAAAACGAACCCCAATTGACTTGGATCTTCGCTCCTCCTGTCCGTCGATCTTTCTATCATATCTCATATCTACCTCCTCCATATCTTTTTTGCTTTATTCTCCATCTTCTCCCTCCACTTTCCTCCATTGAGAATAGCATTACCAAGTATCTTATCCAACAGAATAAAAACACTTCTTTTATTCTCATCATCACAATGAACCACTCTTACTAAAAGCCGACGGAGAGACAGACGTGACTGAGCACACTCCCCCCCAAAAAAAGAAGTACACCTTCATGCACGGACACCAAAAAAAACACTAAAGCACACTTCTTTACCCCCAACTGCATGAGCGCCCCGATCATAGCGTCAGAGAGACGATTCGGAGAGAGAGGGACCGAAGGAATCAATTGAACACAGAAACGCGCGCCTCGCTACATTTTCTCATAGAGATCTAGACTTTACTCCCCCTTCCCCAAAACAACCCTTTTCCCTCCTAAATCCTCCATTTCCTTCTTTCCTTCGCATTCCCTGTCCCCACTGCTTCATCCAACAAATAACAACTAATGCAATCCTCTCATTTTGAGCGTTAACTGTCGCTTTGTCGCAGTTTATACAGACGCGTGATTCACTCTGCATATTGTCTTTAAGCATAATCCAAGGAGAGAGAGGGGAGCGAGAAGAGGGGGGGGGGGGGGGGGGGGGGGGGTGACTAGGGACAAGGGAGGTGTATCCAAAAATTCCTTGGGTTTTTTTAACGACAGGGATATACGAGAATAGAACAGGATCAAGAATGTGTGTTTTTTTTTGCTTTTTGCAGGATTTTTTTTCGTTCCCTCCAAAAGACAACACTTGCAGGGTGTTTATTTTTTTAGCGATTCGGGTCAATGGTATTGTTTCTTTATTCATTGCAAGTATGCTTGGATGAAAAAGAAAGGATATATTGAAGGGGAGGTAAAAAGAGGGGAAAAGAAGAGAGAAAAAAAAGGGAGGGAGAGAAGAGAGAAAAAAAGAGGGAGGGGAACACTACAAACTGTGAGAGCTGTAGGGGGGGGGGGGGGACCTAGAGGAGATCGGCGACGTTCATGGGCATTTCAAGGATCTGAGTCGAGTAGAACTGCTCAATCTCCCTCATCATAGGTGTATCATCATTCGTGACAAAGTTGATCGACACTCCCTTGCGTCCAAAACGACCACCACGACCGATGCGATGGATATAGTTCTCCTTGTCGTTGGGGAGGTCATAGTTGATGACCAATGAGACATGCTGGACATCGATTCCTCGAGCCAAGAGATCGGTCGCAATCAAGACGCGAGAAGAACCAGATCGGAACTCTTGCATGATGACCTCACGCTTCCCCTGTTCCATCTCTCCGTGCATCGACGAAACGGTGAAATCTCTTTCCTGAAGTTTCTCCGTCAGCCAGTCGACCTTGCGACGGTTGTTACAAAAGATGACCGCCTGGGTGACAGTCAAGGTCTCGTACAGGTCGCACAACGTATCAAGTTTCCAGTCCTCCCGCTGAACGTTCACATAGAACTGCTTGATGCCCTCCAGAGTGACTTCGTCCTTCTTGACCAGAATCCGGACCGGATCCTTCATAAACTGGCTCGTGACTTCCATCACATCGTCGGGCATGGTTGCGGAGAGAAGAGCAACCTGGGTTTTGGGGGGGAGGAACTGAAAGATCTCTCGGATCTCGTTCTGGAACCCCTTGGAGAGCATCTCGTCCGCCTCGTCGAGCACAAAGAGGCGCAAGGAATCCGTCTTGAGCGCCCCGGCCTTGAGGAGGTGAAGGACTCGACCGGGAGTTCCAACAACAACATGAGTCCCCTTCGAGACACGGTTCATATCCTCTCGGGCGTTGGTCCCGCCAATGCAGACATGGCAATCGACCTTCAAAAAGTCGCCCAGGGCCAAGACGACCTTCTGGGTCTGTTGGGCCAGTTCGCGAGTAGGGGCGAGGATGAGAGCCTGGCATTGAGGGTTGGAGATGTCGATCATTTGGAGGATCGAAATCGAGAAGGTAGCGGTCTTGCCGGTTCCCGATTGTGCTTGAGCAATCATGTCGTGTCCCTTCAACACAGGGAGGATTGCTCGCTGCTGGATCGCCGATGGGCGTTCATATCTATTATTTTTGGGTTGTGTGTGTGTGTTAATGGGATAAGCAGAGCAAAAGATAGGGGAACGTGCATTGTACCGTTGTCAACAAAGCACGCAAAAAAAACGAGATGTGGGGGAAACGAGGGAAACGAGGGAACATGATGGACAAAGCAAGAGGGAGGGGAAAAGATGAGGCAAAGAACAGAGAGGAGGAGAAACGTACCCGTAGGCGTAGATTCCGCGAAGGAGTTCAGGTGACAGGTTCATGTGGTCAAAGTTGTCGATGACCTCGTCCCAGTTGGACTATTAGGACACAGGAAGCAAAGCAAAGCGAGAAATGTTAGAAACGAAGAAATAATTTTGTTGAGCCCCCTTTGCATTTGCACTTGGACCCATGACAGTGGAGCACAGGCAGACAATGGGGCAAGAGAGTAACAAAGCATACCTCGATCTCGGTAGGAGCAGGTAATTCATGGTCGGCAGTAGCCTTAGTGGGGTAGGTTGTGTTCATAATAGTTGGTGAAGAAGCAATACAACTCAGGGACACGGGTCCCTTTTATACCCCTTCCCTTGACTTTACTGCGGCCGGAGTGAAAGAGGGAGACTGCGGCGCAATTTTCTTTTTGATTAACACGGCCAATCCTATTGGTGTTTTAATTTTCTTCTTCTTTGAGTGTCTTGGTACTTCGCCCTGTCTGTCTGCCTGTGCCCTGAACGACCATCATCATCGTCCTTTCCTCTCTTTTACCCAAATCCACACAACAGCACTCCTATTACGTCTCTCTTTTGGGAAGGTCGACTTGCTTACTGCGTCGCATTTATTGCGGGGTTATCCACATAAGGTCGGTTTATAAAAGTCACGTGACACATATGGGTTTATCCCCGTCGGCATAGGCACGGTTTTAAACCGATAGGCAGCCTTGCATAATTTTTTTTTTCTGGCGGAATCATCCACATGGAACGCATGCATGTCACTCCATTCTTCCCTCTTTCTCCACTCCACATCGCCACATTAGCCTCATTCAGACAAGCCCACACCCCAATCTTCCCTCTTTCTCACTTCACATCGCCACATTAGCCTGATTCAAACAAGCCCACACCCCAATACACATTACACACAACCCCCCCCCCCCCCCCAATACCCGACTAATTAATGACACGGGTAAGCTAAAAAGGTCTTTGCACAATTGGGGCGATATGTCCTGTACCTGATTGGCATCCACCATACCACCATACTTACTATTTCGTTCTATTGTTTTATTGTTTCGCGTTAAACAAGTCGTGCAGCTTTTCTGTTAAAGGCAAAGCCATAGCACGAAACAAACGGCAGCAGACGAGCATGCAAGGCAGCCAGCCGGCAAGAGCAAAATCTAAGCTGGAAACCTACCGCGAACGCAATAGGGTTGAACAGCAAAATCACCTCTGTAATAAGCAGAAGGAGCTAGCAAGCTCCCAGCTTGTGGCCGAAGCTCGCAAGTCCTTGCAAGCCCAGTCGACGCGGGACCAGTATGATCGGTACCAGGAGAAGTTCATGGTATGGCAAATTGTAAAATGTACCCCCATTTTTGCACAAGCATAGATAAACTATGGCCCCCGACTCGACGCACTAACTAACTCAATCACTCCATCCATTGGTATAGGAATGGTGCGACGTTTCTGGATATAAGGATGATTACAACGTCACGAAAGGCAAAGTAACCCGTTACTTTGCTTGCCTGACCTGCGAGACGGAAGATCCTCAAAACGGTATGAATATGAAGAATGGAACTAATGTGAGCGGTCATACGATACGACGACGACGACGAAACGCTATGGTGGTGTTTGAAATTATAAGAACTAACGAAAATATAAATGCTATAGGTATTATACGGATCAAACCGTTGCCAAGAGACAGGAAGGGCAACAACAGCAAGGACAAGTCCGGCGAACGGCGGGCAAATATGGATGACCCGTGTTCTGATGATGATGTCGATGGAGGCGATGTGGAGGACAAAAGCGATGACGACTGCGAGGGGGACGCCAGTCGAGACGTTGACATCCACAACAGCAACAACGATAACAGTGAAGAGCGGTGGTACTCGACGGCAACCATTCTCTTGCACCTCGCTGCCATTGGCGACCTCTATAAGCATCAGTGTGAAGACAGGAACAATTTAGCGATGGATTATGGCACAGTTCCGGCCCCGAAGACGTACCTTCAACCTCTGATCGACGTTTACCGCGTGAGGATGTCCGCCAGGAAGAGGTCGACAGATACCGACTTTGGCTCTATCGACTTCACCCAGAACCCAACTTCGATTGTTCGGCAGCTAATGAAGCGATTCTGGATGCGCAATGTGGAGGGCGCAGCCAGCTTGAGAAAGCGCCGCTTGAAAGGGTTACGCGACCGTGCGGATGTAAGTCTTTGCTTTTTTATGATGTTCCGCAGCGAGGTCACACGCCAGATCCGACTCCCGGATCTTTTCGCCCACGACGTCGAGCCCAACCGCAACAAAAATACGAACGATGCCAGCTGCAGAGAAGGCCAATTCGTGCTTGGAGTTGTGCTGATGATGAGGCAAGGCAAGACGAACAAGGACGGCAAGATTCAGTATGGAGTTGCAGTTCGGAACAAAGAAGTAGATGTGTGTCCAGTTGGCGCGCTAGCCTTTTATTTGCTTGAGCTTTGGTCGGTAAGTGGCGTGCATGTGGTAAATGTCGGCGGCCGACGCGTCGTGTCACTCATATTTCAACACTCATTTAATAATGCGTTCTTCCCCCCACCTCTTCCTTTTTTTTGCTGTACTAAGAGCAAAAACAAAAGGGCGCCTGATCTCACCAACCCTAAATGGACCGACTACCATCTGTTAGCTGGAAACAAACCAATGGATGCACCGATGACTTACAACTCCCAGTTCCAGGCGCAGGTGGAGGCTCTTCATGAGAGCGGGATATTGGACAAGGGCACAGTGACTCACCTTGGGCGCAAGCACGGCTCCAGATTCGCGCATATGTGTGGATCTACGGTAGAGGCTATCGCTAAGCACGGGAACTGGGCATCGAACCGTCTCTCAACTCACTATCTCGAGGGTGTAGAGCCTTCAGTGGCCCTTCGATTGGCTGGATTTGACCGCGACCGTCTAGAGCGCTTTTGGTTGGCTCGGAACACTGTGATCCCCAGCATTGAGCTCCAAAGGCAGTTGTTCCCTTTCATCGAGGATGCTTGCTCCGACACGTTCTGGAGGCTCACGATTGACAACATTATGCGTGACTGCGACGTTTTCCACGGACGCGAGGAGTTGCGTGAGAAGCTGCGACGGGGCGAGTGCAAGGAAGTCAAGCAGGTGTATACGGACAAGGATATGCAGACCGTTCTGTCGAATGAGGTCATTTCAAGAAAGCGCCATCTTAGCCTTCTCGCCCACCTGCGAAAGGTTATCCTTCAGGATGCAGCTGTCATCCTGTGCGGGGGTGGTGCTGCCGCCGCGCACCCTGTTTTCGATCACCCTGTCTTCAAAACACCTGCGTTTCAAGATTTCCAGCAAACCCTACTCGAGAGCATGAGAAATCCCTCTCCTCTCACGGATTCCCTCGCATCTGCCACACCCATCATCCAACTGGAGTTTGACAGGGTCGGCGCGAGGCTCGGTGTCCAAGATGCTGCAATCCGGAGCCTGCAGCAAAGCCAGCAAGCCGGACTTCAGAGTTTGCACGCCGGTATGAATGTTCTAGCAGCTACTTTACAAGCTCAGAATGATAGGACAGCATCCGAGCTGAAGGACTTGAAGCGGTGCATTGGCAACAATGACAAACTGGCAGGCAACAAGCGACAATGTTTGAACAAGGATGCCGTTCGATCTCAGTTGATGCAAGCTCTCAAGTCAACGGTGGAAGCCGTGGTGGCGATTAGCGAGGACGATGAGGTGAAGGTCAGTGACGACGTCAACGGCAGTGTAGCAAGCCAGAGTACCACTATGGCTACCGCCATCGCTCTTCTTCAGCTTCCAGAGCCGGACGCTGGCCAGCAAGAATCAAGACCTCTGACTTCTTCCACTGCAGTTCTTTCAAGGGATGCGCACCGCCGCGCAGCTCTGGCCGCTTTCAACCCCAGCGACAATGTCGAGGACAGAATGCGACAAGTAGCCGCCTTAGTCGCCGACGAGAAGAGGGCGAGAGGAGAGACCCAACACCATATGCCCCTAATGCCCGAGTGCAAGCTGATCCCACGACCGAATACGCTCGACCAACTGTGGCAAGAGTGGGTTTACCACGGCGTCGATGGGTCCCCCTCCATCGCAGAGCTTAATAGGTGGTTCGGTTCAGCGTGGCGAGGCAAAGATGCACAGCTCTACAAGTGGAAGAAGGACATTGTACATTCGGTTCTGCGCTCTATCCCAGCTGGCTTGCAGGTTGACAAGTCCGCCGTAAACAATGCACTTGCCTTCGTAAGAGGGCAAATCGATACTGTTGGTTCAATTGATAAATACTACAAGGCTCTTCCCAAAGCACCCTCGAGAAAGTACCCAAAGAGAAGAGAATAAACACCATCCTTGGTCTATCACAGTGTTACATGTCAGCTCGCTCTACATATGGTTAGGAGCAGGGTGAGGGCAATGCTGAGGGAAGGAGGAGAGAAGAGGATAGTAGAGAGGGGAGTAGAGAGAGTGATGATAGAAGGACCTAGGGATAGAGGGAGGGAAGAGCAGAGAGGAATAGAGGGCAGAGAGTGTGATGTAAGCAGGAGGGCAACGCAGTTCTCAATGTGTTCAGGCACAGGCACGAGAGGAGAGGGCACATGAAACAATCTATTCACACATATGTGACTGGTTTATAACTGTCTATCGTGCTCGGAATAAAAAAATCTATAAACCATTATAAGCCGCTAATCTGTGTATAATGCGCCTTTCATAAATTTTTATTGTGCTCTTGACGAGGAGCTGTCGTCACTTCACCAAGTGTCAAAAATTAAAGTGTCACAATGCACCAGTGAAGTGTCACTTTGCACCAGGTGAAGTTTTTTTTTTTAGTGTGTGTTGTTTTCTACTTTTTTTTTATTATCCCTTAATGTCTTCCTCACCATCTCCCTCAACTTCCTCTCGTCGGTCAGCCAGCCCAACGGCGAGAGCGACTACCACCTCGACCTCTTCATCACATGGCTCTTCTTCATCAGTTACAGTTGTGACCGTGACCTCTTCATCTCCATCCGCCGCGACAGCCTCTTCCTCCACAGTGAATGTTGAGTCCATCTCTTCATCTTCCGGATCCAGGTCCACCGTTCGCACCTCAACAACTTCGCAGGATGATACAGCTGATAACGAGGGTCCCTCTTCCTCAGGTACAGATACAGTTGATGATGGGGCTCCCTCCTCTTCAACAGCCCCTGCACCAGCAGCCTCACGACCATTACGAACGGCGCCACTTGTACCCCAACCCGCCTATCGGTTTATATTACACTTTCGAAAAGGTGTGCGAGGCAACTACAAGCGCAAGTCTGTCAATAGCATTCCTTCCACTGCCGAGTGGGCTTTCGAGAGTGCACACTCTTTCGGCGTCCTACTCGGTCTTATCAGAGCATATTCTGTCGTACACGCACCATTCGTCTGGCCTCAAGACGATCTTCCCGATATCATCCCATCACCAAGTAAAGGCGCAAGACTGCAAGCCGCTGTGACCCTAAACGAGGACAACTTTCTGCAGATAATCGACAACTCATGGAGAGCATGGACAAGGTCAGGAAAGCACAGTGGGGCTCTTCAATTGATTATCTACATGACCGAGCCTGTCGCCCTTGGTGCCTCTTCTTCCTCCAGCAACAATATACTCCACCGATCAACTGCCGGAAGAATTGCGGAGGTCAGCCGACGTCTTAACGAACAAGAGGATGCGGATGAGCTCGGAGATATGGAGCGAGCCTACCATGTGCACTATCTGTCCAAACGAGCGATGCCTCCGCCGGGAAATAGTTTCGTCCTTCCAAACAACAACACGTCTCGACAAGCCCATGACTTGGATAATGCTGCGCGTCGGGTGCGTGAGAAGAGAAGAGCGGAGGAAGTCGAGGGTTTGGAGGACGACGAGTTCGTCCCAGTTCGAGTCAAGGTGGATCTGGAGATCACGGTTAAAATGTCTAGACAGGACTTGGCAAAGGCACTTGGTTTGCCTTCTGGGTTCAACCTTTCTTCCTTCAACTTTTTTGGTCAAAATCATGCAGGAAACCAACCCCCCGATGCCCCTGAAGAAGACATCCCTGATAGAGACCATATGACTGATGATGATGACAATGAATAAGCATTTTATTTTTTTTCTTTTTGTATGAACATTTCATCTCGAAGTACTCCTTTCTGCTCGTACCCACAATGAGAAAAAAGGTTGACAGCAGTGGTCTCCCCTTTAGTGCAGGCTAACAAGGCAACATCAAGCACCTTCTCTGGCTGCTGGGGGAAAACTAAATTGGCATATCGTTCCAACCATCTCTTCAATTGTGAGAAACCGACCTCGATGGGGTTGAGCTGTGGTGAGTAAGGCGGAAGATAGAATAGTAAAGCGCCTCGAGTAGCAATAGCCTCTTCCAATTGACTGTACATATGGATTCTGGCATTATCCATAATAACAATCGAATTGGGCAAAGGGTAAGGGTTAAGAAGAGGGAGGATGTTTTGAACAAAAGCTTGGTGAAAGGAGGTACGAGTAAAAGTGCCAGAAGTGGTCGACCAGCCTTGAAAGCCGGTCTTGTCCATCGCAGCTAATAGAGAGACTCGCTTGCCACGGGAAAATGGAAGGGTGACAATGGCTGGCTCTCCTTTTTTGGACCAGGCATATCGACGAAGAGCCGCTCTGCCATCCTTGCTTGACTCATCAATGAAAACCAGCTGCTCGGGATAGTTATAGAAGACTTGAAGGCGTTGTTGGTAATCAACCAACTCTTGTGGAGCAGCTTCACGAGCTCTCTTCTGGAGTACCTTTCTAGTAAGACCCAAATCATGGCGGAGCGCTCGACAGATGGTAGGGAGAGAGGTGTTCGTCAAGGTTGGAAACGACGCTCGAAGGTGGTCTCGCAGTTCCTCCATCAAAAAGCAAGGGTGTTCCTTCACATAGTCGCGGACAAATTCGTTCACAATGGGTGGCCAACGAGAACGGATATTGCGAACTTGGACTTTCATTACGACCCCGTCTTCATTGAAGAGCTCTACCAAAAACACAAGTGAGTTAGCAAAGGTATCAAAGGTGTCAAGTGTGATTTAGTAGCCGAGACGAATACATACTTGTCCAAACCGAAATAGTTGGTGGTGACACTCCCATGAGATAGGCAACGTATTCTTTCTCATATCCTTGGAAGCAATAAAGATTGATAGCAGCCCAGCGTAGGTCTTCGGAATACATTGAAGGGACGGAGGAGGGAGGAGGAGGAGGGGAGGGATGAGGGAGGAAGTGAAAGAGAGAAAAAGAAGTTTTTCACTGGACCTTTCCTCGGCCCTCATGATTAGAATAACACGTCAATACTACACTTAACGAAGCACTACTGGTTTTTACACTTTCACAAGTATAAAAACCAGTAAGATCTTCAGCAAAGAGGTGCCATTGTTTGGTGAAGTGCTGGTTTGTAGCGTAAGTGAGTTGGAGCAATATTGTTTTTTACTCATTTTTACAAATGACACTTCACACCAAGTGTCGACATTTCATTTTGAAGTGTCATTACCCTTAATTTGTTAAACAATTGAAGTGTCATCCGTCACACCCCATTCAATAATTTTCGATGAAAGGCGCAATAGTTGTTGTTGTCGAGGTTGTGTTATCGAATAGCACAACCATTCCTATGCTTAAACAATTGTCCCGCAGAAAAAAAGTGCAGTCCAGCCCCTTCCATGCTGTGAAATCAACATGACTGCGCTACTTTTTTTAATTCCTCCTGATACATATCTAAAGCCTCTATGCCTGTGTTGTAGTCCATGTACACCAACTAGTTCACAATGAACTCTGCAATGCTCACCTATATCAACCCACGTAGAAAAAGAGACCGTCGTCAAGGCGTTAACAAACGAAACCTCATGTCAATGTCATGTGCATTACAATAAAGCAATGAAGCAAAGGTACTTACAGGCATGTCCTCTATGGATGTCCTGTAGTGCGACTGGATCGCCCTTAGGGCTTGACCTTCACCCCGCTGCCCATCAATTAACACTACCTTCACACCCACTTTTCCATTCGATCTGTCAATCCACTTCACTCTATTTACCATGAAGTTAATAAACAAGAAAGAGAGTTCTTGTGAGTAACAACAATAGCATAAAAAAGTGGGAAAGAACTCACTGTTTCCCCTCATGCAAAGGACTGTTACCTGGGCACATAGTTGCCTATGCTGGGCATCTCATAACTGACGACCAAGGGCACAGCCAAGATATCGGGTTCCAATGCCCTTGCCACTTCATCCGTCAACACAAAGATCGCCTGCGGTGGTGATGACCTGAATCTTCCAAGAGCCGCTTTCCTTGTCGGAATGTCCATATCCGAGTACTAAAATATCAACGAATCATTGTCAGTGTCACGTTTTTTTTCTTTTCAACCAGACAAAACACAGATAGCAACAACGCAATGCTATCTTAAGAACGTACCAGTCCAATAGCGGTGCCTTTGCGCTCGCGGATCTTGCGGACAACCTCACTGACAGAATCATCCCGATTGCAGAACACAACAGCTCGATTCGCTCCACTGTCTTCCAGCAGCTCACACAACAGTTCCAGTCGCCACTCTTCATCTTCGACAGTCAAGTACTTGAAGAACTGTAACGTCCCCTTCAGAGCCAGTTCGTGTCCCTTGACAAGCGCCTTTGTCGGTTGGGTCATGTACTGGGCCACATAGTCGAGAACATGCGCTGGTACCTCTGTCGAGAAGAATAGCAATTGAGGTTGGTTGGTTCCTGGTGTCTTGGTGGTGCCCATAGAGTTGAGTAGCGACTGTGGTGGTGGCGTTGAAGAGGTAACATTCGAGTTGGATCGTGGTCGTGTCTCGGATTCTCCATAACTTCCAGAGAATCGATTCATACTGCCATTACTTGTGTTTCCATTATTCGCTCCCATGATCCGTCCATTCAGCGCAGCGACTGCCATAGACACAGGCGACGTAGGTCCAGAGTTGGGCGGTGAAATCATAGGAGCAGATGTCGATCCTGTTGCTGCTGCCACAGAAGAACTAGGTCCAGATCCAACACTGTTGTTCGCCATTGGGTCTCGCACCATCGATAACAAGCTGATTGTCGCCTCCTTGAGTGGTGAAGCCAACAAGATATCCGCGTTTTCCAGAACCATGACCTTCAACGCCGCGATACTGATCTGCTTGGTCCTGATGAGCCCAAGAACCTTGCCCGGTGTTCCTATCACAACATGGGCGGCGATCACAGGCAAAGGATCGGCAGTCGATCCACCTCGGGATCCGTATCCGCCAGGCATATGTCCATTCTTGCCACTACCGCCACCATAGGCCGCCACATTGACCTGTGTTGTAGAGATGGTTCCAAGAGACAAAGTCGCACTGCTTCCCTCTGCCAAGATCAAACACGAGATTGTCGGCATGAATCGTGCTAGTGCCAGGAGCACACGTTGCACATGGAGACACAGGTCGTGGTTGGAGCATAGGATGAGCAGTTGAGGGTGGATCGATGTTGCTGGCAAGGTAAGGAAGTTGAGGAGAGGGATCGCATAGGTCAATGTCTTGGCCACCTCTGGCTTGGCCTGTGTCAGCACATCATGTTTCGTCATGATCATTGGAATCCCACGCTGCTGCAGGATCGACGGCATCTTCAGTCTAGAATTCACAAATATAATTGCATGGTTAAGATCCGATGCTACACCCAAACTGCACAGAGTGGACCAAAAGAAGAGACGTGTGACAGGAATGCAAGAGCATGTACCCGTAAGCATAGATTCCGCGAAGGAGTTCTGGGATGAGTCCCAGTTTACTGAAACAGTCAGTGGACTCGACTTTTTCGACCTGAGCAGCAGCCATAGGAGTCACAGACGACCTGACGGTGATGGTCGACTTGACAGTGTCCCTACCCACAGCAGGGTGAATCACTATCCCCTGTGTCGCCGTACGAAGTGCTTGCTATTTTGTCATTGGTTTAGTGCGTTAGTTGCACATCCTCAATTAGAAAAAGACCAGAATGCAAATTGACGTAGCAAAAAGAAGCATGCACACGTACAGTGTATCGATTTGCGACGCTGGAATGAGTGAAGGTCTGCGAGTCGGAATTGGACCTGGAATCTGGTTGGAGTGACCTACGGTGAGTCGCCTAGTGGATTTTGTATCGGCAAGCAACGAAAAAAGGGTCAGCTCAGTGCCATGGGTCATTCGTTCTAAGGGGTGTAATTTGGACATGTATTTATCAAAAAATGATGCATGCACAGCGCTTGGACAAGAAGGAGATTCCTTTCTACTTACATTCTGTGTGCCTCCTCGTGTAGAATATCCATCAGAATTAAAGTTGCTGCCTGCAGAGTCGGGACGGGACCCATCGGTGATATTGGGTAGAGTCGAGGACCTCCAGAAGGGCGGCTGACCCTTCATCGTGCTGTTATTGCTGTGGTTGTTCAAGTTCATTGCACTAAGGATCGAACTCTGACTAGACGAGGTCGAGAGGACGTGGACAGAGGGGCTCTGAGGAGTCGAGGGTTTGGTGATGGCCAGCGAGAACTTTGTCGGCAGCTGTGTAGTCTGAACGGTGATCATGTGAGGGACCCTCTCGACCTCCGGGGGCTGGGGAGTTGTTGCGGTCGAAGAGGTCGCAGACGAGAGGAAACTGAGGGTCTGTTGTCCTCGCTGGCTCTGGTCATGGTCTGTTGTAGGAAGATGATCCAGTTCCTGTTTGTCTCCGTTTCTTCTCCCTCCTCCAGAATTCGATCCGTCAGAGGAGACAGAGTCCTCGTCAATGACTTGATCCTGCAGACCTAATGCCACCCACTTTGTCGCTGACAGGTGCTGTTGTTGCTGCTGCTGCTGCTGTTGCTGCTGCTGTTGTTGTTGTTGTTGTTGCTCAGGGTCGCTGTTTCCCTCTCCATTGGCGGTGGTAGACGAAGCAGGAGCTCGTTTCTGGCTAAGGATCCTCGCCAAAGCCTTTGTTTCATCCTTGACCGTCGACGGTTTCCTCTGCAGAAGCGAACGGATGCTATCCTGTCTCTGAGCACCCGTCGCGACTCCTACCGTAGCATCAGCCTTATCCTTGTCCTTTGCCTTGGACCAAGGGTCTACATCAAGGTAATCGAGTTCCTCTTCGATATCGTTCTCCTCCTGCTCGGCGAGGACGGTGATCCCGTCGGAGAGGACCTTGACCTCTGAGGTGAGTTGTCGGAGTAGGGATTGGACGTGTGTGAGCGAAATCGACAGCTCTGCTAGAGTTGGTGCTGCCCGTGTCATTTGGTTCTTCTTGTTGGTTGGTTGAATGGAGTTGTCAGTTGAAGGAATGAAAGTGAATGAATGAGAGGGATTAGAGAGTACGGTAAGAAGGGATGAGTGAGTGAGGAGAAAGAGGTGGTGAGTAGGAAGAGAGAGTAGAGAGAGCGAGGTGGAAACGGACAAAAATAAGAATACGACAGTGCAGACAGCAGAGGATGACCGATGGTCGAAAATCAAAATCCGAATAGGGGGACCCATCCTACCCCTTGTGATCCACACGCACACAAGCACACGCACTTCTAATATACTAAAAACCCCAAGCCCGATCCATCCCACCCGCCTTGCCGCCTTGCCCTGTCAGTTGCGTCTCTCTTTTTCTTTTTCTTTTCTTTAATCCTTTCTACTCTTTATTGTTTTCTCCATTGCTTTGTTCAGTGCAGCGCAATTACCGTGTTCTTCTCCCGCCTTCCTACCCTCTTTCATTCGGATCAAATAAAATATCTTTTTCCAAGTCGTTTTGACACTTTCTTACTCGCTGTAGCTTTTTCCAGCAGATATGAAAGGAGGGGAGGGTTTTGGGGGTTGTGTACTGTACCTTGTCTATTTTTTCATTTTGACGGCTAGTACAGTACATATACTTACAAAACGGGGGGGCAACACACACACACACACACACACTCCTTTTTGTCATCCACTCCTTGTTGGTTTTTTTTATTGTTGTTATTATTATCATCGATCATCATGATCACAACCACCACGCATGGTCTGTTTAAACAAAAAAAAGACAGAAGTGGCATGGTCCATTTCCTTCTCTTGACTGTTACCCCAGGTGTGGCATGCAAGGTAAACAACACAAGGAACATAAAGAGAGGAATGCTGTATGTGCGCTTTATTATTAATCTTTTTTTTTTTTTTTTTTTTGGGGGGGGGAGTGGGTTCATGGTATCATTGATTGCTTTGGGAAGGGTGTAGTAACAACGAAGTAGAAGAAGGAGAGGTGAATGCTGGAAAAAGAGGGTAGTCAAAACAGAAAAGAAAGAAAAAAAAAGGTCGTCTCCGTGGTCGTCAGTCATCAAAAATAAAGAAAAGTCTAGAGGGAATAGGGTTGTCATATGGGGGAAGGAAGGGTAGGGGTGAGGGTGTGGGCGCAGGTGTGTGGGGTAGGATACAAGGTGAAGAGATTGGTGGATGAAAGGGGACTCGAACAATGGATGGAGGGAAAAGAAGCAAAAAGGGACAAAACAATGCTGTGCGACATGTTCCTGCAATCAGGAAAATAAAAAGACCACCCACACGTCCCTCTTCCCTCACAGACAGATCTCAATGCACAAGGACAAAGGGGTTTCAACAGTAGCCAGGCAGCCTAGGACGATGGATCGTGAGGGTCCAACCCCTGTCCTTGATCGTGTCCATCATGACTCTCGCTTCTCGCATGCACCGACTGGTCCCTCAGGTGATCCTCCTCCTCAACTCCATAGTCTCGCATCTCCTGAAAGGCGCCCAACGGTCCAGAAGATATCTGAGGGAAAGTAGTCGATGTAGAGCGCGAGAGCATCGACTGGCGCTGCTGCTGCTGCTGCTGCTGCTGCTGGGATGGAAGCTGGAATGATCCATGGGATTGCTTGATGGGTCCATGCACCATGTTGTTAGATCCTCCTGCAGGACTGTAGGGGTAAGGATACCCATATGGGTAATCCGTCACAAGACGACTGTGACCCGAGGCTCGATTCGATAAGGCCCCTGTGTGCTGGCTCAGAGTAGAGGAAGTCGATGACATTGACTGGGATGAGGATGAGCCTGGGTCTGTTACTTGATGGATATGGCCAGAAGGATACAGAGTCAGACCACTCATCCCCTGCTGCTGCTGCTGTTGCTGCTGTTGAAAGTGGAGGCGACTGTAGGCAGGAGTCTGGGAACTGCGTCGGATGGCACCAGTCGATCCAGACCCAAATGCACGGACTTCTTGTGGGATCCCAACCAGTCCGCTGGGCGTACAGTCATCGTCTCTCTCCTCCTCAATAGCCGGGGCAACATGACCTCCCCTCGACTGCAAGGATTCGATTCCGCTGTGGCTGTCCCTCCTACTCGCACCTCCACTACCACCATAGTCGCTGTCCTCACCAAGCATCTCCACATCTTGATCCGTATCAAGCTCGATCCGTGTGTCTCGGTTCCAGCCTCCATGACTCTTGGGTCTATCAAGAAAGGCGCTCTGAAGCCCCTCAATGCGATCATCAGGTGGTCCTACGCCTGAAGAGTCAGGATGAGAGAACCCTCTTCCACCTCTGGAAACCCACTGCACGCCATACATGTCATGGACCGACCCAGAAACAGAACGAGGGTGACCATGGCCACGGAGAGGCGGGTGATCATCGTAATAGCGACCAATGGCGCTCTCTGTCTGCATTCTTTGGTGGTGAAGCTGTACCATGTGCTCCGCGTGCAGTCTGGCGCCTTGTTGCAGCTGCGTTGGCGCAGGAACATGCTGCTTTTGATCACGGTCGATGACAGTCGTCAAGGACGAGGACGACTCCTGGGATAATCGATAGCCTTGAGGTGGATTAAGGTAGATGGACTCATCATGGCCAACTTTACCAGGTTCGACTATCGAGTACTGGTTCAGTTGAGAGGATCGGCCAGAAAAGTGGTTTGAACCGGCACTAAAGTGGTGCTGCTCATCGCGGTCATCTGATCCAGAAGAGGGCACAAAGAGCTCGAACCCAGCTCCTGAAAGTAGAGTTCCCGAAAGAGATCTCTGCAGGCTGTGGCGCCGACTAGAGCAAAGCGGACAATGCTTCACAAAACGGGCAATCAGCTCCTTGGGAACCCACGAGTAATGTTGTCGCACCTGTTCAGTAGTACAAGGGCAAAAACGCCACGAGTTAGTACACAGAAGTAGTTGTCCAAAGTCATGTTGAGCACAAACAGGCAGTGTGATGAAGTTACTTACCTCTGCAGACGTTTTGTCTCGTCCTCCATGGGAACTCTTGCGATGACAGTAAACAAGGACGTCGTAGAGACACTCCTTGGTCGCAACAGGCTTTCCGTTGTGACACACAATGTGGTGTGTCTCTGTTGTCGACAGGGTGAACATCTTTTTCACCCAGAATCGAAACTGCGCCGTGGAGACCTGGGTGTTCTTGGGCTGAAGAAGAACCATGAGGATCTTATGGTACATTGCATTCGAGAGCAAGGCCTTTTCCCTCTTCTTGGGTGAGAGTGAGAGCAAGTAGTCGTCGGCCAGCATTATGAACTCTTCCTCCGTAATAAAGTTGTTCAAGTGCACTTCATGCGAGCTGTTAGGGCGAGGAGGTCGCTGAAACGTGCTGCTGGTACTGCTACCCTGTACCAAAGGATCGATCAGTTCCTGTGTTCGTGAAGAAATGGGCTCTTGGCCAAGGAGAAAATCTTCCAGGTCGTCATCATTATCATCAAAAGGTTCGTGTTGGTCGAGGGCGAGTAAGTGAGTGCGATGAGATTGCTGTTGTTGGGTTCGTAAAAAGTCATCAAAGCGCAGCCCTCCTGGTAAGTGCTGTTGGTCATGATGTTGATCTTCATAAGATGGATGGTGGTCTTGAAAGGGGAACTGCGGTGGTTGTGTTTGTGATTGCGGCTGTGGGTGAAGTTGACCACGCAGAGTTGAGGACCCTTGAGTCTGCAGTGGGGGACCCTGTCGAACTTGATAACGCAACGACTTTGCCTGGAAGCTGACATCACGCATAGAATCCTGTAGCGGGTGGTCTTGGTGTAATAGTTGTTGTTGATCATGATTGTGTTGTCGTTGTTGCTGCTGCTGTAGCTTGTGGTGCCGGTGTGGTTGATGTTGCTGCATGTCGTTGTCATCGTACTGTTCGTTGCCATAGGAGGAAAGGTCGGGATGATAATGAGGGTTGGCAAAGGAAGACGAGGAGGTGGAAGTGTCCTCGTTGAAAAAATAGTCATCGTTGACAAGGCCGACTGAGGAAGAAGAATAGTGGTAGGCGCTGCTGCTGCCGTTGGTTCGGGAGGTGGAAGCGGACTTTTGGGGTGGCCTTGTCGATAAAGTGTTGTCGGTATCTTGCTGTGATCCTGAGCGGTTGGACTTTGCATCAGTCGAGCTGACGGTATTCATCCTTGCTCGCCTGTCGTTGTCGTTCGCGTCGTGGTCGGTTGACTGAGGAAGAAAGGCAAATGAAAAATCGAGGAGAAAGAATGGGAGGGCGAAGAGTGGGAAAGGAAAAAAAAACGTGGTAGTGGAAAAGGGCTGTCGTGAATACCTCTGTTTTGTTACTTGTGCCTCAGTTTAGTAAGAGGAGCAAAGGTAGTGCAAACAGTGTTGAGGTATGTATGCTTATTCGTGTGGGTGTGGGTGTACGTGTCTTTGAAAGGGGTCAGCTATGAGAGGAGGAAGTATGGGATGGTTTCGGACAATGGGGAAAGGGGAGTGAGCGGAGAGAGAGTAAGGCTGGAAGTGGAATGGGGTATGGTTGTGATGACAGGAGGGTATCAAAAAGAGGTCCTGGGAAAGTTGAGAAAAACAAGTCAAACGACTGTGAACGTGAGAAGAATGAGGCGTTGAGTAATGGAGGCGAAGAATGAAACGTGAGATTATGAGGGAAGTGAATAGTTATGAGCAAATGGGTGAGACGCGAAGGTGTTATGGGGGTTGGTTGAGGATGGTTGGTCGAAAAAGTAGAAAATAAAAAGGAAAGAAAATAAAAGCCCTGTCAAGGGAGGAAGAGGAAAAGTGGTCGTCAGAAGTTTGTGGACGGTTGCAGTGGTTGTGTTGGTCACGTATTCAGGTGCATGGGCTGAATTTGGTTTCTAAGAAGAGTCGTCGTCAGAGAGGAGTGATGTGAGCGATAGAATGATGTAGCAAAAGGGGTTGGAGGAGAGTGTTGTAGATGGGCGGGAGAGAAGGGGTGAACGGAGAGTAAGCGAGAGAGGAGGTGATAAAATGGGGCTGCGAGGATATAACGAGAACGTGCAATGTGTCGAAAGAGCGGGCTGAGTAGTAGGCGAGGATGTTGTTGTGGAACTATAGTATCAAGGTCGAGTCAGTCGTCTGATTGTGAAGGTGGGGTTGAATGGCTGGATGACGATCGAAGAAAAAAAAAGGGCAAGAGGAGCGAAGGATGGGTGGAACAAAAAAGTGGAGACGAGAGGTGCTCTTGTAACGAAATAGTGTCGCAGAGTTGCAGAGTGGACAGTGAAAAAAAGAAGAGGATGGCTGAGAGGAGGAAAGGCGGCTAATATAATACAAGGTCGAGAAGGGGATGTGCGAAGGAAGACAATGGAGAGAGGCTATCCGACACGATCCCATGTATAGCCATGGTGAGATGGCTCAGGAGAATCGCTACGAAAACTATAAGACTGTTGGAAACTCTCTTTTCTTTCTTTATCTTCGTTAATGCCAGGTAGGTTTTCCTTCTTGGATCTTGATCAAAAATAGAAAAGAGAAGAGATGCTGGCAAGGTTGGATTAGAAGAGAAGATAAGGATGAGTAAGCAAAAAGGCAATGTAGGTCTAGTGGATGTCTGAACTGGGTATTATTGGTAACAAAATGACAACAGGACTAGAATAAAAGAGCAAGGAATAGCAACGGAAGATCATGCACAAAGAGAGAGAGAAGAGAGCGAGAGCGAGAGTATTATGTGGATATACAAGGAATGCGAGTGAGAAAAGGGAAAAAAAAGTTGTCGGTCGAGGGTTGAGCATGCTTTTATTATTGCTGGTCGGTGCGAAAGAACGCTATAAGTTTCTTTTCTTTTCACTTGCAGTCGATACCAATCGGTAAAAAGAGAGAGAAAGAGATGTCTCGTGGAGGAGGAAAGGGAAGAGCATCAATGGCAGCAATAATAATAATAACAATAACAACGACAATGGTATTAGGAATAGAAATGGAAGAATTGAGGTCAAAAGGAAAAACATGGAAAGAGAGGGACATTCCAATATCAATTCAACCCTATGAAAAGGACGAGGAGGCGAAAAAAAAGGGCTCGATTTCGTTGCTGTTGGAATGCGATGACTTTTTTTGTGTGTATCTGATTCTCAATTGTCGAGGAACGAGACGAAAACAGACGAATAAAAGGAACAGAAAGAGTTAGCAGTGCCCCTCGAAACCGACATGCCAAAGGGGGAGCAGAACCAAGAGCAAATACCAGACAAAGAATGATTGATAGGGACGATAGCACACATGCAGCAACAACAAAAAGGGAGAATGAACCCTATTAATCGGTGCAGAGGATCGATTCTCGACCATGGTCAATAGGGATTTTGCTGTTCTTTTTTTTCTTTAGATTCTCTTATATTTGGGTACTTGCTTGTCGAACAAAAAGAAAAAAGGAGACCCTAGAATGAGAAGTGCTAAAAGAATGACTGGGTGGAATCGTAAATGTCAAAAAGGATGGAAGTATATGATAAACGAACGATGGCGATGCTGAGAAATGTAAACGCTTTACAAAAGTCGCGTCGAAGTGATAAGGGCGAACGAGACATCGGACGCCCTAGGACTTACAGCCAGTTGTAAACAGGATCAAGAGAGCGCGGCGTCTTCAAGGTGTGCACTGCACGCATGGATCGATCGGGCGAAGGGTCATTTATATTTCTTTTATTGCTTTCGAGAGGATAAGGCAAAGGGAAAAAAGAGAACTCTTTTTATTTGCTGCTGTTTGGAGAGAATGTGTGAGAGAGACAGACAGAGAAAGAAATGGACAGCAGGAGGGAAGGAGGGATGACTGAGAGGCTGGGACTACAAGAGAACGAAGCTAGGGGAGGGAAACAAGAAAGGAGAGGGAAGGAGAATCATTCATGCCTGCCCATCTGTCCTGTTCTAAAAGCCCCTCTTTTCTCGTCTTTTTGTCATTGTCCTTTCTATCCCCCTTTTTTAGACAGACGAGGGGAAAGGGGACAAGAAAGAAAGAGGTTTCTTAACTCTATTCTCTTCGCTTCTTGCTCACATACTTTGTCTATCCCCTGGCAAACCCCCTTTTCCCTCTTCTACTCCTATTCTCTTTCCTTTTGTGCCACCTTTGGCCAGTTCTTTTTCCGTCTTGGTTCCTTTGCTTATCGACCTAATGTCACTTGGTTGCTCAATCTTGTTTGTCGAGGGTACTTTCTGTTGACAAGGAATAAACAAGCTTGTTACTTGCTCAATGTTTGCACTGCAGAGCGGAACAAGGATGAGAAAAAAATTGGTTGTGGTTGTGGTGAAGAACACTCTATATCTATGGAAAACTCACTGTTGTCATCTCATCTTACTGTTTAACTAATGAGAGTGATCGCTCCAGAAGCAAGGTTCAATGCTTCCCATGAGCGTATAATACCAGCAAGACATGTCAGCTAGGTGCACCGTAAAGTTCTCTACATTTCACTGACATGTCTGATTGAAGGCATGCATGGGCCCTTTCGTTTTAATGTTTCTCTCCCACATCCTCTTTGCTTTGCCTTTACATTTTTCTTATTTCCTCTTAATACTTCATGCCACCCTCTTTTTGTATCCCCTTGCTTTTCGGGTAAACATGCTCCCCCGTTCTTGCTCCCTTCTTTCTTCATCGCCTTCTCCCATTCCTCGCCTCTTTCCCTCCCTTCCTGCCACATCACCAACCTCTTGCAAACGTAATGTGTTTCATGTTCCTATGGTTGTTGGTGCCTGGGAATGTGTGCCTGTATGTGGTGTGTATGTAGCGTTTCCTGTTGTTCGATTAGGAACACATTACCATTGATTGCGTAAGATGTGACGCGACTGACAGACAAAGACGCGACGCGTTTTTTGATTGAGACAAGGGGGGGGGGGGGGGGGACCGCATTGATCCCTTTGACACGAACATCCAATACAAATGCGTTTTACACCATGTTCTACGAATGGATCGAGCTTTGTGGTATAAAAGAAACAGTTTGATACGTGCTAAACCCATGTAAAATCATGCTTATAGGTCAGGCACAAGAGACTGTGAACAGGGACCCCAAACTTTGATAGAGGGTCATATAATTGTCAGAAACCAAAACGACCCCGCTAAGTTGAAAAAGATAATTGTGATGCATGCGATTCAATTAAGTGATCAAAGCGGATTCAGGCATTTCGATTCCGGCGATGACCCAATGTTGTCGGTCCATGCAAAAAAAAAAAAGAAAAAAAAAAAAAAAAAAAAAAAAGGCAAGGTGATGAATGAGGTTACGAATTAAAAGAATGGATGGTAGGAATTCAGGGGTCTGATCGGAACACAGGTGAATGAGGATTAAATAAAAAAAAAGTCGAAATCGCAAAAAAAATGGCGCTTTACGTTTTTTTTGGTGGCCAAGCAGAGGAGCCTTGGGATATTTTCAACCGTTACGATGCTGTCGATCACCCTTCGGAATGTCGCCTTTGTTCCTATGTTCTGGAAGGAAGCGCACGTGCCGTCAGCTCTCAGCTAACGAAGCATGGCCCTCCAGGGACCATGAAACAATAGCAGTCGAGGCCGTGGAAGTTAGCACCAGAGTTTCCACTGGATTCGTATCAATACCACACCGCCAAAGGTCACTCCCAAAAAACCACAGCGAGAGGTGGAAGCAGTGGATAAAACGGAACTAGTCGATACGGTGCAATGGGATCATCCCGCGCAGACTCTTGGCATCGGTACCATTAACGCCAACGCCCACTCGAGCTCTAAACAAGGGGGGATTGACCAGGCACCATTGATGTACATATCTCTCAGCAACCAAAGCATCCAAGGATTGTTATTAATTTTCAGCAGACTCGCCTAGCCCTCAGTGAGTGTCCATCTTTGTAGTTCACTAGCCTTGTCTCCCCTTTCATACACTCCCCTCCCCCACAACCTCAAGGCATGTTCTGTAGTGCATGTCATCCTTTTTCTTCCTTCTGTCCTTTTTTCCCCCTGCAAATACGTTTCGTACAGTCAGTCATCTTCATTTCAGAAACACAAAATTGTTGGAGTGAATAGTTCGTTTATTTGAGCACGAGTGTTGGAAACGTGAGTGAGGGGGGAGGCATGTCTAAAGGTCTATGTTTGTATGGGTGTCGTTACTTCATTAAAGGTCGTTAAAGGTCATTAAGGGTCGTTGATCATAAAAAAAGGGTGAAGAGGGAGGGGGAGCGAGAGACAAAGAGAAGAGTGCATCGCAGACGCTGGTATCATGAATGAGAAATGCAAATTGAACAGAGAAAAAAAAAAAGTGGTTGAGAGTCTGTAAGACAATAGTTCGCGAACCATGGGCCAACAATGCGAATGGGGGGTATATATGCTGGGTGGACAGAAATAAAAGGGAAAAAAAAATCAGGAGAGGAATAACCAGCTTCCGGCTTAGAAAGAGGAAGAAGCGATTACTCCAGAGTAATGCTTGCAGAGGCCGAGACCGAGGACGATTGCGCAAAAGTAGTACATAAATACTACCAGCTATTGAGAGACAGAATAAAAATGAAGAATTGGATGAGAAACTGGTTTTTTTTTTTGCTGTTACACATGTAAAGTGACCATGGATGAGGCGTGGCAAAAAAGAAGCATGGACTGTACCTGATTGCGTCCGTAGGGTGTGGGGGGCATGGGGGTGACCTTTTTGGTGGGATGAGAAGATGCAGACCAGTCGCTGGCAATCTTGCTTGCTGGTGTCGACATGAACGGTATCGTTGTCGATGTCGATGTAGTAGTCTCACCATCCAAAGAGTTTGTCGACTGTTGTTCAACAGGAGACGACTCCATGTGAAGAAGAGGAGAAGCGGCGGTAAGCTTCTTAGAAGGAGGAGGGATGCCATTGGAATGAACAACCCACACTTCCTGAGAAGCCTCGACGTTGGAGGAGGGGAAGGGCCTTGTGAGGACAGCGCGGATGGTGTATTTGACGGTTAAGTTGGGGTTTGTACTGCTTGATGGCAAGGTTGTGTTTGTGCGAGACGATGTTGAGGATGTGGAAGTGGTAGAGTGGATGGATATCGCTGAGGAGGAGCAGGAGAGTGGTGGTGTGCGGAGGTGGTTGAGGCTGTGGCTGTGGGTGGAGTTGGATGAAGATGTTGTTGATCTGGAAGATGTGCTGTCGCAAGATGTGCGAGTTGAGGATGTAGAAGGATTTGATGGAGAAGGTTTGATGAAGTGAGCCTCAAATTCTTGTTCGTAGTCGCCGCGGACGACGGTTGAGCCGTTGCTCTTTGTGTGGACGAGGGGGAAGGACCATGTCTGGGATCCGAGCACTTTTCTTGAACGGTGTTGCACCACCTTCTTGTTCTCCATTGCTATTGTAGTCGTTGAAAAGAAAGTGGACTGTTTAGTACAAGAGGGAAAAGACGGAGAACAGATAATGTCGTTCGACTGTAATGGTGAAGAAGGGTTACCTGTCCAGCGAGACTCGGACCATGCCTCGTAGATGATTTGGATATCACGTCCCTTGCAGTCGTAGTTGGAAGAGAAGCGGACGGAGCCGCGGATGGATCCGATGTGATTGGGAGTAGAGCCGTAGACGAGGGGCATGCCGTGAGGGCCGATGAGAGAGGTGTCGATGTGGATCGAGAGCGACTTTTTCTTTGCCATGAACTCGTCCTTTTGGTGTGAGTTGCGCATCTTTTTGTTGCTGTTTGTCGTTGAAGGGGTATGTGCGTAGGTGTTGTTATTGTTGGTATGTACAAAGGTTGAGGTTAAGGAGAGAGTTGAAGTGAAGTGAAGGGAAAGAGAGGGAGACAGTTGCTGTGCTGTAAGTGTTGGTGTTGTTGGTTGTTGTTGTTGGTACAAGGGTGGTCGTTATGTAATACAAAGAGAGGTGTGAGTTTTCGTTAAAGAGCTGTGCTGTGCGAGAGAAGAATAGGTGAAGGTATAATAAATAATAAGCAAGAAAGGTATGTAAGTGAAATATGAAGAAGTGGAAGTGGGGGGCAATTGAAGTGGGCATCCCAGGAGTATTTATATTCCTCTCGAGGGCTGTGTATTTTTACTTTTCATATATCATTTGAATTGATGTTTTTATTCAATCGGGACTGAAAAAGATCACTACTCGCCACCGATCCACTATTGATTATTATTTTTTGCCTAGAAAAACAAGAACAGCAAAAAGGGAAAGGGGCATGGAAGGAAGGAGCATACCGATGTATGAAAGATAAACAAGGAAAATAATCGTCGCTAGAAGAAAGAGAAAGAGAGGGAATGGTTCATTGGACAATTGAACAATACTACAAGAAGGAGGTGCGTGGTAGTATTACTTCTGTCCTGTCAACAAGGGACGGACGCAGCTCGCAGTCCACCGCAGTGACCACAACACCATACACTCCGGCAAACCCATCGGCATTTTCGGGAACGCATTCATACACACACAGAGAGAGAGAGAGAGTCGAAAACAGTGCTTCCCTCGATTGCCACTCTTTTAATTGCTTGTCCGTCAACTGCGGCGATCTCTTCTGTGCTTTGCCTCCTTCTCCGGACGGAAACGTATTCGCCATCTCTTACCCGACACCCGTCCCCCCCGTTTCTACCCTTCTATTTTTCTTATTTTGTGTATTTGTCGACTGTCGGTCCGAAGAGCAATGAAATCATCGCATCCACGTCTTTGTGCACCACAGTAACACAAGAAAAATCGACAGAGAAGAAGAAAATAAGGTCGAAGGAGGAGAGGACGGCCCGAGAGGAGGAAGAGGATCGGTATTTTGTCCGTGTAGGTTCAATGATGGGTTGAATGACCAAATCGGCCAAATAGGTTTTCCAGAATAAGAAAAAAAAGAGAGCCACGTCGCCGTGTAAGAAGGGCAGACACATGTGAGGACATTCACCCCCCTTTCCTTCTTTTCCTTGCAACCATAGATGGGAACAAAGAGAAAAGTGCTCTCAATATCCAAATACAGACAAAAACCTGTACCAGTAACTGGATGCCCAGAAAAAAAAAAAAGGGAGAGCAAAAATGAATCCTCTATCCCCCGCACTATGAAAAAAAGTAACTTCAAAGTCTTGGTATGCCAAGAAAATCCATGTACTTGCCAAGAGAAATAACGACGACGGACATACAGACGCACGTTCTGCCAAGCAATTAGTCCCTGATAATGTTTTAATAAACCCTATCCCATATAGAAAGGTAGAGTTTTCTTTGCTTTGTCGACTATGGTCATAGTTGCTGGGTGTTCTCGTTCAACTGATCTCCTCTTCTTTCATGCCTTTTCTTTCTTTCATTAGAGGTAGCTGTTTGTAAAGAAGAGACCCTAGGTGGGTTGGAATGAGAGAGTCTTTCAGTCTTTCAGGAGAAGGAGGGCGAGTTGTCTGATTCGTCCATGGGATAATTAATATACAACCAAATGAGCAAAGAAGAGAAGTAGTCACGGCTAGAGAAAAAGAAAAGGAGGCCGAGATGCCAAGAGAAGAGAAGAGGAGGCCAAGTTGTCAAGAGACAGGAGGGGTCGGCTGTCTCCAGCTGATCTAATACATTGTCTACTAAGCCTTTCTAGTTCCCGTTCCAAGTCCTTACAAAAGATGCCAAGAGGATATTAATAATAATAATAAAAAAGACTTCTATCCCAGGTATCAGAGGTGGGGGGGGGTTTTTTTTGGCAGTGTCGTTTTGCAATGGCACAAAGACAACAGCAACAGCAGCAAAGAGATCCAAATTGGTTCCCAGTCAAACACGATTTCGTTTCATCCATGTTGTTTGTTCCTCCTCTCTTGGTTCTATATCTGTGTGTTAAAAAAATATGAGAGAAAATCATGAGCATCGCTACCTTGGCACTCAGACACTTGCACCTGCTTCCTGTCTCCTACCTACAAAAGTATCCTGGTCGGACCCTAACCAACATGATGAACAACAACGAACAAGAGGCACCTGGCATGTGTTACACATCGTGTCCGTCCGTCCATGTGTGTGTATGTATTACTGTGCAAATGTGCGTGCGTGCGGAGCCTATTCAACTACCGAGTCGGTCCTTCTCTTCCTTTCTTCCTCTTCTTCCTTCGGCATAGCCAAGATGCCGATCCCCCTCCCCCGGTCTATTTGATCTTCCCCTCTCCTTGTCCCTGCAATTCAAGCTGAGCTGAATGTGGCTATTCGGCATCCGTCAGAACAGCAGCACTGGCGTTCCCATTGGCTGAGACGGATCCGACTTGGATGGGTAATAACGAATTTTTTTTTCTTTTCATTCCCGACTTCCTGACTGACTCGGTGGCTGGGTGAACCACAATTCCACTCCACGGCCTAAAGGCCATGCCATCTAAATAACCCCCCCCCCCCTCACCTCTTTATCTCCCGTTGTTTCCTCCCAAGAGAACCTTCTCTTTCTTGGATGATGTCGTCAAGTAAACACATGGCATGGGTCGTTTTAAATAAGATGATTGCATGGTTCCTATCACATATCCCTCTTTAGCCTTTTTTCTACTCACTTCTCATTGCATGTGTATGGGATGCGCTGCCTCTGATCCCCCATTATCAGGAATGTTCTCATAAACGATTTGCTATGTGTTTTTTTTATTCTTCAAAAGAAGGAATGGTATTGGGGGAAAGGGGGAAGGGGTATGGTTTGCTATAACAAAACACGCACCTTCTACAACTTGGCGACAGGAGTAGTAGCATGAATATCGGCATACATATCCTTAATCTGCTCCTCAAAATGCTTCTGGACCTGAGGCCTCTTGACCTTGAGGGTTGGGGTCAACAAGCCATTCTCGATCGAAAAGGCATCCGTCGACAGATACACTCTCTTGATCATCTCAAACCCTCTCAACTCTGCAGCCCTACCGGCCTTACCCAGCTCCTTCAAGATCAAGGCGTTGACTTTAGGGTTTTGGCAGAGGGTCGTGATTGCGGCAACGTCGGTGATGGCGGGTGCTCGGAGACCGAGTTGGGCTTGGAGGAAGGGGAGGAACGTCTCGGGTTCGGGGATCATGATCGCCACGAGTGAGTTTTCGAGCGATTCGCCGTGAACAAAGAGTTGTTGGATCAGACTGCAGCGGGATGCAAGTTGGTTCTCAATCTTTTCTGGTGCAACGTATTCTCCTTGTGCCAACTAATTTTTGGTCAGGAAGGGAAGAGAAAAAAAAAAGGAATTAGAGGTTGTTTGGCAAATGAAGTGAAGGACGGGGGCAAAAATAGGAAACATGCAAAGGAAAAAAAAAGAAAACGTATGATAACCACATACCTTGAAGATGTTCTTCTTGCGGTCAATAATCGTAAACCGCCCAATCTCATCGACAGTTCCAATATCCCCCGTATGCAACCATCCCTCATCATCAATCGCATCCCGAGTATTCTTCTCATCCTTATAGTATCCATCGATGATATGTCCTCCACGGAGACAGATCTCGCCTCGGGGGTAGGGGAGATCGGTAGAACGGTAGTTCATGTCGGCGACGTCTACTAGTTTCACATCGCAGCCTGAGCGGGGGGCTCCGATGATTCCTGCCTTCTTTTCGCTATTTGTTGTGAATAAGAAAAAACAAGGACCCTCATTAGTAAAATTATATCATGGTTCAAAGCACATTCACCCAAAAAAAAAAACAAGGCAAAAAAAAAAAAGAGACGTACTCGTGGGCGGTGAGGATGGCGGTACCCATGGACTCGGTAGATCCATAGCCCTCCACAATAACACATCCGAACGCAATCCTCAAGAAACTCAGAACCTCCTTCGCAATGGGCGCAGATCCCGTAACAATCAACTGCACATTGCCTCCAAGAACAGCCTTGATCTTGTTAAACAACAACCGATCCCAGACAGCATGTTGAGTACCCAGCCCAGCCTCAAGGTTGGCCAGCTTGGCAGCAACAGCACGACGGGCAAGGACACCAACAAGACCGGGAGCCTCGACGGTGGCAGCGATCAGTTTGGCGTAGATGCGGTTGAGGAGTCGGGGCACGGCGGGGAAGAATGTAGGTTTCAAGAGGGCAATGTCATCCAGGAGGGTGTTGATATCTCCCTTGAAGTATCCGATACGCATGCCTCCGTATGTGCACAACGTGTCGATGTATCTTCCCATAATATGCGCCAACGGCAAGAAACTAGTTTTATGCAAAAGAAGAAATAGAGAATTAGTCCACTTGATCAAAAGAGGAATAATGACCAGCAGTAAAGAGGAATAGCAGTTGCCATACCTAATCAGGGTATCGCTGGGGGAGAGGATGAAGAACTCCATGTTGCTGCTGACGGCGGCGATAAAGTTCTTGTGCGTCAACATCGCTCCTTTCTATTTCCATTTAACAACAAGCACAAAAAAAGTAACTGTTAGTCAACGACGCAACGTAATCATTATCCCTGTCAGTAATGATATAAAAAGTGAAAGAAGACTTACAGGCTGGCCGGTGGTGCCGGAGGTGTAGCAGAGGGAGGCGACCTCGTTCTCGGCGGGGAGGATGTGCTTATGGGGGTGGAGGGCACCAAGAGCCTCAATCTCGGCGAAATCAAACAATTGAATACCCTTGCCAGCAGCCCAGGACCGGAGCACCTGGGGAGCACTGGCAGTGTTAGGTGCAGTAGGCACCTCCTGAAGAGAATCCATGCTGATGATCGCCTTCATTCCAGGCACCTTGTCCGAGATTTCCAGCAATGACGCCACATGGTTTCCTATTTTCCATATTGAACAAATATGTGTGTGTTAGTGGAAAAGAAAGAATGGAGAAAAGTACTTATATGTCAAATGCATGGATGGATGTATGCGTCTGCGTGAGCGTGTGTGGAAGGAAAATGATTCCGACGTGAACAAAGGCATATCATATGCTTTTCTTCTAGTTCTCCTCGAAACAGCACCAAAACTTACCAGAGCAGACGACGATAGGGATCTCGGCATGGTTCATGACATACTCAACAGCATCCGGTCCAAGAGTCTCATAAAGCGCCACAGAAACCAAATTGAAGTAGTTACAAGACATCTCGGTAATGAACCACTCGGGACGGGAAAGGGCCCAGATACCGACCGGCCAGCGGTTCAATTGAGTCGATCCCATGATGGCGCTGTTGAGGTGCATCAGTCCCGATCCAAAGGCATCGACGCGCTTGTCGATCTGACCGTAGGTCTGCCAGGTGTAGTCGCCGTAGGTCTTTGTTGCGGCGTCGTAGGGGCGGTGGCCCAAAAAGTCGTTGTTTCCATACTTCGTGACCGCTGTGTGTCATTCATGTGGAGGATCAGGTTCTTGTTGTTAGTTGCATTCGGTGAATGGTGTTTGTGAGAGATCAAGGTTGAGTAGTGGACAAGTGTATGAAAGGCAAAGTAAAAAAGAAAGAAACGGAGCGGTGGAAATCTTTGTCATCGTATGAATGTTTGACATGCAACGTATAGCAGAAAAAGTACAAAGAAAAAAACTTGACAGAGGAGAAAAGAAGCACACGAATGAGTGGGATGGTGTGTGTGAGCAAATCGATCACAAACGAACACATCAACAACACGCGCATCTCCTGTGAGCAATTGAAAAAAATAATAAAACCTTCCCCCCCTCCACTACCGGCAATAACGTGAGAAAAAGAGACAAGTGCTTCCCGATCATAAACAAGAATGAGAAAGGGGATCCTTACAGTTCTGGAAGAGGTCATAAAGAGTCTTGATCTGGGGATCCTGACGGATGTAGTCCAGAGGACCATCGGGGAATGCAGCGTGTCTGTAGTGGCCTATTTAAAGGTGAACATTGATAAGATTTGTTATGAATGTCTTGCTTTGACTTTTACGTGGTGGTTAGCACAGCTAAAAGAATTTGTAAAGTGGGAGAGATGATCCTTACCGGTGGCTCCCTCGGTGCGGGTGCCGGGGACCTCGACACTCTGCTTGTCAGAATTGAACTTTACGAATTCAGGCATGCTTCTTACAATGAAAGTGGTGATGGAAGAGGGAAAGTGGAAGGTGAAGAATGGAGCAAGGTCGTTGTGAGAGTGGGGAGTATGGACGAAGGGAAGAGGCTGTGAATGAGTCCAGTGGGTGATGGAGAAGAGAAAAAAAAGAGATTGCTGAAGGAATGAGAACAAGAAAGAAAGAGAGAAAGTTGTTCCCCTCCCCCACACCCGTTCCCTTTTTAATACTCCCCCTGAACAAGAAGTAGGGATAGTTGACCGGTTGGCTGTGAACGAGACGCTCAAACCTTGGATGGAGGGTTCTCCGTCATGGTCCTTCTTCCTATTGGGCACCATCAGCCGGGACTGGACAGGACAGGGCAGGAGAGAATAGGGCTCTGCGGGGAACAGCAACAGTGGCTCGTTTGCCCAGGGGTAAATAATTATGAGCCTTGTTCCGCCATTGGATGGGTTAAGTATGTGTGAGGGGACCCGGCTTGTTGTCATACTCATCACCATCATCATTCATCCATGTGGGAAGGAAGAAGAAGCCAGCTTGGATCCAAAAAAAGATATAGAGGCAAAGAGTAATAGTGCAAGGGTCAATACCTCCATCCATGTGGAGACATCCTTGCTTTCCCCCCTCCTATCTTTCTTCGGCGCTGGATGTGATCGGTCCGTTCTTCTTTCGATTGCTGTAGATGCATTCACAAGCAATTCTCCATTTGTTTACTCCAATTCACTCCTCAATCCCATTCGTTTTTGTCTTTTCTTTCTTGTGCAACGTGTGCAACGTAACTATGGGGGGTGTGTGCCTTGCCTTCTGCCCACTGACCGATCAGACCGTGATGATATTGTTGTGCTGAGATATTAGGTTTTCCAGGCCCGGATTTATTTGACAAGGAGAAAGAGAAAAGGATTTTACAGCTTGGCGACGACGGTGGTGGAATGAATATCCTCATACATTCCCTTAATGTCCTCCAAAAAGTACTCCTTGACCTGTGGACGGCGCACCTTGGAAGTAGGCGTCATCATATTATTTTCAACAGAGAACATATCCATCGACAAATGAACCCTCTTCACAATCTCAAACCCTCTCAGCCCACCAGCCTGACCCGCCTTCTCGAGCTCCTTCAAGTATGCAGTCTTGACCTTGGGGTCTTTGAGTAATTTGGCGAGTCCTTTGCCGTCAGCCATGGTTACTTTTGTGCCTGCGATGGAGTTGGCGAAGGGGAGGAAGGTTTCGGGGTCCGGGATGGCGATGCAGACGAGGGTTGATTCGAGAGAGTCACCGTGGACGTAGATCTGCATGACGAGGTTGCATCTTGACTGGAGGACGTTTTCGATCTTTTCTGGTGCAATGTATTCTCCTTGCGCCAGCTATTGTCAACGAAGAGAGTTATATGGTTAGTGAACAAGATCAGCATATAGGCAAAGATAGAGACAAAAGTAACGAGACCACGGGGTGAAAGTACCTTGAAGATGTTCTTTTTGCGATCGATAATAGTAAGGCACCCACGGTTATCGATGAATCCAATATCGCCAGACTTGAGCCAACCCTCATTGTCGATAGTATCAAGCGTGTTCTTCTCGTCCTTGTAGTAACCCTTGAAAACAGTCGCTCCACGGATCATGATCTCGCCTCGGGGGAAGGGCTTGTCCGTCGCAAAGTAGTTCATCTCGGGGACATCCGCCAACTTGAGCTCCACTCCTGCACGAGGGCATCCGACGATTCCAGACTGGTGCTCGCTAGTGAGGGAACGATGAAGAGTTATAAAGGTTAAGTCAACTGTCTACAACATGTACAACAATAATACACAAACATAAGCGATTCTCTATATGACGTACTCGGCCATGGTGATAGTGGCGGTGGCCATGCCCTCGGTGGCTCCATAACCCTCAAGGATAGTACATCCAAAGGCGATACGCAAAAAGTTCAAGACCTCCTTAGCAATAGGAGCAGATCCCGTCAAGATCGCCTGGACGTTTCCTCCAAGGGCCATTTTGACCTTGTTGAACAAAAGACGGTCCCACAGAGGGTGGGTAACGCCCTTTCCTGCCTCCAAGTTGGCCAACTTTGTAGCAACACCGCGACGAGCGAGCTTGCCGACCAATCCGGGGGCATCAACGGTCGAAGCGACGACCTTGGCGTAGATGCGGTTGAGCAGGCGGGGAACCGTGGGGAAGAAGGTGGGCTTGAGTTCGACGATATCATCCATCAACAACAACAAGTCTCCGCGGAAGTATCCGATTCTGCAGCCAGAGTACGCAGAGTTGGTGTCGATCACACGTCCCATAATATGTGCTAATGGCAAATAGCTATGTTGGTTCAGTCAGAACGATGTCCAAGGGTTAGCTGTCCGTCTCATCCTGTTTTCTCTGCTCATGAATATTTTCCTGCTATCAATGGACTTCAAAGGACGCACCTGATGACAGTGTCGGAGAAATCGGTGACCATTCCCTCGCGGTTGGTTCCAACAGTAGCAATAAAATTCCTGTGGGTTAACATAGCTCCTTTCTATTAGCCACAAGGCAAGGAATACAGGTGTTAGCTCTCGATCAGCATTATGATGAAAGGAAGAGGCAGGACGTGTCGATGTTAGATAACTTACAGGCTGACCAGTGGTTCCACTCGTGTAGCAGAGAGAGGCAACTATTGTTGGTTATGAAGTAAAAGAAAACAGCATCAGCCCACAATGTGCAGTATTGATATCGAAATGCAATGGCGCCTCATGACTACGAAAAGGTACCTTCTTCGGGCTGGGGAGGGATATGGCGACGAGGGTATTCACGGCCAAGGGCCTCGACCTGCTGGAAGTCATAGATCTTGATACCCCTGTCGTTGCTCCAGGCACGGAGGATCGAAGAAGCAGAGGAGACACCAGGGGCAGGGGCGCCCTCAGCAAGCGAGTCCATGCTGATGATGGCCCTGAGGTGAGGCAACTTGTCTGACATCTCCAACAGTGATGCGACGTGGTTGCCTATTAGTATTTTTGCATGTGGAGAAAAAGTTGGCGTCAAGATGTGAGCACAAACAAAAAAACGACGGAGGGACGGGGACACGTATTCCTTTGAATGTATTCCCCTCGATGCAGGGCATGCAGGGTTGTGGGAAGAGACATGAACTCGATCGGACAAAAGAGAACAAAAGGAAGAAGCATACCACTGACGACGGCGATCTTGATCTCGGCGTGGTTCATGACATACTCAACCGCGTCTGGTCCGAGAGTCTCGTAGAGGGGGACCGAGACGAGGTTGTAGTAGTTACAGATCATCTCCGAGATGAACCATTCAGGACGGTTGAGAGACCAGATACCAAGGGACCAGCGGTTCAACTGGGTGCCGCCGAGGACTGCCTCGTTGATGTGCATGACACCGCTTCCAAAGGCGTTGGTGCGCTGGTCGACCTGGCGGTATGACTGCCAGTTGTATCCGCTCCAGGACTTTGTCACCGGGTCATAGTTGCGAGAACCGAGCATGTCCTTGTCTTGGAACTTTACCAATGCTGTTTAGAGAGCGTGGGGATGAGAGAGCCGTTGGGTTGGGTAGAGTTAATGTCTAATTCTCCACGGGATAATTGGTACACCCGTCCGTATGTTTATGTCACCCCAATGGCACTGAAAAGTAACTCACAGCTCTGGAAGAGGTCGTAGAGGGTCTTGACTGTGGGGTCGGCGCGGATGTTGTCGACCAGTTCGTCCGCAAACCCGGCGTGTCTGTAGTGGCCTAGGTTGTGGGTGAAGGCGTATGAAAAGGTGTGAGAGTATTAGGGTGAACGTGTCTTGAAGAGTAGCTTGCTCGGTTCAGGTACACAGGGTATAAGCGGGTGAACCGAGGTGGTTTGTATTTATTTACCAGTGGCTCCGGGGGTGCGGGTGCCGGGGACCTCGACACTCTGCTTGTTCAAGTCGAACTTTTTGAAGGATGGCATGGTGGTCGTGTAAAGTGATTGGGGTGTGTGAGAGTGGGGTTGATGCAATAGGCGAATGAAGGAATGAGAAAGGGTATTATTGTCGGTTAGAGAGGAGAGGGGAGGGGAAGAGAAGGGAATAAAGAAATAAAAAAGGAGAAAAGAGCGAGAGGGTTAGATACGAAGCAAAAGAAGAAAGGAACAGTCTTTGTATGAATAAATAGCCAGGGCTATGTATGAACAAGAGAGATCGGTTCACGCAGAAAAAAGAAAGGAAGACTTTAGCCGAGAGGCGATCGCAGTGGAGAACCATCGGCCAATTGGTCGATTGGTGGTGCACGGCGAACAAACACCCCATGTTCACCCCCCACAACAGAACTCTTTTCTACACTAAATAGAGACCCTTTGCCCGTCAACACCGATCGAAAAAAAAAAAAGTTCCCTCCAGGTGGCCGACATTATTCTGTTATTCTGTGGGGCGAATAAGAGAAAACAGCTGGGGCAGGGAACTCTAACCCAGAGTCCGTTGTGGAGGGGTACACTGGATAGACAGGAGTTGCTGCTTGATATATAGAAGAAGGTAGAAAGTGCATTCGGGGTATATCCATTGGGAATGCACACGAGTTGGAGGCTGAGTAGGTACACCCGCAATGCTTTGCCACTGATAGTTCCAGGTCGAGATCAATAGGGGCCTTGAGCAAGCAGCCTTTCAAAAATTCCAGTCAGAGTAACGTCACTCAGTTGCTCTCTTCTCCTCCTCTCCCACACACATCTCCATGCATTTAACAAGCTCATCACGCAGAACACGCAACGCAAGATGGCACCAACGGCAAGAGGAAGCGCAGCTCTACTTCTGCTGCACCGGAGCCCAACCTACTCGCAACGTACATGACCAACTATAAGTTTTCCATCACCAGTTTACAGCAGGACAAGATTAGATTCTTCAACAGATACTTCAAGGATCCCCCCCATTACAACCAGTTGCTTGCCGGACGAGGCACTTGTAGGTTACCTTTTTCAATGTTGCCGGATGGAGCCGCCGCTTCTGCACCACCTGAACCACCACAGGTCCTGAGCGGCGACAACAGCAACGGCGATGACGACAGCGGTGACATCAACAGCAGAGATGGCAACACCGAAGGCCGTGGCGAAATTTCAACCTCAGAGATTTTTCCCCGGACCAAAACTACCGCCCTCTCGTTTTTTTCTGAGAACATGCGCGACGACAGTCGAACGAGGGTCTTTTCGGCGCTCAAGTTTTTGAGGGATCGACTGCGTCACAATGCCCGCTTGGAGGACAGGAACTTCACTTTCAGGATCGTGCGCGGTGGACTCCTCTCAGGGATCTCGCCCATGACATGGTTGCGGATATGCCAACTCTCACTGGTATTACAGGCAATGCCTTGTTTGCGCTGTTCACCACAATGATCTGGTCCTATCGAGTATTTCGTCACGTCAGACAACGGTGGACCCGGGGGTAGCCACCAGAGAGCACTATGTTCGGTATGGCAGATTGACATTGAGGCCACGGAGAGACTTCATGGGAAGGTCGTGGATAAGGAGACGGAACTTCGGGAGGAGGCAGCCAAAGCACGTCGGTGATGAAAGATAGTCATGGTCGCGCACGCAAGGCTCTAAGGTCAAGTCAGACGTATGTGGTGGCACATCAAGGAACATCGCAGTCTTCGGGAACGTCCTCTACCCACCGTGGACAACCCTTCGGTGACGAAGATGATGAGGATTGCGACAGTCAGATGGAGTATGACCCCAACAATGTCCTTGACGATGTTTCAACGAACAACAGTAGCAGTTTAGCCTTCAATTGGCAATCGTCCATGATCCATGATATGACTCCAGCGGAATTCCTTGTCAGCGAGTCCGATTGTGATGATGCTTCTAGTCATGCGTCTACTCCGCTCTTGTCGCTGTCGCTGCCACCGCTGCGTGCTTTTTCTGTCGAGAAGTTGGTTGGTTCCAGTGATTTCTATTCGCGAGGACCATACAACAAAAAACTTCAACAGCGCTATCACCAGCAGCGGCCCAAAATCTCGACCCTGGACACCATAAATACATCGATCTCGGAAATGGATGCGAAGTTGGAACAGATGGCAAAGAAGTTTGCAGGTACCATCAGTGGGATCAATGCACGGCTGGACGAGTTGTCAAAGGGTTTGATGGGCGAGAACGGTGTTTCGTTGAGGTCGCTACAATACAGCACCCAGAAGGATCTTGAGAAATTGGAGAAGAAGGTGGATGCGATTATGGAGTGTTGTTTGACATCATCGCGCAGGATATCACCAGGATCAGACGTTGGCTCTCACGAGTACCGTTACAATTTTCGCCCTCAGTATCGTCCACCATAACGCTCACAACAATTACCTTATCATCAGCCATACCCACCATACCCCTCCTTCACTCATCCTGCTCTACCACTAGGTCCACATCTATAACTTACTGTGATTCCTTCGTTATCTCTAATAATATTTATTTTGATCCAAATCAACGCCTTTTGATATAAGGCCTCGAGAAACCCGGGGATAAGACGGATATGACTGTGCAGGAGGAGACGCTTCCAATTGCAGTGAATCTCCATCAAGATGTAGTTGAACATGGCCGATAGGAATATCACCCGTTCCTGAATTGATGGGTTGCATCCTTTCATTTAAGGGGTTCATATAGAACGAGAAGTGTGTCCATGCGCCACGTGACAGTTCGACCCGAGTCTTCACTTGCTTCCCGCCCTCTGTGTGTCCCCTGTGGGTTCCTTTACTTTTTCCTTTGTGGAAGCCTCTTCATCGTTTTTTTGGTGGTCATCGCTCTCGCCTTTTTTTCTCCCTCTCTCTTTTTCTTCTTCCTCGCCCTACGCCTTCTCTATTCTTTCACCCCTTCCTCTCTTTTCTCCCTCCTTCCTCCTTCCTTTCAACCGCGCAACTTACATACAACAATGGCCATCTGGGGAATGTCTTCCGTCGCAAACGACGACGATGTAAGTCACCTCGACATCCTCTAACCCACAACAACCTCAACCAACCACAATACTCACCAGCCCAAAAAGAACAACAGAGAAGCTTATACCCGTTAAAGCTGCTCTCACCAGCCGACCGTCGAATCCAACTCCCCGCACAATGAGACTCATCCCTCTCCCACTCTTTTCCACCTTTTCAAACTCACACTCTTCTTTTGCTATCATGGATGTATACAACATAGGTCATGGACGACTCCAATCCTCTGACCTGCTTCACCCTCAACCGCACTCAGCGTCTCTATGGATTTGGTATCTGGTACGCCCTTTCATTCTTCTTTACCGCCAGTCCGTCTTCCTGTAACTTTGTTCCATGAATGGAACCTCTTTGTTCCTCTCCGCTCTTTTTCTGAGATACTCGACAACGTCAGTTGAAGGGCAGCCAGGAAAACTAAGACGGACTTTTCATCAATTCGCTTCAGGAACAACAGCAACAGGAAGCAACTTGAATGGGGCATGGATGTGGAGGAGGGGCGATAAACTGCCAAGGCACCCGCAGCAACTAGTACGGAGAGTGCGCCAAGGAAGAAGAAAAAATAACCAAAAACACACAGCCCAGTCAAGGACTTGATTCAGCGGCGAACTGTGGCGAGACACACCAATGGACCTGTCGCTTCGTTAATCTCCAACGTCTTGTGCAACCAGACAAACCGACTCATCCCCCTTTTCGTTATTTCTTGTTTTTCTTCTGCCTTTGTGTTTTTTTTATAACAGCTTCGTCGTTGGTTTCTTGATCTCCATCTTGGTAAGTTGCCTCCTTTCGCAACAAACTCAACTCTAGTCAACGACTAAAAGGAAAAAAATAGACATGCCATGGCTGTAGCATGGCTGTGGCATTATCCATGAAGGAACACAAAGACGAAAAAAAGAACCAGCCGAGACATGAACTGACCTATCATTCTTATTTCCTGATTTGCCACGTTAACAGTCGACCTTGGCCCTTGCCACTGCGAATCTCCCCACCTTTGCAGTCTTCTTCACTTTGGGCAACATCATCTCCTTGCTCAGGTATACACATTGGACCAACCATATATGCACAAAGGATGCTACTGACACGATCAATTGATAACTATACGATTTGGATGCTAATGGATACTCGTTCCTTCTTCTTTTGTAACTGTTGTCGAAACAAACAGCACGACCTTCTTGATCGGACCCGGCAAGCAGATCAAGACCATGTTCGCACCAGGTACGTGCAGTCATGCACTTTCAGAAGAAACTCTACTACGTTATTGACACCCCGCAACTCGTACCTCTTCAATTGCTAACCATTGCTCCTGATCAATGCCAACAACCTCTATAGTCCGCATGGTCGCTTCAATTGTCTTCTTGGCCATGATCGTCCTCACCCTCGTCCTCGCTTTCACCGTACGTCCCTCTTCTCTCATATCCCAAGACTTCACATTCCAACCCTATTGTCTATATCTTTCCAGACAACCCCTAACACCCTCACTCTTTCCTTTCATTGATATCTACACATATCAACAAAATAGGTCGGTTCGTGGCTGTTGTGCTTGCTCCTCTGCATCATCCAATTCCTGGCCCTGTTCTGGTACAGCGCATCCTATATCCCCTACGGCCGCTCTGCCATCAAGAAGGTCGTCGGAGGCTGCATCGACGTGTAAATTTTTTTCATATCTCCTCTTCCCTCTCTCTCTCTCTCTCCTCCCCCCACAAGTACCCCTGTCTTCTATCGTGCACACACTCCTTTTCTTTCTCTTCTTAATACATGCGAGCATTTTTTTGAATAATAAAAACAAAAGTGCCTTTAACCTCTCATATATGATGCATGTGGGTTGCTCTATCATGGGTGGTTTTATTGGGGTAGGTTCTGGATTGAGAAACTTGTGTATGTAGGTAGTGGAAACGGGTGAGAGGAGAGGAATAAAAAACGAAGGGATGAAAAAAGAGGTGGTGGTGGTGGTGGTGGTGGGCGACGATCTGTTCGTAATCTTCTTGTGAATGACGGTTTTTAGTAAGAAGAAAGAAAAAAAAAAGGAAAACTGTTGTAGTAAAAAAGAAAAGGTAACTTGTTTACAGGTCAGGGCGGATCATGAAGCCAGGGCCGGTAGGTTCAGAGGTCAAGGTGGTGAGGCCACCCTTGGGTTCGCAAGTATGGCGACCAGTCTGGGGACCAGCCTTAAGTGGCTTTCCGTTCTTGAGAGAGGCGAGGACCTTGATGGTGGCCTCGGAGGTCAAGTCCTCATAGTAGTCGTCGTTCACGGCCAGGACGGGGGCGTTCACACAGGCTCCGGCGCACTCGACCTCGACCAGGGTGAACTTTCCGTCCTTGGTGGTCTCTCCGACCTTGATGCCCAAGTCCTTCTCGATCGTCTTCAAAATTTCTGTTGATCCGCACAACTGGCATGGTGTGGTTGTGCACAACTGCAAGAAGTATTTGCCGACGGGTTCGCTATTAGTCGTAATATGCATAAAGCGAAACGTGTCAGTGGCATGTATGCTCCAAAAAAACCTGTCCCAGGTATCCGGTGAGCAACTGATGTGTTCCAGGTGCTCCTGTTGATATTCCTCCTTATGGCCCTTGTACCTTCCTTTTCCTTCCACTTTATAACGCTCTCTCCTATTTCTTTGGTTGCTTTGATGCTTTGATGCTATTCCTCTTTATCGATTTTGATTCTTCTCTCCTTTCCTTCTTCTCCCCTTTCCTTCTTCTCCCCTGCTATTATCCATTTTTTCTTTCTTGCCGGTCTTCTAGCTCGCGCTCCCATGTCTTCTCTTGCTATTTTTTTTTTACTCTTTTCTCTTTCCGATAGACGTTTTCAATTGAGCTGTCCTGTTGACTTTGAATCGTCTTCCGATCACACTTGTTTCCTGTCATGGTCCAAAAAGAGTCGTATCCAATGTATTCCGGAACGAGATATCCAATCCTGAAAGGGGGCTCGTCAATTGTCAAGTAGATCGCGACGCGATCTGATTCCCGCGCAAATCGCCACACTATCAACAAAAACCACCACCAGCCAAAAGAGACAGAGAGAGAGAGAGAGAGAGAGAGAACCGGATCGGAAAGAGGGAAACGTACCGGTTGTACATGGTGTAGAAGGTAGCGACCTCATAGACACGCATAGGAGGAACCTCGACCATTTTGGCGACAGTGTTCATGACGGGCAAGGAGGTCCATCCGAGCTGACGCTGACCGAGGTCGAGAAGGGGCATGATGGCACCCTTCTTGTACTGAGGGGGGTACTTGGCCATGATCTCCTTTGCGCGCTCCATGTTCTCGGCAGTGAATTCGAACTTGACGTTGGCATTGTTGTCTGAGGTGTCGCGGTGCTATTATTTTGAAAGTAGAAAAAGTGAACGTGTGAGAAAAAAAAGTGGGGGGGTCGGAATGTAGGTTGGGGCGATCATAGGTGTCCGGAAGAGGGAGTGAAAAAGTACACCGAGAAGTCGTCTGTTGTTTGTGCCAAAGTAAGAAGGGCGAAGTTCCTTGACGTGTTGTCGACGCGGTTTCTCTAATCCTGGGCAATGTCGAACTGACGGCATAGTCAAAGCGCGCTGATCCAATGTCCTTGTCCGTGCCGGAAGTAAAGAATCCGTTGATGTCTCCCAAAGGGGTATAAAAGTAAAGAAAGTGTTGAGTTGGTTCATTTTCGGAGAATCAGGTCCGGAACTGGATCTATTTACCACAAAGAGCTTGTCGGAGAGGGCGATGGGCGAGGTGGTGATGGTGCGCTTGGCGGCGATGGAGCGGAGGGCAGGGGCGGCAGCCTGCTTGACGAGGGAACGACCAAACATGATTATATATGAGGGAGAAGGAGAGAGGGCGGAAAGGAGGGGAAGGACGAGTGAGGTGATGGGAAGGTGGATGATGCCTCTGAACAGATCTCCGAGGTTGAACTGGGAAGGGACAAAATCCCGAATCGATACCTCACCGTAGAAATCGCAATCGCAAGTGCTAAATGCTATAGAGGTCACACGTGATTTAAATGTATGGTACAGCCCGTGCTGACTGTGTGCCACCCTATCTCTTCAGTCCGCAAGGCACCAACCACAACCAACTTGTCTCTCCTTCCCTCTCTCCTCTCTCCTCTCTCCTTTTCTCTCGACACGCCTCATTCACACCTTCAGCAAATTACACACCCACCCCGCAAGGACGAGAAGGAAACACGACGAAATGTCATCTCGGGAGGGCGACGACGACAGGGACACACTCTCACGCTCCCTACAAAACACATCCCTCTCCGAAAACAACCCCCCTTCTTCATCTGTTTCAGCAGGGCAGGCTAATAATAATACAAAGAGCCCACAGCCAACAGAGGCGAATACCATACCCCAAGAAGACTCTGCTGTCACCACAACCTCGCCACAAGAGTCTACAGGAAACATCACCTTTGCTGACATTCCCACAGCAGCTGGACATACCGAAGATGAATCTGCAGAACCCACCCTGACACGTCGCAAGTCGTCCATGTCCACCCTTGGGTACGAACATGTCATATTGTCGCCATAAAAGATAACCCCGGATTGACATAATAATGAGGTCCGAGCCATTGGCACTAACAAAAACGCCTCATTGGTCTAAAATAGTCGCCGGCTAAGCAGGATCGCCTCGACGGAAAAACACGTCACCATCATTGACGAACCTTCGGCAGACACGGACAACGCAACTCAGCCCCAGGAGACTGACACCCCAGAGGACAAGGGCACGGAGGAAGAGTCCAAAAAGGAACTGGCCAAGATCCTGATGCAATTTGATCCGCTTGTCGAAGCTAAAGCTGTCGAGGGTATAAACACTGTCATTCCTGGTCAGAATAGATTGATCAACATAACACAAACAGATATATACCCCATGTCCTAACTACTCCCTCGACACCTAATTGCTATAGATTCAGCAAACGACGAGGATGCAGTAACAGAGACAGTTCTTTCCCGAGGAATCCCCGAGGCCTCATTATCACCCGACATATCACTCTCCTCAGCATCCTCACCCGGTACCCCTCAGCAAATGGATTCGCCAAGGACAACACACGATGTCGAAGTTGTAATGGCAGAGAGAGCCAGGTCTTCGTCGACATCTTCATCTAAGAAAAAGTCAGAACCACGACAAAAGAGCACTCTTTCACCCGAGACCTCAACCAGCAACAACAATGATCGGGGAACTGTCGGGAGTAATAGCAGTCGGTCCGAGCCACCAAAGCCCAAGGACATTCCATTCGATTTCCACAAGTTTCTGGAGCAGATGCGGCACAGGAGCGCCACCCCCATCACTCGATACTTTCAAAGGTACATTCAATATGCTTTGATTGTATTTTTTTATCGCTGATTATGTTGCATTCACCCAACTCACCATATCTGGTTACCGTCATCGTCACCTAGTTTCCTGAAGGAGTTTGACAAGAAGCCATGGACAGTGAACGAGCAGATCAAGATCATTCACGACTTTTTGGAGGTAAGTCACATCACTCCGTTAAGGCAGGTCTTTTTTACTTCCACTTCAATTAGGCCAGTCATCTCATCTAGATAACATCTTTTACCGCAACTCGTATAGTTCATTACAGGAAAGATGGAGATGTGCGAACTCTGGAGGAATGTGTCGGACCAAGAGTTTGAAAACGTCAAGGAGGGCATGGAGAAGCTCGTCATGAACCGTCTTTTCACCTAGTAAGTGTAGACTTGCAGGCACAGTAATCAAATGCGTTTAAGAAACAACCAGGCACATACCTTCGATGCTAACTGCCGACATTTCATTTTCGCGCTACCTTAGCACATTCTCGCCTTCAACGACGGATGACGCAGAGCGGGATGAAGTTTTGACACAAAAGATCCAGATCTTCCGCTGGATTAAGCCTGAGCACTTGGACATTCCTGACAACGCCCACAACGCAGCATACCTCGACAAGGCTCAAGCTGGTACATTCCTTTCTCTCATTTCGGCCACTTCCAGATGTCTTTAATACCAATGCGGACTTTCAAAGAGGATGCAATGCTGACTGGCCACTTCCACTTTTTACTCATTGTAGAGCTGAAAAAGATCAACAGTTACAAGGCTCCTCGCGACAAGGTCATTTGCATCCTGAACTGCTGCAAGTTCATCTTTAGTAAGTCAACCTTTCCCGACTAGCCATCTCTGATATAATTTCAGCCGCTCGTATTCAAACAACGGCTGATCCGGCTTATTTTTCTTTGCATATAGCACTCATTCGCCGGTCAGAGGGCAACTCGAAGGGAGCAGATACTTTCCTCCCTATCCTCATTTACGTGGTCCTACAATCCAACCCACCTAATCTTGTTTCCAACGTCCAGTAAGTACTGGGAGTGGTTCACATCAATGGTTGTTCTCCTTATCAAAGTGAAGCCCCCTAACGCACACATACATGCATTTTCCAATAGGTATATCTCAAGGTTCAGGAATCCGGACAAACTGCAGGCAGAGGCTGGATACTACTTGGCATCGCTGGATGGTGCTATTTCGTTCATTGAGAACTTGGAGGCCAGCTCGCTGTCGATTTCTCCAGCAGATTTTGATTCACAGATCGAAAAGACCATGACCGAACTCAGTCAGGAGAAGGCTAATGCAGCTGCAGCTGCAGAGGCGGCCAAGTCACCAGCCAGCTCGGTTGTCCCTGAAACTGGAACTCAGGGCCACCGGAAACAGGACAGTAAACTAGCAACCCTTCTCGCGGGCACAGCTGCAACTCGTAACAGTCGGTCACGGCAGCCCATCAACGAGAAGCAGTACCAACCCCCCACGGAGGCAACTCAGTTTTCGGAGAAGACACCTTCGCTCTTGCAGCATCATAGTAGTCGTGCAGGACCCGAGTCATCGTCAAACTTGAACTATTCTAGGTTGTCGCCTATGCCTTCGATCAGGAACCCTGCTGCGGCATTGATTGAGCGCGGTGCCAATTTTGCGACAAAGACAATACAAAAGCCGCTGGATATCATTGAAAAGATGTTCCAGGATAATGGCGATGAGGAGGATATGGCCAAGCCCTACCCACCTCGGCCGACCCAGGAACAACACCAACAGCAACAACAGCAACAACAACAGTTTTACAATGTCGCTACACCTCCAACCCTACCTCAGCGCCCTATATACGTTCCCCAGGGTGGCCAGCAGCAGCAAAGGCCTGCCAACTTGGAGCGTGACGACTCGTTTGCCGAATTTGTGTACGTCCCAGCAGGGCAGACGGTCCAAGAGGTGTCGCCTCAACAGCCAGGAGGATATTACCAACAACAACAAGACGAAGAATACCCCGGTAATGTCCCCCATACTCGTCAACGGACCTTCTCTGGCACCCAGCAGCAACTTCAACAACCTCATCCACCGCAGCAACAGCAGCAACAGCAACTGAGTATGGAGGAGTACTTGCAGGCGCTCGAGACTTTGACGGACATGTTCCCGTCGTGCGAGCGGCAGGTCTGCGATGTCATCCTCCAGGCGAATGAGGGTCGCCTCAGCCCCAGTATTGACACTCTTCTTGGTATGTTGGCTTCTTTTGACCTTCTGAATGTTCCTTCAATGTACTCGGTTATGCTGGCACCTTTGGCTGACCATTTTTGTTCTTGTATTGATGCGGTTTATAGAAATCTCGTTCGCAAGTGAGAACAACAATAACCAGGGCGACAACCAGACCAACAATACCGAGAGCAACAGTGACACTAACACAATAGAGCAACCAGAGACGAATAAAGATGTATAATTAGGCGGTTCTCAGAACCGTTGTCCGCTGTTCTTTTCTTTTATTCTCTGCAAACGGGGAGAATTTGGCCACCTGTATCGCCTCACAGTGTCGTCGACCATCGACCCTGGCCACTTCACCTTTTTTCTCCTTTTTCTCCTTTTTCTCCTGCAATCACTTTTCTATTCAACATCGTTTCCACCACTTCAACAGCAGGACCCAGAACCTTCAGTCAATCAGCAACTCACCAGAAGGACCATTCATTCCAAGAAAGCAATGCAAGACGCCCTCCCTCACCTACAAAGCATTACGTTCCATGTACAAAAATAGGCGCTCTCTCACTCCCCCCCCGCAGACCCCAACGATATCATCTACGTCAACTGTTACCAAGACACCAGATAGAAAAAAAGGACTTTGTTCTCTGGGAGGATATCCTTGTTTGCCTTTCATGGTGCCCGTCCATGTGCGCCATCATGCTAGGGTGGTTCCCTTTCTGAAAGGAGCAGATTATAGGACGTAGGTGGCGTCAGCTCTTCAGTTTTTTAGCCGACAGGTGCGTTGCAGCTACTAAGCGACCACCTTCACCACCAAAAATGTTAGACGAATATCCGACAGGCTGGGTAAACGTCCAGGCTACCTTAGGAGACATGTACAGGGACGGGAAAGAAGTATAGCAAAACTGTCAGGCCGCAAAAGGAATGGTACCGAAAAGCCGCCCACAAAGGCGACGCCCTCGCGCAGCACCGGCTGGGCAGCCTCTTCGATTACATACAGTTAAGGAGTCGCCAAAACCCCTCGCGTTAGCCATGAGTTGGTATACCTCAAATCCGCCGATCAAGGGTACGCAAGCGCCCAGAACGGGATCGGCCTCTTGTATGACCGTGGTTTTGGTGTTCCGCAGGATTATCATCAAGGGGATGAGGTGGATTCTTGAAGGCGGCTGGTCAAGGGAATCGTGTTGCGATTTTAATGTGAGGGTGATGTATCATGGGTAGGGGGGGGGGGGGGCGGGGGGGCGGAGCTGGATTATTGGAAGGCTATGGAGTGGTATAATCGGGCGGGTCGTTGGAGGCATCAGGCTGCGAAGGATGATGCGGAGGCTGTTGGGGTTTGGCTGGGGGAGCTTCCTTCTATGGGGCCTCGCCGAGGAAGAAACAGGGGTTCTTTAGTAAATTTAAGATGGCTCCAGAGATATGTTATTTTTCGACTCTGCCATGTCGTCCTCAGTCAGGTGTTTTTCTATATACCCCCCATTACAACCGACTGCATGGGGTATTCTCATCTCTTTTTTTTCGGTTTCGTTTTCATTCATCCCCTTCGTCATCAGCAAACGACCAACTTATAATCCCAGGACTCGGTCACCAGTGCCACATCAGGACTGTCAACATAAGTGATGGACAACAGCCAACCTCAAGTCCAGGCCGTGCGCCCTGTAAGTAAGGACAACCTCGACTCCCCAACAATAACGCCTGCGCCAACACTCTACTTTGACTGTCATTCGAACCCCGCGACCGGGAAGAGCTTTGTATTATGGGACGATATCCGCCTCGTCTTTGCCGATGCGCTCTATGTCCGTCATGAAGCCAAAGTGGTCCCCTTCATGAAAGACGCTGAGTGGATGCCGTAAGTACTTTCAAATGCTATTATTTTCACAGGCAATGATACGTCAAAACATAACAATTGCTTTTGCTACAATGAACCATTGCTGACCAAACAAACTGTTTTTATATACCTAACATACTAGCTTGAAGCCATTGCGCATTGCAGCGATCCCAGATGTGGTTCTGGATATTGTTGTCGATAACTCGTTAGTGCGCCTGGAGGCGGCTGTACAACAGACGACACTGACAGATACTCCCGAGGAAGCGACAGCTCAGAACACCCCTCAAGAGGATACAACTTTGGAACTCACCACTTCTCCTGTCTCTCATGCCCCCAGACGCGGCTTGGTGGGAAAAGCTATGGAGAACTACTCGTTTTTCGACCATCCTGATTTCCGACCTAAACCCAGGGTATCTCAGCCAGAGCCGACTGCCGATCAAGAGGAGGACGTCAACGAGTTAGCAGACAATGCATCAGATACCGACAGCGAGTCGACAATTACCAGCGCACAAGCAAACAACAAGCAAGCATTCACCTCCAAGATTCACCAGTCACCCCAAGACCATACCGCTGTTGCCGCCGTTAGGGACATCTCGCCCATTGTCGTCGAGGCCGCCCTCGGTGACCCTAAATCACAGGTCGAGCTAGGAGATATGTACAGGGTTGGAGACGGCGTTGAGCAGGACTTTGAGGAGGCACGCCACTGGTACCTCAAGGCGGCTAAGCAAGGAGACCCGGCAGGACAGTGCAACCTCGGACACCTCTATCGGCTGGAACTTGGGGTCGATCGGAACCATTCGACAGCATTGAGTTGGTACAAGAAGGCAGCGGACCAGGGAGATGCGGGAGGGCAGTGCTATGTAGGGCTTGTGTGTGAGTACGGTCTTGTTGGCGCAATAGACCAGTCGGCGGCAATGGAGTGGTACTTGATGGCCGCCAAGCAAGGATATGCCTTCGCTCAGTTCTGTATCGGAGACCTATATACCTTGGACCAAGGTGTCCAGCAGGATCACGACAAGGCGATGGAGTGGTATCTCCGAGCAGCCGACCATAACCTCACAGCCGCCCAAGTCAATATAGGCTACATGTACCTGGAAGGCATCGGAGTTTCACATGACGAAACCATTGCACTCGACTGGCTCTCCAAGGCCGTCAACCGCAAGGATACCGACGTTTGGTCCCAAATGGCTATGGGACTGATGTACAGCCGTGGTCTCGGTGTACCCAAAAGCGATAGCACAGCCCTTGCTTGGTTCCTCAAGGCCGCTCGTCAGGGGCTACCGCTCGCTCAGGGTATAGTAGGCGAAATGTACCGCGACGGCGAAGGTGCTCCACAAGACTATTCGGAGGCTCTGGTCTGGTTCATCAAATCGACGAACCATAATCATTTAGCTTCCCAGCACGATATCGGGTCAATGTATCTTCAAGGTCAAGGCGTCCCAAAGGACTACTCAAAAGCCAAGGAGTGGTACGCCAAGGCTGCCAATTTCGGTGGTGAATATGCTAGGATCAAACTTTCCGAGGTCCAGCAACTCATCGACGAAGACAAGGAGGCGGCCGCAGTTACTGAAAAGAAGAAGAAGAAGAGGTCGTCATCTTCCAGACTGAAGTTTTGGTAGAAAAAACGAGCCCCCTGTTCTTCTTTCTTTCTTCTATTTTAAACGATAAAAAATAAACGACAGTTCATTTACCCAATTCCAATGAACTCTGAGTTCAATGCGGTCAAAATTAAACGCCTTGGTGGCGGCACCTACTCTTAGTAGTTATAAACGCTTCTTGCCCATCTCGAAAGTACTTTTTTCTCGTTTTTATTTTTCTTTGAGTAACCCACCAACTATTTCGCGTCCTATTGATCCCAAACTTTGTATCCTGCCCAAAAACCATGGGACACATACTCGTTGGCCGGTAATAGGTGGTATATCGGCATCACTTTGGCCTCATCTATATGCACGCGACTGCATTGCATTTATTAACCCCTCTAATCCATACAACAAGCTGCTGCGCTCAAAAAGTAGTGTAAAGGTGGCAAAGTAGCATCAGAACGTAAGGATGAAAAAGATGAGAAACAGGATTGCAAAAAACGTGAAGTATTTATTCCTGGCAGACAAATCTGATCATCTTTTTCAGAAGGGCCATGTCTTCCTTTTGCTCTGAGATCCCCTCATAGAACAAATCGTCCATGTTCAAAAGGTTGATGTACACCATCACATCCTCGATCCCAGTCACATGTTCTCTCCAGGCGTGGGTAGCTGGCGTACGACTCTCGGCGTTAGGGAATACGACATGGATGCGGAGGATCCCCTTGAGGTCAGATGGAGTACGAGAATCCTCAAAGTCGCTTCGAATGTCTTTTAAGGATGGGCCGTCTTTCAAGGATCGGCTCGAGTAGCCGCAATACGGCGAGAAGGAACGTCGAATATCACTGGAATATTCAATGGACTCGTTGACGCGACCTGCCAGACGGCTGCTGTAGAACTGGATTGCAAGAGAGCCGGCGTACCTTCTGTTAGAGAAAAACCAGGATCCATGCGGACATGCGCCTGAGCAAGCAATGAGCATCTTGTTTGGAGGACGTTCGGTGAGGAAGGCGAGATCGGCGCGAACTCCAATGGCGGTGTATCCAAATCCTTTGGCTGTGTTAATACTGTCAATTTGAAACTGGAGAGTATAGCACCAGGCGGGTAATGTGACACCTCGAAGGAATGGAAGATCAACCAAACGGTAGCCGTTGAATCGTTGAAATGATCGACGGACAAGTAGTTCCAGAGTATCTTCCTTTGACGTTGAAGCCACGCCAAAGTCGGCGACACTCTGGTAGAGTAGACTTAGGTACTCTGAGAATGCAGAATCCTCGTGAGAAGCCTTAAGTTCCTCCTCTACCGCATCAACCACAATTGGCTCGTCCATCACCAAGTGAATGTCGCCATTGCGATGTGGCAGAAGCTTACACAAGCCCATTTCCACAAAGCTGGACTGGCGTCGGCTCGGAAACGAAATTTTGTCACCTTGGAGATGATATGCCAAGACCATTCGACTAAGAAGCCGCGCATCCTCGCCTGTGTTGTCGCTCTCGAGAATAGTGCGTACCCCTTTCCGAAGTACACCCATCACATGCTCAATTGTGCCGCCAATGGCGTTATCCAGAATATCTTGCTTGGAGGCCTGGATAGAGCCGGTTGCGAGGAGCCGGTCGACGACACCAACGGAAAATTGGGCTCGTCCTGTTAGCTTGTGGCGTTTGGCAGGTGAGATTTCACAGTCGGACATGTCGACCAGATCCGAGAGAATTCTGTCGACATCATCTGGATCGAAGCGAGGGAAGTCCATTATTTTTTTAAAGTAGGTTTCCTTGCCAACATCGGTGTACACATGATCGGTATCTTTCAGCGAGAGTGTTGTGCCAAGAGTCACTAGTGTTGCTTGTATGTTGTTCAACGCTGCGGACAAAGGCGTGAGAAAGCCGCGGCGGAGCTGAGACCTGATTTGATTGTTGCCGTCGAAAAGGCTATCTCTCCTTGCGGCCACAGCGTATGGCGAGACGAGCTTGTCGGCCAAGATCCCATTCTCTGCAACCTGAGCTTCATCTAAAGCAATTACTAGGCAGACTCCTTTAATACCAAGAAGCGAGTTAACTTTGGTTTGGACCTCATTGAGCATATCTTGAATCGTGTTGTTGTCGTACTCCCGAAGCCTGTCGACCAGCTCGCCGATAGTTGAGGCTCCTCCGGTAATCTGCTCACGGAAAAACTGAATTGGTTCCAGACCAGGATTGTTGGTGAGAAGCAGCTGCAGAAAAAGCAATCGTGCAAGGATCTCGAGCTCAACGCGCTCTCCTACGAGTGCCTTCACATTAGAATCGAGATCCAACAATTCGTGCAATGTCATCGGTTCCCTGTCGGTCCTGTCCGTGTATATACGCTCGACATCTTTGGCCAGCGTGACAAAGTTTGGATCCTTGAAGTCAGGAGAGTCAGTGGCACCCGCAGAACAACAGGCAAAGTAGACGACAAAATGCTTGGCTGCCAGATCAATGACAGTAGCAGTCTTTCCTGAGCCAGGAGGGGCAACCATAGCGACTACGCTGTGACTATCGCACAAGCCAAAGTCTTCCTCGACAAAATATTGAAGAGTCTTGTCATACCCCGTCTTGGCTTGCTTGCCCAGAGCCAGTCCCAACATCACCAGGCTTGTGTCTGTCGCTGAATCGTGATATGACAAGGTTCTCTTGTAAAAAGGTCCTAGTCTTTCCCTCTGGGCGGTTTCAATGTCCTTTGGATCGACAACATGGGTGACATGGCGACAACTGAAGGATTCGAGGATGCCTGCCACCTCCTTCTCGATGTCACTGGCCCTAACAGATATCGGCCGTGTGGGTGAAGCTGCGGATCAAAGGAAAAAAAAGGAAGATTAGCTAAACAGCACAAACCTTACCCATCATTTAGACTTTACCAATTACAGGAGTATGTTCAAGGTGTCAATGAAAGCAAAGTGAGGCCACATTACCTGGAGTAGGGCGCTGGACGGAACTGTGAATTGTGTCCTCGGGCAACTCAGTGTCAACGGCTTTAGAGAGATCGGTGGTTGCATTGAGCTTCGTTTCCTCAGAAATCTTGTCCAACAGGATGGGTTGTTCATCGTCGTTGTCGTCGTCGTGAGGAATGGAGACGAGTCTGTCTGCATCGACATCACTAAAGTCGCTAGTCTTCTCAGTCTTGGTGGGCATCTTGAGATCATCGACAGTGTCGCTTGAGGGGATCTCGACAGGGATGGCGTTGGAGACAGCCTCTTCATCAACGAGACAAGGCGGGGTCAGAGAGTTGTCGGCCATGGTGCTGCAAAGGGTCAGTGAAAATGAGGGGAAGAATGCTGGAAGGTAAAGGATATGGAGAAAGGGAGGGTTGAGAGAAGACAAAAGCGAAAAGGATGAAAGAAGGTGCGAGTTTATATAGGAAAGAAAGAGGGATCAAAGGGTGTGGGAACGGCGGCAAAGACGATGAAGGTGTGAATGTTGTGGCAAAAAGAAAGAGTAAACAGAAAGTAAAGTTGACCAGAAGGCATGTGAGCGGGGGAGGCGATAAGGGGAGGGAGTGGCAAAGATGATGAAAAAAGCGCAGAGGGTGGCAAAGAATTAAGGGCGATGAAAGTGTGGGAATGGTGGCAAAAAGAAGAGAGTGACAAAGGTCATGGAAATATATCTCCGTGTACTGGAGGGTAGCATTGCATGTGCTTTCAAGGCCAATGGATCATCAAGAACGGTTCTTGCGGCACCCCAAAGATCTTGATTACCCACTCTTGCATTTTGGACCCCGACCCCTCGTTGAACCCAGAACCCTACAGACATCCATGGAAGACGACAACCCTCCGGTCCAAGCCTTGCGCTCCGTGCACGGTTTACATCGACTGCCATCAGGACCCCACCACAAAGAAACCAATATTTCTCTGGGACGACATCCGTCTCGCCTTTGTGGATGCTCTTCATGTTCGAAATCAGACCAGGGTGCTGCCCTTTCTGAAGGGAGGTGACTTTGTCCTGTAGGTGATGCTCTGAGACATGTTGGAAATGATGTTTTCATCTAGAGGGTAGCAACATGTTCTTTATGATTTTGTGTAATAGTTTGAAGTTGCTGATGAATGCTGCCGTTCCGGATGTGATCTTGGACGCTGTTATAGAGGATCCCTTGGTGCGCCTGGAGACGGCTATGCAACAAATGTCAATCGAGGATGCTCATCCTAATCTGACAATATGACCCTGCTGCTGCACCCACGCCTTATATATCGCGGTTTAGTCCTTGACAGGAGGCGCCAACATTCCAACATGCCAACAGGCAAACAGGTCAAACTACAACGAAAACCCCAACAAACAACAATACGCAGCGTCATTCTCATCAAGACCCATTCGTCTGCAGGCAGAGCAGAGGATATTGCGCCAGTAAATTTCTCAAGGCAACGAATGGCGATAAAAACCTCCCAGGTCGAATTAGGAATTATTTACAGAATCGGCCACGGTGTTGAACAGGATTACGACGCACCACTCTATTGGGAAGATTGTGCGCTGTAGCACCTGTGTTGGTGTTTCGATCGTAATTGAATGGAAATGGCGGTGCGGAGGTGGGGGGTGGTGAATGAGTGATGATGGTGTTTGGGTTTTCGCAGTTCTGAATTCTCAGGGATGCTGTGGTTCCGTTTATTTGCAAGATGGGACTTGCTCCTTGTTCGAAAGTGGTGGACTCTCATTCCTGGGGAGAGTCCCATATCGTCGAAATTGTCAATGGCATCGTCATAATTGTCAATGGCATCGTCATAATTAGCCTATTCTCGCAAAACTGGAGGAAAGTTTAGACGAGTTGAGCAAGCGACACAATTGAATGAGTGTTTGGAGATAACCTCTGGCATGGTTGACTGCGCCGTTGAATAGAACGCGTGCTTGCCTGGAACTGTTGCGAGGTGTGCGGGGAGGTCATGAAAGGAGTGAAGAAAAACGAGGAAGAAAAATAAAATGAGAAAAGTAACTTGCCGCCCCAGTAGTCGCACCTAACGGTTGAACATTTCATTTTTAGAAATACACCAGGATACATGAACAGGAAGCAAGAGCACGGACAAGACTGACATGGTGAGAAAAAATGTCTTTAATAAAAGTACAAGGATGTCCAAAAGAATCCTGGTCAACGATGCGTGTTCTCGGTTCAGGATGACAAAGCCAGGCCAACGCCATCCATGACGGCGTGGTCTCATACGACAAGACGACCACCAAGCCCTCGCAGCCAAGCTGACCAATAATGCAGGAGCGGACAAAAACGCCCTGCCCTCAATAATATCCAGTCCTGGAGCCAGCCCCAAGGGCCACGGTCGCACTTCCATCACTCGATCCATCACCACTAGGATCTCTGTTGGATTATCGTCGTATGTCGCCGTCCGGTGTGTGTCATCAAAATGGTGAAGAGGCTCCCCTCTGGATCTCTCTACGTTGTCGCTTCCAAATTGATCGAGGTCGTCGTTCCGGGTGACTCCTCAAGTCCGCGTGCCTCCTGCCTTCCCTGCACACCTCGACATTCACACCTTAAGCCGAAACACTCTACTCAGCCCATTCTTGACCCCTGCAACGACACCTCCAGATCTCGACGACGATCCATTCGAAGAAGAATCCGGTTCCGACCCACTACCGAGTGGGTGCTTCAAGATCTTGTTCCGTTTATATCCGTCGATGTAGGTGATTTGGTTACTGTTGAAACATCCCCGGCGCCGTCGACGGATAAACTCTACAGCATCCAGATTCGCCATCCCGAGTTCGATCAGTGCAATGGCGACGAGGATGGGGGCACGTCCAAGACCGGCGACGCAATGGACGGCGATTGTTGGTGGGATAAGGGAGTCGTCTTCTTCTTCAGAGATGGTGGGTGATCCGCTGCGTTGCTGTTGTTGGTGGTGGTGGTTGTGGAGTCGACGGACGATGCGGGTGTCGACTAGTTGGAGCCAGTTCTTGATGATGCTTGCAGGGGGCTAATGAAATTAAAAGGGATTAAAAGGGAGAGGAGGAGATGCTGTGTTAGGAGACGCCAGGGAAGAAGTGAAAGGGAGCACAGATCACAAGCTACCAATCGCGATTAAAGGACTCCTTCCTTGAGAAATGATTCGCCCTCTGCCCTCTGTGAGTAAAACGGTCGCGTCCAACTGTGTCAGGGATCTCTTATTACTGGTTGATATATCGAGCCATTGACGTGCCACCACAGACCAAGAAAACGAGGAGAGGGGTGTGGGTGTGGCAAAAAAAAGAAGACAGGGAGGTGGCTAAACTTTATGCGATGGATCCAAAAACGACTCCTGCATAGATAAACAAAGAGGAGGAGTAAAAAAAAATAGCAAACATACCACAGCACCATCCCGGAAGGGCCAGTCGTGGACCAAAATATGTTCCGCAAGGAGGGATTCGGTGCTATAGGTTGGCTCGCAGCACCGAACCACATCCGTAACCCGGTGCCTCTTCAACTCTGCCAGGTAAAAAGGGAGTGTCGAATCTGTGGGGCAGTCGAGGATCAAGAAGCGGATCCCCTTTGTCATTGGGGGCTCGATCAGCGTCAGTTGTTTCCCGAGAGGGGCGAGTCCGGGGCTTCGAGGTGGGGTTGGCAGTCGTTGGAGTCGAGAGGCGGTTGAGTGGCTGATGGCTGAAATCGAGGATGTAGTAGAGGATGCGTCCATGCTGACTCTTCTGGACGTGGTGCCTCCTATGACAGCTCTATGTACAGGATCGACGACAGGCATGATAATAGGGATGTTGGAAGGAGTGTTGTTGTTGGACATAATACTCATGACTCTTGTTGCTTTAGTGATGGCGTTTGTTAGTTGTTGTTGTTGGTCTTGGTTGTGGTGGTGATAGTGGCACGAGAAGTAGTTGAGGAGGAGTGGGGAGTCTGTTGAAAGTGTGGAGAAGAAAGAAGGGCTACGACGAAAAATGAAGTGAAGAGAAACAAAAACGAAAAATGTGTGAGCAATTAAGGCCTTATAAGACTGAGGCGAATATGGGAAACAATAGGGCACAAGGTATTAGTATGAAAAGTATGTTTAGAACACAATGTATGAATGAAAGACAAAGGGCTCCCCTCTCTCTCTCTCGCTCGCTCACTCACTTTACTCTACTGTTGTTCTCTCTCAAAAGTCATACAAAAAGGGCTGTGAAAACTAATAGAAATAAATAAAAAGGGCGGTAGGGGAGAGCGAAGGGAGGGAGGGAAAGGGGAGAGTAATAAAAGACGACAACGATTGGGTGCAAAAAGGCCATGTAGTGGTAGGAATTAATAGACAGTGAGTAGCAATGGTGCCAATGGTGTCAATGGTGTCAACGGTGATAGGGTGACAAGGTTAAAGGAGAAGGATGTGAAAGTGGATGTGAAAAAGAATAGAAAACAGATCAAGAGTGGAGGGGAAGGAGGAGGCAAAGAGGGGCGAGGTGAGGAGAAGTGGCGGTGAGGATGGTGAGGATATGTCGGTTGTCGGATGAACGGCGAGGGAGACAACGTTTCCAATGGGCGAAGTATCGTTGGCTGACACGAGAGCAACAAAGGAAAAAGAGGAAGGAAGAGAGAGAGAAAGAAAAAGAGTACATGCACACCACAGCGCAACACACATTGCTCAAAGGAGAGTCGACTATAAGAGCACAGATGGGAACACAAAGAGAGCCACAATCATGGTAACCGCTCTTTACTCGCTCACTCCATTCCTTCCTTTTTGCGAGTTTTGTAGTAGCCTCTCAACAAGTGCAGGATGCGACCCATGATGACGTTACAATGTTCTGCGTCAATGTCTTCAATTGACAAATCAAAAACGAAAGAGGCATAAGCATACAAGGAGGTAACCAGCGTACAAGGCAGGATCGAACCAACTGACAGACGCCATTCATTGACTCACGCGACACATCCACATAGACCAGAACAATTGCCATTGTCGTCTCCTTGTACACTGTGTGCTCGAAACAACAACAGAACGACGCAAATTCTAATTTAGGCCAGTGAGATCCAAAAGCAACACATGAAAAAAATGCTTTGGTTACTTACCCTTTTGGAAGACGAATTGCCCAGACAGCGGGTACACAAGGGATAAAGGGGGAGGATAAGAGAAAGAGAAGAGGGAAGGGGTGGAAAAGGGAAGGGAGGGGGGTGATGCGGATAATACGGGCAAAAGCACGACGGGGTGGTTAAGAAAATAAGAATAAAATGCTGAATGCTTTCTTGATAATACTTAATGCTTAATGCAAAAGAGAGAGAGGTCAAAAGGTCAAAGGGTCACGAATTGGGCTAGGCTGGGCTGGACGATAAAGTTCTCCTCGGAGATCAACGATGGTATTTGCTGTCTGTGTGTTCACTCTCTCCCTGGGATGTGTGTGCGTCTGTGACAGATGGATAGCAACAACGAGGCCTGAGAGGGTGCTGGTGGTGTGTCAAACGTGTGAAAGACGGGAAGAGGAGAACTGGGTTCAAGGGTCGTCGTGGGCGGCTGTGGAGTAAGAGAGGAAGAGTGAAGATTGAAGAAGGTAACCTGTGGCGAGGATGAGGTCGAGGCTACGGGGATGAATAGGATTGACAAAGAAGACAGACGGGGATCTCGCATTGAAATGAGATTTGTCTTTTGTGTGCTATCCAGAACCAGGGAAACCAATGGGTAAAGAAAGGCAAGAAAAGGCGTAGAAGGAAAAAGAGAGCAATTGGCTTGCCAGATATGTTGTTTGGGCTAGAGAAGAGGGTGAAAAGGAAGAGAGGAAGAACAAAAACAAGAAGACGTGTACTTTTTGGTGTATGACGACAAGAAGAGGAGGGAATAGAAAAGGGAAAGTGAGTGTGGCCTTAAAAACAAGAAGAAATGATATATTGGTCGAGTGGTAGAAGAGTGATTCCTAGGTGGACCAATAAGAACAAACTGTCTGTTGTTGAGAGTGTGAATGGGATGTATGAATGAATGCAAGTTGTTGAATGTCGCATGAAAGAAACAAGGGAGGAATGAGTGACGAGGAAGAAGGAAGGAGGAAGAAGGAAGGAGGGAGAAAAGGGTAAAGAGAGTGAAGAGAAGAAAGCGAGAAAGAGCGAGAAAGGAGTCTGAGGCGCAAGAAGAAAATAATATGGGTAAAGGACTAAAGGAGGAGCGCATAGAAAAAGGTGGGGGTGTGATGCCACAAACAAAAAAAAAAAAAAAAAAAAAAAAAGGCCGCATCGTAGGGATGCAAGTGTGTATGCATGTACAGTACAGGAACTAGCGTGGACAGATGGACGGGGCAGGATAGGGAATCAATTGGTTCGGATACATAACAAAGAAAACGAGGCATTTTTCTTTTTTGACCATGGGGTTCGCAAATATGGTTCAAGGTTCTATGCGTTCTTTATTTCATTCGTGTGAGAAAAAGAAAAACCACCTAAACTACTAATAAACCTAGGAAGGAGCTCTCTTTATTTTTTTCGACTCCTGAAACTGAAAGGTGAATAAAACATGGAGAGTGAAAAGGGGCACAAGGGGAGGAGATGGGGTTCCCCACCAAAGGATTCGCATCGAGAATATGGATCGCGGTCAGGTACCTCGCTCGAACCTCCATCGTCTGCCCCCGCGCCCCATCAAGTGTCTCCAGTATCCACAAGAACGCGTCTAATCGATTGTATCGCCGATGGCCACTGCTGCCTGTTCGCCACTTGTTGTAATTGTGGTTGTCATCGTGGTCTGGATATCATCCTTGGGAGTCGACAGTGGTTGTGACATTGACTCCTCCTGACCAGCAACAATAGCGTCCTTGTCTCGGATGTCTCGTTGTACAAGATGAAGATCCACCACCAAGGGCCCGTTCAACATACCCATCTCGCAACAACGCCTCTCTTCTTCAAGGTCCGCTACCCTCGAATCCAGTCGTGCCATCTCCTTAGCCTGCCAGTGCGGCGCATAATGTAAATTCGACATTCAGACCCTCACTTGGCATGACCACCTTTCCACCGCGGGTAGCAAAGTCAAGATTCCTCAAACTTCTTATAGTATTACCTCTCGCATGTGCCCGAGAATGTGTGGGGGTCTTGGAGGGAGTTGCCCTTGGCTGGCCGAGTCGTTGGCGTCAGTGCCCGGTTGAACAGGGTCACTTGTCGAGGAGAGGGAGAAGGGAGAGTGGAGTTTCTCTCGGCAACTCTTGTATCCAAAGGAGTATCTTCGGGGTCAACGGGCATAACTCGAATAGCGGCAGACGAGGAAAAGGATGTATGTATGTATATATATGTGTGTGTGTGTGTGTGTGTGTGTGTGTGTGTATATGTGTATATGTGCTCCCTCTCAATATCGCGAATAAAGACAGTAACTCTCAAGACCTGCTCGTATCGTGGAAGAAAGGTGTTTTATGTCAATAACTATTCTCCAAAGGCTAGAAACTACTATTGCTACCAATGGTCAGAGGGCATAGTGCCTACCTGCTCGTATCGTGGAAGAAAGGTGCTTTTCCAGACACTCGCAGGCAAGCGCGTAAAATAGCGAAATGGCCACCAGAAGCTAAGCCACTCCAAATCGACCACAAATGTCTTGAGCCATCCAGTTGGTCGTTCATAGGCTCGTCATAGTCGGAGATAGCTGTGTCCGTTGGCTTGGGCTCGATCATGTGTTCCTGAGTTAGTAGCTGGAGATAGAGAAGCGAGAGAGAGAGAGAGAGAGAAAGAGAGAGGATTCATAGACCGGACAAGAAGAAAGAGAGTGTATGTTGTTGTTTATTGAAAGAGAGAAAAGTATGCTATATGAAGTAGTAGACAGTAAACGCTATTGTTGTTGAGAAGAAAGAAGAAAGAGGAAAGAAGAAAGAAGAAAGAAGAAAGAAGAGCAAGAAGAGACAGGATCGAGAGAGCCGTTCAAATGCGGTCAGTCACGCACTGATCGCGCTTTGCCCATCAGGGCGAAATGCAACATAGCTGTGCCTGGGTCGTGCAGTAATTTATTGTATTTTCCCCGCTGCCCCACAAACGCGACCAAGGACTCTTGAGCATCATCATCCGCAGAAAACGTTCCAGACAGTGTCTCAAGCACCTGCCAATGACCCAACATCCTCTCAACATCTTCGGCTTTCATGTCCTGTTCCATGTCCGTGAACTTGACCTTCCTGGGCCTTGTCATATCGGAAAGTTGATCCAATTCAGTATCCAGTCTCAATTGAGGGCCGGGTCCACGGGACGCTCGTCTGTACCTGAAGTCATATCTCGAGTACCGATTCTTACCCGTCTCCTCCAGCTTCGTTAGTCGCAACAGATGTTCGAACAGCAGTCGACTACAGGAGTGGGTAAGACACATGCTCTCTTTTTCTCTTTTCTTTTGTGACCGCGCTCTTCTTTTCTATTTTACTTTGTGGACACATACAACAGCATGCATACTCACAAACAAACAAACAAACAAACAAGCAGACAGAAAAGCATAATCAAACAATCGAAACTCAAAAACCAATGGTATGCATCGGTGGGCGTTCCCGGGGATGGCGAGTGAAATGGACTCATTCAATTTTTTTGTCGCTCCTTCTCCTCCACTTCCTTCTCTTTCATCCTTCTCTCCTCCTTCGCTCTCACCTTACCCCATCCTCCTGGCTCCCCTCCTTCCATACGCACTAACCATATATATACCCCTCTTACCCTCACCGACCTCCCTCTTTCCCTTCCGCTACCCCTATCCTGCAACCCCAAAAAAATGGTCGCAAACCGAACCATGAGTAAAAGCAGACGCCTCATCTTTGCCACCGCCGCTACCACCGCAGCTGCCCTGGCCATACTCACCAGCTGCTCCTCCGTCTCCGCTCAAAAAGTTACCCCCACTCCCGTCCAGGATATGGGTTGGACTAGAGTCGGAAGTGAGCTCTTCATCCAAGGCGGCGCTGTCACCCTCAACGGCGTCACCCAGCTCTTATCCCCCCAGACTTTTGCCCTCGACCTCTCGACCTCTTGGTCAGTATCAGAAGCGCCCTGGCGCGCACTCTCGAACGGTGCCGCGTCTCAGTCTTTGTACGCTATCAGCTCAATCAACAACCAAACCGTCCAGATATTCAAATATGTCGAGCCGTCGAGTTACACCATCACGGAATACGATGTCGTGAGGGATATCTGGAACACGCCCGAAGTATTGACCGATAACCCAGACGTCTTCGCTCCAGGACTCACGCCCGTCATGAATACGCTCTCGAATCTGGTGTATATCGTTGGCAAGACGAGTATGAATGAGCTTCGACCGAAAGGTCCGAACTGGTGGAGGACACAAGAGCTGCTGCCGAATAACACCTTGACCTCCCGGTATTTTGGGTCGGCGCTATTTAACCAAGAGAAGATGAGTATCATGTATGTGGGCGGTTATAATTATGGAGTTAGCCCTACTCAGTTCGATCCCCAGGTGTTGGTGACAGTGTACATGCCCGTTAATGGACCCAGGTGGTCATTTCAGGTAAAAAAAGCAAATAAGAGCGAATTGGAGTGCGGCTTCAATTAGGGTTTTTTTTTTTTTTTTTTTTGGGAAAACGTGAAAGGTTTTTACGCAGAGTGTACTCATTTTTTTTTTTGGTATACCGGGCTTGTGAACAATCATAGAAAACTACTGGATCGCCACCCGCGCCAAGTTCAGGCCACTGCTCAGCCATCAGTATGTACCTCATTGACAAGTATCCCCAGAAAACAAATTCCATATCGTATCATCTATTAATCCTTCTTTTCTTCCTATTTCTTTCTCAAACAAGGTGACGATAGCAAAACAATCGTTGTCTTTGGCGGCCAAACTTCAGTTGTGACACTAGCCTACACAGGTGCGATCAACATTCTGAATATGAACACAGCCACGGACACAGGCACTTGGACCGCAGGACCCCCGCACACTACCCCTCGAGTCTACGCCGCTTGTGTCCTGATCGGCGATCAATTCGTGGTCTGGGGTGGCAGCGATGGCATCAACACCATAGCTTCTGTCGAACCCATCGTCTATGATCTCATCCTGAACAAATGGGTCAACAACTACAGGGCTCCATCTTACTACTCGTCCAATCCGACCACAAATCCAACTCCAACATCCGGCTCTGGAAGTAAAGGAAACCAGGGTCCTGACTCGTCTCCTGGGTCTGATAGTTCGTCGTCATCTGCGGGGGCTGGAACGATTATTGGCGGTGTTGTAGGTGGGCTGGTTGTGGTTGGAGTTGTTATTGGGTTCTTGCTGTACATTCGTCAACAGAACTCACGACTGAAAGAACTCCAGGAACAAGTCTCACAGGCCAGCCATCGACTCGAGGATGGCGGCAATATCACCAGCAACAACGACATCAGCGGCGGTGGCAAAAACACCGGCGCGCCTGTCGTGTACCCTAAACCACCAACTTTTCCATCCAACAACAACAACAACAACAACAACGCTATTCCGACACACGACAACTACGGCAAGCTGGAACTCTCTCCAGATTTGCGGAACCACCCACAGCAGTACCTCCCTGCAGCCACTACTACCATGTCTTCGCCACAAACGTTTAACGACAACAACAACTACAACAGCCCTCAGACACCCCAACCGACACAAGCCTCCGATCCTCAGGGCGGCGTGCAAATGTACCAACCCGATGCAGCAGACGGTGGCGCTGATTTCAGGGGACCTCAAGTGTACCTTTCACCAGTTAGCGCGCCTCAGGCGATCGACAACGATACGAATATGCCCGGTTACTATCATGAGCAAGAGTCTGGCACGAGACACCAGAACCATCCTCAGGAATACTGAACCTCTTCTGGTTTATTAGTAGCTTTTTTTTCGTTTAAATTTTTTTTTACCTTTTTGCACCTCTTACTTGACTTTCTTTCATTTTGTCCATTTTGTCCTCCTAGTTTTCTTTTTCTTCCTCTTCGCCACCTCTTTTCCGCTAGAGAATGCATGCAACCAGCTCTCTTGGCCACAATTGCCTTGCTCTGTTGAGAGTCGATGTATGTTTGTGGTTGTTTGTGTTGCTAATCGGGAAAAAGAGGGGTGAGCCTAATCGATTGAAATTTAGCCTATATCACGAGGTCCATTGTCCATCACCCCTGACCATCGACACGTTCCAACGTCTTCACCCTTCTTCTGCCATATTTTGCTCTCACTTTTCTTTTTTATTACTCTCCTTTTCCTTTTCTCATTCCGTCTTTCACTTTCACTACCGTTCACTTTGTTCATCTCGTCAAGTCATCCTTCCATCACAATAGCATCAAGAATCGTCTTGTACCATCATCATCCTTCACAAACACCCCTTCTCCCTTCCTCACACAACCTATGCTGCAGACAAACGCAACTCAGGAACGCGTCCAAGCAGTCCGGCCTCTGTACAGCAGTAGCCACCGCTTCAGTATCTCCTCCGTTCCTCCCTCAGACATTGTCTACATCACCAGCCACTCGGACACCATCACCGGAAAGGATATTGTACTCTGGGAAGATATCGTCACTGTCTTCAAGCATGCATCCTATGTTCGCCACGAGGCCAAGGTTCTGTCGTTCTTGAAGGGGAGCGACTTTCGAACGTATGTACTTCCTCGTACTTTTATTTTGCATCTGTAACGGCGACCTGTGGAGAGAAGAAGAGCGCGGTCATAACCTTTTTGTATTGTTTCTCAATCGGTCATCATATAGCATTGAGCCCCGGAGGATCTTGGCTGCTCCAAACTCTATTCTGGAAGTAGTGATTGAAGGACAGCCGGGGCTCCCAGAGCTGGACGCGTTCAATCCAACACCTTCACCAATGCGGGATTTGAACAAACGGAGTCCGGAATACCACCCCTCAACCAAAAATCGACCCGTGTCTATGGCCCGCGCACCACAACTCAATGGTAACAACAACAGTCGCTCGAGCAACAATAACACGGACAATGACCTGTACAAGAAATTACCTCGTGGCCCTCAGGGTCAAGCAGAGGACATCACCGACATTTTCACCAGAGCCACCCTTGGCGACGCATCTGCCCAAATCAGCATCGCAGAGTTGTACAAAGAAGGCGAGGAGGTCCCACAGGACTATGAACGAGCTATGGAATGGTATATGCAAGCAGCCAACCAAGGAGACCCAACAGCACAATGGAACGTTGGCTTACTATTCCACCATGGCCTAGGTGTGACCGAGGACTTTTTGAAGTCAATGGCATGGTACCGCAAGGCAGCGAAACAAGGTTACGGAGGAGCGCAGTACAGCATTGCGCGGATGTTTGAGTATGGACAAGGGGTTCCCAAGGACGAGAGTAAAGCAGTGGAGTGGTACTTCAAGGCAGCCGAGAACGGACATGTGCCGGCACAGCAGTACCTTAGGTATAGAAGAGAGCATACTAATGATAGGGCTATGCCTCGACCCCACTCGTTGTTATTAAAATCCATCGAGTAGTTCTCGCGCACAATTGTCTTCCCTCCTTTACCTTTTTCCTTTCTTCCATGAGAAAATGCATGGGACTAATTATTCAAAGACATGACCCCTTAATCTAATTAGAACATGAAATTGTTACTCAGGGGAGAGGGTCGACGGCCAGAGTTGTAGGACCGCTGTTAGGTCCTCAATTTGTACGGAGGGGGGGAAGGGGGTTGTAGGTTGGGGGGAGGGGAAGTGACAATAGCGTCCTAAAAGAATCACACAAAACGATACACTGCAGCGTGCCAGCGAAACTCTTGTCAATACTGCTCTCGTCCAAGTGATGTGTAAAAGGACCTTGTATTCATATTAATAAAGAGGGGGTTGTTACCTGCAGCGTGCCAGCGAAACTCTTGTCAATACTGCTCTCGTCCAAGTGATGTGTAAAAGGACAAAGAGCAGACAAGAGGGCTCGGCGCACTACTAATACTATGTCTACTAAAGAATATGACTGCTAACCTAAGGCATCGCCGCCACTGCCTAGCCACCACATCTTTTTGTAATAAAATGAGTCATTCTGAGAACCCTTTAGTACATGACCTCCTTCACCCTCCTTTTTGCCCACACCCTCTGTTCGACTTTACTTTCCATTTGTTTCTCCCTCTTTCTTTTTGCCACCATTTCCACGCCTTTATCGCCTTCCTTCTTTCCTTTTTAAACTTACACCCTCTTTCGGATTTTTTCCTTCACCCCTCGACTTCTCCATATCCTTTACTTACCAGCCTTCTTCGCCTCATTTCCGCTGATACTTTGCAGTACCATGGCTGACGACCTTACCCTGTTCTGTCTTGTTGATGGGGAGTCCACATTAAACGCCTTCTCTGTCAAGATTGACCCCAACAAGACTGTCGATGGCCTCAAGAAGCTCATCAGGGCCATGAAGACCAACGGTTTCAGCGATGTCACTGCAGGCAAGCTCACGCTCTGGAAAGTCACGGGTCCCAATCGCAAAATACAACGAGGACACTCCCATCCTGCTCAAAAATGTCTCCAGCTGCGATAAGGATAAGCTCGATCCAACAGACGATGTTTTCGAAAGGTTTCCACAATTACCACGCAAGAAAACGATCCACATCATCGTCCAGCGCCCTCCTCAAGGTAATGCACACGCGTTTTGCTCTTTTTCATAGTTTCGTTAGTCGAGGGCAAAGTTGCGCATTGTACTTACCTCATCTACATATCCTAATCCTATGGTACTGACATAGTCCATGCACCTGTCCGTACCCAAGTCTCTCGGCTGTCAGGTACGTCAATCGTATTACCATTGAATTATTAGCCCACTTGAAGTCTAGCCTCGCCGATGCCTGAAGAGTGGTGCAATACTGACTGTGCTTCCATTGCATTCAAATAAGAGAGAAATGGCATCAACTTGTTGTACAGATTGAGGACAGCTTCTTCGCACCTGATTCAGACAATTACACAAGCCTCGTCCAATTCGTTAAAGGCGGTGCGGACATTCCAACAACAGGAGGAACACTGGGAGGTCTACCCTTTGTTCCTCCCGTGCAGGCAGGGAAACGAACCAGCCCAGTCTCTTGTTTCTAAACTTACCAAAATCGTTTGAGACACAGGACCCTCCCACTACTGCCGATAGAGCGCTCGAGAGAATTCGTGGGCGAGCGATTCCTCTGTTTCCGCTCATCGGTGTCTCTGGATGTGGGAAAACGAGGACGACGATTGAGATGCTCTCCAAGAACTGGGGATTTTATTTCAATGGAAGCGACGCGGATTTGGATAGCGCGGATTTGGGGTCCAGTGATCTCGTCAGCTTTCTCCAGTTAGTCCAGGAAAGCTCACGATACCAAAGTTGTGATTTAGGAAGCAACATCCACGTTCACCTCTTGGCGCTGGCTCCTGTTCTTACTCGCGTCATAATTTTGCACCACTGTCTCAATATTGCGGAACGCGAAGGAACGACATTTACTTGCAGACATTGGATGCTGTTGCAAGTTGGCTTCCGCGCGATCGGTGTCAAGGACTTGTTTGCCAGTCTCTTCATGTCGATTGCGGATAAGATCCATCGCCACTCCGTAGACATCACGACCATGCGCGCCTTCGCCCAAGAACGATTCTCCAGTCTTCGCCAACGCCTTCTGAAGGTGAGGCCTCACCTTCAACACGCCCTCCGAGCGCTTTGGCTACAAGATCCTTTTGGTGATTGACGAAGCCCAAAATCTCAGCAATGAGGAATTTGGAATTTTCCCTTCATAGCGAACCCCTTCGGAAATTGAGCGACGAGCTGGAGCTGACCTTCCTGACGTCTATAAGCGACCGATCCTCTCCCCCTTGGTTCACGGGCTCAACCAGATCTCTTTCGAAGAGAACCATTTTTGCGTGGTACCCTGTGGGACTGACCTCAGTGCTCTCGACATGAATTGGCTCGAAGACTCGGCTCCTGGCTCCAAAGGCTACAGAAGGTCGCTTAGACCATTTACCGATTTCCGAGGCTGGGAGTCGCTCGAACAGGTCCAGAACTACCGAGACCTTGTGCGTCGCTCGCTACCCAATGACATGGCCAGAATCATCTTCGACACTCGTGTGCCGAACGAATCGATACCAGAGCTCTTTGCACGCTTGCGTGGGCGTTTTAGGCCCATTGTTTCCGCGATCGGTAAGCAAAGCTGAATGTTCATTGTTGTTCCAAGCTAGAAAGATTGGAAAAGAAGAAGCGGAAGATGGCGAAAGCAAGTTGCACTAGCTAACTAATCAATATTTAATCAATGTTTAATTAGAGCACATGATGACGCCCAGCAATGGCGAGATCGATTGGAGACTGGCGACCAAGGAAACGGAAGATACGTTGTCATCAACAGAGTCCCGATATTGCGGCCGAGGGAACATCGTCTTCGACATATCGCGAATGATTCGAAGAGTTCACAATTTCGAGCCGCGATACGCGAAATATCAAAACATACAAACCACCCTCAAGACCTTTGTGTTGGAGCACTACCTGCACGGGAGTCCTTTGCTTCTCGATACGATGGAGGCGCCGCTGTTGGAAGCTTCTGTCGGCAGGACCCTTGATTTCGGCGAATGCACGAAGACGGTCCTCGGTGAACCCATTGCACTGCGCGCTGCTGTGAACTATTTCCGTCGATATGACCTGGAATTTCACAGTGCGATCTGTACGTTGCACGGTTTGGGATCAAATGCATCAGTGCATGGATACCAATGGGAAATGGTAGTCTTGCCTAACCTGGCACACGTTTTCCATGGCAAAATCCTATCCAACACAGGTCTAGTTCCGGAGGGGGAGAAGTCTTGCGATCCCATTCAGAATGGCAAGGCCAAAATTGCTGGATATGTCAACCATCTCGCCCTTGGGATCGACTCTGAAACTATGTCACTGGATGCGTTTCTGGATGCTCATGTCCACCACGGTTCATGCAAGGATGGGAAAACAGTTCCGCCGTTTTATCTTCCAGCCGAGACACCATCAGGACCTGACGTTGCATTTGTTCTTCGTCTCGACAGCCATGGCTACTGTCCCGTTTTCGTCCAATTGAAGATGCGACACAAGATGACAAGACCAGAACGTCAGAATGAGTTTTCTACAGTCAAGGCTAACGGTGTCCAAGGTTATCTTCAAGAGGCGATTCTTCAGACGTTTTGTACCGGTTATCCTAAGCGGTTCCTTGGAGTTGCTATTGATTACCCGGCCAAGTTTGCAGATGTCGAGGGTACATTTCCGAAAGTCGGACGAAGCGAGCAAATCCGGTCCGCCCAAGGAGACATACCCCAGTGCATTTCGCTGAGGATTGACAAGAACAACATACATGACCTTTTCCCCCAAAACCATACGCAGGCGCTGGATATGCTTAAGGGAATCATGCGACAGTTGAACCAGAATTACTGGCTATGGGAGTGATCATCAAAGGGATGAACGTGCGACGAATCATCGTCGGTCCGAGGATGAAGAAGACGAAGACTCTCACAAAATGAAGACGAAGACTCCCACAAAGATGATGACGAAAACTCCTACAGAGGTGTAGACGAAATCTCTGGACTCTGACTATGTTGCCCTTGCCTTGCAGCTTGCTATATTGCTATATGATATTTCTGGTTGCGCAGATGTACTCCAACCTCCATTCCTACTTAGTATCTTCCATGCGAACGAGTTGGCAGAAAAATAAATGTCACGAGCAAAGTCTCCAACTCTCCTTTCTCTTTCCATTCTCCACAATCATCTCTGACTTTAATTGAGAATCGCCTCGATCGATCTCTTGATAATGAGGCAAAACCAAAGAATCTCCTTAGTAGCACTCTCTTGTGAATCGCTTTACATGACGTCGTTAAAGGTGTTTTCAAGTTTGACACTCTCAATGACCCTATCTATCTTCATAAAGCTGTACTCTTCACCCGTATGACGTTCCTATTGCGCATTGAACCCAACCATCGATATTGCACTGGGAAAGCGGCTGGAGCACGCAAATGATCCAAGGCTATCAGTCACTATTTTTGAACAACTTATTCATCAATAAGGCAGTGGAATGCTACTTGTCCGCCACGGGTCTCATACTGCAAAAAGGCAAACCCGGTAGAATTAAACTCTGACCCCTTGGATATCTTCTTCTACGGATGATGACACCTTAAAGACAATTTATAAGCGGCATTTGGCGCACAGTTGGACCGGGCAGTGCTTAATGTGGGGGTTTTTTTTGAAGGATGGGAACGGATGTTTCAACATGGAAGGAAAGTGGCGTGATCGGGTCTATCGATATAAGGAATGCTCACATATAAGTATCTAGAGCTATCGCTATTAGCTATCAAGCCTGGCACCACTTTCGCTTTAGGGTTCAATGTTCGCTAACACAATAGCATTGATACCTTGACAATGTAGACCTCACATTGGGGTTTCACGATTAATATACAATACATACCGGTGCAGGTTTCCATCAACCTCAACATGATGAATATACTTGTCCAGCTGCGCCCGACCGTTCCGATTCTAATAAATGGGCTGTAATTCGTCGAGGCTCCAACTTACCAGAAAAAGTGTAAAAGAAAAAAAAATCCCCCCACCCCCCTGCTTGAGCAAACCCCGCCTCAACAGCAAAAAGGACAAACAAGATAAAAAAAAAAAAAAAGATCTGGGTAACACTTACGTTCCTATAGTCTGTTTCATTTCCGAAAGGGAAGCCACCCTACCACGATGTCGCAGATGGGTAAGCATCATGCAAGGCAATAAGGATATCCCCCCAGAGGACAAAAGTCCTTTTTTGTACCTGGGTCCTGGTGGCAGCCGATGTAGACTGTGGATGCGGGTGAAGGAGAGGGGTGTGGAGATGAAGGTGCTTTTGTGCACGGAGCGCAAGGCTTGGACCGGAGGGTTGTCGTCTTCCATGGATGTCTGTAGGGTTCTGGGTTCAACGAGAGGTCGGGGTCCAAAATGCAAGAGTGGGTAATCAAGATCTTTGGGGTGCCGCAAGAACCGTTCTTGATGATCCATTGTCCTTGAAAGCACGTGCAATGCTACCCTCCAGTACACAGAGATATATTTCCATGACCTTTGTCACTCTCTTCTTTTTGCCACCATTCCCACACTTTCATCGCCCTTAATTCTTTGCCACCCTCTGCGCTTTTTTCATCATCTTTGCCACTCCCTCCCCTTATCGCCTCCCCCGCTCACATGCCTTCTGGTCAACTTTACTTTCTGTTTACTCTTTCTTTTTGCCACAACATTCACACCTTCATCGTCTTTGCCGCCGTTCCCACACCCTTTGATCCCTCTTTCTTTCCTATATAAACTCGCACCTTCTTTCATCCTTTTCGCTTTTGTCTTCTCTCAACCCTCCCTTTCTCCATATCCTTTACCTTCCAGCATTCTTCCCCTCATTTTCACTGACCCTTTGCAGCACCATGGCCGACAACTCTCTGACCCCGCCTTGTCTCGTTGATGAAGAGGCTGTCTCCAACGCCATCCCTGTCGAGATCCCCTCAAGCGACACTGTCGATGATCTCAAGATGCCCACCAAGACTGAGAAGACTAGCGACTTTAGTGATGTCGATGCAGACAGACTCGTCTCCATTCCTCACGACGACGACAACGACGATGAACAACCCATCCTGTTGGACAAGATTTCTGAGGAAACGAAGCTCAATGCAACCACCGATCTCTCTAAAGCCGTTGACACTGAGTTGCCCGAGGACACAATTCACAGTTCCGTCCAGCGCCCTACTCCAGGTAATGTGGCCTCACTTTGCTTTCATTGACACCTTGAACATACTCCTGTAATTGGTAAAGTCTAAATGATGGGTAAGGTTTGTGCTGTTTAGCTAATCTTCCTTTTTTTTCCTTTGATCCGCAGCTTCACCCACACGGCCGATATCTGTTAGGGCCAGTGACATCGAGAAGGAGGTGGCAGGCATCCTCGAATCCTTCAGTTGTCGCCATGTCACCCATGTTGTCGATCCAAAGGACATTGAAACCGCCCAGAGGGAAAGACTAGGACCTTTTTACAAGAGAACCTTGTCATATCACGATTCAGCGACAGACACAAGCCTGGTGATGTTGGGACTGGCTCTGGGCAAGCAAGCCAAGACGGGGTATGACAAGACTCTTCAATATTTTGTCGAGGAAGACTTTGGCTTGTGCGATAGTCACAGCGTAGTCGCTATGGTTGCCCCTCCTGGCTCAGGAAAGACTGCTACTGTCATTGATCTGGCAGCCAAGCATTTTGTCGTCTACTTTGCCTGTTGTTCTGCGGGTGCCACTGACTCTCCTGACTTCAAGGATCCAAACTTTGTCACGCTGGCCAAAGATGTCGAGCGTATATACACGGACAGGACCGACAGGGAACCGATGACATTGCACGAATTGTTGGATCTCGATTCTAATGTGAAGGCACTCGTAGGAGAGCGCGTTGAGCTCGAGATCCTTGCACGATTGCTTTTTCTGCAGCTGCTTCTCACCAACAATCCTGGTCTGGAACCAATTCAGTTTTTCCGTGAGCAGATTACCGGAGGAGCCTCAACTATCGGCGAGCTGGTCGACAGGCTTCGGGAGTACGACAACAACACGATTCAAGATATGCTCAATGAGGTCCAAACCAAAGTTAACTCGCTTCTTGGTATTAAAGGAGTCTGCCTAGTAATTGCTTTAGATGAAGCTCAGGTTGCAGAGAATGGGATCTTGGCCGACAAGCTCGTCTCGCCATACGCTGTGGCCGCAAGGAGAGATAGCCTTTTCGACGGCAACAATCAAATCAGGTCTCAGCTCCGCCGCGGCTTTCTCACGCCTTTGTCCGCAGCGTTGAACAACATACAAGCAACACTAGTGACTCTTGGCACAACACTCTCGCTGAAAGATACCGATCATGTGTACACCGATGTTGGCAAGGAAACCTACTTTAAAAAAATAATGGACTTCCCTCGCTTCGATCCAGATGATGTCGACAGAATTCTCTCGGATCTGGTCGACATGTCCGACTGTGAAATCTCACCTGCCAAACGCCACAAGCTAACAGGACGAGCCCAATTTTCCGTTGGTGTCGTCGACCGGCTCATCGAAACCGGCTCTATCCAGGCCTCCAAGCAAGATATTCTAGATAACGCCATTGGCGGCACAATTGAGCATGTGATGGGTGTACTTCGGAAAGGGGTACGCACTATTCTCGAGAGCGACAACACAGGCGAGGATGCGCGGCTTTTTAGTCGAATGGTCTTGGCATATCATCTCCAAGGTGACAAAATTTCGTTTCCGAGCCGACGCCAGTCCAGCTTTGTGGAAATGGGCTTGTGTAAGCTTCTGCCACATCGCAATGGCGACATTCACTTGGTGATGGACGAGCCAATTGTGGTTGATGCGGTAGAGGAGGAACTTAAGGCTTCTCACGAGGATTCTGCATTCTCAGAGTACCTAAGTCTACTCTACCAGAGTGTCGCCGACTTTGGCGTGGCTTCAACGTCAAAGGAAGATACTCTGGAACTACTTGTCCGTCGATCATTTCAACGATTCAACGGCTACCGTTTGGTTGATCTTCCATTCCTTCGAGGTGTCACATTACCCGCCTGGTGCTATACTCTCCAGTTTCAAATTGACAGTATTAACACAGCCAAAGGATTTGGATACACCGCCATTGGAGCTCGCGCCGATCTCGCCTTCCTCACCGAACGTCCTCCAAACAAGATGCTCATTGCTTGCTCAGGCGCATGTCCGCATGGATCCTGGTTTTTCTCTAACAGAAGGTACGCCGGCTCTCTTGCAATCCAGTTCTACAGCAGCCGTCTGGCAGGTCGCGTCAACGAGTCCATTGAATATTCCAGTGATATTCGACGTTCCTTCTCGCCGTATTGCGGCTACTCGAGCCGATCCTTGAAAGACGGCCCATCCTTAAAAGACATTCGAAGCGACTTTGAGGATTCTCGTACTCCATCTGACCTCAGGGGGACCCTCCGCATCCATGTCGTATTCCCTAACGCCGAGAGTCGTACGCCAGCTACCCACGCCTGGAGAGAACATGTGACTGGGATCGAGGATGTGATGGTGTACATCAACCTTTTGAACATGGACGATTTGTTCTATGAGGGGATCTCAGAGCAAAAGGACGATATGGCCCTTCTGAAAAAGTTGATCAGATTTGTCTGCCAGGAATAAATACTTTACGATTTGCAACCTTGTTTCTCATCTTTTTCAACCTTTTGTTATGATGCTACTTTTCTACCTTTACGCTACCCCATGCAGTCGAAAGTTGCAATGTATAAGAAAACACCTGACTGTGGCGGTACGACCATGGCTGAATTAAAAAAAAGGATATATTCGATGACGGTTGACCAGGAACCATCACTCTGTTTCATACCGTCAATCAACTGATGGTTCCTGGATGTGTGTTCTGGCGAGTGTTGATGGTATTAGTTGACAGTGGGTTCGCCACCAAGGTGTTTGATTTCGACCGCATCGACAAAATGGAGCTCAGAGAGTTCATCGGAATGGGTAAACGAGCTGTCGTTTTAATTTCTGAAACAAAAGAAAAAAAGAACAGGGACTATCTTTCCGCCACAACTTCAGTCTTAAAAAAGTAACGACTGCTTCTACTAAACAACCGCCTTGTCTTTTTGTCGATGAGCTGCTGGACCTCGGAAAGTTTGGCCCTAGCATCTTCATGCCCGAGTTTGGCAGCCTTGGTGTACCACTCCTTGGCCTTTGAGTAGAACTTTGGGACGCCTTGACCTTGAAGATACATTGAGCCGATGTCGTACTGGGAACCTGGACAATTATGGTTCGCCGATTTGAGGAACCAAACCATAGCCCTCGAGTAGTCTTGCGGGACACCTTGGCCGTCGCGGTACATTCTGCCTATTATATTCTGAGCGCCTGGTGACCCCATATGAGCGGCCTTGAGAAACCAAACAAAAGCTATGGTCTCCCTTTCAGGTACAGAGAGATCACTTATGTACATCAGTCCCATAGCCATTTGGGACCAGACGTCGGTATCCTTGCGGCTGGCGGCCTTGGAAAGCCAGTCGAGACCAATGGATCTGTCCTGTGAAACCCCGATGCCAATCAGGTACATGTGGCAGATCATGGCCTGGGCGGCTGGAAGGCCTTGGTCGGCTGCTCGGAGATACCACTCCATCGCATTGTCGTAATCACGCTGAACACCGTGACCCATTTCATATAGGTTTCCGATACTGCACTGAGCGAAGGCATATCCTTGGTCGGCGGCCATCAGGTACCAGTCCATTGCCGCCGAGTGGTCCATTGCGCCAACAAGGCCGTAATCATACACAAGTCCTACATAGCACTGCCCTCCCGCATCTCCCTGGTATGCCGCTTTCTTGTACCAACTCAATGCTGTCAAATGGTTCCGACCCACCCCAAGTTCCAGGCGGTAGAGGTGTCCGAGGTTGCACTGTCCTGCCGGGTCTCCTTGCTTAGCCGCCTTGAGGTACCAGTGGCGTGCCTCCTCAAAGTCCTGCTCAACACCGTCTCCAACCCTGTACATATCTCCCAGCTCGACCTGTGCTTTAGGGTCACCGAGAAAGGCCTTGACGACGATGGGCGAAATGACCCTGATAGCGGCAGTGGCAGTGAGGTCCTGAGGAGACTGGTGACTCTGGGAGGTGCTTGTTGGTTTGTCGTTGTTTGCTTGCGCGCTGATATTTGTCGACTCACTATCGGTATCTGATGCATTGTCTGTTGACTCGTTGGGGCCCTCTTCTTGATCGGCAGTCGGGGATGGCTGAGATACCATGGGTTTAGGTCGGAAATCAGGATGGTCGATATGCGAGTAGTTTTCCATAGCCGTTTCCACCAATCCATTCACTGGGTTGAGTCTGGGGGGGTTAGAGACAGGAGAGGTGGTGAGTTTCAAAGTTGTATCCTCTTGAGGGGTATCCTCCTGAGGGGTGTCCTCTTGAGGGGTGTCCTCTTGAGGGGTGTCCTCCTGAGGGGTGTCCTCTTGAGGGGTGTCCTCCTGAGGGGTGTCCTCTTGAGGGGTGTCCTCCTGAGGGGTGTCCTGAGCTGTCGCTTCCTCGGGGGTATCTGTCAGTGCCATCTGCTGTACAGCCGCCTCCAGGCGCACTAACGGGTTATCGACAACAATATCCAGGACCACGTCTGGGACCGCAGCAATGCGCAACGGCTTTAGACTAGCATGTTTGACATGAGGATAACAGATATATTGGCCATCAAGCGCTCATTGAATGCAGCAAGCAATTGCATTGTCTTTTTTTACTTTTGCGTGCGAATACAATATCAGTTGAAATACGTACGGCATCCATCCGGTGTCTTTCATGAAGGGGACTAATTTCGCCCCATGTCGGACGTAGAGCGCATCGGCAAAGACGAGGCGGATATCGTGCCATAGCACAAAGCTCTCCCCAGTAGCGGGATTTGAATAACAGTCGAAGTATACTGTTGGCGCAGGCGTTTTGGTTGGGGAATTGAGGTTGTCCTTACTCAAAGGGCGGACGGCCTGGATTTGGGGTTTTTTGGTTACCATCGCTTGGTGAATGTGGACTTGATGTGACACTGGATGCAAAAGGTATCGGGAGTTTGTTGAAAGCGATGGGGATGACGAAAACGAGATGAAACTGCACCATGGGGGGAAGTGGGAAAATCACCTGACTGGGGCGAACTGAAATCTTTCACATTTCAATGGTTGTTCAGGCTGGCGCATGGATCGTGTGTTCAGACCTGTCTGGACCAACGAAGCAAGGACAGAAGGTACCCTGGCCTTCATCCCCCGTGCTGAACGCACCACAGGCCACCGATCACATCCAGGTCTGGAGGACAACCATGCCCAGGACCGTTTCAAGGCTCACCCCACTCTGCAACGCGCACTGGACACACCGGGTCCGCTATCACTACAGGATGATCTTGCAGAGCGCCTTAATGAGATCACCATCACCCAATCGGAGAACGGTACCCTTGGACTGGCCAGTACAAGGACTTTTCGACGAGCAATGTTCTCCAAAGTCTACCAGCCCCCGACACCACCACCCCGTCACCCACCAATGATCGCACCTCACCCACCGCTGACGCCTGCCTTTTGGAACGAGTTCTGGAAGAACAAGCTCCCTCACAACGCACGCAATGTCTGGTGGCGCCTGCTGATCAATAAGCTCCCGTCTGGTAGTTTCCTCAACTCTATTCTCCCCGACATGGTCGAGAGCCCTATTTGTCGCATCTGTCAAGTGCACATGGAGACGAGTCGGCACCTCCTCTTCAGCTGTCCCAAGAAGCTGGAGATCTGGGAGGGAGCACTCTCGAGATATGTGGAGGAAAGAACATGGACAGCCGACTTCGTCTGCAGCCTTTTTTTCCCCAGCCCAGAGTGCATTGAACCCCGCGACGGTTTCCCTCTTTTTCTCCTACTCGGCGCCATCCTGGCCACCGTCTGGAGATACCACTTTGCTTTCGTTCTCGAAGGCCAGGCCTTCGAACCTCGGATCGTCCTGGCGGCTGTGGACCTGGCCGTCACCCAGGCTCGAGCCCAGCTGGCGGAGAAAAAACGTCAGAACGAGAAACAACAACCACCACCCCCCGTCGGGCCGCCCCCTGCCGAAACCTTCTTGTACTCTATCCATCTTTGTAATTTATCTACCATGTTTTATCCTTCGGTTTTCGGTACACTTATTTTTTCCCAGTTTAGATGTAACTTTCATGCCTCCTTGGTTATATCCTTTTGAACGGTGAGGACTGCCTGGTGAAAGGGAGTATTAGTTTACTGCCCGCACACCCACGACGCAATAAATTTCTTAAAAACAAAAAATAATAATTCCATGGTTGTTCAGGAACTATCACTTTGATTCATACCGTTAACTGATCTTTGATCAACTGATGGCCCCTGGATGGATGCTTTAGAGAGTGTGGAGCGTGCTGAATCACCGTGGCGTGCTACCATAGGTCTTACATTTTGGCCTCATATGTAGTAGTGGGCATGTTTATAAAAGAAAGAGGAACTAACAAAACATCAGTTTAGAACAAGTCAACTTCTTGTTCTTCTCTTTACGAATCAGCTCCTCCAGACCCTGGAGATCATCAGGGTCCTCCCCTGATCCTTGGCCCGAAGCCTTCAGATACCACTCTGTCGCCGCCCTATAGTTTTTCGCAACACCCCGACTATAGTGATAAATATTGCCGACCTGGAACTGGGACTCGGAGAAGTTCTGATCCGCGGCCTTACGGAACCATTCCCAGGACTTTGGAAAGTCCCGAGCGAGATCCTCGCCAAGAAGGTACATCATGCTGAGCTGGTGTTGAGTCTGTGGGAAGCGGCGGTCCGCAGCCTTGTGGAACCACTCGATGGCCGTGGTGTAGGTTTGGGGGACTCCAAGCCATTTAAAGTGGATGGTACCGACCATGAACAGGGCAAGTGCGACGCCCTGTGAGGCTGCCTTCTGGATCCAGTAAAGTGCTTTTGCATAGTCCAAGGGGACACTAGCGTCAGAGTAGAAGTGAATGACGCCTAGCATGAGCTGTGAGGGCGAATGCCCATGCAGTGCCGCGTTTTCGAACCATTTGAAAGCCTTCCTCAGGTTTCGAGGTGCACCTAGACCAGTCCGACACATGTGACCCTTGGTGAATTGGCACTATATCTGAAACTGATTGCCTTGTGGAACCACTCAATAGCGGTGCCCGTGTCCTTTCGAACTTCATCGCCCGTCTCCTTTCGAACTTCATCGCCCGTCTCATACTTATTGCCAATCGTAAACTGAGCCTTCGGTAAACCTGTTGAGCAGCCTGATAGTACCATTCAAGGCTTTGACGTAGTCCTGGGGCACGCCTTGTCCATTGGCGTACAGGTCTCTGATGCTGGCATATGCATGGGCGCGACCTTGGCGTGCCGCCTTGTGGTACCAGTCGATCGCCGCCCTGTAGTTCACCGAGCCAATGAGACTGAAATCGTACACCAGTCCAATGTTGCACTGTCCAGTCGCGTCTCCTTGATTCGCCGCCTTGAGGTACTAATTGAGCGCTGTTGGTGGGTCGCGTGTCACACCGAGTCCCAGGCGGTAGAGATAGCCGAGACCGTTCTGACCAGAAGTGTCGCCTTCGTCGGCAGCCTTCCGGAACCAGTAACGAGCAGCAGGATAGTCTTGATCGACACGGTCTCCTCTCCTGTACATGTTTCCAAGCTGGACTTGGGAGGCTGTGTCGCCGAGGGTTGCCTTGACGACTATTGGTGAAATATCCTTCACAGCAGCAGCGGCGTTAAGGTCCAGCAGAGATCGGAGTTGACTGCTGTGGAATGTTGGTGTGTTGTTACTCAATGGGCTGTTGGTGTTTTTTGCTGGTGGAGTAACGGTTATGGTTTAGTTGACAGTCACCTTTTTGGTGTGTTCCTGTTGAGGGCTTGGGATGAACTGGGCGGACAGCCTGGAAGTTGAGGAGGTCGTGGGTCATGGATGTTACAGTCCTGGGTATATGACCTGGTTGGGGAGAGGTCTTGGGATTAACGGCTGTGGTGCTGTTGGTTGGTGTTCGAGCGATGTCGATTAGGATGTACATGTACAAGCAAGAAAAGTAAAAAAGTGATGGACTCAGGGGTTGAAACCACATGATTGTGGCGTTGCGCTGTGACCAATATTCGACGATTCTTTTCCTTCCAGACCAGTTCGCCTTTCCTTCCTTTCCTTCCCTTTCCTCTTCCCTCTTCACCAATCCACGTCAGGATCCTCATGTCTTCTTGTCTTCCGTCCCAACAAACAAACTCACACCAACTCTGGGCTCTGCACTCATCCTCGAGGAAAGTGAAACGACTCGATCACCTCGGTCACACCCACCCACCCAGACATCGCTTCCCCTCCCATGCAAACGGTCATTCCTTTCCTCCTTTCTTCAGGAGAGGAAACATTGAGAATCAGAAATCCCCGATAGTCGACAGCCAATATTGGGAAGTGCTGTCACACGATACACTGCACCACAAAGGGCATCCGTGAATACCTCTCAAGAGACCAAGTCTTTTATTCTTCCTAACCCCCCCCCCCCCCCCCAATTTTTATGCCTTTTTTTTGTGCATAGGAGGAAAAGAAGTTTTCGGTGTTGGATATATAGGACGGAAGCATATCTGGATATGTGGATTAAATAAAAGCTTGAGCAGTAAAGACATGGTAGCATAGCTAGAATCGGTATGATCCTGGGGGTGAAGTTGATTTGTTGTGACAGCTCGACTCGATCCTTTCTATCGTCTCCCAGCGAATCAGAACGCGCCTGCTGTCACCTCACGAGAAATAAAGTGCAGTTAGCCCAAAAAAACCCCTTCTCATCCTTCTTTACCTTCTTCACTCTCCTTGTCACAGACACACACATTCGCCACCATGGACAACACAAACGAAAGGACAAAAACAAGGACGCGGACAAGGCGAACAGGACTCATCTCCCTCGCGCTCGCAATCACAACAACAGCCTGTCTCCTCGCTTCCTCATCATCTTCCACCCTCGTCAACGCCGACTCCTCTTTCATCAACACCATCCACAGCGACCCCGCAACCGCCGCTGCTGCAACCCAAAACTCGTCCCTCCTCTGGGGTATCTACAGACCCAACCTTTACTTTGGAACCCGTGCTCGTCTTCCTGATACACTCATGACTGGTCTCATGTGGTTCGGTACCCAAGACCTTTCTGGCCCTGACCGTAAGCGCTACTCTCTTTTTTTGTTGTTGCTTTCACGACGAAACCTGAAGATCAAATTCTCCTATCAGATCAGACTTCTAACCTTCCTTACTTACTTCTCTGTATCACAGATATCCGCCACGGATGCGAAGAACGTGACGGGTTCGAAAAGTACGGCTGGCTCAAACACGACGGACGGACGTTCGGAACTCAGGAACTCAAAGATACCCGCAACAATGTCGACTTGACCACAGAGTTCATCAAGGTGCCTGGAGGTAACCATGGAGGATCTTGGGCCGCTAGGATCTCGGGAAAGCCTATCCGTAAGGGAGAGCCCATGTCGATCTCGACTCTTTACTACATCGGCTTGGACGGCGATGGTCAGCTCAATGTTGATACTGCCAGCTATGTAAGTGCTGTTGCGTTGTCAGGAAAAAGTTACTTGACGCGTTTAGATACAGGATCGTATTTACTGACAGATAGATCGGATCGGTTTTTCGTTTGTGTTTCAACATAGGATGTCAAAGCACCTATTGTAGGAACCGCCAAGGAGTTGGGCGACTTTGATATCACCATCCAGCAAAGTAAGTTGACTTTTCTCTCCTCATGGGACCTCATACATGTGTTTCATGCAACAGGGATAGTTTACTAACCTTGCATTTCTCTTGCTTTTCGGTCAATTAGCCTTCGGATCTGAAACCACTACTCACTACATGGGAGCTGCTATTCCCAAGGGATCCGTGTGGCGTGCCAAAGGTATGTGTTGAATAGCACTGGATCTTCGCAAGTGTAACATGTATGCCAGACAGGACGCACACTTCCGAGGATAATTAGGGGCTAACCGCAACGTCCACTTTTCTGTTGTTGTAGACTTTGTAAAGGAGATCTTGACGCACAAGGCACAGGTCATGCAACAGCAGGGTGCGATTGACTTCCAACCCCAGGATTTGTACATTTTGCCTGATCAGTTATATGGTGACTCTACCAACATCCTTATCATTCAGATGAACTACGACTCTGAGTTTGAGGTAATGCAGCATTGATCGCTTCGAAAAGCCGTACGTAGATGACTCTTGAAAATGTGACACTACGGCTAACACACTTTTTGTTCCACATGTTTAGTTCGAGGTGAGGTTCAATTCAAAGTCGTCGCCCAACCCAGTCACCACCGAGACAATTTCGTCCGCAATCTCCAAGGCCGAGGACGCGTTTGACAAGCGCTTTGAAGATACTTTCCACCTGAAGCAGCACGGATACTCGGACTCGATGGTCAACTTTGCTAAGGCAACCATGAGCAACCTCGTTGGAGGTATTGGGTAAGCATCATGGCTCTGTTTTCGTCAATTTTTTGTTCTTTTCGTTTTGCGTTGCCCAAGTGCTCAAGAATCTAACATAAAGCAACTATTACGTTATCATAACTAGCTACTTTCACGGATCTTCGATTGTTGATGAATCGCCCACTTACGAGGATGGACAAAATGATCATTTGGAAGGACCAGTTGCCAGACGCCCTTCGCCCAACCCTCAGATGACTGCTCCTGCATCGCTGTTCTCGGCTGTCCCATCCCGTTCATTCTTCCCTCGCGGATTCTACTGGGATGAAGGTTTCCACCAAACCTTGGTCGGCCAATGGGACAATGACCTCAGGTATGAGAGACTTTACTATTCAGAGGATTCGTCAATATGATGATATATGCAATAAGGTCGCACTTACTCACTTTATTTCGTTTCTTTTGTTCTCCACCGACAATTCTAGTTTGGAGATTATCAAAAGTTGGTATGATCGTCAGGACAGCGACGGTTGGATCCAGAGAGAGCAGATTCTTGGCGAAGAGGCCAGAAGCCGTGTCCCTGAACAGTTCCAGATCCAGTACCCCGAGCATGCCAACCCTCCTACACTCTTGTACGCCATTAGCGGATACTTGGATCGTCTCAGCAACGCCACCAACACCTTCTCTGTTGGCGCCTTTGGTAACGCTGCCCAGACACAATTCAGCTCTGATTTTGCTGAAGGTGAGCAGGATGTCTTGAACGGACGCTTGGCGAATACGGATCTAGCGAAGCAGTATCTTGCAGAGTTGTACCCAAAACTCCGTACCAACTACGAGTGGATGAGACGCACTATGCAGGGAGGCATTCGTGAATATGGACGCATGTCGCGGTCGCGTGTTGAGGGTTACCGCTGGAGGGGGAGGACCAAGTCGCATACGCTGACTTCTGGATTGGATGATTACCCCAGAGCTGATCTTCCTAGTGTTGCGGAGTTGCATGTCGATTTGCTTTCTTGGATTGGGTTCATGAGTCGTAACCTTCAGCGTATTGCTAGCATTGTTGGCGAGGAGGATGACGCCGAGGAGTTTGAGGATCACTACAAAGCCATTGTTCACAACGTCGATGGTAATTTGTCACTTGCAGTGTACACTCTATGGATATTGTGCAATTGGTTTGCCTGCGTAATTGCTGACATAATTTTGTTCAATTTGTTGTGAATAGATCTGCATTGGAACGAAGAACAGAAGGCGTACTGCGACGTTACCATAGACGAGACTGACGAAAGCATCCAAGTCTGCCACAAGGGATACATCACCCTCTTCCCCGTCTTGCTTGGGATCGTCTCCCCCGAGTCCAAGAACTTGGATCATATTTTAGATTTAATGCATGATCCTAACGAGCTCTGGACTCCCTATGGACTTCGATCACTGTCGGCTTCTAATGAGCATTTTGGAACTGGCGAGAACTACTGGAAGGGGCCTATCTGGATTAATGTCAATTACCTTGCCCTTCATTCCCTCAAGACTGTAAGTTGTCAATCACTCCTTGATCGTTGCTTTTTTATACCTTCTCGGCTGTATGTGCCGTCGTTGATCAAGTTTGCCGAGCCATCGGGCTAACTATTGATATTTTTTGTTGCCATGCCACCTTGTAGCATTATGTCGAGAAGGGCCCTTACCGCGAAAAGGCTGCAAAGGTCTACAATGAGCTGCGCGACAACCTCATAAAGAACATCTACAGCGTAAGTTTTTCCTCCACTCTTGCACCATTTCATCCCTTCCACTCGTTTCTCCTCCTTTGCCCCTTTACCGCCTAAACATACGCTCGCCCAAACGTCCCGTTTTCTAACTTTTTTGTTTGTACTATTTTCCTAATTAGGAATATGAGCGGACAGGATATGTGTGGGAGCAGTATAATGATAAGACGGGCCATGGGCAGCGTAGCCATCCGTTTACGGGCTGGACTGCTATGATTGTTTTGATTATGCAGATGGGGCGCGCGTGAGAGAGTGGTGGTGGTGGTGTATAAGGATGGGTGGTGGATGGATGTGTTGGTAGAGGGTCTTGGATGGTTGTATCTAGCTGCGTGGACCCTTCTCTGTGAGTGTCTAGGTGCGTCTTGGTTTGTGGCATGGATACCCTTCTTACCAGGGTATATCTTTTTTTTTTCGTCCGCGCAGCTTTTTCTTACATTTAATGTACGTCATTAAGAAAAATATACAAAATAGACAGTTTGGTGGACCATCGAGTCCGTTTTATGTCCTTTAGGAATTTCGTCAAAAATAAATACAAACAAAAATGGTATCAAAAAGTGTGGTATCAAAAAAGACAACCTCTATAGCCCCTAATTACAATAGCAGATCCCCTCAACGCATCCAGCACAAGTCCAAGAATGAACCCCAGCCGTCTTCAGGCACAAGTTCACAATCGATAACGTCCCCTCGCCCAACACAAAGCCGGAGGCGATGATGATCAAGAATACTCTTCCGAGCTTCGCGTACTTGTTGCCAGGGTACTGCTTACAGTACCAGTCCCAGCCGACAGAGACGATACCTCCGACAAAGCGGGCGAGCGTGAAATTGGGGAGGTTGTACATCCCGATGGCGAATGCGATTCCGGAGGGGATGTATGTTAACCATTTAGGGCGCTGGATTGGGTTCCCGTGTCTGTCCTTGGATTTGAGGAATGCGACGTCAGAGTAGACGGTTGTAAGGATCGTCAGGCCGGCAAATAGGGTTGCAAATCCGAGGATGAAGGGCACGGTGTGGGCTGGGAGGGATTGTCCGTTGACGAGACGAGCGAGTTCTAACCAGATCCTTGCCGTCGGCACCGCGAACACTTCACCTGGTAATTCATAGGCGGCCGAGTAGAGTTTGTAAACCCCCGTGGAAATAAACACCGAAGCGAGAGATCCAATCAACTGTCCCCAGAATTGGGCCTTTGGCGACGCGCCCATGAGGTGACCCGTCTTCAAATCCTGCATGAGGTCGCCGGCCTGTTGGGCTCCTGCTTCCGCAATGCCTCCTGCAATGAGGTTGGCGACGATGCCGCCGGGGACGACACCAGCAAAGACGAATTGGGAGACTTTTCCGATCCCCGAGACGGGGTTGAGGTCGGTTGAGCCTAGGGCGCGGACGCCAAGGACGCTGAGGAGGGATCCGAGGATGAGGGCCAAGAGGGTCGCGTAGACGGGCATGTGTTGGTCGCGGAAGAGGACCCAGATCAGGAAGAGGCAGAGGATTGAGGAGAGGATGAGACCGCAGACCCAGATTTTGAGGGGGACGAGTTGGTCGATAGGTGCATCGTCGTTGTCTTCTTCGTCTTCCTCATCATCCTTGTACTTGTTGACGGCAGTAGAGGCAGAAGAAGTGGATCCAGCAGGTTGAGGAGCATCCAAAAGAATCCTGCGCTCAGCAAGACGGGCAACCCGGATCTTGTACCTCCGATGAGCGACCAACGACATAACCACAACCCCCAACAGCGAAACAATCGACTCTGCAATCATAACCCCAAGCGAGATCCACAGAATCCAACCCCTGGCACCTGTGGTCGAGTTCCCAACCGGCCCAGTAACCCACTTGTTCAACGTCGCCAACGGAGAAAGAATTCCCCAGCCTACAAAGCAACCCAACAACATGGATGCGGTCGTCGGAAAGCCCATAATGATGCCCTGTCCGATATAACTCAACGAGGGGGTGAAAAACCATTGCCAGGTGGCTCCAAAGGCAATCGTCATCCCGGAGAGCCAATCAAAGACGGGGATCGCAGCAATGGCGGGGACGAAGTAGGAGAGAACGGTGTAGAGGCCCGAGAGCGTGAAGGAGATTCCGAGAGCCGTCATGTTCATCCGCCAGTTGTCCTCCTCCAAGAACGTCTTGTCCAGACTGAATTCTCCATCCTCGCCTCCAATCTCGATACGGCCGTCCTCGCTGCTGTTGTTGTTGTTGGTGGTGCTGGATGAAGAAGAGGCGTTCTCGAGGATGTTGGCGCTGGAACCTAGAGGAGCCATCTGTTGTCCGAGGTTGGCCGAGAGTGAGGTTCGGTTATCCAAGGGCTGTTGACCGGTCGTTGTCGCAGTGCTGCTGTAATTCTTGTTGTTGGTTGAAGAACTTACGTGCAAAATGCTCGACTCTTCGTCCTCAACACCATCTCCATTCGAACGCCCATGATTCCTCCTCCGCCGAACGGTACTCTCACCTCCATGTCCATGCTTATCCTCTCCAACTCCAACAACCAACGGCGTGTTATGCAAAACCCCAATCATCTGCGCAGTGGCAGTCCCCGACGGGAAGGGCAACTTCTCCCTAATGATAACCTGCTTCCTCAAGGGCACCGCAATAAAGACCCCAAAGAACGCAATCGCCAAACACCAAAGCACCATCTCCCCCGCACTCAAAAAAACCGGTCCGCCAGGATTATCCTCAACCGTCATCATCTGCAGCGCCGGAATGATCCCCACAAACCCAGCAGCCAATGGCATAGTCCCCGTGGCGACCGCAATTGACTGGAGGACGATATTCTCAGCGGGGCCAAAGGGGGTGGAGAGGAAGGGCTTTGCGGCTTTGAAGATTGCGAAACCGAGGAGGGAGGATTGGAGGGACATCATTGAGATCCAACCGGTTTGGAGGCCGAAATACATGTTTGTGAAGCAGAGGAGTGCTCCTATCCCGATGCCCACTCCCACCGCTCGCCACTATAAGGTGGAATAATAAGACGACAAAGAGGTGATTAGAACATTGACAAAAGCCTGGTGATTTGCAGAGAGAAAAAGACGGACAGTATGGTTATGAATGAGACCATTTTTGATCGTAGAGAGTGATTAGCTTACTGTGAATTGAGGCAGGTCCTTGTGGGGGTCATGTCGCTGCTGTTGTGGTGATGAGTCGTTGTTGAGGGAGTCGTTGGTTGGGACAGCGGAGTAGACTGCTTGTGACATTGCAGCAGTCTATGTGTGTCGTTGTTGTTGTTGTTGTTGTTGTTGTTGTTGTTGTTGTTGTTGCTCGTCGATGTAATGTGTTGATGTGCAGTAGAGAAGGGAATGTGGAAGTGTGGGAAATGAAAGAGGAAGTGTAAATGTGAGGAAAAAAGAAAAGAAAGAGGAGTGGCGAGCTAGGAAGAAAGAAAAGGTAAAGGTGACGATGTTCACGTATTAAAAAGGCAACGAAACGAGAAGGAGAAAAAAAAAAAAAAAAGAGGGCGCCGTTGCGAAGTGCGAAGCAAAGGATAAGGACAAAAGGGATGATGAATAATACACCGTGGCCAATGAAAGCACAGAAAAGAAGGGGGGTCCTCCCACTGGCCCCTGTTGACTGCTGAAGGCCCTCCTCTCAGGTTGCTGACAAAACAAACAACCTGGATCCCTTCCTCCTTTGGAGGTGGCTACCCCACCGGCCTTTGAATTTCAATTGAAATAAGATTTTCCCAGAGTGCACTGCAAAACAGCCCTTTGTACAAATTGTATCATTTTCAAAGTCCCCCTCAAGGATCGTGTGCTCAGGAACTCAACTCTTTTTTTTTTCCTGTCCTGGGGCACCGTGTGCAATTTTCTTGAAACAAACTAGCAAGAGAATCAGTGCGCGTTCGTTCTGTTATTGGTTATGGCTGAAAAAAGAGACGTGCACCTCCGAAACAGCAACAAAGTCAGCATCGACCTTCTTTTTTTCTACAAAGGACCGGCACACAAACAAACATGTCGTCTCAGCTCAGGTCGAGAGCGAAGAACGAGAGATGGGTACAAGTACATCGGTTTGATAAGATCAGTGACCTTAAGAGTTTCATTTTCTGATTAAACGATGATGTCAACAGCTCTAACGACCATAGAAAACTGATCAAACACGCGACGCGATGCTTGCTTTCTAGCCTGTACGTTTCACTTTTCGTGTCGGAATGACATGCGCCTCGTTCTTCCTAGGGCTACTGCTTGCTCTTGACCTACGTGCTCCCAATGGCTACACTCTGAGAAAAAGTGGGCTGTATGTAAGCTGTATGCAGCACTGTATGTGCCCTATTGTCCATGAGCAAATGAGCAAAAGGGTAAATGTCAGCATGCATATGAAGGTGTTGGTACTCACAGAGCCTTGTCGTTGTTTTTCCTTTCTTTCTTCCTCACTCCCTCCCTCTCCACCTCACTCGCTCTTTGCACCATTGCACCCTCTTCACTCATTCCTCATTCCTTCTCTCCACTCTTGCTTTCATTGTCATCACCTGTACATCACTCCTCTCGTTTTCTTTAACAACCTCCTCCTTCTCATTCCATTCACCTCTCTTCTTACAACGACAACATGCACCAAATAGAAGAACGCCAAGAAAAAGTCCAGGCAGTCCGCCCTGTCTTCAAACGCCCACTTTCCACCACCTCTACCAACACCGAAACCACCACCTCTTCCTCTTGCACTACCGAGATCTTCACTATTCCCCAAGCAGACATAGTACACCTCCCCTGCCAAACGGACCCAGTAACAGGAACGGACATTGTGCTATGGGATGATGTGCTGGCGGTTTACAAAGATGCATTGTTTATTCGATACGAAGCCAGGGCTCTCCCGTTCATGAAAGACAGCAAATCCAATGAGTAAGTCGATAACCCTCATGCAAATTCATTGTGTGCGCATGGTTGGCATTGGCGTTTTGTGTGTTTTTCTCATTGGCCTGGCCTGTCCAGCCTACCCTGTCCAACAACAAAAGAAATTTTTGAGCCCGTGTCAGAAATGCCTTGCTGTCTGGTATACAAAAAAAAACAACAAAACGTTGCAAACTTTTTCACAGGAATGGCACTAATGTCCCTCTTTGTCATTTTTTTTCTTTTCTTGGCTCTATTTAATTTGCATAATCAGCATTAATCCTATGCGGATAACGGCCGTGCCCGATGCCGTGCTCGAGATTGTTATCGACGGACAGGTCGTTCACGCCTCTACAGCCTCGCCCCAACAACAGCAACAATGTGCCCCAAAACAGAGTAAACGCAACCCATTGGTCATATCAACAACTGCATCTGTGTCGTCTGAGCGGTCTCATAGCCCTATCTCGATTCGACGGGATCCCCTGCATAACCCTCTTGCGATGGGGTTCTCGACGTTGTCGTTGAGGGCACCACAGTATGTGCCTGATGTCTTTGATGGGCTTGACGATGAGGGGGATTTTGAGCCTTTGGACAATGACGATGGTTATAACGATGTCGGGGATGCTTTGGCCAACGCTCATATATCGAATCAACACTCCGACGGCGAGCATGGAACACAATCGATTTCTCATCCGTCACACGCCGATATCCCACAACTGCCAACAAACCCTGACGAACAACCTACCAAGGAGTCTGTCGCCCTTTACTACCGAACTGGACGTAGTTATGAGAGAGTCGAACCAGCGAACTCTACCTCTACCCAACATTTTTCAACAGCACTGGAATACTACCTTGCAGCAGCTCAACACGGACATGTCGAGGCCATGATCCGGATAGGGCACCTCTACACCAACGGTCGAGGCGTCCCTCAGGACCACTCGAAGGCGTTCTCTTGGTACCTCCAGGCAGCCGATAAGAACCGCGTCGTCGCCCAGCGGATCGTTGGTGGCTCCTATTTTCGCGGTCGAGGTGTTCTGCAGGACTATGCCACGGCGGCGGAGTGGTACACCAAGGCCGCTTACCAGGGAGATTCTCGAGCGCAGTATAATGTCGGGTTCATGTGTCATTACGGCAGAGGTGTTGAGCAGGATTATTCGATAGCGCTGACGTGGTTCCTGGCAGCGGGGAACCAAGGCCATGCGTTGGCGCAGAGTAGTATTGGGTCCATGTATGCCAAAGGCCAAGGCACCGTCACAGACTTTGGAGCAGCAATGAGGTGGTTCGGCAAGGCCGCGAACCAGGGTCTCCCTCTGGCGCAGTTCGGTATTGGCAGCCTGTTTGCGCAGGGTCTTGGAGTCGACAGGAATCTGGGTAGAGCTGCAGAGTGGTACCTCCTGGCCGCGCAACAGGGACATGCGGATGCTCAGAGTTGTCTCGCGAATATGTACTCGATCGGGCAAGGAGTCCCCCTCGACTTTGTCAAGGCACGGAAGTGGTTTTTGAAGGCGGCTAATCAGGGGAATGTCCAGGACCAGTACAGCATGGGGATCTTGTATAGTCGAGGGCTGGGAGGGCGGCACGACTACCCAAAGGCGATGAAGTGGTTCTTGAAGGCCGCCAACCAGGGACTCATCGACGCACAACACAGCATCGCCATCATGCACATTACGGGCGAGGGCGTGCCACAGGATCATGCAAAGGCTATGTTGTGGTACATGAAGGTTGCCGAGCAAGGGAACGTCGACGCGCAGAGGATTATCGGTCTTGCCTATTTCCATGGTCAGGGGCTTTCACAGGATTTCCCAAGAGCGATGGACTGGCTAATGAAGGCAGCGGACCAGGGCGACGCACGGGCGCAGTTCAACATCGGATCCATGTACCGGTCTGGAAAGGGCGTCTCGCAGGATTTCACAAAAGCTTTCCCCTGGTTCCTCAAAGCCGCCGAACAAGGTCACGCCAAGGCTCAATGCAGTATCGGAGGCATGTACGCCAAGGGCCAAGGCACACCCAAGGACTGTGACACCGCCATGCGATGGCTCCTCCAAGCAGCAAACCAAGGATACCCACAGGCGCAGTTCGATATCGGCAACCTCTACTCCCAAGGCCTCGGCGTCGTCAAGGAGTTTTCGGAAGCCCTCGAGTGGTACCAGAAGGCAGCCAAGCAAGGCCATATCGACGCCCAGAGCACCATCGGCAACATTTACTATGATGGCAAGGAAGTCAAGCAGGATTTCACCAAGGCGCGGGGCTGGTTCCTGATGGCAGGCGAACACGGAAGGATCCATGACCAGTACAACCTCGGCCACCTCTTCCACAATGGCCTCGGCGGCCCTCAGGATTACGAGCAAGCCATGAAATGGTACCTACACTCCGCCACCCACGGAAACCACACCTCCGCCCAGTACAAGCTCGGCCTCATGTACCGCAACGGTGAAGGCATCCCCCGGGATGGCCTCCAGGCCAAGAAATGGTTCACAAAAGCCGCGACCCAAGGCCACCCCGAAGCCCAGTATATTATCGGAACACTCTATCGCGATGGAGCAGACGGAGTTTACAAGAACTCTACCACCGCCATGTCCTGGTTCATCAAAGCCGCCAACAGGGGTCATAAACTGGCACGGTTCAGTATTGGGTGTATCTATCGGGATAGTCAACCGGGGATCCCTCAGGATTTCTATCAGGCGATGGAATGGTTCCTGAAGGCGACTTATTCCGATGGCGGTGACGGCGGGAAGGAGGAACGAGTGGAGGAGGAAGAGGAAGGGCTGAAAGGGATATCAGAGGCGGCGATCGGGAGAATGTACTTGAAAGGTCAAGGGGTGTTCCAGGATAACACCAAGGCGTTGGAGTGGTTCTCGAAGGCCGTCGAGAAAGGAAACAGAGGGGCGTTGGAGACTGTGAGGGTGCTTCAGAAGGAAGTTGAGAAGGAGGTGAAGAGGAGTAAGAAGGCGGCATTAAAGTTTTGGTAGGACCCCGTCCTCTTTTTTCGCCTCCTTTCTGTCGATTTGTGAACCTTGTCTAACTGCATGAGTATTTTGAGTATCCCTTCGATTGTCGGGGTTTCTGGTTGCGGTACATAATCTCACCGCACAGCAGCGAGTGGACTGACAAGGCAGGCAGGCAGACTGATAACGACGCGCGTATGAACTTGTGTCAGGAACGAATCAGTAGTGCCCAACTTTGAATAACGATGCATGTTTACCCCCTTTTCTATCCGCTTGGGCGCACTTACGATGACGGAGCTGTAGCAGAGTCTGTGGTGAACATTTTCGGTGGGTTGCTTTACAGTTTAACGCCATGAGCCATAGCCACAAATGCATTACTCGATTAGTGATGAACTATTCACTTTAATCAAGGATAGATCGTTATTTTTAACAAGAGCTATTGCAACCAGCTACTGAGATCGTTCCTAAGAAATGGACCTTTGTGAACCTTGATGTAACAATCGCAATCCACGTCATTGTCCGAGTTGACCTCGCAGTTAGCGTATGCATTCACGCAGATATATTTTCCCTTGCAATCATCTTCGATTACGAAGCGTCGGCAAACGTAGTTGCCTTTCGCGTAGACAACGGATGCAAGCAAGGCTACAATCGCGACGGTTTTGATCTGCATGATTTGACTATGAGATCTTGTGTCAGATAGTGAAAATAGGTCAGCTTTGAACTATAGCCGCTACAACCCAAGTGTGGTCACTGAAGTCCATCAAATAAAGCCTTACAGGAATCGGGTCTTCTTGAAAGAGGGGTAGTTGTGATCTCTAGGGGGCTTTGGAGGGGGATCGTTGGTCAGGTGGCTCTTGCGATGGTACTTGATGTAGTTTTGCGGACGGTGTGAGTATCGATACGAGGTGGGAGACTTGAGGTGGGCGTCGGTGAAGGATGATGGATGATGGAGCAGATGCGAGTGCTTTATAAATACGTGGAAGGAGCTGAGGGCTGTCATCGTTTGAGAACATTTTGAGTACATCGCGGCCACAACTACATCACATACCGCAATAGTGGTGTCCGGTGAAGTATTCATGCGTCGTGCATTTGTTCTCACCCCTGAGTACGTTCCCATAACATTCCCTCTCTTTGTTATGTGCTATGCACATATGGCCCTAAGCTATACTCGATCTCTTTTCATGCGCTGTGCAGATGATTCTTCCTTCACTACCCGAACTCTCGTGCGCTCCCACGCCCTTTATCGCGCACACTTTCATACTCCGTCTATTGGAATGTACTAAGAATATGTGGTTTCTCTCTTGCACGAAAACTATCCCCCATCCTTTATCCATCCGACATATAGATGTTTCCTTCTTGCACTACCTAAACCATTATGCGCTCCCAGCCCCTATCTCGTTTTCTGACGTTATGTTTCTCTACACGCTATTGCGCACACTGTCATACTCTGTCTATTGCAATGTGCTGACAATATGTGATTTCTCTCTTCCACGAAAATTATCCCCCATCTCCATCTCTTATCCATCCGACGTATAGATGGTGCTTTCTTTTGCTACCTAAACCATTATGCGCTCCCACCTTATCTCGTTTTCTGACGGTATGCATTTCTACCGGTACATACTCTTGTTATGTATCTCAGCGTTACTCACGTTATTGCACGTTTTCATGCACTTTTTCGTAGACTCGTAGTCTCGTAAACCTACAAACTTCATTGGTCTTTCATACAAACACTTGGACTAGCCGACTTGAAGTCAATTAAGGGTTTCCACATCCATACCAATGAATTAACCATGTACCATAAACCATTGCTCCCGACCCATTGATATATGCAGCATGTTCCAGATTTCTCGTTGCACTTTCTTTCTCTGCCTTTAGGCTACCACCCAACGCGACACTCTTTTCTCACATTATTCTCCCTACCCCCCCCCCCCCCCCCTCCTTCTCTCTTTTAAAGCGCTCGAATGTCTCTGCAATCAAGACAGCGACCATTATTATTTGTGCGCTATTCAAGTTCTTTGGGCTCACCTTCTTCCTTTCGTTCCCTACTGATGAAATGTTGTTGCGATAGTAAATGAACTTTGTCTGTGACAAAATCCATACTCCCCTGCGTCCAACGTCTTCCTCCACCGCACTTGAATAATTTAGATACTATGAAAATAGAAAAATGAGAAGCATGGTGGTTTTTTGTGTTCTTTTGCCCCTTTTTCACACCAACGATGAGCAGACCACCATTTCAGGTACATACACGACATAAAGGCCCCTTTTTCAGAAAGACTTGCCTAGGTGAATGTTATAGATAGCAAGGGGGGATGTTGCTGTTCTATCGTTCACTCTAGGTGTCCTTTTATACTATGTGGTTACTGAATAGAAAGGAGTGAAGGGAACTTGTGAATAAAAGAGAGAGGAACAATGACTCGGGATTGAACGGCGGGAGTCGGGTCTCCATCCACAAATGGGCCACGAGGTTGGCGAAAGCAAGAGAGAGAATGTGGAAGTGAACATGTAGAAAGTCGTCGACGAGAGAAAGAGAAAAATAAGAAGAGAATGTGAAGGGTAAAAAAGAACAAAAAGAGCAACCAAAAGAAAATACGACAGAGAGCGCGACTTGGCGTTGACTTGGGGACGTCTACGCAAACAATATGAACGAAAGTCCATCCGGGTGGATGACCAAAACAAAGGCTCACGCGGTCGTAGAAGTGAAGGCGAGGGGAAAGGAAATAGAAAATGAAGACGTGTGAAAAAAAGAGAGGAAAAGAAAAGAAAGGAGAAAAAAAAGGTGACTAGTGATTAAAGAAGGCGATAACTAAATATCATAAATGGTAATTTAAGCTCTCAGCCCATCTCTCAGGAAGGCATGCTCGGCACCGGAGTGCCGCCGATCCTCTTGTTGCCTGTACCATTAGGCAAGCAAGTAGATACACCTATTGCTGTCCCCACGGATCCTCTTCATCGTCCTTGACACGCTACTCTTAATCACATTCCTCTAAATTAGTCTCTCCTCCTTGACCTATGTAGTTCCTTTTTTCACCTTGGAACTACTACTGTATAGTACTGTTCTAGCCTCGCTGGCCCGTAAAATAAAGGATCACCCCCAAGGAGCATCATCACTTTTGCTTTAGTGGAGACCCTACTCTTGCGCAAGAGATAGTCAGTTGTGATGTCGATTTAATTGACCATGTGGAGAATGATATTTCACCGCATCTCCGTCTTCAGCTTCAAAAGCATCGGGCAGAAGAACGAGAACGAGAGAAGTCAGAACGAGAAGTCGTAAACACCTTGTCATTCGAGGCAAGCGAGACCATGGAGACAATACTTCATGGGATAAGAGCACGAAAAAAGAGGATGTGTATAGACTAGTATATGCAAACCGTCGTGGCAGGGCTAGAGCGCACTTTGCTTGAAGTCAAGGGTCTTAACGTTTTGGCTGCCGGACGTATTTGTCAGTGAATAAAGTGTCAAATCAAACGAACATTTGAATTCGTCAAACGAGTTGCCTGTAAGTCAAGTTTGATCTTTTCCATATTTAGAAATATCTGTAGCATTCAAATTCCAGCAGGACTGCTTATTTCGTCGTTCTCAAAAGATGAATTATCACGCCCATTGTCCTGTTTCCACTTTTTCTTCCTCACTCACCCATCCTTAGGCAAGGCTTCAACAGGCCGGGAGATCGATGGCTATTTCACCTCCATCAGCGGTACCCAAAGAACAACAGCTAACTTTGACGGTGGCGCTGGTGACAGGCTCTTGCGGCAGTGCCACAACCTCACTTTAATCTTGATTCAGCATGCCGCATCACAATCACTATGACCGGACTCGGGATTCGACGTTGTTTCAGCCGTCAGGCGTCTGGAGGAAGAGACAGTACCATTCACCAACGATGAGAGCCTCAAGGTGTCGGTCAAGGAGCTCTACATGACGTTGTAAGTCTCATAGAATAGGTTTCATGGCGTTGTATATGTTGCACATGTACATCCCTTCTGCGCAACATCTTCTCCTTACTATCACACCCTGCATTGCCATACTTTGTCGCATTGAGCAAACGCTCTATCGTCTATGCTGCTGTTGTTTTCCTCTGTGGCACACACGCTCCAAAGTAACCCAATGCATTTCTCTACAAGTTTACCCACTGTTCGATTCTTTTTCCCTTTTCTTGCCCTCCCCTACCACTCTACCTTTGAGATTTGACTATGGGACATGATGACCGCCTGCGACTAACTTAAGGGATCGTTGACATTTTTATTCCCTCTCACTAAATAAATACCCAATACATCCTCGCTCTCCTCACCTCTTTTTTGTTGTCTATGTTGCTGTTTCCTATCAAACCCTTACTCCTTTCCTCACATCCGCACTTGTTTCGACCCCGTCCTTTTTTCTTCCTTCTCCGATACTATCAATACGACCTCTCTCTATCCACCCATCCCTCCGCATTCCACCAACGCTCACAAAACAATAACATAATCACATGTCCGCGGAGAGGCAATCCGAAGAATCGGTAGACAATGATCAGACCTACGAGATGGAGAATGAGGATACTATTGCCTCCGTCCCCTACTTCCCTTCTGAGCCCAGGGGTAAAGACGAATTCGTCGAAGAGCTCGCGAGAGTTTGTACTGATCCTGGGTCGTTGGAAGAGGGGGAGAGTGCAGAGGATGATCTCGACGAGTCCATTCGTCTTGTCCCCAAAATCGTCCGAGAGGTCGTATCCATGGAGGACGATCCTACCCTCCCCACCCTTACATTCCGGTAAGTTACTATTCTTGTCTTTGCGTTTTGTTTACTTTCACACTAGTCTCTAAGCGCCACTTACTTTTTTGCCCCACCCTCTTTCACATCTCACTCCACTCTTTGTGTAACAGTTACTTTGTGTTGAGCACCATCTTTGCTGCGTTGGGAGCAATGATCTCCCAGATCTCATGGTTCAGGACAACAGCTGCATCTTTTTCAATATTCTTTGTCCAGATCGTTTCCTATTGGCTAGGCAACATTATGGCCCGCGCCCTCCCAGCCAAGAATGTCACCCTCTTTGGCGCGTTCGCGTTCTCCCTCAACCCTGGTCCCTTCTCCATCAAGGAGCACGTTCTCATAACTCTTGCGTAACGTTGAATGAGATAAAACAACAAAACTGAGAAAAGGGAGATGCATTTTTTTGCATGAATGGAAATTATTTTTGCATCTCCTAAACTGACAATGCTCCCCTTATTATATTCTTTCCCTCTTGGTTTTCCCTTTGCCTTCTGGCTTGCCTAATGGTAGCTCGAGTGCTGGAGCATCGAACAACTTGGGAGAGATAGTGGTCGCAGTCAAGGATATTTTCTATGAGGAGTACATGCACCCCTTTGCTGCCCTTCTTCTCATGTGGGTACATTGTCGCTCACTGTCCCCTTCCATCCCTGGTCCTACATGCTTGTGCTTGTGCTTGTGCTTGCTTGTACTTGCTTTCTCTCACATAACCCACCTACTTTCCCCTAACTTATCTCTCCCCTCTCTCTCCATCTTTTGTTCTCTCAACCCTTTCCTCTTCTCCAAACATAGGCGACCATTTGGACAGGATTCTCCTTTGCTGCCATCGGTCGCAGCTTTCTCCTCTATGACCCCGACTTGATCTGGCCTTCGGCACTCATGCAATCAGCCATGTACCGGACCCTTCGCGGGGAAGGGGGTCAATCCCACGATGTCTCCCGGAAACAGATCCGCGTCTTCTGGGTCGTCCTCATCGGCAGCTTCTTGTGGACATTCTTCCCAGAATACATCTTCCCCTTCACGTCCTCCCTTGCGGTCCTCTGCTGGTTTGCTCCGCGTAATGATACCGTCAAGTTCGTCTCTAGCGGGATCGGAGGGATGGGCTTTTTGAACTTTACGCTCAATTGGTCCAATATTACGTCGAGTATTATGGTCTCCCCCTGGTGGACGCAGGTCATCTCATTTGTTGCGTTCGTCGTCTCGGTATGGATCCTTGTCCCGATCTCCCACTTCACGGAACTCTGGAGTAACGGAATCGCCATCCCGACCATGTCCAACCGTCTCTTCCAGGCCAACGGGACCAAATACCCCTATGTTCAGCTGACCGACAGACAAGGGGGGTTCCAGCAAGAGATCTTTGACAGACTCGGGAACGTCTACATGTCCACCTACAAACTCTCGGGGATCTTTTTCGGCTTTGCGACTTTTCTCTCGGCCTTTGTCCAGCTCTTTCTGTTCGGTCGTGGCAAGATCTGGACGACGATTCAACATCTCCGGCAGCGTAGGCGACACTCGTTCAAGGATCGGTTGAATGTGTTGATGAGTCAGTATGATGAGGTGCCGTTGTGGTGGTATGTCACACTTTTTATGTGCTGCTCCATCATCATGCTGGTTATTATCCAGATCCAGGATCTGTACCTCCCTTGGTGGACCTTTATCGTTGCACTTGTTCTCGGGGCTTCGGCTGTTGTTCCTATGGGGTTCATATATGCCATCTCTGCTTATGAAGTCACCACAGGCACCTGGAACGAGTTAATGTAAGCCCATTTTTTTCTCATCAAAGTATGCATGCATTGTTGCTTCTTCCTTTATTGTTCGACCAATGGTCCCTTTATTCACGTAACATTCACCTTCTCTCCCTACATCTTCGCCCAACAACGACAACAGTTACGGATACATGGCTCCAGGCACCCACCCAGTCGGCTCGCTTGTCTACCGTGTCGTCGCCGGTCAATGCTGGTACCGCGCCCAAAGTATCCTCCTTGACCAAAAGATCGGTCACTACATGAAAGTCTGCCCCCGCGCCACATTCTTCTCCCAGATCTGGGGGACCCTCATCGGAGTTCCCATCAACTATGCTGTCATCCGCTGGGTCATCGATACCAAACGGCCCTACCTCAACGGAACCCAACAAGATCCTTTGGGTCAGTGGACCGGCCAAGCCCCACGGATGTATCTGAGCCAAGGGATCCAATACGGGACTGTTGGTCCGACGCGTCTGTTCCGGGATACTATCTACAGCCCTCTCCGGTGGGGGTTCCTTCTCGGCGTCGGCGCACCCATCATCATCTATCTCCTCCACAGACGGTTTCCCAAGGCAAAGTTCCAACTCTGGCATAGCACTATTTTCTTTTCGAGCATGGAGACCTTTTACGGGAACCTCTCTACGGGGCCGTTGTCGTCGATCATCGGAGGCTTTGTGTGTATGTTCTATGTGTTCCGGTACAAGCACGACTTCTGGGTCAAGTACAACTACTTGGTAGGAGCTGCTGCAGATACGGGACTCTCACTGGCGATTTTGGCGATCTTTGTTATCTTTGGGAGTAGCTCCAAGGTGATTGTGATGCCGGAATGGTGGGGGAATGACTCACAGTCTATAGAAAAGTGCTACGGTTCCACATAAGTACAACCATCCCTTCTTCATATATAAGTTACACTAGTCGCACTTTGCACAATGAATAGTACAATAGTATTATTTAATTATAAATCCTATTACTAATCCCCATTCCTCAGCCTCTCAGAGTTGACTTGAAGGTGGTCCAAAGTCACTTTGGCCTCCTCATGCCCTTGCTCCGCCGCCTGACGGAGCCAGTCCATAGCAGTATCAATGTCCATCGCGACTCCCTTGCGGTTGATATACGCATTCCCGAGTTGAAACTGTGCCGTTGCGTACCCTTGCTCCGCAGACTTGCGCAACCACTCGACGGCCTTGATATGGCTCTGGTACGTCCCTTGCCCAAGACTGTACATGACTCCTACATAGCACTGCGCCTCGTCATCGCCCTGCTCGGCTGCCTTGAGACACCATTCGAACCCTAACGCTTGGTTTTGAGGAACACCTTCTCCATGGAAATACATGGCCCCGATCTCTACCTGGGCATGTGCGCTGCCTTGTTCTGCGGCCTTGAGGAGCCATTCTTCGGCCTTGGCGTAGTCCTGGGGGAGGCCTCGGCCGCGGTGGTACATGTTGCCGATATATCCTTGGGCGGCTGCGAGGCCTTGTTCGGCGGCTTTGAGGAACCATTCGTAAGCGGATTGGTAGTCTACGGGGCCTCCGTGACCCTCGTGGTACATGAACCCGAGCTCGCACTGGGCAATTGCACGACCCTTTGTAGCCGCCTTGAGGAACCAGGCTCGAGCTTGGTCGTAATCCAGATCAACACCCCGTCCATTACAGTACATGAGTCCCATGTCGGTCATCGCCGGCAAGAATTCGTACTGAGCAGCCTTGGAGATCCACTTGAACGCCTCGCAATAGTCGGAGGGAACCCCCAGCCCCTTGTAGTAGAATGCACCGATCTGATGCAGTGCATCCGGATGACCTTGAGACGCAGGCCCGAGGAGCCACTCCATCGCCTTGCCGTAGTCCTGAACGACGCCAACGCCTAGACTGTACATGTCACCGATCGGGATCCGTGCATAATAATTTCCTTGTTCGACCGCCTTCACAAAGTACTCATACGCCACCGTAAGATCCTGAGTAACGCCGCCCAGACCGTGGAGGGAAAGATAACCCTTTGCAAAATCGCTCCATCCAGTACCATCCTCATGCTCAATGCCTCTATTGAACCACTCCATCGCCATCTCGTTGTCAACAGGGATTCCCTCGCCTTGCATATACACCAATCCGATCCCGAACTCAGCCTCCGCATAATGCTGCTCAGCAGCTTTCAGAAACCATTCCATGGCCTTTCCACAATCCTTTTCCACAGAATACCCTTGGTAGTACAGTCCACCAATACAGTACTGGGCCGGCGCATAGCTTTTCTCGGCGGCCTTACGGTACCACTTCATGGCCAAACTATAGTCCTGAGGAACCCCGAGGGCATAGTCGTATGTTTGACCGATGTTGTGGTAACCTGTTGGATCGTCCTGATCAGCGGCCTTGCGGTACCACATCATTGCGGCCGAGAAATCTTGAGTGACGCCATTGCCGAACCGGTAGAGGTCACCGATCCTGTTCTGTGCGGCTGGGTTGCTTCTCTCTGCTGCTTTGAGATAGTAGTCCATTGCTGCTGTGTAGTCCCGATCGACTCCTTGGGCGCGAGCATATTTGTCGCCCTGAGCGACGTCGGTATCTGTGTCCTCGAGACTAGCGTTGGCGATTGCTTGTGTGATCTCTGAGATGGCAGAGGTTGTTTTAGCATCTTGGGGACCTTGGAGTTTTGATGCTGCTTGGTCGGTGGTGATGGTGGTTGTGGTGCTGGGTGGGGTGGTCTCTGTAGAGTTGGTGTCAATGTCCTGGTGCTTCAGTCTACGTATCACGCACATAACAATGGAGAGGTTAGCACAGTGTCCGTGCAATGGCTGACGAAATAAACAAAATGATCACAACGGGCCATTGGCAAAAATATTTGCATCGAAAGTAACATCACTTACGGTGCAGGAAGGTCTGAGGGCAAAGAAGGAGGAGATGAAGGAGAAGTGGGTTCCAGAGTCGACTTTGTGTCAGGGCTGACTGTCAGGTCGTTAGGGATATCTGTTTGCATGGTGGTCTTTGTTGTCGTTAATATTGTCTCGTGTGTGTGGGTGATGAGAATCGAGAAAGGGCAATTATGTTGAAAAAAAGAGAAGCGATCGTGCTCTTATTTAAACGTCAAAAGTGGTGGGCTGAGTTATTCTCGTTGCGCTGAGGACTTGTCCCGACGGCTCATAATATTGCACGAGGTGGGAAACCCGAAAGGAATAGCAAAGTGCGGAGTCCGTGCGAGGTTCGCCGATGACGCCTGCTGATGACCTTATTTTTCAGATCCGACCCAAACCCAAAATGTAGGGAAAAAAGGAAATTTTCTTTTTTTCCTTTTCCTGGATGTGGATCAAAGAAGGCAAAAAAAAAGAGAAGGAAAGTGAGAGTGGAGAATGATGAGGAGAGATGGCCATTCGCAACGTATAGTACATACGTGTCCCAACTTCCATCCCTGTCATGGCTTTGACCCACAGCAGATGCACTTGTCATTCTAGAGCAAGGTCAAGTGGTTGTCGGTCATCGTCTTTCGAAGTTTTTTTTTTGATACTTTTTGATTTGCAGTCCCCGGCTTCTACACCGTGTAAATGTTTTTGCAAAAATGCAAAACAACACTCCTTTCTTGCAATGCTTGCATGTATAGGAGAGCCTCGGACTTTCATACAGAAGCGAGCACAGTATTTAAGTTATGGAACTTCAAGGAATACAAAGGAAGTCTATCATTTATTTATTCTAAGTCACTGTGGGATTCAATCCCAACGGGGCAAAGGGACCTTGACTGGCGTACCCAATGTCGCACAGATACCTACATAGGTGTGACTGAGGCGTGGGCGTGTACAGAGAGCATATGAGTCCTGAAATCTACGTTGCAAAGACATGAAGAAGTTGACTGTCTGCGGTAGCACAGCAAGATCGAAATGATCTCGATGTAGGAACGCCTTGTTCGACTGCCTCATGATGTACAAGCCTGGCGCATCTAAAGATATGACGTACAGATCCAGCTCATAACCTACAGGTTGAGAAAAGCATAAGGGTTTATGCGATATATATGAAAAAGGCCCAAAAGCAATTAATTTTAGCAGTTTGCCCATTCCGCTGGACGCATGCCAGCTCTCCGGTTTTCTTCATGTTCTCAACGCATTATGCAACATACCGATTACGACAATACCATACACATTGACGCCGTCCAGATTGATACGCTGTTTAGCCAGATTGTCAAGGCAATCCTTGAGTTGGAGCGCCACCTTCTCAAGGTCTGAGAGTATGGCTGTTGCGGCCTGTTGCTTCTTTTTTAATCTCGATTGTCAGCAGATAGAACTTCATGTTGCCATCCGCAAAATATGAATAAAAATCTGGACGAACACCTCCACTGTCACGGTCGATGCCACGCCTCTCCGTTGACGGCCCGAGTACATAGTCCCTAGATGTAATATAGAGATACAAAAAGACAAAGCGAACATGCCAGGACTTTAGAAGTCGCTGAATCATAACATCCACGTCATATGAGTAGCATACCAGTGATGTGTGCTGTGTGGTGGTCTGAGGGGGCTGAGACGCCTGTGTCGAAGTGTCACGACAGATACTATCGAGGGGAGGCGAAGGGAGAATTGTCTCTTCTCGCAAAGGCGCGGACGACCCGGTGTCTCCAGTGTCTTGGTCGCTCATGGAAAGGAAAGAAAGAACGTATTGGTGTGTGTATGTGTGAGTGTATGTGTATGTAGGTGTGTGTAGAACTATATATGTGTATGTGTGTGTGTAACTCAGAAGATGTATAAAGGGTAAACGACTGTAAACTTTGACACTTTCAACGCTGCTCGATATCAAGAAAGAAAGGTCCTTTAATGTTAGGACTATGCTATGTCAAACGTTCTCATCAATACTGCTAAGAACAAGAACAGCATTGTACATACCTGCTCGATATCAAGAAAGAAAGGTGCTGTTCTCTCTGATCTCGAGCTGGCTTCTTCTGTACTACTTGGCTTAAGGGGTTCCAAGCCGCCAACAATTCCTCTCTCTTCAGCGCACCACAGCTGTCGGGTAGATGTGTGATATAGGCGCTCAAGAACGGGTCGAGGCGCTTGCGGCAGAGACCCAACTCGTCCTCGGCGTTCAGATCCTCGTCCCATAAGATGTTGGTATCGATTAAATAATACAAGAGATCCTGCACTGCTTCTTTGCCTCTCCATTCTCGCAATTCTTGGCGTCCAGTCTGATAATCCATGGAGGCAACCTTGAAAGACAATCTCACGAGTTCCATAGCGGTCTCGTCTTCCAGAAGCATCGCCATGGGCGGCGCCTGAAGATTCGACCACAGCTTGCGGCAAACACACGCATACATAGAGCTGGTTCGATCGTCGCGCTGAACGAGGTAGATGTGACTGAGCATCCTGGCAATCAAAAATAAGTCGGCAGGCACAGTAGGAGAGCATGAATAAATAAGGGGCATCATCACGTATGTACCTACACCTCTAGCGATGGATGAGCCTGGATTCAAACTTATAAGAACTCATGAGGCCTTTCCAGCTGTCCCATCTCGCCTTCCTTGTTGTCAACCGAGACGGGCACTCTTTCCGCGATGTTGTCGCGCAACGACCAGAGTACTGTCAACAAGCTGTAGCCATCGACTATGAGTGGCTGCCGAAATGCTGTTGGATAGTGAAGGATACCAGTGCCGAGAGGATAAACAAAACGCCACTCCCTGCTTCGCTGCCGTAGTGGGGTCAGTACGGAACTGGTGTGTAATGGTTCGTAGGATTCTGAGCTTGCTGGTGAAAGTGATGCCGTATATTCGCAAAAATTGTCCAAAGTCAGAGTTGCACACGTAATAATATATAAAGCAAAAAACTATAAAGCTCACTTACCTGATGAAAGAGCTGAGTCCAGTCTTCCTCCTCCTCCCTATACTCGAATCGGCGTCGCTTCGTGGGAATTCATGAAGAACCTTGTGATTTTTTTCTAGCTTTCGCTTAGAGAGTTGGTTTGTGAGATGCCCATCCTCAAAGTCTTTATGAAGACCTTGGTCCATGCTTTATCCAATCTTGTGGCCGTCTCCCATAGCGTCTGAAGTTTGCTCTCTCGCATCCGTGCTCTTGCGTTACTCCATTCCGCTCTTGCTTTGACCTTGTCCAAGCTCTCTTTTTTCATCCATGTCAAAATGAACAATACTCGAAGTCATCTGGTCGGGCACATGAATCCGGGTATGGCCACGCGTAGAGGCCTTGCAGATCTTGACGCCATGAACCGGTCGACTTGGACGATATGACAGGAAAATACCTATGCACTCCAAACATAAGATATCGACAGTATGAGGTTCGAAATAAATCACACATGTCCTTCAGACACATCTTGCAGGAAGTCTCAATATCCGACAGAGTCCTGCTCGACTTCGTCAGAATACCAGGTACCAATGACAGTCATGCTGTACAGAACTTCTCGCAATAACAAAGGTTCTGCACAATGTTGAGATTTGCAAGAAACTCAAACACTGATCGTCAAAGGACTCCTCACGTTTGTCTTTGAAGAGCGACAAATGTGCAGGCAGAATGACTAAACACGACCCAACAGACATTGCTAGTGTTCGTTGAGATGCCAGGTACTGTCGACATCTATGTTGTGCAGAGCTTCTAGCAATGACAAAACTCTGCACAGCGTTGGAATATTTTCTACAGAATCCGCAAAAGGAGATTCCATAGGAAAGCTTCCAACGCTACTGCCGGCCAGACACGCCTTACCGTTTGTCTTTGCAAAGGCAAGGAAGCATGGTGGTGAACCTCGCGTCCCAAAGCAGGAAGGAGGATGGAGAAAACCGAATGTTGTTACTCACTTACCGAACAAGCGCGATATCGGAAAGAGGAGCGGGTGTTGTAGATGGAAAGTGGGAGGATGAATAGGAAGTATGGAAAGGCGAGCAAGCGAATGGATTGAGAGCGAACGAAGTGGAGCAAGAAAGGTAAATGAGGGAGAGAGAGAGGCGAGAGGGATGAAACAAAGAAAGTGGTAACAAACGCAGAAAGATAAGGCGTGGAGTGACGATAAAACAAAAAAAAGGGTGGGAGTGGTGGCAAAGGGAAAGAATGGGAGGTGTGGGAGTGAGAAGAAGTGGTTAGGATGGTGAGTGATAAAGTGAAAGGCAGCCTGGGAAAAGGACTGAGAATATTTGTGAGGAAATAAATGGCTTTAAAAGACTTGGAAATAAGACTCATGGATTCTCTTGTTAGCTTTTCAGCGTGTCATTCAATTCTCAACCTTCACGATACCTTCGCCACCAACCCGCCGCATTGACAACGCCCACAGGCGGGGGTCAGGATCGATGTTCAAGGATCCATCTTTCCCACTATTCGCCACGCTTACACCCATTGTTCGTCGCAGGAGGCCGCCCACAAGCTCGTTCATAGGCGCATCATGCAACTGGGAACTCAGTAGAGTTCGGTGTTGTACTTTGATGGCAACCCCGCTAAAGAGAAAGAAGGCGCTCATCAACAACGTGAGAAGGTCCGGCAGGATGCTTCGAAGAAGGCTGAGGAGGAGGTCGATGAGTTTGCGGGACGGGTGGACGCGGGACTTAGGATCCGAAAACAACATTACATCAACATATACAAGAACCTCAGCAAAGGATTCAAGTGGAAGGACAGCGACAAGGACTCAATGATTAAGTATCTCACGCAGGAGAACTGCAATGTGGTCCTATCTGCCACCGACGCTGGTGTCAAGATTGCGGAGGACTTTCAGAAGGGTTATATTGTCGTTTCCGTCGATTCTGACTTGGCGGTTCATCCCCGTATCTCGTTGGTGTGGCGTCCGATATCACAAGGCCGTTTTCTTGAGTACAGGTTGAATAAGGTTTTGGCAGCCCTCGGAGGTTTCAGCAGGAAACATTTGACGGTTCTCGGAATCGTCCCGCATAACGATTACAACAAGAACATCCATGGACTTGGATGCGCAACCAACTTTGGCTTAGTCAAAGGTCTACCAGGTACGTTTGTTCAAACTTGCATTTTGAGTTGTTTTTTCTATGGACCAAAAAAAATAATAAAGGCTCGTTGTGCTAAACATTGACAACATTCTTTCTTATTAGAAGGGGAAATTTCGATGATGGTGGAGAATTATCTTGCGGATCCCAGAGTCGCGCTCAAGAACAAGGCGGCGATCAACTTTGGGACGTCCATTAAGGTATTTGGTAGTGGAAAGCAGACGGCTCTTCCACGCTCTGAGCCTGACGCAGATGCACTTTCAGTCGACAAGCTCAAGGCCAAGTTTAACGTCGTCAAGGACCGACTTGCCCAAAAGACGAAGGCCGATTCGGAAGCGAGGCTTTCGGCGATGAGGTAAAGTTATTCGTTCTTCTTTTTTGTGTCCATTCTTACTTTGAAATTGCACTTTCTTGCTACGTTGCTGGTATTAATTATAGTGTTATTTGTTTTCGACAGTGCTTCGACCGGCGCTCGTGTGTACCGACACAAGGCGAGCCAGCAGTTCAACCGGTACAGAGTAATCGACCAACTTCCACCACGGGAGAAGCAGGCTCGCAGGGATAAGAACAGGATCGCTACTGGAGCAACGTCATCACAGCAAACGACAGCCTCGACCTCGTTTCGACCCCGATTCTCCTTGAAGTCCCACATAAGGGCTCATCATGAGCCTCCGAGGGCGATGAAGCAGTACACGCTCAAGCCATGGAAGAGCAAGACCGAAGACCCTGATAACACCCCCACCATGCCAATCAGCGACAATACGAGGAGCCCAAGGTGTCACTACGAGGACCCCGTCTGCCAGCTGTTGATGTTGATAGGATGACCAAGGCTCAACTGGTCAAAGCCCTTGCCTGAGCACCTTTTTGCAACCCTCGAGATTGGCACTGTTGCCACAAGCGTCAGGAGCGCATTGAAGTTCAAGGATGCCACAAAGGATCCGGTGATCGCAGCAAGGATAACGAGGTGGCTGATGAGACGATCAATTAGGAGACTAATCGAACCAAGCGGAGATGGCAGCAACTATTCGGCACCTTTATCGACAAAGTCAGGACTGATGGCCCCACTTAATCCAATGATGATGTTGTACAATGGTTACCCCTTTTTCGATTTCGCAATTGTGCAAAAGACATATGGATCTGCCAGACGCAATAATCAACCAGACAATCGTTTGTTTATTCCTGTCAGGATTCATGGAGATCAGCACCTTACACTCATCGACACAGGGGCAACACACTCGTTTATCAGCGCCAGAATCGTAAGTCAATATGCAATCCCGGTTAACAAGATGACAGGATGCATTGAGTTAGCAGACTCTTCAACCATTCAACGCGTCGGCGAGACCGAGAACGTGGAGGTGGTTTGTGGATCGAACTTGCTTTGCGCACCATACGAGGTTATTGATCAACAGCATGCCCTTACCGTTGGTATGGATCTCTTTCGTCGGTATGGCTTCAACGTAATAGGACTACCTGATCCAGTCAAGTCACCTGATCGGTTACCCATGCCTGTCGAAGACGAAAAGCCAACTTTGATGCCTCTTACGATTCCCGAGATCCAAAGGACGTGTGTCAGAGTATCCACTCTGTATGACTGTCAGGTGACGGTCACGCATAGGTCATGGATCAAATCCCGCCATGACCACTAATTTCGAGATCCTTCCTTTGCTGACTAATGGAGGCCTTTCACGTCCAAGTTATCATATGGTGTTTGTTACATCTCTGTAGATCTCGACAATATCCATAGCGACTATGGGATGAGAATGTATATATGATACCAAGCATATAAGACAACCATTGTAACATTTTTTGTTTAACTATCCTACTAAACACCAACCTATTCTCCAAACAACAAAGTCTTCTTATTTTTCGCACACCACACTCTTGAATATGTCCATCTACTATTAACCTGTAACCCTCACTGCAAGATTCGCCAGAGTAGTTCTTGTATGTCATCATCTAAAGCACTTGTACTCTCAACTGTATCTTTGGGGCGAAATACAGGGGAGAGATTACATTTTAAAAAAACATGTGCTGTCTATTGCTATTTTATTCTGTGTTCTGTTGCCCACTATGAAGAGATATGTCAGTTATGGAAGTAAACACTCCGTTCCTTGGGCTTTGGATATTTTTTATATGCCTTTTTATATCCTCTGCACATGAAGGGGCCGCTACCGAAAAAAATATAAAAATATATTTGTATTCTCAACTATGTGCTTGCTATATGATAGATACCATCCTACATGCTGTTGTGTATGCAGTTAAGTATAAGCCTTTTTAAAAAATTGTTATTGTTGGTTAACGTCATGACAATCCAATACATAAATATTATTATGGATCTAACAAAACACTTCCAACAACTGCTTGATGACCATTGGACTTTCCTCAACGCTGGATGGCCAACAATTACACCACGTAATAATCATCGTACTGTAAGCAAGGAAATTGGGTATATGCCAGAAATAAAAGAAACCCTAAATCGACGCCTTGGTCCTATTCCAGTGTACTTCTTTCTTGTTGACATCTGGCCAAAGGTTAAGTATCCTGGTCCATACAAAGAAGTGGAGAAAGGTCTTTTAATGCTCTATCATCTTGTCAAAGGACTGTCTATGGAAGCAATGGAACCACACATGCCAAAAAGTAGTTTTCATGCAATGCACTCTGTGTTTTATAAGAAAGAATATACTTTGCACAACAAGTACATCACCAACTGTATTGCAACAATGTTCTCCACAATTAAAATACGCCTATTGTCTGCAAAGGAAAAGAATCCTCCATTATTTAAGCATGTTACATTGCATCTTGATGGTCATGATACAAGAGCAACATACAAAGGTGAGAGTAGTGCTGATATGTACTCTTACAAGCTGAAAAAGTCTGGATTACGCACACAGGTAGCAATGGATTGTAATGGCATGGCTTTATTTGTCTCCAAATCTGCATCTTGCAAGAACAATGCTGATGGAACAATGCTGCTTACGATGAAGTTGGACAAGAGAGTGCATGAGATGGATTGCATTGCTCTCGATGGAGGGTATCCACAGTTCTTAAGGAGGCTTATAGATGAGTCTGATATTCTTAGAGTCCAAAATTTCGCTCATCCATACCGTAAACAGAAGAACAAGGAACTTACACAGGAAGAAGCGTTATACAATACCACCTTTGGTAGTTTCCGCTCGCAGATGGAATCTCTGTTTGCAGACCTTGGTTCCACATTTGAGAAACACAACAATCGTACTCCTGTGTTGGTGGATAAGAAACAAACATATAATTTGCAGTTGAAGTTATCTTTGTTACTCTTAAACATGAAAAAGATGGTTGCTTTGTTGAAGATTTCTGCAGAACCAATTCATACAGCTTGGCTTCGCGAAGGATTCGAGTATCCGACAACAGAGAACGACGTTGAGCAACCAATGGGATATGTTGATGTTGGTGCGCTAGTGGAGGATGGAAATACAATGGCACAACTCCAGAACGAATTTCTTGGTATTAAACTTCATGGTGATGTTGATGTTGATGAGGACACACCAATGGATCAAGCAGTAATAATGCAACCCGGCCTTTCCATTGAGCTTAGAAGTACGAATCGACAAATGGATGTTAATGGTAATCTGTAGACTTATTGCAGGTTTTTAAAAGAATAGACATACATGGCCTATTTAGTCAGCTTTAAGATACGGTATTAACTGCCAAGACGCTAATATGCACCGGTATCTATTATTAAAAGCCATGGTATTATTGTAGTAGATCGGATGCTATTCTATGCTATTCTACAGCATTCCTTTTTATTTAACAAAGAGGATAAACACATGTACAAACCTACGTCATAAAATAATACTACATTCTTAACCATTTTTAAACCCCGTCTTTAATGCCAAGCAGTCTTAATAAGCAAGATCTACGTCATACGAGGAACACTACATTATTAACCACTTAGATGCCTTTTTAAAACTCTTTTGTTACTAAGCGCCAAGCAGTGCTAATAAGCAAGCGCTATTAATGTCCATTGTGGCAGTGTTCCTGAATTAGTATAAATAAAGGAGTCCACTTCCCTCTTGCTTAATCTTTATCTAGTAACCAACCAACAATTATCCATATCTATACAACCATCCATACCTATACAACCATCTTTTATTGCAATTCTTTATATCAGTGTACTAAGCAGCTGCAATCTACCACACATAAACTGAAAACTCATTCACACCCACCATACCACAAGTACAATCCATATTATTCATATCCAAAAACATGAAGTACGTTCAGCTTACAATCGAGCTCATCACCAAGGCCTTTGAGACATTCTCCTCTAAGAAGGGAGTGGAGTTTAACAAGAAAGATGCAAATAAGATCTTTAAGGCGCTTGATGAGGATGAGGAAGTAGAGAGATACTACTTTTGTGGAGAAAAGTGCACCAAGTCCAAGCGCAAATGCATGAAGGAAGTTGATGATGAAGGCATGCATTGTTATGTCCACGATCCTGCGCGCAAGTGTCAAGGCACAACTATTAAGGGTGCTAATTGTGGTAGTGTAGCCAAACTTGGTCAAACATACTGTGGACGTCATCAAGATCAAGATAGAGGTTATATAAAACGTAGTAACAACAACGCACCTGTCGACAAGCGTACCAAGTCTTCCAAGGCTTTAAAGAAGACACATACTTCTAAGTTTGTGTCTTCCGATGACGATATGACTTCCGAGGATGAAGAACCAAAGAAGCGAAAGAGAAACAAGCAGGAGTCATCGGATGAAGAGCCGTCCGATGATGATGATGAAGAAGATATAATTGCCGTCTCCTTTCCGTTGAGTCCAAAGGTAGTTGACATAACGTCCAAGAAAAATGTACCACTCGCTAATACATGTATATGGACGCGTTATGCAACTAATCCAGCTTTCCTGTATGCAAAAAGCTTTACTGTAAATGGCAAGTACATTATTAGGCTAAAGGAAAAGAATCTCTACATTGCATTGTGTCCACCTAAGCTCATGGGCAAGAATCTCCCTGCGCCAGAAATATCTGAGAAAGAGGCACGCATATTGGCCAAGATGGGTCTTCAAGAGGCAACTTCAGCAGATGTAGAAAAAATAGAAGAGTCTTCTGCTGATGAGAATTCTGACGATGATACAGATGATGGTGATACGTCTGATAATGCTGACTCTGACGATGATTCCTCTAAAGATAAAGACTCTGATGATGGCAAGTCCAATAACAGACCTGATGTAGAATCTGGAGATGATACCTCTAAGGATAACCCTGATGAAAAACTATCTCATAAAAAGCCATCTAAGGATGATGAGAAGAAGACTTCTCGAAAGAAAAGGCATTCAGAGATGCCCAAAAATGCAGAGCCATCTTCTAATGTAGATGTTTCTAAGGATGAAAAAGATGAACACACATTTGCACTGGCCACAACGGTGCGTAACATTAGATCAGAGAAAGACATACCACTTGCAAAGGATGGAGGATGGATGGTTCATCCTAATAACGACATGCTTGAGTATGCAACTAACTTTACGATGAAGGCTAAGTACATTGTCAAGCTATGTGGAAAGAATACATACGTTGGCCTGTTTACGCTTGATCATCTGCGTGGCGGTGGTGATGTTCCAGAGATGGATATCTTGGAACGCTCCATGCTTAGCAAGATGAAACTTCAAGAAATGTCTGATGAAGAGAGAAAGATGCTTTTCAACGAGGAGGTCGAAGTAGAAGAGGAACTACCAGTGGAAGGACCGACAGATATATCCAAGATGAAATGGAAAAGGTTTCACAAGCAGCAATTGGAGTATTCCAAGAATGTACTTGTAAATGGAAAGCACATTCTCAAGATCCGCAAGCAAAACATTGTAGTTGGCTTGGTGACTGATGACCACATTAGTGCAGAGAATGTCGACTATGATAATCTTAACCAAAAGGAAAAAGAAAAGATCTTCGCTATGGGCTTTAAGCCACAATGGTCTAAGGATAGGTCGACAGAGAAAGGTGAACCGGTAGAAAAAATAGATGATGAGGTGCAAGAGTCGAATATTAAGGAAACTTTAGATGAACTTGTAGAAAAAGTAGATGATGAGGTGCAAGAGTCGGATGTTAAGAAAACTCTAGAAGATGGTGGACCTATGGAAAGCGAAAATGTGAATGCCTCAAGTGTTTACACTACAAAAGACCATCATGATTTTCTGAAGGCAATGGGAGAAGTATATAGCAAAATAACAGCTATCGAAGAAGAACTCCGCGAGGAATACGTTTCGGCAGATGGTAATGCAGAAGAAAAAGAACTAATTTTTCACCTAGGTTTGTTGGAGAAAGATTATTCCAACTACGAAACATGGCACATGGATAAGTTTGGTTCCCGCGAACCACATTCCGATATATTATGTAAGTTTGCAAAAGAAGGATCTAACAACAGAAAAACCATAGTGCAAAGTGTATTAGATAGTATTCAAGCCAAAGAGAAAAGTACGATGGAAGAAAAGAAGCCTCTTGAAGTAACATTTGAGACCGCAGAAGAGTAGATCAAGAATTTTAAAAACTGTAGATATACCACTTGCACAAATAAAGCTTTTATATATGGAATACACATGTAATATTATCCTCGTCCCTTCCAATGAGATTCACCAGATATATTACCCATCTTTTTAAAAACTTCCACCATCCTTTGCACAATTTACAATATTTCTTTCTTGATCACAGTGGTGTTTATCCACAATCTACTTATATTTAACATTACGAAAATTACAATAACTATATCTAATATGTTCTACAATGCATGCACTCTTTATGACATTTATTTTTTCACCATTGGCATATTTACCAACGATCTGTATAGGAGGCCGCATATCAACAAATATTATAACAATCGTAACTTCCTACAAAGTATGTTACATCAAACATTATAAAAACCACGATAACTTCATCTGAGACGTTCCACAATGCATGCACCCTCACCATTATTGCATTACCCATATTTTTTTAAAACATTCACCTAGGAGGCCTTTCACGTCCAAGTTATCATATGGTGTTTGTTACATCTCTGTAGATCTCGACAATATCCATAGCGACTATGGGATGAGAATGTATATATGATACCAAGCATATAAGACAACCATTGTAACATTTTTTGTTTAACTATCCTACTAAACACCAACCTATTCTCCAAACAACAAAGTCTTCTTATTTTTCGCACACCACACTCTTGAATATGTCCATCTACTATTAACCTGTAACCCTCACTGCAAGATTCGCCAGAGTAGTTCTTGTATGTCATCATCTAAAGCACTTGTACTCTCAACTGTATCTTTGGGGCGAAATACAGGGGAGAGATTACATTTTAAAAAAACATGTGCTGTCTATTGCTATTTTATTCTGTGTTCTGTTGCCCACTATGAAGAGATATGTCAGTTATGGAAGTAAACACTCCGTTCCTTGGGCTTTGGATATTTTTTATATGCCTTTTTATATCCTCTGCACATGAAGGGGCCGCAATCAAGGATCCTAGAAACCTCTAGAAGCCATTCTGGCTTCTGTCACACATATAAATAGTATAGTCATCCATCGTAGTCTAGTTCCACAGTTTATAACTCACTCCATTTATTAAACACAGCCCTCCACAATACAAGCCAAACCTTGTCACAAGGTGGGAGTTCCGTAAAGAGAAAGAGTTGTTCAGGAAGGAGATCAGAAGGTTGCTGGAGGCGAATGGGAAGAATCCCAGAACAAGTTACAGCCCTATTACAGAGATGGAGGTAAGGCTACCTGTTCCAGACAATGTTACCCTGAATCGCCGGTCAAGGGTGTTCCCTCATTCACAACGGCCAGTGTTGGACGACGCTGTCGCTCGATGGCTGGAGGATGATGTGATTACACTTGCACCAGCGGGCAATAACCACAACAATACTCTGACCTTAGCAGCTAAGAAGGACGCAAATGGAGAGAAAACGCTTTATCGTGTTTGTCTTGACCCACGCCCTCTTAACGCTTACTTACCTGGTGACAATTTCCCTGTTCCACTTATCTCAGATATCATGCAGTTTGCAGGAGGCAAAGCGGTATTCTCAACCGTGGATCTACGACAGGCGTATCATCGACTGCTGATTCATGAGGACGATAGGCCTTTGACAGCATTCACCCACAACGGCGTGCGATACATGTTCAAGAAGGCGCCGTTTGGGCTTAAACCTCTTTCAAGTTTATTCCAAAGAGGTACGTCCAGGATTCTGGGAGATCTGGAGTTTGTACGGAACTTCATCAATGATATTTTGATGACCTCGAATGATCGTCAGGATCATTTTGAGCACGTTAAGATAGTCATTGAACGACTTACTGAAGCCAAGCTTATCATAAACACTGATAAGTGCAACTTTTACAGCATGCAGGTGTCATTACTGGGCTTTGTTATTGATACCAAAGGCAGACGTGTTGACCCGAGAAAGATTGTGAACATCGATGACTGGCGACCTTCTACCACAGGTAAGCAGGTCCAATCATACATGGGAACATTTAACTTCTTCCGGGAGTGTATGCCTCTTATCAGTACTGTTGCGGCACCGCTTGATGCTCTCCGCAACATAGCTGGACCATTTGTACTAAATGAGCTCCAGTTACGATGCTTTAATTCATTAAAGAATATTCTTATACAGGCCCCAATCCTCTCGTTTCCTGATTTCAGTTTGCTATTCTATGTTATTGAGAGAAAGTGCATATCTGACTATTGGAAGACTCGCGATCAACCAATTGCTAATTCTCTACCGCAGCCTCGTCGGATGTCGAAGAGACACGAATCTGGTAATGAAGGTCAGAAGGGATCTTCAATGCAACGCAAGGGTAAACGTCTGTCAGCAGATAAACCCATGGACAGTACTGTCAATGATGCCGAACAAGGGCGTAAGCGCAAGCGCGGTGATGCAGATAATGCTAACGAAGCCACCGATCAAGCAGCAAACCGCAGTGGCATGCGTCAGTTAAGAAGTACGGTCGAAAAGAGTAGTAAGGAGATCAGCACTACTCACACGCGCAAGCGTGGTCGAACGTAAATAGCATCACAGAATGAAGTGAATGATGGCAAGAGGTTTTTCTGCTTTCCTCTTGAGCCATGCGTGAAGATATTTTTCCCCTGTGGTTTTACCTTCGCAAGACCTTTTTACACTGCTTTTTTGGTCTGAAATTAATTAGTCTGTGCACCCTGTTGCACAGGAAGATCTTTTGTTTTTTTAATCCTCAACCATGAAGCCTCTATGCGTGATTTCTTTCCAGGACGGCTTTCAGCCTTCCCGTGGGAGGGAGTTGTCACATATTTGCGTTATGGCACCCTAAGATAGATGGAGACAATAGACTAGACTACCCTTAAGTTACATACCAAGGACAGCATAATAGACTGTACCTGGTGTGCCTAATACAATCCCGCTCTTTGTCTCATCAGTTACTAAAGTACGTGTGCTAAAACCTTAATATATCGCAATCGGTTCTCAAACAAACCGGAGGCGCGGTCAGAGGAGCTGCAGTTGGGTTGGTAACTGGTGTAGCCAATGTTGATCTGAGTAGGAGTCCTCGAGGTCCAAATAAGGATGCTACTTTGTCCAATAACAATGGTTCATTAGGCACCAGCATAACAGACAGAAAATATAATAAAAAACTTTATTCAAATTGCGATGAGTTGATGTTGTTACTCCTGGTAGTTCTTATTGTTGACCTTTGCAAGTTCCAAACTCCGAGCATGTTGGCGCTTTTCACGAATGAGCTCCATCAACTCTCGGGCCAAGTGGGACTTGTAGCTCGACAAGGAGTGCGAGTTGACCCAGATGGACAAGACAATTGGATGTTGATTGGGCTGCAATGGGGGGAGATCAGAGACGTACGGCTGACGAGGAGGAGGAGTTTTTGCGACGGTGCTGCTGCCCCAGGAAGAAGTGCTTTTTGAGCCATTGTTATCATGCGTCTCGACCACCGGTTGCACTGGTTGCAGGTTTTTGATGAGTTCCAAGGCTTCTGTGACCGCGACAATCTGCTCGGCAAGGTCTTCAAACGACATGTTTGGTAAAAGGATGGCGGAGGTGGTGAACATTGTGTGTTAGTGCGTGTGTGTTTGGAGGTATGGGAGGATGGAAAGTGATGAGAGAAATTGAAGAGAAAAAATAGAAGGATGTATGCTCATTTCTGGAAACAACAAGCGTTATCATTGTGGCACTGCAGTCTAACCATAACGTGTCATTCCGAACTTGCGCCAACGGACATGAACTTGGTCTGTTCGGTTGAGAGGCGATTCGGGTGACTGCCAATGGGGAAAGTGCAGTACGAGCGATCAAAGGGGCAACCAGATGAAGAGGAGGGGGCCGGCCCTTGATACCAACCATTGAAGAGTCCTTGCAGTACATCTCTTGATTTGTGATGAATAAAAAGTGGAAAAGGCCAGCAAATGTCGTCTGTGCGTCTCTTTTACTTTCTGTCAGAGGTGATTTTTTTTTGGCTTGCGTGAAACGTTATCGATGCGGGCGGACTAAATCAAAGCTGAGCCCCGCCCAAAGGCCATGGCTTGGACAAACATCCCTGCAAGCCTTTTTTGTTGACCATTCCTCAATTGGACAAGCACCTATGAAAGATGCCATCACTGTGCAAGGATATTTTAATGAGTCCGAAAGACCTTGGGAAGGTGCCGAAGAACGATGCCAGGATGTCAAAGCTAGAGTCGGCAACACACAACTAGGAACGGCAATGGACAACTCATTGGTAAAGCGCAATTTCCGCTGTTGTTGCTCAACATCCTTCTTGACAGACTGAGACGACAACTCCGACATCCTCGCCGTCCTTTCCTTGAACTCCGTGGGTGCTTCTTCAAGTGTTCCATCACCTTCAGGGTCGTCCCCATCTGTATCCACTACCCGCAAATGGGGAGAATCGAGGGCTTGGCGGGTATCGTTATAGTTGTCTGTTGCTTGCTGGCTACAACAATTTCTCACTTGTGCTCTTTGTTGTGGGAGGAAAGGAGGAGACTTTGGACAAATTCTTGTTGTACGTGAAAATGTGGTCTCGTAGCATGTTTGTTAATTTTTTTCTATTTCTTTCACCTCTGTCACTCTTTCCACTCTTCTCCCTCTTGCCCCATCACCTTGCACCCTCCGTCACCATCAATCGACACCAAGCTCGCCAACACTCAGACAAGCAGGACTCCCAATACCTCGACACGCGCCAGCGCCAGCGCCCTTTTCAGTGTCTCGCCGACATTTCGCCATCAACTCGAATTCTAAAAGGCAAGTGTACAATGTCAGGGCAATTGATCTCAACTCAACTCGATGACACATACAGGATGCGAGCTTGAGGGAGTTCAAGAAAGCAGCTCATTCATTGGAGGACAAGGACCTAAAAAGGGCGTCAACGAGCTCCCTTGAACTCGGCCCCACTCGACTTCTGGACTGTAGAGTGGTTAAGGATGAGATATCCTCTCATCTTTGACCGTGCTGCCATCTGAAGTCGGGGCACTTACTCGTCCTTGCCTCTTTGAAGGATCTGTTTCATGAACCTTCTCGAGGTACTCATCATTTTGCGGGAACAGGAATCGTTGAGGATCAATATGGATATGCTTACAGGAACGCTTGGTCAGATTAGATTTTGGAGCAAAGAACACGCATGGCGAATTGACCTTGTTTTGGAGACAGCTTGGCAATCAAAGCAACAATTGACCCTGCAAAGGTGTTTTTAGTAGCGACCTAGAATGATTCACCATGATCTGCAGTTGACTCAGGCTGTCTTTTTGAATTTGCAGCTCATAAAAATGGTGGCTTGTTGATTTCTACTCAAAGAAAAGAAGCCGCGTGCACCATTTTTTTGTTTTCTATTTTCCAACTTTGACGACCGCACCCTCTTCTCTATCCAACACTTCATCCTCACACCCGTACCATATTACCGCCTATGAGCAAGACTCCCAGCTCAGACCGTGCCCTTTGCCTACCGGAACTACTGGCCCAGATAGCAGCCCACCTCACACCACCTGACCTCTCCGCCTGCTCACAAGTCTCGCGCTTCTGGAACGATAACTTCACCCCTCCACTCTGGCACACCATCAACGACCGCGACTACAATTGGCCCAAACTTGTGGGCTCTGATAGCAAGTACGTCAAAGAGACTGGATCCTGGATTCCAATCTCCACTGGATACGAGGACATGGCCCGGGAGATGTTTTTGAAGCATGGGCATCATATCCGACACCTCTCTGCCTCAAACTGGACGGTTCTCCGAGCGCTCGCTGAAAGCGGAGATAGTCTGCAGCTCAGGACGCTCTGGTTTCGTCTGCCCTTTAGTCGCACTACCACTACGGCGAATCGGCCCGCTCAGCTCCCGGAGGACATGGATGAGAAGGACAAGGAGGTACTAGAGGGAATCCTGCAGCCGGACGTTATGATCACGCAAGAATTTGACGCGGACACCTGGCGGTTGACGTGGCAGTTGTGGTTGTTGATTCTTCGGACTCCTGCTTTATGCAACCTAAAGATGTCAAAGTATCGGATGTTCGCCCAGGTGCTCTCGTCGGCGTTTCTTCGGAGGGCGTTGTCGGTACATCACAGGACTCTTACTACCTTGCAGATCAGTCACAGGCAACTGGGTTTGGTCGACTGCTTGGAGGTCCTGCCAAACCTCCGGCATTTTTACACGGCATACAACCCGATGAAAGTCAGACTCCTGCACAAGACGTACACTCAGCTTCGGAGTCTTTTCATTCACGCGCCCGTGTCAGAGCCGGCATTTTTCAATCTCCTCAGGCACCTTCCTGGCCTGGAAATCTTTTCTGTCTCGAAATTGTTGGATGTCTTGGATGAGGGTGGGGACGACGATTCTGACTGGGGCGATGACGACGATTCTGACTGGGGCGATGACGACTCGGAAGCTGACTACAACGATGAGGCATGGGATACTGACGTTGAGGTGAGCTCTCTCCTAGACGGCGTACCAAGTCATCTTCCGAAGCTTTATATCTTGACACGGTATAGAGAAATCGACCTCAAGATGCTCCATATCGTCTCTCGTATCCTTCCCTGTCTACCTTTCCTGACCGAGCTGTCCATCGACGCAGAATATCCTTATCTGGGTCCGCTTTTGGCGAAACAATGCCCACAGCTGGAGGCGTTTAGGAGCCCCGCAAGCATTTCTTTCATCCAGCAAGAACAGGAATGCAGCAGGATTGCTGTAAACGGGTTGAATGCCATTCTGGAGAGCTGTCGACACCTCAGAGTCTTTGAGGCGATTGCGAGTCGGATCGAGGCGGATCATTTGTTGGAGCGGCCTTGGGTTTGCGAGGATTTGGAGGTCTTTCGCTGTCAGATTATTGGGTTCTCTCGACTCGACAGTGACGAAAAGTTGGTCTACAACGAGTCAGTCCAAGTCTTGGAAACCACAAAGCGCGAGTTGATTTCAAAGGAGCAGCAAAGGATAATCGACAAACACCAACGACATCAGGAGCAACACCGTAGAGTCTACAAACGCCTCGCCAGCCTGACCAAACTGACGACACTGGGACTTGGACACGACATAATCCCTCCTTCACAAAGAAACAGGCGCAACATCAAGTACAGGCGGTACTCGCACGACACCTGCAAGTACATTGTAGAACCCAACCCCATAATGGAAGCCATTGAACGCTCCCTCCCCTCAGGTCTGGCTCGTCTCGGCACTCTAAAAAACCTACGCGTGTTTGAATTCGGCGCTCCCAACCATGAGATCAACGAACCAGAATTAGAATGGATGGCCAAGGCGTGGCCGTGCCTGTCGGGCATGTTTGGTCTGCACTACGTCTCCACTGTTGCACCCTTTGAAAATTCGCCGACTTGGAAGCTGAGGAAGAGGATGGAGACGCTGCGACCGGATGTGTGGCATGATAGGACCGTTTTTGAGGATGGGTACTCTGGGTGTCTTGGACTCTTCCCCTTCGGTGATTCTTAAATAAAAAGTTTCGTTCATGATGTTCATGCAATGCAAACAAGCGAGGGGTGCGGACAAAATTGAAATAGGGTGTTGAAGTTTTGCTTGTGGGACGGTCTTGCTCAGGAGCATCTTGGGGTCCAGGTGACGGCTCCAAAAGGATCAAAGGTCAAAGACACACCAGTGTTCAGGCCACGATCAGTATCTGAAACAATCAAATTTGCCGGTGTCTGATTTGCAAAACCGCCATCATTCCTCCACAGCTTTATTTTTGTTACGCTCAATCATTTCGCCTAATCGTTACGCCCACATTGATGATGGCAGTTGATATCATCTTTTGTGGCGTACATGCACCTGCTGCGTCCCATCGACTGCGGCTATTCAAAAGGGCAAAGTGTCCATTTTGATGCAGCCGGCGGCCCTCGATATGTCATTAGTCAAAAAAATCTTGTCATCATTGTACGGACCGAGGTGCCGTGTCCTTTTATGGAAATGTAGGATAAAATGATCTCAGGCATAAATAACTGGCTTGTGGCAGCCAAGCGTTCATAGCGACGTTGCTATTTTGATCCTTCGATGTCGGCTCTTTCAATCCTTGCTTCATTAGAATTCGAATTCGCGTTGTGATGCTTTGTTCACTTGCACAAATTCTTGGATCACTTAAGGGCTAGATTCGTCTATCCTTCAGTCCTTACAGTTTGCGGGCGTATTGTCGATGCTTTGTCTAGTCTCAAATCCATCCCTTCACTTTACGTGGTTGGATATCTCATTCCAACACCTTCACGAAGTGAAGGTCTGGGTTATTTCGATGGGTACCTGACAGACCTGATTTTTTTTCCGTCCCCATATGGCAGGTTGTTAAGGGTTCTGGGCGAGAAATTATGTTTGATGCGTTGAGGACAGACAGATAGGGAGATTATCAATCAAGGTTATGCGACGGCAGCCTATACTATTTTGGTTGTGATGGCCAGTCGATCTGTCAGCGTTACGCTTCTATGCAGAGCAAATCTTGGCCAGCAACGGGGACGACACAGCACATGGCCTGTTTGCCTTCACTGCTGCATATACTTTTAAAGCTGGAACCACTACTGGGGGCTGAGGATGGACTGCGGCAATCCAAAGCGGCAACGCCAAGGACGTTAGTGGAGCAGCACTGGGCATTGCTATAGAGGCCACTGGGGCACACAACAGAACCCGAGACGACGCAGGACTACGATAAGGCCATGCCAAGTGCAAACGAGATGAAGATTGGAGAATGGGCGATGTGCGACAATATAGCTGGGCTTGGTTACTGATGGATGGTATTGAATGAAGGAAATGGATTGAGTCAATGCAGGAAGTGAGAAATTTAGTTAACTAACGATGAGCAACCAAATCTTATGTCAATCGAATCATGAGGTACAGTTGCCATGCTTTACTTTGCAAATAAGAGGCCGATCCGGATGTGGAGGTTTTTGCTTAGGGTCTGTAGGTCTTCCTGTGAGCGTTCTTGATAGGGCTTAGTGTCGTTCTTGTTCCCGATGGAAGTGTCGCAAGCGTTGTGAGTGCCGTTGTGAGTGCTGTTGTGAGTGCTGTTCCGAGTCAAGGGACTTGAGGTAGGTTCCAAAGTGTGTCGGTGCAGGATGCTGGGTAGGTGCGATGTAACAGCAACAGACTAAGGGGATGCGAACAGGGAACAGAGAGAGACAAGAACGAGAGCAAGAACAAGAGGAAAGGCTAGATACGGATGGTGTTTATTGTACAGACAGAGAGGGTATTTGCGTGTGTGATCTACATGTGGATAGGGGTAAGGAAGGAATGGTGAGTAATGGTAGTACAGAGGAATGGGGAATAAAGGATTGAGGCTGTATGCACAATGTTAGTGCATACTATGATCCTGTAACATGCGACTTCATATATACGTGAGAGGGATGTCAAAGAAAGTGGATCAAGAGAGGGAAAATTAGCACGGCAAAAGATCAAGGATGCAGAAAAAACAAGCAAGTATGGGGAAAATAGCAATAGGATACATTAAAAAGATGAGAGACGGGGGTGGGGGTGGGGGACTAGGTTGATGCAGAAGAGAAAGGAGAAATGCCAAAAAAAATCAAGGGCAGAGAGAGACTTCACAAAAGAAGGGGGATCAAGGGCAGAGAGAGATAGGTAGTCACAAAAATGAGGGGAGGCGGTCATGGCACAGAGATACGAGAAAAAGGTTGACGCGTTACCTGTGGAATGAAGATCGATGACAACATGTTTCTCATCTTAGATGCTGTAATTGAAAGGACATACACTTAACTGGCTTGCGGTAGCCAAGCGTTCATAGCGACGTTGCTTTTTGACCCTTCGATGTCGGCTCTTTCATTCAGGAATTCGAGGTCTCGTCGTGATGGTTTGTGTATGCTCACTACTGTAAGCGCGCTTTTCTGTTTTTAAGGGCACAAAATAACACGCATTTCCAGTATATTGGGAACATGGAATCCCAATGTGAGACCCCTTTAACTAAAGGAATTACTCTTGGGCAAAGCAGAATGCGAAGCTGTCCTAAGAAAGTGAGGAATGTAGTACAGCACAACTGACACGCTTTTGAGCACGAGGCTCGCAGTCTTGGGCGTATATATATTCTACTTGTGCCTGCGAGCATTTCCTCACCATATCCCTCCATCTTCCCCTCTCAACCTTTCATACCTCTACTAGGACACACGATGGTTCGTCTCTTAATCTTGGCTGCTTGTGTCGCCGTGGCCTTTGCAGATGGTAATATCTGATGCCTTATTGTTCGCGTGAAATTCAGAGACAGAGAACGTTGCTCTCGCCGGGAAGCAATAGTTCGTGATTCCTAATCCTCGCCCACAAGTTTCATTGCATCACTTACCTTCTGCATCTTCTAGTTAACTTCAATGTCATCGGTTTGCGTGAAGTCGACGTCGATGAGTTTGGAGTTATGATTAACGGAAAAGTCACAAAACTCCGAACCTCTAAGGAAGCATACCCACTCTGGTCCGCCAATGTTGCTGGCATCGACGCTCCTCTCGAGTATCAATACGTCCGTCTAAGCAAAGGAGGCGAGGTTCACAAAGAGTCAAAACCCCGCAAGCTCCCTGTCGGTGCCGTCCACACTCCCAACGATTTTTTCGATCGCCCTGATACTCTCCACAAACTGCCTGCACTGCCTCAAGTCTTTGAGAACAAATTAGAACAGAATTCTCCTTTCTTCAGAGAGGGTTACATTGGCAACCTGTTTGTTGAAGGTGATCCAAAAGCGTGGAGCGTCATCAATAGTGGCGGTGGCAAGTGGTGGGAACCCAAACCAGTCAACGTCAAAGTCCATTACTTTGGGTAAAAAGACACTCCTGCGACATCATCTTCCTGCTGTTCATATGTCACACTCTGCGAATGATAACACCAACACAATTTTTTACGTTTTGGTAGAGCCAATGACAATGTCAAGATCAGCAATGTCAAGCTCAAACTCTCAGGTGGCCAGACACGTTCGTATTCCAAATTGCCCTACAAGTTCCAGTTCCCCAAGGGTCAGAGTCTCCTTGACATTAGCGTGCTCAAGCTGCGTAGCGCGGAAACAGACCCCACCATGATGCGTGAAAAGCTCTACATTGATATCCTCAACACCCTCGGCGTTCCCGCACCACAGACCGCCTACGTACGTCTCTTCTTTAACCAAAAACCAGTCGGCTTGTACGTGGCTCAGGAGGTGATGAAAAAGCACTGGCTCACGACGGTCCTTCACCCAAAACACAACGGCACGCGCAAGACTGGTTCACTGTGGAAGATGGGCGCCGACAATGACCAACAGGCTAGCCTCCTGTGGAAGGGTCCCACAACTGCGAGCTATTCCTTCGGCCATATATACAAAAGCCTTCTGCCTGGCAACAATCCCAAGAACGATCTCATGCGCGACCTGATCAAGCTTATGGCTGACATCAAGAGTTTTGACCCCAAGAAAGAAAAAGATCCTATTGGGTATTGGGAGAAACGACTCGACTTGGACGTGTTCCTGAAGGCTATGGCTATGGAATACCTCACAGGTTTCTGGGACGGCTACTGGACCTCTGGCTCCAACTACCAAATGTACAACAATCCCGCTACCGGCCTGTGGACTTGGCTTCCAATCGACTACGACGATACGTTTGGTTCATCCTACTCTGGTGAACCCGGTTCCTACCGCAAGTTCCGAATGCAACACGAGTCCCCACTGGTCAAGAAGCTCATCTTGGAGTCACCCCAGATCAGAGCCCGCTTTGAAGCGATCCTCAAGGATACTGTCAGCTATGTATTCAAGCCGCAGGCGTTGATGCCTCGTATCTCCGCTTATAGAGACATGATCCTCAATGATGTGAAGTGGGACCGGAGTCTACCGAGGCTGAACAAGGGCGAGACGGAAGGGTTCACGGTCGAAGACCTCTCCAAGGGTGTCGCTGATGGTGAGAAGGGTAAATGGGGTCTCAAAAGATGGATCGTGAAGCGCACTGAAGGGGTTGAGAAGGACCTCAAGTTCAAGGTTCTCCCTGGCACTCCAAGCAAGGTGCAGCCTCATGTCATGACCAAGCTCCAGTCGGCCTATGGCATCCCTGCCAAGGAGGAAACGAGTCCTGCTTCTATGGGCGACGAAAACAGAGACACAGTTGCTAATGGTGATGACACGGTGGGCGGTGGCGACATGGAAGGCGATACCTCTATTCAGAGGGATTCGGCTAGTTCTTCCAGTATTGGCCATCAGGCAGACAAGACCAAGAATTCCGCCATGTCTTTGAGGAGCGAGTGGGCGACTTTTATCGCTGCATTAGCTCTGATTGCCCTCACTCTTTAGACTAGAACTTGAAAAGATATCTAAGAGTTGGAAATAACAAAAGATCGATTCGCTCCATAATTATTCAGAGTGCCACCTTGCAAGGAGGAAAGCATACAAAAAGAGTGATGGCGAGAATGCACATCACTCGTCTATGGGGAGTCAGTAAGTTGATGGAATCTGAACGGAGTGGCCCAATAGCAAGTAGCAAGAGACGCCAAAGAAGTGAGGTAGTTACTGCGCCTTTCTCACTCGGAGCTCAGCCTGGCTGCTTTCTTCCTCCGGGTCTCTATTTTTTGTTTATTCTGAACAAAAGTAAACGAGAGAGAGAGCGACCAACCATGCTGATACGAAGCATCCTTTTTTCCACTCTGTATGTGGACGCATTTTTATTCTCTCCATCGGAATATGAAAAAAACAAGAGCGATGGTTCCATGGTTCCTGGGTGATGCTTTTCCTGAAAGTCACGGTTCCTAGAAAGTCAAGATCAATCAAAGGGACAGAGGAGTGTTGTTTTATTCCCTTTTAGGTCTTGTTACACACCCTCCTTTTCTTCTTTTTCTTCTTCCTTTCGTTCCTCCCCCTCTGTCGCTCTTATACCTTCCTTGCCTCCCTCTCTGTCTATGGCTAGCAGCAAGCAAGCAAAAAGGAGTGATGACTTCCCAGCGAGCGATTGGACCTAAAAAATAAAAAATAAAAGTCGAGCTCTGGATTCGATAATGACAATGACACATGGCACACATGTAGACAGTCATGCAGTCTATGTCCTGCTTTGCCACACCCAGCCCTTTTTTTGCAGGTTCGACTTTCATTTTGTAAACCAAACTAAACCCTGCCCAAAACATTGAAAAAGAAGCGTCATCACCCTTTTTCATTTTTCTTTTTCATTCGCCATCAGCACACCCACCTCAACCCAGGAACCTCAATTCAACTCCCATGCATGACGACAACATCCCTCACACTAAAACGGCTGCAGCAACAATCCAACCCCAAACAAAATCAAGTCATGGATCCTCCCATCCTTCCTCCCCTTCTCAACCCTCAGACCTCCTTATACTGTATTTGACCCTCCTTTTTGCAATGGCACCTTTTGCTTATTATTCCCAGTGGGCGTGGAGACTCTACGCTGCGCTCACCTCCTTTATTATCATTTCTACAAACATAGAATAGAGGCGCAGACTATAGCAGACACCGACTCGGACATTATCATGGATGACACAGTGACCTCCGCAGAGGCACCACCAGAGAAGACAGCAACCCCAATGACGTCCCCATCATCTCCTCCAACCGTAACTGAGATCACAGAAGCAGTCGACAAAACAACTCTCGATGACGACAAGCGAGCTCAGGGTCAAGGAATCGACCAGAAAGACTTGGAAGCAGCAGAACAGGGAGACCCTACCGCTCAGAACAATATAGGCGATCAATACCGTTTCGGCAAAGGAGTTCCACAAAACTGTACAGTCGCCATGGAGTGGTACCGCAGGGCTGCGGATCAGGACGATCCCAGAGGGCAATGGAGTGTCGCCCAGTTGTACGACTACGCCCTCGGGGTTCCTTTGAACTACTTGCTGGCGATGGAGTGGTACCAAAAGGCTGCCGCCAAGGGCTACGCCCCATCCCTGTGTGCTATCGGAGACCTGTATGCGAATGGGCAAGGGGTTGAGCAGGATGATACGACGGCATGGGAGTGGTATTCAAAGGCGGCTGAGCAGGACCACGCGGAGGCAGAGTTTCAGATCGGAGAGATGTACCGGCTAGGGCAGGGGGTTCTTGTTGACGAGGCAAGCGCTTTGATGTGGTTCGACTGCGCAATGGAGCATGGAGATGTGGATGGGTGGGGAGATTTCACCAGGGCTTCCATCTACATCTTTGGCGTTGGTGTCGAAAAAGATACGACGGTCGCTTTTGAGTGTATGTTGAAGGCGGCGAAGAAGGGGCATCTGAATGCGCAGGTCGCTGTTGGGGCCTGGTATCATTCTGGTACGGAAGTCCCCCAAGACTACGGCAAGGCAATAAAGTGGGTCACCAACCCTGCCACCCAAGGGCTTTCTTCCGCTCAACAGATGGTCGGGACAATGTTCTATCACGGACAAGGCGTGCCACAAGACCAAGCACAAGCGTTCCAATGGTTGCTCACGGCGGCCAAGCAAGGATACCAGGTGTCGATGACAGACGTCGGGCGCATGTACTGCAACGGCACAGGCGTCGGTCAAGACTACGAACAAGGTCGGCTTTGGCTCACCAAGGCCGCAACTAAAGGTCGCGCACATGCTCAACGCGAGCTCGGATTTCTGTATTTCGAGGGACTCGGCGGACCCGTTGACCATCCAACCGCATTCGAATGGTTCCTTAAGGCCGCCGAACAAGACCACCCCGCCGCCCAAGCCGACGTCGGCAGCATGTACCGTCACGGACGTGGGGTCGACCAGGACCTGGAAAAAGCCGTAGAATGGCTCCTAAAGGCCGCCAAACAAGGCCGCCCGAACGCCCAACAAGAGCTCGGCGCCATGTACTACCTTGGCGACGGTGTTCCCCAGAACCGATCGCAAGGTTTTCAATGGTGTCTACAGGCGGCTGAGCAAGGGTATTCTCAGGCACAGAGCGACGTCGGGGCGATGTACAGTCTTGGGAACGGAACGTTCCAGAATTATATAAAGGCTGTGGAGTGGTTTAGGAAGGCTGCTGAGCAAGGGCATGCGCACGCGCAGTTTGAGTTGGGCAATGCGTATATTAGTTATTAAGGGTGTTGCACGGGATTTTGGCAGGGCGGTTGAGTTGTTCAAGCTGGCGGCGGTGCAAGGGCATGAGCAGGCGCAGGCAGTTTTAGATCACCTCACTAATGATGACTGATCGACCATTCATAGCATTAGCGCAGCAACAAATAAAAATCCTGAATGTAAATAATTGGGAAGAATTGTTGTATAGTCCCCTCCCCAAAAAAATGTATCGAACTAAAGAAGCCCTCTTAGTTCGAAACATTTTGGGAGGGGACTGTACATGCGCATGGTTCTCAAAAAGAGTGAGGTATAAAAGAAGAATAAGAAAAACAAAACAAGGAGCATGAGCAGACAACACAATGTCCCGCTTACCTGCATTGCCTTCCTTAAGTCGATTTAAGCATTTTTACTCCCTCTAATTGGTCGGGATCCGAAACATAGTCGCACGTTCTGAAAAATCGGCCACAAGAACTGAGCCTCCACGTCCTTCACAGGGTTTATTCCTTTTTTACCGCCACCCAATCTACTCACTTTACTTTTCTTCATCATCTACATTTCGTTCGTCATTAGGACACATTACCTTTACCAGGAACCACGATCCCTCTTTTCGGACACCCTGCGAGCATCTAATCACCCCCGACCAACCAACCAACACACTCTCCGAATCAGGACACCAACAATGAATTACATCAACAACAGCAGCACCCTCCCCTCCGTGCAAGCAATGCGAGCCGTCTCCAAAGAAAGCGTCGACTCCCTCCCCACCCCCACCTCCTCTTCCCCCTCCTCCCCCTTCCCATCCACAGTAGCAGGAGGACCAATTGTCCACATCGGCTGCTACACAGACCCCGACACCCACAAGGACTTCGTGCTCTGGGAGGATATCCTGTTGGCGTTCAAGAACGCGGTTCATGTCCGCCTTGGGTCTAGGGTTGTACCTTTTTCGAAGGGGACTGATTTTCGGACGTAAGTTTTTTTTATTTGTCTTCTTTTTTTTGGTCAACGATTTTGGTGTTTAAGTCCCATAGTAAATATTTGCTTACACTTTATGCATTCTCGTTTTTGCAATGAAAGGCTGGAACCCCGCAGGATTGCTGCAGTCTCGGATGCAGTTCTGGACATTGTTATCGAAGACCCTGTCACCCCTTCAGAGCCACCATCACCAGCACCATCATCAATGCAGGCGACAACTTCGCTAGGAACACCCCACAATACCCAACAGGTCATATCACCACCACCCTCAAAATTATTGCTGGAAGAGTCCCAGGAGACACCCTCACCACCACTGCCGTCAAAGACGTTGGTGGAAGAAGTCCAGGAGACGTCTTTGAAAGTGGAGGTTGCCACTGGACCCAACTTGTCATCATCTGCTCCCAAGGAGGCGACAAAGCATGAAGTCCAAGACTCCGGCACCAGGCCGACAGAGATCACCCCACCATCCACCGCCTCCACCAGGAGAGCCCCCCAAGCCCCACAAACTCCACAGGCGCCCCAGAATCTGGCAGCAGCATCTGCAACCACAGAGGTCACGCAAACAATCCTCAACGCGAGTCTGGGCGACAAGGACGCGCAGGTGACTCTAGGAAACATGTATGCGCGAGGACAGGGGGTTGATCAGGATCATGAAGCTGCCATGGATTGGTTCCGCAAGGCGGCGGAGAAGAACGATCCTGTGGCACAGAATAGGATTGGAGACCTTTATCGGTTGGGTCATGGGGTGGAGCAGGATTTTTCGGCGACTATGGAGTGGTATAGGAAGGCTGCAGGCCAAGATGATCCGACTGGGCAGTATAACGTTGGGCAGTTGTATGACTATGCGCTTGGTGTTCCGCTGAATTACACTCTGGCGATGGAGTGGTATGAAAAGGCCGCTGCCAAGGGATACCCACCTGCACAGCACAGTATCGGAGACTTGTACTCGTATGGTCAAGGTGTCGGGCAGGATTACGGCAAGGCAATGGAATGGTACACCAAGGCTGCCCATCAATGCCACGCAGAGGCAGAGTTCCGGATTGGGACAATGTTTGAGGAAGGTCAAGGAACGCCCAAGGACGAATCCGTCGCGCTGGCATGGTTCAAGAGGGCAGTCGAGCATGGAACCACTAATGGCTGGAACGTGTACGCCCAGGGATATATCTATTTCCGCGGACTCGGGGTGCCTCAGGATTTCGCGGTGGCGTACGAGTGCTTTGTCAAGGCAGCGGAACAAGGCCACATTCCTGCCCACATCGAAGTCGGCAACATGCACTATAAGGGTATTGGTGTCCCCGTCGACTACACCAAGGCAATGGATTACTTCCTCAAGGGCGCGTCTCAAGGGCGCGCCGACGCGCTGCAACAAGTCGGCGGGATGTATTACCACGGACAAGGAGTTCCCCAGGACTTTTCTGAGTCCTTCAAGTGGCTCTCCCAGGCTGCCCAGTACGACTTCTTACCAGCGATGACAGATATTGGACTCCTCTACCGCAGCGGACTGGGCGTCGCCCAGGACTATGACCAGGCATTCTTCTGGCTCTCCAAGGCAGCGCAAGGAGGTCGCGCAAACGCCCAGCGGGAACTCGGATTTATGTACCACCGCGGTCTCGGCACACCTCAAGACCTCCAACTTGCATTCGAATGGTGCCTCAAAGCTGCCGACCAAGGCCACGCCGCCGCTCAAGCAGACATCGGAACCATGTACCACCACGGTCGCGGCACGGCCCAAGACCTCCCAAAGGCCATCGAATACCTCCTAAAAGCCGTCGACCAGAACCTACCCGTAGCTCAACAAGAACTTGGCGCGATGCTCTTCATCGGAGAGGGCTTCCCCGCCAATCAATCGGTAGCCTTCGAACTAATCCTGAAAGCCGCTGAACAAAGCCACGCCGAGGCGCAGTCCAACATCGGAGTGATGTACAGTACGGGCCAGGGCACCTTCCAGAACCACATCAAGGCTGTAGAGTGGTGGAGGAAGGCTGCAGAGCAGGGCCATGCGCCTGCTCAGTTTGAGCTGGGATTGGCGTATTTGGGGGGAAAGGGTGTTGCGGTTAGTGTTGCGGGTGCTAGGGAGTTGTTCGCTCTTGCAGCAGCGCAAGGGCATGAGGAGGCGAAGGCTTATTTGGAGTACATTCAGAACAATAACCTTGAGCAGTGACCTCAGCAACATGTTCACGTTCTATTAAAGCGAAGCGCTCGTTGTGGTACTTTCGTCCGTCCTCTCTTTTTGTTGATGAGTGGCGCCCATATGTGTTTATCTGCTTTCTTTGTTTGCATGTGTCAATTGTGGGTAAGTGAGTGCTGTCATGTTTCTTTTCAAAGAAAGGAAGGATGGAAGGAAGGAATGAAATCCGCATTATTCAGCCACCCTCTGACGCAAGTCGGCCAATAAAGTAAGAGAGGTAAAACGAGTTCATCACCCTCTCCTTTTTTGCCGCCATCTCCCTTCCACCGTTCCCACGCCCTTCTTTTTTTTCTTTATAACCCGCACCCGCTTTCATCTTTTTCGCCTTTTTCTTCTCTCAACCTTCACCTTCTCCCAACCCTCACCTTCTCTCAATCCTCACCTTCTCTACATCCCGTACCTATCAGCCCTCTTCGCCCCATTTTTACTGATACGTCACAGTACCATGGCCGATAACCCTCTGACTCCGTTTTGTCCCATTGATGGGCAGTCCACATCAAACGCCGACCCTGTCTCTGTCCCATCTCCAGAGGCTGTGGGAGTGCTCAAGGATCTTACCAAGCACAAGAGGTCACCTGAGTTCGACGACATTGCTGCGGACAAGCTTACCCTCCAGCGCGTCTTAACCAAAGATGACGACAACGACGACGCTACCATTGTGCTCGACTCTGTGTCTGAGCCTGAGAAGAAGAAACTCAGAGCGACAAGCGAACTCTCCGATGCTTTTGAAGAAACGCTACCCAAGAAAGCGATCCATACCGTCGTCCAGCGACCTCCTCAAGGTAGTGCAAACACTCTTTGTTCTCATTGATAAACCTAGCACTTATACTGTGTCCATTGTGCATGCGCTAACTTATCCTCTCATCCAATTTCACAGACATAGTCCATGCACCTGTCCTTGCTCGAGCCTCTACTCCGCTCCCTAATCATCCCTCGGCTCAGTTTCGTACTAGCTCACCACTCTCTGTTCCGCATGTTGGTGAGTATAACATATATCGACCAGCATTAATTTATGTATATATTTGTTGAAAAACGTAGCTAATACTATTCGTCATTTTTTTTCGACTAAAGGGATCATGGAAGTTATCAAAAAAATACAAGGATGCTTTCATCCTAACAACTGGGTATCGGGTCCTGTCCCACGGTTATCCTACAGCATGCCTTGGCAGGAACGTGCAATGGAACCGGCAATCGATCGAGTTGTGGAAAATGTCATAAATTGCTTATCTTGGCGACCTGGCCGACCGATTGAGAAGGCGTGTAACTCATTCCTTGTGTGCAGCGGAACAGCCGGCATTGGTAAGGATGCACTCATTTCATTGGTATCACTTGGCAATCTTCAGAGGCAACGTGTTAACGACTCGGTATTGAATTCATTAGGGAAAACGCGTTACGGAAGAGAGCTCTACCATGCCTTACGGCATGGACTTTCACCCGCCGTCAAAGTAGAAGGGCTCAATTACTCGCCTTACTACTATTACATGCTACTCGATTTTAGCCGTGACGTTGGATTAAGTCAGACCGAAGACACCCTCTGGGCCGAAACCATCCTCGGCTTGCGTTTGGCTTACGCTCACTTCATCCATGGCAAATACTATCATGGATTTCTGGATTTCCTCTATCAAACTAAGGATCACAAAGGGCTCTTTACGATCGCCAACGTCATTGTCGCCATACGCCAAGACCTAAAGCTTCCAAAGGAACAGCCACTCTTCCTTTTCCTCCACATTGATGGATTTCACAGGATCTTAGCCCATCGAACGCGGGGAGCTAATCACACTACAGAAGGCCTCTACTTGTTCCAGAATATGATGCGTGAGCTAGGACCTTTCATGAGTGGATCGATCTCGCCCAATATGGTACAGACATTTCTCTCCGGAACAACTCGGGAGGGCGTGTCTCTCGAACCGGCTTCCTACTCCTTCAAGTTTCTCAGCTGTCCACCGTTATCCATGGGAGCATGCTACGACATTATGAGCCATTTCACCACGCTCGCCAATGTCCGTCACTGCGAATGGATGCCAGTGATGGCGTTTTTTCATTTGCTGTCAGCCACCGGCGGTCTTCCACGAGCACTCCAACTGTTACTGGAGGAGCTTTTTGGGCGTCAACTAGAAAAATGCACCACTTTTCCAGATATGCTGCTTGACATAGACAAGAACGTGAATCGAATTTTCAGTCGAGTCGCAGACGAGCTCGACACTTGTTACCATATCACCACCTTTGTCCAGACACATCAGGAACTTGTTCCTGCGCTTGTTCGTCTCTGCATTTTTCAGCAACCGTCACCGCGCACGCTCGCCCCATCCAACCGATTCCCCGAACTTACCTTGAAAGTCCTAGAGCGCTATACTCATGTGATTCTGGAAGAAATCGATGGACCCTACGGAAAAGTATTGGTCCGGATCCCCTTCTTCTTCCTACACCTTTACAACGGAGGCAGCGATGAAGTTCGGAATAGCCTAGGATCCGCATTATTTTACGACTGGATGAAGGACTGGAAATGGAGATCTTTCGAACACATTATCGCCGAGTACGAGGCGCTCCGCACGAACCTTCTTATCGCTGATGGCCGCGAGGCAGCGACTCTCGAGGAAATCTACCAAGGAGCCGTTGGACGAGCAGAGACTTTGGGACGTATTGTCAAGCTGAAGAAACTATCGGTTATCACGGCAGCGCACCGATTCCCAGAGTCCGGAAGACTGACGGTTGGCGAGCAAGAACAGGATTGGAGGTCTGGCATTGTGATCAAGAATGCAAATGGAACGCAGTTCGGAGATGTGTGCGTTTATCGTGAGAAGGCAGACGGCAACAATGACGACATCATTTGTGCGCTGCAGACAAGGAAACTGGGGAATTGACTCTCAGCGGCGACCATCCAGAGCGAGCACGACAAAAATACAAGAGCGATCGAGATGATACCCGATGGATCGATCTTGGAGCAGGAAGGAATCAAGCGAGCGCGCACCATCACTGTCCTTATCACCACCACGGATACAAGGGATGATGCATTTCAAAAGCTCAGCGAGTCGATCCCCAACGACTGTCTCTTGATCTACCGAGGAAATTTCACCAAGTTTTTTGGCGACGCATTCAGCATGTCAGCCTCCCTCGCAGCTTCAAAGGATCTCAATTGGAATTTGCGACTCGAGAGACTCTAGGAAAGAAGCATAAGCTTGGAGACAAGGAGGTGGACCAAATCGTCGAGAATATGCCCTACCGCTCGTTTGACGATCTCATTCAAAAAGTGCCTGCAATGGGCTCCAAAAAACTTGACAAGGAGATGGGATTCTTGCCGTACCAAGGGATCTAGCCTGAAAAAAAGCGCCGAGCAGAGTAACCTTTGCCACGGGTCCCTCAAATTAACCTTTTCTATCACATACACTCGAGCAGACATTATCTCCCATATACGCTGAAATTTCGCTTTTTCTATCACATATACTTTTCTATCACAAATGCCTTTTCTATCACATACTGCCTTTGCTACATTGATAAGGCTATACATCGCAAAATAACACCAACATATTGTTTATCAAGCCGAATAAAAAAAAAGATGTCTCCTCCTTAATTTATGAATATTCAATGGCTAGAATGAATATTTCCAGCAAGGGGATGAGTATGAGCCAGAAAAGCAAGTACGGGGTGCGTTGTTTATTTATTGATAGCGACGAGAAGCCCAAGAAAGTCGGAATCAAAGGCTCCATCCTCTTGATCATCCTCCTTCTCCAACAACTACAACTTGCCGTCAGCCGACTCATCTGCGTCTAGAACCATGGCATCAACCTCAGCCGGAAAAAAGATGTCGTTGTGTTATGGATAGGTGTGAATCCTACGTAAGGATTCACTTCTTTTTTCGTTTTTACTTGACGACGTGGATTAACCACCTGTTTGTCTCCACTCAGGCACCATTAATGCTGCTCAGGGACGAGCCCATAATAAAAAACCAACCTCGTCATTCTTGAACAATTTCTGGCAACACTTCACACTTGGAACTCCCATTTGTTGTGGCATTGTGAGAGACAACAGTGCAAGTCTCTAAATAATGATGAAGGCTCATAACTAGAGCGATAGCTGCAAAAGTGAGAGGAGCGGGCGTGCTATTATTATTTTGCCTTCATTGTTTTGTGTCGATATGAATGTCCCGAACCCAAGGCAAGAGGAAAAAGGTGCCGTTGATGCATGTGCTATGCGCTGGTAATGCTGAAATGGCAATGGTGGGCATGTGCCTACTGAAACGCATTTTCAGTTCCGTAACAACGTATTTTCGATTAAGTCGACAACTGCTTGTGCGGAAAATGATGCGCTGGAACACCTGGACTGCACACACATGGCAGCGACACTGATCGTACCTGGGACGGTATTGAACATGGAAGGTTCTGTCCAATCACGGGTATCAGCCACATCAGTACCCCCTGCTTTGCTTTTTTTCAAAAAACGTATGAAAGCCTTTCTTTATTTCTTCACTCTTCCTCACCCTTCTTCATTTGCCTATTCACTTCCAACCTTTCATTTGCCTTTCTCCTAGATTTTTCCCAGCCTGTCACCCCCAGGTCCACCCACACCCTCCCCTCTTCTCCCTTCACTCCTCTACGCACATTTTACTTTTCTTCCTTCCCACTCCACTCCCACTGCTTCCTCTTTCTCACACGCACATAAAAAATGCTACACACCAAGGGTTCTGCGCGACTCAAAATGCCCAACGCCCCTCACCCTCACCCACATAGACCTAGACGACATTATCTTCATCTGCCATACTCACTCAGACACCAATATCGCGCTTGACAAAAATGATCGAACGAATGCGATTCTCTTCTCTTTTCCTCAAACGATCCCTTTGACATGCTACCTCTGTATATTAAATATTATCCTTCATTGCTCCGTTATCGCTACCAGATAGTCGTTTAGAATGAATGTGTTTGTTTATCCTCGTTGCTACTTCATCAACGCTTCCTTTCTATCGTCCTTCATTTTTCCTCCCTCAATTTTTCTGCCACAATCACTCTCATTTCTTCATCATTTCACACACATATTCAGTCTCAGCTGTTCGCCATGAAGCCTCTTTTCAGGTCGACAAAGGACAACATCAAAACACAGCTGTGTCAAGGCAGATCGACGCGGCAGGTGGAAGGCGCCCTCCATATATCGCGCGAATTTGGTGGTCAAGCTGCGTGCAGCGATCATGAAGGATGGCAACGAAAGTATCCCAGCACCAAAAGTCGGCAGACCAGCAAAAGTGCAAGATATTAGGACCAAGGGTTGTACAATAATAGTCTGCTCCCCTCTAACCATCTTCCCGTCTGGTCGCTTCCCCATCTAACGACTCCTCGTCTAACCACCGTCCCATTTAACCATATCACCACCTAACCACATCACCACCATCCTGGAGCTCATAGCCTACCCTATATAAATACCCTGGCTTCCCTGTACAATAAACATGATCCTTTTCTAGCCTTTCCTCCTCGTGCCTAGTTCTCTCTTGTCCTTGCTCTCGTTCTTGTCTCCCTCTGTTCTCTTGTTCATATCCTTTCGTTCTCCATTATTACAAACAGTACCCAAGAGCTCCCAACACCAACTCAGCAGCAAATCCCTTGTGAGAAACCTACAAACCCTTGGTGTGGCCTAGGAGCACGTCCAATGTCTTGGCGAGGGACCTGTCTACAGCCGTACAATCAAGCATTATCTGGAAGCGGATGGGATCTGGGTATTTGTCAAACCAACAGCGCCAGTACTTGAGCAGGAACACATCGATGAAAGATTTGAATTCGCCAAGCAGCACAAAAACTGGACGGTGGAGGACCGGAGGGATGAGAATGTTATGTTCTAAAAGATATCGGGAAAATGGAGATGGGAAAAGAGAAGTGAGGATTAGTATGGGCTAGAAGAGTAGTTTCCAAAGTTTGAAGGCAACTGGAAGGTGTTAAGACTCCTTACACCACAAAAAGAGATTTTTGGGTTGAATTAGAATAACTGATTCATTTGAATGGGTTCATTTCGATTCCAGCGATGAGTCGATCTTGGTTGATGCAAAAAAAAAGACAAGCGGTGATGAATGAAGTTGCGAATCAAGGGAATGAGTGACAAGAATCTGATCGCTGATTGATCAGCTGGTCATCAAGAGTAAGATGTAAATGGCAAAATGAGCAGATCATTGAATCAATTTTCTAAGCACTGTAGAGGCTGATACAGGACAAGATGGCGAAACCAAGTACTCCAAGTACACGATCAAGAGCTATGCCAAGTTTCGCCTGTTGAGTATGGATGGACGCCGGAGCCGATAAAGGCCATGTGTGACAATGAAATGAGCGTCTTTTATTCAAAGACTTGCAGCAAACGATCATGTCCTTAGCTTTTTAGAACGGTCTTCATCATCACTGTCAACGTCGTCGGCTGTTCGTTTTCCGGAGTTCTTAAGCCTATCAATAAAATCAACATGATCTTTAGGAAAGATCTGGTCAAAGTTGACGTCGCTGACACGTATCACGACCTGCTGCACGCCACGCTCGTCCTTCTCGGGAACTTCGACGGCTGGTGGCAACTTGGCACCGCATACCATGGGGTAGGCTACGACCATGCTGATGTAGATGTTGTCAGGGCAGAAATTCAGGAAATCTTTGGCATGGTCCTGAATGCAAGGCGCCGAAGCCGTGGCCAGTGCCTTTTCCCAGAGCTTCTTGTAGAGCTTGGCTGAACTCTGATGCAGCTTCATTTGGACGAAAACAGGTACCGTCTTGAGACCGTCGATTCGGATGAAGAAAAGCAAGTCTGGTCCTGATGGTTTGGACTTGGGGAAGAAAAATGGGGCGACGAGCTTGTTGTTTCGAGTTGAATGGTGGTTGACATGTGCGTCCATAAATTCCTCCATCGACATCATCGCATGGGTAGTACCTTGCAGGAGTGCAGGTTCTCTCCAGCCAACAATCTCCACCTCACCGACAAGATCAGGGCACATCTCCAAGATCGGGGGCCGATGCGGCCAATCAGAGAGTCGTCGCGACTTGAATGTCCTGCTGAAAACGGCCATCATGTACCGCTCGAAGAGGTTTCCCTGAGCAGCTGCGTCCGTCCGATCCATTAACTCTCTGAGAGCCGTTTGAAAACCTGGGTCATTCGCAGTGAAGTAGTTCTCCACTGCCTTGAAAACAAAGGGCTCGTCGACGACGGTGACAGCGTTATGGTTGACGATCTTGATCCGACCAAAGGCATGTTCTACCAAGGATGCATTGACGCTGTCGACCTCGAGCGTGTGATCGCCCCGAAAGCAGCGGTTATACAAGCAGAGGCCGAGAATGTCGAGGACAGTTTTCTCAGACTTGTCATGGCGCGTGTCTTTGTGCTTTTGGTCAAGGCGGTTGAGCTCGCGGCAGAGATTGCCTTTGATGGTCCTGTACTCCCATGCAACGAGCTTGTCCTCCGTGTCCTCAATGAGTGCCTTCCATGAGCCATGCTCGCTGTGCTCCACGATTTTCTCCTAGAGATAAAGGAAAAAAATATGGGATGAGTACATGGTCTTCTTGTGGGCCCTTTCCTCGTCTTCATCTCAATTGTACAAATGGGTACATACAACGGCCACGATTGCTGGCCTATAGCGACCCACAAACTTGCCGAAAAGCATGTCGAGTGCATCCTGCGGAAGACGCTCGTCAAAGACCCGCCTTGATTCGTCATCCAACAGACACCTCCGCACTCGAGATATGTACGCCTTGATCGACTCGAGATCGGTAAATCCGGGGAACTCCATGTACTATCATGTGGATAAAAAAGAAATTGGAGAAAAGATGTTAGGAAGTGTTACAGCGACAAACAATGAATAGAAGTGCAATAAAAAAATAGAAAGTGTCAACTACGCTGACTTGTTTACCTCAAAGTGGGTCGAGCTATCCTTCAGCTCTGAGCCAGAGCTCTGAACCCAGAAAAGGGTATTGATGCTCAAGCCAGTGCCACAGGTGACCAACGTAAGCCGGTCCTCGCCGACTCTTCGAAATCCATGTAGCATTGGGGAAAGTAATGGCCGCAAAGAATCCTTAGAGTCCGATGCCGACTTGAAGGAGCCCTTGAACTGATCGCCAAGGAACTGCGCCTCGTCGTTGACGACAAGGAGCTTGGTGTTATCATTGATCTTCGGCAGGCACCCGTGCTTGATGATACGGTCCTTGGCAGCCTCGAGCACATCGCCGACCAAATCCACAAGATCATTCTCAGCACGGTGTAGGAGCTTGAGAACTTGGCGGAAGAGGGTGTTGAATATATCCCTGAACAAAACATGCGGACACACTTGTAAGAGTGTCCACCTCGCGCTTGTAAACGTCTCAGCGCAACCAGGAACACCGAGACAGTACTTGAAGACGAGCAGTCGAGACAGGAATAGCAAGAGTATCGTCTTCCGTACAAAGGCATTGTTGGATTCGAGGTCCACGACGATGGGGGATGCCTGGATATCCTTCAAGTAACCACTGACGGAATCGAAAAGCGTCATCATGTCGCCTGATCCCCAGTCGTCGTCGGCAGCATTGAAGTAGAACCCCCAGTGCTGAGTCAGTAGCTCGATCACAGCGCGCGTCTTCCCACAGCCTAAGATAAAGGACCGCAAATGATAGTCAGTTACCATGCTCAAAGCTGTTAAGTGATAATCATAGAGAGCGCCTTGCTGCAAATTGCTTACCAGAGACCCCGAACACGGGAATGTGTGGACGGTCGTTTTGCTTGACCATGTCGAGAATAGACCCAGCCGCGAGATTCTTTGGTGCCGAGGCAGGTGCGGATGGGTCAGGGAGATCCATGAACAGCAGGCTGGGTCGAGTGTCAGGCGGACGTCCGAACCCGCGTCGCCATGCGCTTGGCAAACCTTGAATGGGACCAGTCGTCGCGGGCAGTGTTCCTTGGCCTTTCACAAATGCGTCGAGAAAGTCGACAATTGGTCCAGGCGCAAAGAACCTGTCCGTGATCCTTTTGATATCAGCATGGAGGTCGTCTAGTTATGTGAAAAGAGGGCAAGGTGTTGGAAGTTGAACCACAACGTGATCCAAACATAACGCGCATAAAGCAATTGCGCTTACCAAACAGCGACGAAGGAGAGCCAGGGAGGGGAGTCAGGGCTCGAGAAAGGACAGGTGCATGGACTATGACATACAATTGGAGAGGTGAATTAAGGTTAGTACAAAAGAAACAAGCTCATGCGTTAGGTGTGAATGAGAGCAAAGCGCGTCTGAATTACCTGGAGGAGGGCGCTGGACGATGATATGGATCGTTTTCTTGTCTGGTACTTGTGGAAACCACTCGATAACATCGTCTGTTGGACCGAGCTTGTCCTTATCGCTGTCGGGGACATTTTTGAGCAAGATAGGAGTGTCGGCATTGTCTTTTGTGATTGGGATCGTGACTTTCCAGAGAGTGAGATCCTCCGCTTCCAGATCTTTAAACCAGATAGGCTTGCTGAGACGGATGGTGGTTCTGAGTTGACCAAAAGACTCCGTCGATGGTGTGGCCAGTTCAAAGGATTTCGAGATGCGGTCGCCGTCAACAAGACACCGCAGATTCAGACTCAGGGAATTGTCAGTCATGGTATTGCGATGTGTCAGTAAAAATAAGGTGAAGAAGGCTGGAAAGTAACGGATATGGAGAAGTCGAGGGGTGAAAGAAAAAAGGCGAAAAGGATGAAAGAGGGTGTAAGTTTAAAAGGGAAATAAGGAAGGGTTAAATGGGTGTCGGAACGGTGGCAAAGGCGATGAAGGTGTGGAAATGGTGACGGAAAAAAGACGGTGCTGGCAATGAAATTGGTAAGAAAGGGCGTGGAGCGAGGATAATGGGCGCTAGAATTACGTCACCGAAAACCACTTTCACCCTTTCCGCCCTTTTCCTTTCATCCCTCGACGTCTCCATATCCTTTACTCTCCCAGCCTCTTCACCTTATTTTTACTGACACACCGCAATACCATGGCTGACAATTCCCTGAGTCTGAGTCTGCGGTGTCTTGTTGACGGCGACCGTACCTCGAAATCCTTTGAACTGGCCACACCATCGACGGAGTCTTTTGGTCAACTCAGAACCACCATCCGTCTCAGCAAGCCTATCTGGTTTAAAGATCTGGAAGCGGAGGATCTCACTCTCTGGAAAGTCACGATCCCAATCACAAAAGACAATGCCGACACTCCTATCTTGCTCAAAAATGTCCCCGACAGCGATAAGGACAAGCTCGGTCCAACAGACGATGTTATCGAGTGGTTTCCACAAGTACCAGACAAGAAAACGATCCATATCATCGTCCAGCGCCCTCTTCCAGGTAATGCGGCCTCGCTTTTCTTTCATTGACACATTGGACATACTCTAGTAGTTTGTAAGTCTAAATGATGGGTAAGGTTTGTGCCATTTAGCTGATCTTCCTTTTATTTCCTTTCATTTCGCAGCATCGCCCACACAGCTGATATCAGTTCAGTCTGGTGACATCGAGAAGGAATTGGCAGAAATCCTTGAAGGCACCGGCCATCATCATATAAACCATTTTGTCGATTCAAAGGCTGTCGAGTCCTCTCAAAGGCAAAAACTGGCGCCGTTTTACAAGAGGACCTTGCCTTATCACGATATCTTTAAAGTAGGTTTTGTTACATCATGGTTCTAGCACGATTTCACATATTGTCATGATATTACACTCTATTGAGAATCGCGCATCAAAGACTTTTAGATTCTACCTGATGTCCTTTGTATAGACGTGCTTTCAATTTATCTCTAGAAAGTGTACTGAGCGTGCGGTATAAAAAAAAAACAGGTAAGTGCGTGCTAAACCCATGTAAAGTCGTGCATATAAAGTGCTCCACAAAAGTGTTCAACCAAAACACGATTTCGCCGTTTTTTTTGAAATGCTCATTCACCAATGTTCCGGCCGGCCTCCAGATTCCTGTCATTCATTCTCTTGATTCGTAACCCCATTCACCACTACTTGCCTTTTTTTGCATGGACCCACATTGGATCATCGCCGGAATTGAAATGCCTAACTCCGCTTGAACAATTAAATGGATTACATGCATCACGATCTCCTTTTTCAACTTGCGGGGTCTTCGTAGTTTCTTACTACCTCTACATTTTAATGAGTTACTTCCTCAATCTTATATGGTATTGTGTCCAGGTTTGGAGTTCCTACTCATAGTCTTTTGTATGTGACTTATATGCATGATTTTACATGGGTTTAGCATGTATTTAGTTGTTTTTTTAATACCACAAGCTCAATGCACTTTCAACAGGCAAACTGAGAGCTGGCCCATATATAAGACATGTTGTGAATCTAAAAGTCTTTAATGTAAGACACCAGCTACTCGCAATGAAGTGTAATATCGTGACAAGATTGGAAGTCATGCTAACTCCATGTAACAATACTTACTTTAGTGATATCCCATGTTAACGTTGCGGTAATCCCATACCTTTTCTATGCTGCTGATCCACAACACGTCCTATATATGGGCCAGCTCTCAGTTTGCCTGTTGAAAGTGCATTGAGCTTGTGGTATTAAAAAAACAACTAAATACATGCTAAACCCATGTAAAATCATGCATATAAGTCACATACAAAAGACTATGAGTAGGAACTCCAAACCTGGACACAATACCATATAAGATTGAGGAAGTAACTCATTAAAATGTAGAGGTAGTAAGAAACTACGAAGACCCCGCAAGTTGAAAAAGGAGATCGTGATGCATGTAATCCATTTAATTGTTCAAGCGGAGTTAGGCATTTCAATTCCGGCGATGATCCAATGTGGGTCCATGCAAAAAAAGGCAAGTAGTGGTGAATGGGGTTACGAATCAAGAGAATGAATGACAGGAATCTGGAGGCCGGCCGGAACATTGGTGAATGAGCATTTCAAAAAAAACGGCGAAATCGTGTTTTGGTTGAACACTTTTGTGGAGCACTTTAGGTCAAGTACAAAGATTTCGGGTAGGAACTCCAAACTTTGACGGAAGGTCGTACAGAATTGTGGAAGCAAGTCATTGAAGTTTGAAGGTAGAGAGAAACTAAAAATACCCCGCAAGCTAAAAAAAAAAGAAATTGTGGTGCATGTAATCCAATTAATTGATCAACCAACATCGCGCATTCAATTCCAGCGATAATCCCATGTAGGTACATGCAAAAAAAGCCAAGTTATGATGAATGAGGTTATGAATCAAGAGAATGAATGACTGGAATCTGGGAGCCGCTCGGAACGTTGGTGAATGAACATTTCAAAAAAAGTCGAAATCGCGTTTTGGTTGATCAATTGATTGGAGCACTTTATACCGGATTGTCTCCAACTTTGGCTTGACTTCGACTTCAAAGGGGAATGCGCCGGAACCACTTGTCCGTCGATCACTTCAGCGCTTTAATGGCTACCGTCTTGCTGATCTTCCTTTCCTTCGAGGTATCCCATTGCCTACTTGGTGCTACACTCTCCAGTTACAACTTGACAGTGTTGACACAACCAACGAGTTCGGATACACCGCCGGAGGAGTTCGTGCCGATCTCGCCTTCCTCACCGAACGTCCTTCGAACAAGATGCGTATTCCCTGCTTTGGAACACGTCAGGATGGGGCTTGGTATTTCTCTAACAGACGGTACGCCGGATCTCTTGCGATTAAGTTCTACAGCAGCCGTGTGGCAGTTAAGATTCACCAGTCAAATGAAACTTCCAGTGATATTCGAGGTTGTTTCTTGCAGACAGATGGCACCACATCCAACTCATCTTTGGCAGCCACTCGACTGGACTTTGAGAATTCGGGTACTCCGCTCGAGCTCAGGGGTATCCTCCGCATCCATATTGAATTCCCTGATGTCAAGGATAGTATGCCAGCTACCCACACCAGGAGAGGCCCTGTAGCTCGTGTTGAAGATGTGGTGGTGTATATTAACCTTTCGGACATGGATGATTTTTTCTATGGGGCAACTCTGAGCACAAGGACGACATGGCTCAACTGAAAAGATTGATCGAAACTGTCCAAGGAGTATTTCACATGGGTTCAAAAAAATGATGACACCTTCGCGCACGGAACTATTGATAGCATACTGAAGCACTTCTTCCCGGAAAACACCCCGTTATACGAGCTGGACTGGGACAATCGCTATGCTTCGGGATCGAAAGCGCGCCGAGGTGACTTGCTCAAGCCAGATGCCACCGTCCTGAAGTCTGGGATGGAGGTCGGCTATGTGGAGATCAAGACCCCTAAGGACTCACACTCTCAGTCGAAGTTTGTGGAAGACCTGTGGAGCCTGGCCTCGGAAGCCTGCGACCAGATCGACCTGCACCTGCGCAATCAGTGCCCCATCGTAGTCGTTCTTTGCATTCAAGTCTTTGGTAAAATGGATACCTACGTCAACTGCCCCTGAAAATTTCTTGTAAAAACTCCTTAAAAGTTTCATACCTTAGAATCCTTCAAAGAACCCTTGATGAGCCCTAAAACCCCAGAGGAAAAGTAGATGCTATTATTGCTACTCAGGGAGCGAAAGGGACAAAAAAGCACTTAAAAATGCATAAAATGCATTTGACGTGCGGTGTCCAGTCTGTCAACGGTTTGCGCAAGGGCATCATATCCGTCATTACCCAGCAGCTTTCAACCCCTCATCTTTCTTTCTTTACAAAGTTTCCAGATTAAATAACAACAACTGTTCATAACAACGATACTTTTTCGGTAAATGCATGTAAAAGATTAGAAGTTAGTACACACGGTTGTGGTGAAGGAACGTAGGAAGGTATTGCGCCCCAGGAAGGTATTCGGATGTTGAGATTCAAAATGAGGTGTTGTACAAATGAGGTATGCCCATTGACGATGCATAGGAACTTTTTTGAGGCGCATGGAAATGTTTGAGAAAGTACGACGTCTTTCTCTGACTCATATTTCTTGCTTCTCAACAGATGTGAACAACATGGCCGAGTTCTACGAGAAGATCAATAATGTATGCAAAAAGAACACGCTATTTCAGTTTCGTTAGTGCTGCTATGTCGGAAGAAGGGTTGCCAAAAATCGCCAAGGTGCCAAGCGGGGGCATGAGGGGGCACAACCCTACCTGTATCAAATCGAACGCGAGGAACGCTTGTCAAGCACTCTCGCAGATCTCACCATGGAATAGAATGATGGCTTCACACTGTCAATTACGTACATGTCCTTTATTCCTTCGATTGTTTCTGGTTGTTTCAACACTCAGATTTTTTGAAATTTCCAATCCACAACTCATACTAGTCCTCTTGTCCTACCCCCTTTCTCACATAATGCAATGTACTCGAACACATGAACAATCAATAAAAAAAACCCTCCAAAGACCCGTACCTAGTACCTGGAACCCTTTCAAAGATGGTCTCTTTTTTGTATGCTTTTTGGGTCAGGAGAGAAAGGGAAGGAGCACGAATGGCTGAAATGCCGCTTTGTTGTTGTTATTGTTGCTTCGTCATGGTGCTTTTCGTTTGTTTTTCTGTATGCAGACATTGCACACAAGGGTTTCCCTTAATTGGACCTGGCAAGGAAAATCATGAGGCGCAATGCATCAGAGCAGCAATGTATCAAAGCAAAAAAGAAAGGGCCATGGTTTATGAGCCCGCGCCATCTCACTCGCGCCTTTCTTTTTTTCTCAGACACATTTTCATCTTCACTTTTGCTTTCACACTTCGTTCTTCTTTTCTCCCATCCCTTCCCTACCCTCTCCTAACCAAAAACAAACCCCCATTTCTGGACCGCACTCAAATCGATCCTCACATTCCCAAAAAATGGCACCCCAGGAACCGGTCCAAGGATTCCGCTCAGTCCACAAGAGCCAACCACCTGCAAGTACCACCGCAGTAAACCCATCAAAAGTCCTCTACATCGATCGACATGATGATCCCGATTCCCAGAAGTCGTTTGTATTCTGGGAGGATATCCAGCAAGGGTTTGAGGATGCGTTATATATCCGCCACAAGGCCAAGATGGTCTCGTTCCTGAGAGGAAAGGACTGTAGGATGTAAGTTACATTTTTTTTTGTTTTGCGTTGTTGGAAAAGGTATCAAGACGGAGCGTGGGACTAAGTGCGGTACCTTTTTTTTCTTCACATGAATATAGCCTAGAGCCGCGGAGGATTGCAGCAGTGCCGAGTGTTGTCCTGGATTTCATTGTGGGCGGCAAGGTCGCATCCTCCGAGGCTGCGACACCTCAGCCTATGTCAAAGTCAGCGTACGACGAGAAGGAGGAGGAAAAGAAAGCGAGTAAAGAGAGCCAGGACACCACACCCATGACCAGTACCACACCAAGCATTGCATCCAAAATCGCAGAAAGCGCTTCACCTGGCGATGAATCGACGATGGAAGAGAAATCTATCAAAGCTGACAACAACGCCATTGATGCCCATATCTTGAAGCAGATGATGATGAGAGCTCTAAAGGGTGACGTCGAGGCAATGTTTGATGTGGGAACTCGATGGAAGAATGGTGTTGGAGTTGAACCAGACCTTCGTAGAGCGATGGAGTGGTACCATAGGGCAGCCGTGAAGGGGCACGCGTTGGCTCAGTACACCATCGGACTCAACTATTCTAAAGGACACAACTTCTACACAATTTTCGATCGCATCTTCTACAATGAACAGCACGTCGACAACAATTACAATACTTTCGATCAAGGCACGGAGAGAGGCTTTGGGAAGAAGAAGGAGGGGAAGAGAGAAGGTGGTGGAGTGGTCGACGACGCTATTGCCCTGGAATGGTTCCTCAAAGCTGCCAATCAGGGGATGGCAGAAGCACAGTTCAAGGCAGCGGCGCTCATTTTCCACAAGGATAATCTCGGCAATATCAACAACACATCGCCCAACACCATCCAGCTCTCTTATCTTCTCATGTTGGCTGCCGACCAGGGCCATGCGGTTGCGCAGGCTTGCGTGGGGAGGTATTGTGAAATCGAGTACCCGAAGCATGACCAGGGGCGAGCATTCGATTGGTATATCAAGGCAGCCAAGCAGGGACACAAGGTGGCCCAGTACAAGATCGGGGTTTTCTACGAGACAGGACACAATGCCAAGCTGGACGAATCTGAGGCTGTGAGATGGTACCGCAAGTCTGCCGAACAAGGATATAAAGAGGCGCAGTACAAAATCGGGGTCTTCTACCAGACGGGATATGGCGTCGGAGTGAACGAATCCAAGGCTGTGGAGTGGTACCGCAAGTCCGCCGAGCAAGGGTTCAAGAAGGCTCAGAACAGTCTCGCCAAGTGCTATGATGACGGTCGGGGTGTTTTGAGAGATATCACAAAGGCGAAGGTGTGGTACCGCAAGGCGGCGGACCAAAAGAGCGAAGAGGCCAAGAGTCGCTTGCAAGAATTGATGGCGTTGGAGCCTTGATGTCCGGTTTGGAGAGGAGGCTGTCAAGAGCGCAATTGGTTTGATGAACGAATACAATATGGAGACCGGGTAAAAATTAAATCAGGGGCGTGGGCAATATTGTCTGTAACTTGTGTTGCTTTTTCGTTGCAAGAAAAGCAAGCGAGTCATGCGCGCAATAGTGTTTGTACGCCCATCTATTTTTTCACAGCTCCCTTTCGAGCCACCCATTTGTTCGTTTATTTCTTTGTTTGTGCGCGATCTCCCGTTCTTTCTCCTTCTCTTTTTTATTTCTCGCTCTCATTCTTTTCTTCCCTCCTCCTCGCTATTCTCAATCCCCCCTCTCAATCCCCCTCTTCAACAATAACGACGAGCTGCACTGCATTTTTATATCTTACTTCCACACACACACACACGTCAGCCATCCACCTATACACACAACAACACAAGACAAAGAAAAAAATGGCACAAAAAGACTCAACCCAAGAACACGTCCAGGGATTTCGTTCAGTCCAAAAGAGCGAACCACATTCTACCACTTCAGTTCCCCTCGACTCTCCCAATATCACCCATATCGACTGCTACACCGACCCGGACACCAACAAGGACTTTATCCTCTGGGAAGATATCCAGCAGGCCTTTGACGAGGCCCTCTTTGCCAGGAACAAGACCAGGATGCTACCCTTTGTGAGAGGAAAGGACCACAGAATGTAAGTGTGTTTGAAATGCGGTCTGGATTCCGATTATTTTTTGTTCCGACAGGATGGCCAAATGATCATTTTGATATGCATGTCATGCAAAAAGTGAGATAGGGGGGAGGGAAAAAAAATTGCTTTTGTTTATATGTGGTAGTTTGTGTGGTAAGAAAAATTGGTTACCCATTGACAAAATATCTTTTTGTTCTTTTTTTTTTTTTTGCATGAACACCCATTAGTCTTGAGCCTCGCAGGATTGCAGCCGCGTCGGACGTCGTCTTGGATGTTGTTGTGGCTGATAAACCGATTGCTGCTACCGATACTGAAATTGCAGATACGATCGCCACTCTCCAGCGCGCCGTTCAGGAACTTTCTCTCAAAATGACACGTCAGACCCCCATCGAAAGCGTCACACATAACCTGCTCTGTGTCGACGAGCCAGAAGTCAAACAGGACAATAACCATATCGACAGTCAAGAAAACACTTCCCCGCTTCGAGGACCCCCAGCCTTTGAGTTTCATTCACAAGACAACAACAATGGCAACACCATCGATACTCAGCATTCAGAGGCGACCAGCAACGCCACAAAGCGATTAGATGACACTCAGGGCAAAACCGCTGCTAAGGATATGGACCTCATGCAGATAATGATCCATGCTAACCAAGGCGATGTCCATGCCCAGGTCGCTCTCGGGGATCGATACAAGGATGGCCGAGAGGTGCACCAGGACCACCACGCCGCCTTGGACTGGTACCTTAAGGCCGCTGAACGACATCACCCTCGGGCTCAGTACAATATTGGTCTTCTGTACGAGAAAGAACACGACGAGGAAGGAGACTACAGGGAAGAAAACTACAGGGAAGAAGATGACGGGGAAGGAGACGACGCGGTCCTACAGGACGGTACCAACGCCTTCGAGTGGTTCCTCAAAGCTGCTCTCCAAGGCTATGCCGATGCCCAAGCAAAAGTATCCCAGGCGTACACCAACGGTGCCGGCATCTCAAAAGACAACATCAAGGCGATGGAGTGGTCGGTCAAGGCAGCCGAGAATGGACACGCAGGGATGCAGTACAACATGGGGGCTGCATACGAAAAGGGCCAGGGTGTTCCTCAATCTGACTCCAGATCCTTTGAGTGGTACCTCAAGTCTGCCGACCAAGGGTTCACCAAGGCCCAGGAGCGAGTTGCTGCTGCGCTCGAGGCTGGTCGGGGCGTCTCGCGGGACGGCCTCATGGCCGTCAAGTGGTACACCAAAGCCGCCGATCAAGGTCTTTCAGTGGCTCAATTCGCACTAGGTCGCGTTCACAAACTAGGCCTCTGTGGTCTCCCTAAAGACCGGTTCGAGGCTGTGGACTGGTTCATCAAGGCTGCGGTCCAGGGACACACCGAGGCTCAGTCCATGCTAAGGGAGATTTATAACTACGGCACGTCCTATCGCGGTCCTGACTGTACCATTGACTTGGAAATCCAATCCAAAATCAAGGGCTGGTTTATGAATGCTGCTGACCTAGGCGTGGCGCATGCTCAGGTCTGTATGGCAGACATGTACTTAAATGGGCGCGGTGTTGATAAAAACGACTTCATGGGCTTTAATTGGTATCTCAAGGCTGCTGAGCAAGGAGACGAGGGTGCTCAAGTAACTGTAGCCTGCATGTACTTTATCGGACAAGGTGTCTCCATGAGCCGCGAAAAATATATTTGGTGGTACCATAGACTCGCCTTGGGAGGCAATATTTCTGCTATACACCACCTTGAAGACATGAATAAGATATAACAAAAATATCAGGACCAGAAAGGCTTTTCTTTGTCACGTTGCACATACTGGACGAACCAATGTCAAGAGTCACCCACGAAAAAACTTGCTGTGCCCCCTCGTATTTCTGTCGAAGGAAGAACGACCCTCGCCCACGTTTTTGGACTTTACTCGCATCGTCTTCTCTCTCACATTCACACTTCCATGTCTATTCTTCGAGGCCACCTACATCCCCACCATCACCTTATCCCTCAGCAATCCTCATCACACACCCAGAGCAAGGAAACAAGCTGAACAAGAAGCCACCACAGGACGCAGTTCAAGGGCACGTCCAGGCTCCCTTTCCTTTGTCCTAGCGCCATTAAACAATCCCATCACCTCTTACCCCATGGTCTACCACTCTGTCTAAACGCCGCCAATTCTTTCGTTTTGTGTGTTAAACAAGGAGCAAAAAAACCCCTCCCTTGGCGCCATTCATTCACAAATGCACCCACTTCTTGCTCTTTTTCTTTTTTTTGCCTTCCCTACCTACCTTTTGCCTCTCACTCTTTTTCCCTGACTTTTCTCCCTCACTCTCTCTCTCTCTCCTTGCCCTATTCCCTCACCACCTTTCTTGAATGATGTGTTATGAGACTGGCTTGTATATTTCTTTCAAAGGGACAAAAATGAACAAGACAACAGACATTTTTCCTTGTCAGGGAAATGCTGGATTCCTTCCTTACCCCGGCTTGAACCCAACTAACGCCAGTTCGGTACCACCGAGAGGGAGAGAGCTAAACCTTTGCTTATTGCCCTTTTCTTCGTTTCATTACGCCCATTCTGGAGCCGCTTAAAAAAGTAAACTACCATTCTAAAACGCGACAAAACAAACGCTCGAGATCGCCCCTCTTCTTCCCCGTTCCTCATAAAAGCCTCCTACCCACCAAGTCATACCGCACAAGTAAATCAAGTATTCTGCACAACGTTGGCATCGTCACCACATCAAACAAAACTTCGCCCACATGCGACGGTCTCCAGAACCCCCCCCCCCTCCCCCCCGCCCACCTCAGGAACCCTCATTGGCCAACAAAATGACTTGCTACTGTGGACAGGTTCCTAGCGTCCGCAACAGACAGGGGTGTGCAGAGGGGCATAGATCCAAGGATATGTGGGTCCTACTTGTGATCCGACAACGGTTGCAAATTCTGCTTGCAGACATATGCAAATTTGAGGAGTGCACTGTATGTGAGGGGGGTCTTCCTACTCCCTGTTTGTTCCTCCCTTCGACTGTTGCCCTCCCCACCCCCACCCCCGGTGGGAAACTCTACTACTGCAGGCAATGTAACCGCTCCTGCTGGGACTGGTGGTCGCTCCCTCTAGAGTTTACACCATCAACGACATTTCCCATTTAGTAGCCAGTCCCCGGAAATACCACCTGCTCCGTCTCTTCGAGGCACTTCCAAGGTTCGCACAAACCACCAAATTTTGTATTAGCTTTTCTCAATTCCACAAAATCAAAGAAAAAAAAGACAATTTTTTTTTTTTTTTTTTTTATACATTCATGTAAAGTACACAAAGAAAAAAAAGGAGAACTGCTGCACACTACGATATGAGGTTTCTACAAAAAGAAATACAGTAATAGTAAAACGAGGAAAGAAAAGTACGTATAGAAGAAAAGAGAAAGGAAAAAAAAAAAAACAAGGGGGATAATGTATAGGGAAAGAATAACAAAAGAAAAAATCCTCGTAAAAAAAAATATTGTAACAAACGATCCTTCAAAAAAAAAATGAGGATTGCTTAATGAAATGGAACAAGACACTCCAGAAATTAAAAAAAAGAGGCCGATAAAAATATAACAAATGGGGTGTGTTTTACATGTATCCGTAGGGGTTGTAATCGTTCATGCCGATCATCCCAACGTTTCCAAAGTGGTTGTTCATACCGGGAAAGCCAAAGCCCATCATGTTGCCGTTCATGTTGGCGTTCATGTTGCCGTTGACGTTCATCCCGTTCATGCCTCCATTCATGCCTCCGTTCATCGCGCCGTTCATCGCGCCGTTCATCGCGCCATTCATAGCGCCATTCATGCCTCCCATATTGGCCATTGGCATACCTCCGTTCATACCTCCGTTCATACCGCCGTTCAAACCTCCCATGCCGCCGTTCATGCCCATGTTGTTCATGCCCATGTTGTGTCCGTGGTTGGGCATGCCGTTCATGCCATTCATTCCAGCCATACCCATAGCGCTGTTCATACCTCCCATACCATTCATCACCGCCATGTTGTTGTTCATGTTGCCCATGCCGCCGTTCAAGCCCATACCACCGCCCATACCGAGGTGCGCCATCGAGTTGTTGACACCCGACATCTGGTCACGGTGGAGCTTGCCCTGGATACGCTTGCCGTAGGGTGTGTTGCGGATCGCAGGCAACAAGGGGCGAATGCACTCGACCAATAACGTGCGCTGAATCGGGTCCGCAAAGTCGAGCGAGGTCTGAACCACATAGTTGGCGTACGAGTCCCGCAACAACTTGTCCAAGCGCGTCTTGTTGATCATCTCCTCAATCAAAAACTTGCGCGTATCGGGCTCAGCCACGCGAATGCACTATTGGTCAAAATGAATATAATGTTAGAACGCGCCCGTTTGATGAATGCTTAAAATTTGGCCGTATGAACAAAAACAAGAAATATTTACCTTCTCCATGACGTTGGAACTGAACTTTTGGACGGAAAGGGCACAGACGTTGCCGATGAAGCGGCGGATGAGAGCATCGGTGAAGCGATTGTCGGCTAGATCCAAGACATACTGGACAACATAGTTGCCATAGGGATCCTGAACAAGGGTCAACGCGTTGTAGGTAATCTCGCGCACCAACTGAATCTTTTGGGAGACCGAGGCGTGGTCAATGCACCTCTGCAAGACACAGCATCCATGGCGGTGAGTAGCAACCTCAACACAGTGAGCACTAATAGCGTTGTAGATGAACTGGTTATCCTCCGAAGCAAAGCGGTTCAGGCACTTTTGGATAACATGGTTGCCGTTGAGGTCCTTGATCAACGTGACGACGCTGGGGTTCAGCGCAACAACGACAATGGCAATCTGCTGAGGGGTCGACAGGAACTCAATCATCTTTTGGACAGCACGGGTGCCGTGCATGTTCAAGGAAATGTTGACCAACTCGGGTGCAACATTCTCAACAATGATGGTGCGCTGCTCGTCACCGCAAAACTCCAGCAACTTTTGGCACAGATAGTTGCCAAACGGATCTACATGGTGCACGATCAATGAAAGTGATGAATTAGATTAGATTTGCACGTTATGAAATGACAGAAATAAGTTAATCATCTGGATGAACTGAATACTTACCGGTCATAAGCTCGATAAAGTGGCCAAAGACTTCGCCAAAGATAACGGAGAGATACTTGTCATTCTGTTCCTCCAATTTCTTCTGAAGGTAGCGGCATCCATGCTGGTCCTTGCAAAGCGAGTAGATCTGTCCGACAAAGCCCTCCAGAGCAGCGCCGGCAAATCGGTTAGCCTCAACATCTACAACGGGTCGCTTCTGGTTGGCCTTGTTGGCCAGAGCAATGCTGTTGGAGGTCTGCTGCTGTTGTTGCTGAGTCTGCTGTTGCTGTTGCTGCTGTTGCTGCTGTTGCTGCTGTTGCTGTTGCTGCTGCTGCTGCTGCTGCTGCTGCTGCTGCTGCTGCTGTTGCTGCTGTTGTTGTTGCTGTTGCTGCATGCGAAGCAAGTTGTTCGATCCTGTGGCGGGGTTGCTGAAGCCGTTGGGGGTCACGGTGAAGGGGAAGGCGGTGCCGTTGACCAAAGAGCTGGTGGATCCACCAGCGACCGAGGTGTTGGCGCGTGCGTAAAAGGTTGCCGATCCAGCCATTGTTCCGACAGTCATACCCAAACCTGGGCTCAGGGGCATTCCAGCAGCGGAGCGGGCAGGTCCAGGAAGAGCGTGGGTGTGAAGATAGTTGCAGAGATCTCCACGAGGGCAGTAGCCCTGCTGTTGAAACTGCAAGCACACCTCTCCTGAAACAATATCGGACTTCATCATCAAGCCCTGGTGGCGCTCAGCCTCGCTCAAATCATCAAAGGCCGACAGAGGTCCCTTGCCGAAGCGGGTGGGAATCTCCGAGGTCGAGTACGAAGAGGTGAGCTTGGGGAGGGCCGACTTGAGCGACTCCTCGGGGTTGTTGGTGAGACCATAGCCGGCGAGACTGTTAGTGCGCTGGGGCATATGGGGTGCGGTGGGAATGCGATCTGCCAAGGGTTTGTTGTTGTACTGGGGCCATTCCGAGGTCCGTCCCGAGTCGTGTCCACCAGGGTGACGCAGTCCAGAGGAGTGAGGGATCTTGGCAAGATCCAATGCACTGGAAGACGTCGACAGCTATATTTGTAATGTAAAAGGGGTCAGATAATTGGTACCACACAGAATTTATCCGCTTGGTCGTTGAATAGGGGTAACAAATTGGACTAGAGGCTAGTACACTGCGCAATTCAGGTGGTAAGAGAGGAACAGCTTGTGCATGCAAATCAAAGAGAAGATGGACACTCACCATGGTGGGGAAGCTGTCGTCATCATTGCCCATGAGGTAGCGCTGCAGGTAAGAACTGCTGCTTCCGAGGGCAGAGGGTCCGACGCCGAGTCCCTGCTTGTCCTTCCAAATGCCGTCGTCGTGCAAGACCCTGTTCATCTGAAGCGAGGGCAAACGGCTGCTGCTGTTGTCATGATCGTCCTCAAAGATGAAGCGCTCGGTGTACTGGGACAAGTGAGCATTGTCGTCAAAGGTCGACTCTGAGGGCGAGGAGCTGACGTCCCTTCCCGATCCTGATCGACCAATCTTGGGCAGACTGCTACGAAGGCGAAAATGTTCAAAGAGAAAGAAAGCCACACAAAAAAATACAAAAAATGAAAAATCAGCCACCGATCGGAATCCATCCCTATTACGACACCTCACTCATGCATGTGTGAAAAATGGCGAGGCACCATGTGTGTGTTTGTGTGTTGTGTGCATAGCCCACCCGAACAGCCCTCCGCTTTTGTTTGTACTTACTCAACAGAAGACTTTTGTCTATCGCCAATCGACATCTTTTCCATCTCGCCCCACAGGTCAACTGCATCGTTCGAGTTGCGTCTCGACGCAGGGAGAGAGCGCAGGTTGGCGGCAACATCGGGTGGTCCTGAGAATGAGCCGAGTTTTGGCTTGTTGAGGCCCGAGGATGATCCGTTACTCTTGGCCGCCAACATGGCCTGCTCCTCCTGAAGCTGCTGAATCTCCAATTGCTGCATCTGTTGCTCAAAGAGCTCTCTCTTCTTGATACGCAGGCGTTCGTGTTCCAGGCGCTTTTGCTCGAGTTTCTCGGCCTATTTTATGCAAGCAGTAGTGACAAAAACGACGTCAGCCGCTTCGCTTTCGTTCAATTGGTAGCACAAGCAAGAGTGTGAGGCGTACCACGGAGGAGTGACAGGGGCGTTGAGTCTTACCACTTCGCGGTCGTCTCGTTCTTGTTCCGTTTCTCCCGAAAACGAGGCACGAGGTTCTTCAGTAGTTGGCGAAGAGCCAATGGCTCTGGCTTGTCGCTGCTGGACAATCTCGTCGCCATTGAGCCCCTCGGAGGTGCGTCGCTGGGAATTCAAGGCCATGGTCGGTTGGATAGGTTGAAATTATTCAATTGAATAGACACAAGAAGGCGGATGAAGAGTGTGTTGTCTTGATAGCCGTTGCTTTCTGGGGCATTGACTAGGGCTTAGATGGCACTAGTAGTTCTGGCAGCAAATGAGTGTGCAAGCTCTACAGTAGATAAAGATACAGCATAAATGCTAGAGTTAGTTAATTGGTGGTGGAGAGACAGGATTTTGTGAGCGACGTGGTGAGAAGAGTGAACTGTGCTGTGCAATGATATTCTGAACGCAAAAAAGTGGATAATGGGATCAAGTAGGAGGGAGTAAGAGGGATAGAAAAGTGGAGGGGAAGGAAGAGGGAGCAGCTGACGAACATGAAAAAAGGGTAAGGTAACGCAGGACAAGAGGCTGTTGGCTACCGTTCAGTATTAAGACGGAGACATGGAAAAAGGTCAAGGTGTATTAAAAAAAAAAGAGTTTTCTCCAAGAAGGCCAAGGAAGAAAAAAGTGTAAAGCGTATGAGATTGAGAGGGAGAATTGCGTGGGATATGAATTGGGGTAGGAGAGAGCAAAAGGGAACGAGTGATATGAAGTGTGTGCGTGTGTTGTTGTTGTGGGTGGGTGTGCAAGGAACCAAAGAACAATCAAGGGAAGGAGATGGTGCAAGAGACAGAGAGGGAGGAGGGAGAGGAGAGGAGAGAGAAAGCGAGATACAAAGGCACAAAAAGGATGCGAGAGGGGAGGGAAAGAAGGCCAAGGGGTTGAGAAAGAGACAAGTACAACAAGGGGAATACAACAACAACCATAACAAGCCAGAACTGGCTGACTGGCTGACTGGCTGACTTGAGTGTGAGTGACAAGACAAGAACGAGAACAACAGGACTAGGGATGAATGACCGCAGTTGGGTTGGGTTGGTTGAGTCAAAAATAATAAGGAGAGGTGAGTGCACCAAGACCCAATGGTACCGAATGGTAAAAAGGGTAGTACGAAAGGGGAAACGGAATGGGAAGAGGAAAGAGGGAAAGAGACAAGGGAAGGATGAACAGCCAAAAGGGATTATGCACGAGGAACGTGCAGGAGGTTGGACAATGGCCTAGTATGCCTCACTCTTATCGATCATTGTCCGTTTCGATAAGTGTCTTTGTGTATTCGCAAGGCGAGCAAGTAACACACATTCAGGCTCATAGAAAGAGATGGTCAGTCATTCATCTACTTACCAGAAGAAGAGGATCACAGTTGATCGTGGCCGAAGAAAAAAGGGAGGGGTGTGGAAGAAGAAGAGACTCCCTTGAAGAAAAAAGAAGAGATAGCGCGAGCCGGTGGTAGTGAAGTAGAGAAATAGTTTCCCGTATGTCCGCTGTGTCGTCGTCTGTCGTCCTTGTCGGGAAGGGAACAGAAAAGGGAAGGAGGGGGAGAAACAAGGTTTTGATGTTGTTGTTGTTGTTGAGTTGGTATTTTTTTTTCTCGCAAAGAGTTGATCAGGTAGAAGTCTCCTTTGTCCTGAATCTACTTGCTGCTGGTGAAGAGTCGGCCGGTCTTGTTGACGGAGGTTGTAGGTGTATTTTTTTTGTGGTTGTTTTTGAGAGTAGCTGCTGAAGGGGGTCCTTAGGAGATCAGGGTGGTGACAAAGATCATGTACAAATAAAAAAAAAAGGAGAAAAAACAAGGGCACAGAAAACGAACCAAAGGAATTTTACAAAAGGGCACAAATGAAGAATGTTGTAAGTAAAAGTAGTGTACGTGAATGAATGAAAAAGTGCAAGAAGAATAAATTACAAAAAGTGTACAGGTGTGTGTGTGTGTGTGTGTTCAAGAAAGTGAGGTGAATGAACAAGTGTGATGATCAATCAACAACAGAAATGAATCCCAATGAGAGAGAGTGTGTGGAGAAGGAAGGGGGGAGTGGCGGAGTGGAAAAGGGGGGGATGGGGACAAAGGAAGATGAAGGTGGAGGGGATGATGGGGGGAAGGGATAGAGAAGGAAGAAAAGGAAGAGGAAGGGAAGAGAGAGGGAGAGAGAAAGAAGGGAGAGAGAAAGAAGGGAGAGAGAGAGAAAGAAGTGCAGGCGGAAGTGACGGTCTGTCTGCCTGTCAGTCTGTGGGTGAGTCGGTGAGTGAAAGGGAAAACCATTCAAGGGAGTTGGTTGGTTTGCATATGCAAAACAAACGACAAACTGTAAACAAACGTGGTCTTCATGACATCCACACGTCAATAAGGAAAGGAAGGTGCACTAAATTCAAGCACCATCATCCATCGTCATTACCCTTCTTTTTTTTCCCTTCCTTCGCTTATATGTCTATATCTTTGACCCCTTGCCGCCGAGAACAGAGAAGAAATCTTGGACCAAAACGCTCTTGATAACTATACACTCGCAGAAACCATGACAAACAAACAAACAAACATACTGCACCGAGGGAGAGATAGATGGAGGTCCAGAATACGCTGGCATCGCTCGACTGAAAGATGTGTAGACTCGAAAGAAAAGCACGAGAAAGGGAAAGAGTGTTCAAAAAAGATCTTTAATACAATAGTTTGTTGAATGTTGCCACTAAAAATTAGAGCACTCATCCTAGTTCTTGCGATCCTCAACCATGATGACATGGTATCCGTGCTGGGTCTTGATTGGAGGGTCCGTGTAGATGGGCTTGGCTGTTGAACTCGGCTGCAGCAAGAACGCAGCATCCTGGAACGCGCCCACCATCGAGCCTGATTTTGTAAGAATGTACAAACGCATTTGTCAAATTAACATCAGCTCTATTATCAGCTTGGCATGGTATAACTCGCCTTCGATGAACCAAAATGAGAAGCTTTACCTCGGATCATCCAGCCCAAACTGCCGCCTTCCTTGGCCTTGTCATCACTGTACGCCTCAGCAACCTGCAATATATCATTAGCCGGTCCAATGTCCATGATTAATACGTGTTCATCTGGCCCGATAAACCTCCTGTCGCGCACAATCACTTCCCTCAACTGAAGAGGCCACAACAAAAGTAGTCTACCTTGTTGAAAGCGATGCCAGACTTGAGCTTCTCGATAGCCTCCAATGCCTTGCTCTGCTTGTCACAGAGAATGTGGCGAACCTTGACGCTGTTGGCGGTCTTCAGTGCCTTGCCTCCCTTGGTATCATCATCTATGATCCCAATGCATCAACGATGAGGGCGAAGTGTTGGGTCAGTCTCTGTGAGAACCTTTTCTTTGTCCTGTCGTTCCCTGTCTTCCCCAACACATGGTCGATGGTGGCGCATAGTTTCCGTTGCAGTGAATGCCGTTTTGTCTTTGTGAGTCCATTGCTTTCATTGTTTCCTTAGAACCTTGTCCTCCTATTATTACCGTCGTTGTTGCCCTTCTTTCCTTTGGGTGCGGCGTTCTTCTTGGGTGCGGCCTTTGGTGGCATTGTGTTCGACTTTCTTGTGGTATGTAGAGTAGAGCTCCACAAGCGTGTATCCTTCCTTGAATGAATCAAGCGCTACAATTTTTTTGGCGCGATGCTGACGTCACTCCTTTGGGAGGTCCAGTGGGCCTCCAACGAAGTGTCAGCCAGTGGGTGGTCCAGTCGTGTCCCTTTGTTCCCTTCTTCCCTCCAAACTCATCAACCCCCATCCTTCTTCCTCTTGCAAACCTTTTGTCACCAACACCCCGGGTATGTTCTCCCCCATAGCGCCGATCGATACTCATCGACAACGATAATAAACACTCTCTTTTCGGCAGCAAGAGTAGTTAGTTCATCGCCCACTCCTCCAAACATGAACAAGGGAAAAACGATCGACGAGGGACTGACTCGCGCGGTTGCATGCATCTCTTCTACTCTATTCTCATTGTCATAGAACCAGACAAAGATAACACAGTGCTCAAGGAACCCCACCAAAAAAAACACAAACACATCTCCCTCACCAACAAAGGCAACAACCGAAAAGGAAACAATGAGCGGCGGATACATTGGTTCGAAGATCAGCTTGATCTCTCGGTCGGATATTCGCTACGTCGGAATCCTCCATCACCTCAACCCCACCGACTCGACTGTCGCCCTCGAGCAAGGTAACTTCTTCATAAAATAATGCGCGTCTTTGCTGTCGTTGATAATTATTGCCCTGGCCTCGAAACTTGGCTGCATGTTCCCTGTTGAACCAACTCAACAGCCGAAGACAAGGAGAAGAGCATGACACAATAACCAATCCATCACATTGGCTTTGTCAACTATAACACTAACAATCACGCCGTTGTTCCGATTTATCGCACTATTTCTTTACAACAGTCAAGTCGTACGGTACTGAAGGTCGTCGTGGCAACCCTGCAGAGGAGATCCCCCCCAACGACAATATCTTTGAGTACATTGTATTCCGTGGATCGGATGTCAAGGATCTTCACGTTTGCGAACCCCCAGCTCCCCAGGCTCCAGCGCGTCCTCAGGTCCCCGATGACCCTGCCATCCTTGGCGTAAGTCACACTGTGATATTCCTCGTGTCTATTCAATGACTCTCTGACACACCTGTCTGAACTGACCCATTGTGAAACCATGCATGAAAAAAATAGACCACGGCACCTCCAAACTACTACAACCAGCAGCAGCAAGGGCCACCTGCCGGTTACTACCAGCAGCCTCAACAGCCCCAGCAGCAGCAGCAGCCCCCTCAGCAGCACCAACAGCCCGCTCCCCATCAGCCCAACGTCCAAAGGTTGTCCTCCCCTCCTCAGCACGCTCTCAAGGCTGCCCAGGTACAAACTTTTTACACGCTTTGTGCCAGCTCGTCGTATTCCTGCACTCTCAATATATATACTTACAGTATCACTTTACTTTCGATGCTGATATAGGAGGAGGCGAAGCGTTCCCCAACGAACGAGACTAAGCCAGCAGACAAGGAGGCCGATGAGCAAGAAAAGTCGGATTCGGAGACCATTAAGCCTGCCCCCCCACCAGTTCGTTCGACCCCTAAGACTCAGCCTCAGGAACTGCGCAAGTCGGTCGAGATCCTCGCCAAGCAGGTCAGCGAGCTCAACGTGTCCAAGGATTCGACAGATGGCGCTGTTCAGAACGACAACGAGCCCAAGTTTTCGAACCGTCTCCCCGGTATGGGCGGTCACTTGCTCCACTCGAACAACAACCGTCGTGGAGGCCGTGGTGGCCGCGGTGGTGCCCATGGTCATATGAACAACACCCGTGCTCCCGCTGTCCCTGCCTCGGATTTCGACTTTGAGACCTCGAACGCCAAGTTCCACAAGGATGAGCTGGCCAAGGAGGTTGGAAAGACTGAAGAGGCAGAGGAAGAGGAAGAGGAAGAGGTTATTATTCCTCAGGCTGATGAGTTCTACGACCGCTCCAAGTCCTTCTTTGACAACATTTCCTGCGAAACCAAGGAGCGTATGAACAAGGCTGAGCAAAAGTATGTCTCTTCTTTCTTTATTTCGCGTATTGTTGGTGCATTTTACCACTTCTTGATCTGCTGATATCATTTACTAATCATCCTCATATTATCCCTCAATGAACAAGTAGCCAGGGACACAACCGTTTGAGCATGCCTGAGAGACGCGCCAAGCAGTCGGAGGAGCGCCAGTTGAATTTGGAGACGTTCGGTCAGACATCGGTCGACCAGGGCCGGTTCCGTGGTGGCTACCGTGGAGGTTACCGCGGCGGATACCGTGGTGGCCAGCGTGGAGGCGGCGGCGGCAGCAGCGGCTATGGTCGTGGCGGATACAACAACAGCAACGGTATGGGCTACAACGCTCGCGGCGGTGGACACTATAACAACAACAACAACCGCAACGGTGGTTACCAGCAACATAACCAGCAACATAACCAGCAACAGCAGCAGCAGCAGACACAGCAGCAGCAGGTATAGAGCCAGGAGGAGGTATTCTTGCTGAGCTGAAATATGAGAGATTGAGTTGCGTCGAGGTTTTATGGGAATGTGGAGGAGGCACAGAGACAAGAAGCAAATAAGGCATTGTGAATGTTATGCCTTTCAAAGTGTAAGGAGGAGAATGTGGAGGAGCCAGGCCGCTTTTTGTTGCAAAGGCGAATTGTACAATAAATGATAGCCATCTGTTTGAAACGAGATTGTGATTACCTGGAGGATTAACGAGGTCGTTGTGGGTTCTCTGCTCCCTGCTTGCGAATAATGGACGGATGTTTGTTTTGGTCACCACCCTTGTTCTGTAGTTGTAGAAAGAGGATGAAAAGAGAAGAGGCGTGAGGAAGTGAGGAAGTGAGGAAGTGAGGAGGTGAGGAAGGCAGAATTAGTAGACTCCTATCCCGAGATATGGAGGGGTAAAAAGGGGGCAAGGGTAAAGAGGAGGCGAAGGAAAAGGTGGAAAGTAGAAAGAGGAGTGAGATTGGATATGGATCATGGTGGTGTTGGTGTTGAAATGTGCGAGGTGCATAAGTATGTGTGACATGTGTGTTATTTATTGGGTAATTGTTTGAGGATATGTGGTGTTGGCGAAAGAACGAGACGAGACCTCAAATTTCATTTCACTTTGTTATTTGTCTGGCTTTTCGTTCTTCTTTTGTTCTTCTTTTTCTTCTTTCTTTTCTCTTCACGCCTCGACCGACAAGACTCATCTCCTCTCTCCTCCCTCCTCCCTCCTCCCTCCTCCCTCCTCACGACCTCGCCCTTCCTTTCGTCATCCAGGACTGACACCTTTTTTACATCCACACAAGGACACTCATCAAGGAACCAGCCACAAGCAACAGAGGCGAGACACACACAACCGTTCGCGATGTACACGAGCGAGAACATCAAACGGCGCAACCCCATTGGGTCCTCCGCCGCCCGCGACCAATCACTCCAACAACCCCAGGATGACCACCATCACAGCAACTCCCAGAACCGCGCATCAGACCCTTACGGACAGAACCCCTTGAAACCTGCATTCCAGCAGCAACAGCATCAGCAAGCGGGTGGTGGTGGCGGTGGGTACGGACATAGAGACCATTACCAGTTTGGGTATGCGCCGCCACGGAAAGAGTATTCTGCCAACAAGGTATTTTAAGTGGTTTTGTTACATTGTTTTATTGCGATTGACGTTTGGGTGTGGTGGTGGCGGGTAAAGAAAATTAGGGCTGTTGAGAGTCGACGAATATTCGGGATAAACAGAGAGCATATGAGTTACGAGTTTAATGGGTAATATTTTTGCTCAACGCCAACCCACCATTGTTGTCTTTTGAAAAAAAAGGAGAGGCTGCGATGAGAATAACAGCAATAACAGCGTTGGTCGAATGGAAGAAAGAAGTAGGACGATGAAACGAGTGAGAGCACTAACACGTTCACCGCCATTGCTTCATACTCATGTGCTATGCATTAGTATATCCGATTCTACCAAGAGAACGATTACATCCTGATCCCGACCCTGTTGACGCTGGTGTCGTTCTGGACGCGGTTCAGGGATATCAAGTCTTCGGATATTGTCGTCTGGGACGAGGTAATGCCTTGCTCTGCTATTGTTTTACAACACGATTGATTGATTTAGATGACGGAATGTAGGAAAAAGAGAGTGATCCGGCAGATCTGCCGATAACAAAACAACAACAACACAACACGACACACATACCGACCCTGCTTCACATTACAAAAGCACGCACGCACTCTTGTTTTTGTGTTTGTTTGTTTGTTTCTGTGCCTTCGCTTCCCTCCTTTTGACGCAATTGCTCTCTCATTCATTTATTTTTTATGCTATCGACCCTCCATCTCGTGCTGGCTGGATCCATGCTATATTCATTTGTTCTCAGGCCCATTTCGGCAAGGTAAGACTTTCCTAGTCCCGTCCCTGGTCATTCACGTGAACAGGGTTCTTTGCTATCATCTATGCTCTTAATTGTTCCATGAAAAGTGGCACACTGTACTCACATACCATCGCCCTTCTTACCAAATAGTTCGGTTCATACTACATCAAGGGAGAGTTCTATTTCGATGTACACCCACCTCTGGGCAAGATGCTGGTCGGACTATCAGGAGCCCTGGCCGGATACGACGGCTCCTTCGGCTTTGACTCTGGCGCCAAATACCCAGACATTGGCTTTGGATTCATGCGCATCTTCAACGCCTTCTTTGGAGCCATCATGGTCCCCCTCGCCTACTGGACCTCACAGGAGTTGAGAATGTCGCAGACCGCCTGCGTCTTTGCTGCTGTTCTTGTCCTATTTGACAATGCCTACGTCACCATCAGTCGCTTTATTCTTCTGGACTCTATGCTCCTCGCCGCCACCTGCTTTGTCTTTTTCTGTCTTACTCGCTTCCGGAACGAGCGCTATGAGTATGTCTCGTTCGTATTTGTTGCATACCGATGCTAACACGGATTGATCCTGGGCGTGGACAGAAACTAATTACAAGGTTGATCACTCTCCATGCCTCTGATAGCCCGTTCTCGTTGGACTGGTGGTTGTGGTTGGCTATGACTGGTGTTGCTATTGGACTCGTCTCCAGTATCAAGTGGGTTGGTCTCTTTGTCACCGCTTTGGTGGGCTTGGTAAGCTTTGCACTCTGGTATCAATTATTACTCGGGATGTAAAACCATGGACGCTGATGTCACTCTTGGTGCTAAACGCATTTACAAATTACATATACCATGACGATAGAACACTATTGAGGAGCTGTGGGACTTGTTTGGTGATTTGAGCATACCCAAGACCACGTACATCAAGCATTGGGTTGCTCGTGCTGCCTGCCTGATCGCTCTACCCTTCTCTGTCTACGTGGCCTCGTTCGCGCTCCACTTTGCCATCCTTCGCAACAGCGGACCTGGAGATGCCCAGATGAGTTCTCTCTTCCAGGCCAGCCTTAACGGCAACGACTTCCGTAGCAACCCCCTTTGTAAGTTCTCGATTTCTATGTATAATAATGATACTGATTTTGGAGGTCGTAGCATGTCATTAATTATGTAATGAACAATATAAATAGATGTGGCGTATGGATCGAAGGTGTCGATCAAGAACACGGGATATGGCGGAGGATTACTTCACTCGCACGTTCAGACGTTCCCTGAGGGATCTGGTCAGCAACAGGTCACTTGCTACCACCACAAGGATAACAACAACAACTGGATCATCAAACACGCTAAGAGCGAGGAGGTCCCAGAGGATACTGGTAGCCCCCTGATTCTGCGTGATGGCAACTTGGTCCGTCTGGGACATGAGCAGACCAACCGTAGCTTGCACAGTCATCGTATCAAGGCTCCCGTTACTTCTGCACAGTGGGAAGTCAGTGGCTATGGAGACGACTCGACCAACGATGCCAACGATGAGTGGATCATTGAGGTTGTGGACGAGAACAGCCATCATCCCAAGGATGGACAATTGAGATCGCTTTCGACCACGTTCAGATTGAGACATCGTATCCTGGGATGCCTTTTGACTGCTGAGAATGTCAACCTGCCTCAGTGGGGATTCCGTCAGATCGAGGTTACTTGTGACACCCGTAATCGTACCAACTCGCCCCACTCCATCTGGAACGTTGAACAACACTGGAACGACAAGCGTAAGTCCTATATCGATGATTGGTCGTGTTTATTTATCGAATATCGATAGTTACTAACTATACTCTTTATTTATGTTGTATGATCAATAGTGCCAGCAGGAGAGGGCAACTTGTATAAGAGCAAGTTTTGGAAGGACTTTTGGCATTTGAATGTGGCGATGATGACATCCAACAACGCATTGATCCCGGACCCCGACAAGGAGGATGTGTTGGCATCAAACCCAAGCCAGTGGCCCTTGTTGGCAGTTGGTCTTCGTATGTGCGGATGGGGCGATGATACGATCAAGTTTTATCTCTTGGGCAACCCTATTGCCTGGTGGGGCGGTACCTTTTCATTGGGTGTCTTCGCGCTGACTGTGTTTTACTACATTATCCGCCGTCAACGCAAGTTCCAGGATGTGAGCCCCATGGAATGGGAGCATTTCTTGGCTGCGGGCAAGTTGCTTGTCGGAGGCTGGTTCCTGCACTACATTCCCTTCTGTGTCATGGGCCGAGTGACGTACTTGCACCATTACTTCCCTGCCCTGTACTTTTCGCTTTTACTGTTCAGTCTTATGATTGACCATTTCGTCAACCGGCCAGGAGTGTCTAGCAAGGTCCGGAATGCGGTGTGGGCGGTTGCGTTTGCGGCAGTAACGTTTACATTCTTTTTCTTTTGGGATGTCACTTATGGTATTCGGGGACCTGCAGCAGAGACGATGACGAGTCGGCAGTGGCGGGGAGCTTGGAATATTATTGACGACCATAAGCCCAACACGTTTATTTAGGATCGCGTATCGATCATTTTTTTCATCTTTTTGTTTTCTCTTGTTTGTTTTTTTTTTTTATATTTTCATTCCGCGTTTGTTGAATAAATCGAGTTGAACTACCTGCATATGGGTACTCTTTCGACAATACACAATCAGATTCGAGGCCCTGACACAAAAAATATTCCCCGTAACGGGCCGATCAGCCAGCCCCTCGTTTTTTTGGTTGCCACCAACCTTAAAACTAAAAATGAACAAAGGGCAAACCGGTGTTGGCTCTCAACCCCTGCCTGCCGCTGTTGAAGATGTTTGGCAGAAAGAGCTTTTTGGGAGGGGAGCGTCTCGACTATCTCGAGACTTTGCAGGCGAAGGATGGAGGGATGGAGGGAAGGAGAAGTGTATGATGTGGTGGGTACTTTGGTGAGCCCTTGGGGAAGGACTGCTTGGTGTAGATTAGCCAAAAAAAGGGAGTGTTTCGTAGTAGCAGAATACGTTGTGTTGGCGAGCGAATGGGCCAGGTGTGAAGGGGGAGGGGGAAACGCAACAGTACTGCAGCATACATGATGAGAGGATTTGATGCAAGAGGAGAGCGATAAACCCAAATGGGTTGTATGGTCAGAAGTTGGGCGTGAGAGTCTTTTTTTTTTGGGCTATCTGGCCCATGGCGCTGGTTTCGGTGACTTAATCCCCCCCTAAACTAGCCCTGAAACGGTCCTCTTTTTCATACAACTGCACATTCCTGTGAAACTTACCTTGTAATCCATTTTTTTTTTCGTTTCGTGAGAAAGAGAGAAGTCCAGCTCATCTTGCTCAGAGCTATCCTTTTTGTCAACTACCTCCATCGGCATCCAAGTCGACACTACGTCAGAGGGTCGGAGTGTACAATTGAAAGACACAAGCCAAACGCAAAAAAAAGGATGGACGGACGGACGGACTGGACGATCGTTAGGTTGAGCTTTGTGTGTTCTTTTTTGTTTGAAAAAGAGCACACAAGATAGACGACTACTATAGGCTTATCTGGACAGGGTTTGGGGCTATCATTAGAACAAAACAGCTTGTAGAAATAGACATGCTGGGATGGGGGACTAGCTAGTAGTGGATTCTTTTTTATCTGATGGTGATGACGAAGATTCGAGTAAAGCGTTGTGAAGAGTTTGTAGGGTGAACACTTTTTTTTTTTTTTTTTTTTTCTACTTCACGCGAGAGGCGTTTTGATAAATAAAAAAAAACCCACAATTACTTTCAACTTTCAAAACTCGACATTCAGTCCATGACCTTGATACTGCAAAAGGCCATGCAATGCATGCTTAGGGTGTGTGTGTATGTGTTTTTTTTGGGTTTTCGTCATGCGAGGGGTTTTCGCAACGAAAAGGCGAAGTCAAGGGAGCAATTGAGCCATGGATACGATGGGAGGGAGGACCTCAAGAAAATATATGGCGCGGATAAACAACACAGAAACCCTCCATTAGATCATGGGCCCAACTCTGTCAGCAGTCATGCGAACGTGGTAAGGGGGCTGCCATGGATGAGAGCTGTTTTTTGTGGCCAAAAAAAAAAAAAAAAAAAAAAAAATAGTCAGAAAAAACGAAGTGTATGAAAGCGGAAGTGGACGAGAGCAGACGGAAAACGTGAGCACAAGCACTGTTTTTCTTGTTTTTTCTTTTTTTGTGTGTGTGTGTGTGTGTGTGTGGTTGTGAACAACGGCTGCACTCAAATCGGGCTAGACGCGATTATTTTTGTTGCTGTTGTTTGTTGTTGTTGAGAGGAGCATCGACGGAGAAAGGTTGATGAGAGAGAGAGGGGGGGGGAAGGAGGGGCAAGGTTCCATTTGTCGGTGAACGAAGGATCTTCCGGGAGGGGAGAAGTCGAGGTAGTGCTAAGAAAGGAAGATAAGCGCGCACACACACACACACACATACTCACATGGAACTGAACTCTATGCGTCCCCGAGGATCAAGCTTTGTTTTTGAGCAGCCCTCTGTTTTCTTCTTTTGGCATTGGGCGCTAAGAAGGGGTGAGAGAGAACTGAGAACTATGCAGAGCGCCTGCGACCGCAGATGGACGCAAGACACAAAGACGTAGGTTTATAAAAAGAACGTCGATAGCGCACAGGGGGATGTGGCGTCCAGAGTTTCTGCTGTCGGCTTACGCCCCTGCTGTAAGAGGCTACGGTGTAGTAATGGAGGTCAGAGAGTTGGCTAGAAGGACCGAGGAAATGTATGCTTGGATGCGTTCCTTTGAAGGAAGAAGAGGTCATTGCGGAGCAATTGGGGTCAACCCTTGAGTGTGCGGCAGGGTATTAGAGAGGGAGTGCGTTTAGGGTTAAAGGACGGTGGGCGGGTTCGAAAAAAATATAAAAAAAAAAGGCGGTGTTCACAGCAGAGGGTCGCTCTGTGAGAGAAAACTAAAAATACATTGGGGCCAGGGAACAGGCAGACAAGAGGAACAGGGACGTCTTTGTTCAAAGAAACGAACCTGCTCGACTTTGGTTTTCGCTATGGGCCTCTTGATCGATGGATGGTTGTCGCTAGAGAGTTGGCGAGAGAGAGGGAAGAAGGGAATGAAGCAAGGACCAATTGGCTCCTGCACTCTAGTAGATCTATTAAAGAGAGGTGGGCTAGACTGCGTTTAGTCGCGAGGGAAGAGTCGAGTGGTGTCCACCTGGTCCGACTGTGTGTGTGTGTGTGTGCCTGTCAGTCTGTGGAGTCTGTTGTGTGTAAATGTATGTGTCAAGTGAAGGCTTATTTTTCTATTCTTTCCCCTTCTCTTCTTCTCTTCTTCGTCTTTTCTTCCTTCTTCCTTCTTCCTTCCTCTTTGTCTTGTTCTCTCATTCCATACTCCTCCCATCATCACCTTACCTTTTAGACATCTCTCTCTCTCTTAATATCCTCCTCCTACTCTCATTTACTGTACCACCATCCTTATTATTTACACAACATATTATTACTCTCTCCTCTCTCCCTCCTTTCTTTGATACCAATTACCTTCCTTCTTCACTGCAAACCAACGGGAAGGACACATTCATCAACAACCACTCACACTCGTCAACCAGGAAGACAGTTAGCCAAGACGGCGCCCTACAAGAACAACCCCAAGGGAGCGACCATGTCCATGAAGCGCTTCTCCTCCCTCCACACCCTCTTCTTCCTAGCCGCCCTCGTCATCCTCTGGCTCGGCTGGTCCAACATCCGGCTACAAGGTACTTCATCTTAATCATGGTTAACACTCTTCTCCTTTGTTGGTGATGACCTGCCTTTCCTCACACTAACGTCTCTTTCCTTTTCTTGATGATGCGTTGAATTAGGATCAAACTACTCGTCAAGGCATCAGGGACTGAGGGACAATGGCATAACGAAGGGCACGATCGACGAAAAGTACATCAACCATGGCCCCATCGGATCAGAACATGACCTTCCCCTGGTTTCGGATCGGACCACCTCCCCGCTCGAGACCCTCCGCAAGCCCTACACCATCGTCACCGCAGCCTCGTCCAACCATTTCTGTGCGCTCGAGTCCTTCCTCTACTCGCTCTCCGAGGTTCTCGACGGCCTCGAACGGACAGAGCTCCGCCCCACAATCGTCGTTTACAACCTCGGCGGTATGACACCCCAGCAGATGGAACAGATGGAGTGGCTCAAGGATAACCAGTACATGGACGAGTACAAGGACTTTGATTACTCGGCCTACCCTGATTTCTGGGACATCAAAGTCGCCCGTGGAGAGTATGGCTGGAAGTCAGGCATCATTCAGGAGGTTGCTGACAAGTACCGTGGACTGATTCTCTGGTTGGATTCCGGCAACATGTTGGCATTGGACTTTTTGAGATACCTCCCCGGTTACCTGGACATGTATGGATTCTGGAGCCCTCAGAGTTCGGGTACCTTCCAGCAGTACACCCACGCGGGTCTTCCCCAGTTCTATGGCGATTCGGTGGAGAACTATTTGCAAGAGTCCAACTGTAACGGAGCCGCAGTGGCGTTTGATGCGTCGAACGACAAGATCTACTATGGACTCTTGAAGGAGTGGTTCCGCTGCTCGTCGACCAAGGAGTGTATCGCCCCCACGGGATCGTCTCGTTCCAACCATCGTCAGGACCAGGCAGCCTTGACCTACCTGGTCAAGAAGATGAACTTTAAGGAGCAGTGTCGCCACTTCCCCGAGCACTATGGAGTCACCGTTCATCAGGACAAGGTCTGCAAGGAGAGGATACGTGCCTATAAGATCATGAAGGGTATGGACCAGGAGCTCCAGCCCCTGGATGGCGATCTCGAGGAAGAGGAGGAGGATGACTAGATTATGTCTTTGTCCTTTCATTTCTTTGCATCTCCTTTGTATTTTGCTTTCCTTCACTTTTATTATTGTTTTTTTATTGTTGTTATTTAGCATCCCTCCCTTTTATTAAAAAAAAGTACGCATAATGGCTATTATTACCCAAGATCAATTGACTGACTGACCAAGGTTGCAAAAGGGCAGGGCGAGCTGGATTTCATCCTGTAACAAACGTCCATTGCCCGGGTGAACCTCATATTTTGTCCACATGGCTTGTTCTCCCCTTTTTTTTTTGTGTTTCGTCACCACAATGAGAGTGAATGACTTTATTGCAATACCAGGGACCAGGGGGGAAGGGGGGGCATTTGCGTTTGCCTCGAGCTGAGTTGCAGGACGATTTGTCTTGCTGGGATATTGTAATCCATACAGTCCTGGAATCCACACCATAATGTGATACTTGCTAAAGAATGAACATGTCTCAGGGAGAGAAAAGAACCTGAACAGCTGAGTTTCTCTTCTTTTCTTCCTTCCACCAGCCAAGCTCCGAGGGGCCCGAGAGAGAATGTTATTTTTGGTAGTGCATGGGTGGTTGGACAGTCAGATAAAAAATGGATGGGGGAATGTGGTATGACAAAACGAGCAGAAATGGTGGGGAGCAGGGAGGTGCACTGCCCAATGCAAGGACAAAAGGGAGAGTAAGGTGGCGGTGTCTTCTTCTTGCTAGTGGGCTAGGTTAGGATTCCTATGCCTATTCTGGGAAGGAAGAAAGGTACATGGCGACTAGCAGACAGAGTCTTTGGAAAAGTTGTTCGTTTTTGGTTTGCTTGGTAAAAAGGTCGATTGCCGTTGGACTAATAGGCCAGTTGGTGCAGGTAGATCGGTGTGATAAAGAGAGGCATGTTCACTAGCGCAATCGTATCCCAGCCAGACATGTTCACTTGTGCACTTTAATAAGGAGACTCGCACACGCCCATACGAGCAAAAGATGTTTCGTCCCCTTAGACCTTGTCTCGTTGTTGCTTACTCTTCTGCCCTTTGTCCTTTGTCTGTGTGGCCTGATCTACCCTTGCCTCTCTGTCTGTCGAAAAAGGAGAGATAACGAGAAGAGGTGCGTGGTCAGGGACAGAAAAGTTGGTCATTCAACAACGCCCACTTGCAACCTGAAAAATAAAATAAAGGGGTTCCTTTGAAGAGACAGACACACACATAGGCGTCCTTCTGACTTCTGACAAAGTCATGGCACGTTGACTCTTCTGCTGTCTCTTTTAAAAGAACGAAGCAGGAGGAGACAGAATGTCAGTCTCTTCTCCACCTTTCCTTCTTTTCGCCACTTCATCCACTTCCTTTCACCTTTGTTTTCAACCCTTTTTGTACTTTCTACAATTCGGCATTAGCAGCATCGCCTCGCAGAGATAACCCATCAAAAGACACAAACCAGGAGCAACACCCCTTCTCCATGTCACAGCCACTTGCAACGCCACAGTCCCAGGGTAAATCAATCGTCCACTGGAACAACAGAAGGCATTCAAAATTGGGGTTGTTCACCTATTCCCACCTTTTCCCTCCAATTGACTTGTTCTTGTTCCTGAAACTGTCTGTAATATTCACATTCCGATCCTATTCTCTACTCTCTGCATAGGCACAAAGCCCGTAGGACTAGAGGAACTAGACGACATAGAACAAGTGGTCCAAGGCTTCGACATCCAGGACTTACAATCACCCTCCTCACCCTCTTCACCGACTTCTGGACAGCAGCAACAGCAATGGCGCTACTTTGCAGTACGAGAGGGTCTGCAGGGTATCAAACGGATCATCGGGACTAGGTTGGCAGGCGGGAAGGAGATCCTTGTTACCAGGAGTCGTTCTACAACCTCGGTCGCGTCTGTGACGATCGCTGCAGCGACTGATGAGTCCGAGGCGGTTGTTGCGGTTGTAGGATCTATGACGAGAGAGCATGTGCATTTCGAGGAGGAGGTGTTAAGTGATGTGGAGGAGGTTTTTAGCGACGCGGATGAGGATGTGGATACGGATGTGGATGGGGAGGGTGTAGTATCACCTCCAAGTTCTCCACAGCTATCCCCAACTCTGGAAGCGGGGGAGGAAAGGAGGAAAGGGAAGAAGAAGGTGTATCCGGGGACGATTAATGCGCGGTTTGTGAAGCGGCAGTCTGCGAAGCAGAGTTTGAGGGGGTTGGAGCATGCGCTTATGGCTAGTATTGCGAAGACTGGTCCTAAGCAGGAGACTGGTCGATTGTGTAAGTATCTTTTGTTTTTGTTTTAGTTTGTTTCTTGGTTAGGCGTAATGGTACTCCTTGTCCAGGCTGTTTGTTTAGAAAGAAGAATGGCAGGAGATGGCAGACAGCAAAGAAAAAGAGCGAAGCAAAATTAGGGGTTGCTTTGAAAACATGATCATGAATGACTCTTTTCTTTGAACATGTCGCTCAAATGGCTTACATTTTGCTCCTTTCTTCTCTTTCTGTTTATTTGTCCCTGTGCGCCCACCATGTGCTCTTTTCACGAATGTGGAATGGACGAATGAATGAAAATAGTCGATGGAGGGATATTGACGAGTGCGAACCAGAAGAAATGGTATCACACTGCCTTACCCGTCAACTGGATCCAGAAGCTATCGAGCGAGTACCATTTCGGCAACTATGTCATCACCGATCGCGAGGTAATGTCCCCAACTCTTATTTCCTGTGCCCTCAGAGGAATGAACATGCGACGAGCGTAGGTTGAAAAAAGACCTAACATGTGTTGCAATGGTACGTCTAATTAGACGGGGACGAAGGTGTGGGAAGATATGCCGATCTATGCAAGGATTGGGATGCATCTTCTGTTCGCCGGCATGTTTGACCGCAAAGGTAAGTAATTCCGTCCTCGACTTCAGTCTCCTTCTTCACGTCCATGTGTCCTTCTCAGCCCGTAATCCACCTCTCCTTCTAAATCATTATCTCCTTTATTATTCCCCCTTTGAACCATGACACCAATAGTGGCAAAGACACACAGGATCCAGCACCTGTTCTCGGTCGAGTCTGTGAACCAAGGCCGCAACTTTGATGCACCCGAATCTGTCGCTCAGATCCCGCATTTCATCAAGACCTACAAGCTGAACCTATCCGAGTTGTTGGAACCCGATCTGTCCAAGTACTCCTCTTTTAATCAGTTCTTCTACCGCAAACTAAGGCCCGATGCGCGGCCTATTCATCAAAAGGCCAATCCTGTAAGTTATCTTCCTAACGTTGTTGTCTTCCCAGTTGCATGTTTCTCCATCCGTTTTCTGTGTCCTGACAGTCTTTTTCTCTATTTTTCCCTATGCTTCCATCATAAACAAACAAGAACATAATTGTATCAAGTGCAGATTGCCGCCTCTGTGTATTCGAATCCATCCACGCCGCGACAAAAGTCTGGGTAAAAGGAAAATCCTTCTCTCTCGAAAACCTCCTCCGCAACCCCGTTCTCGCCTCTCAATTCGAAGGCGGGTCCATCGCACTCTTCCGACTCGCCCCACAAGACTATCATCGGTTCCATTCTCCGGTGAAGGGTATTGTGATAGAGGAGGCGGTGAAGATTGGAGGGGGGTATGCTACAGTGAACCCGATGGCTGTAAATAATGTGGATGTGGATGTTTTTACGGAGAATGTTAGGAAGGTTACTGTTATTGGGTTGGATCCTGTTGTTCATGGGGAGGGTGGTGCTAATGAAGGCGGCGGTGTGGGTGAGGAAGTGGTGGAGAGGTGTGTGTTTGTCTCGATCGGAGCTCTTCTCGGTAGGTTTTTTTTTCTTACACTCCATTTTATCCTTGTCGTCTTTTTCTCTTCCCGACAGACCCCCGCTCTGACTCTATTCATGCACACTAACCCTCCCCTTTATTACAAAACTAGTGGGATCGATTGAACTAACAGGAGCAAAGGACGCAGGGACCCGTCTAGAAAAGGGCGACGAGCTAGGATATTTCGCCTACGGAGGGTCTACATGCATCCTCTTGTTCCAGCCAGGATCTGTCCGGTTTGATGAGGATTTGGTGGCGACCTCGCTGAAGGGGTTGGAGACGCTTGTTAAGATGGGGGAGCGGATTGGGGAAAGGGCAGGACCTGTCGCTCCTCCTTCGTAGGATGGCATATAATGAATAATGGAGGAGGGACGGTGAGGCCCGAATTGGATACGGTTCTTTGTTTACGTAGAGTGAAATAATAACCTCAGTTTGACCATGTGGCGCGCGTGTATGTCTTGGATGTGTTCGGATACGCTGTGAATGGTACATGGTGATATGTCGTAATGGGGCTGAATTGACTGCTTGCTTGGTGGCAGTGGAGAGTGGCTCCACGTTTATTTTCGTAATGAGGTACCCTGTCCTATTTGCGTCGTAGACATGTATACACACTGTATACAAAGAAGCAGACAAAGACATGGAAACAATGATTGCAAACAATGAGGGAGCACAAAGAGAAAAGAAAGAAGTGTTCTCAATCGATGGATAATCGGATTAGAGCAACATAGTCTACAAGAAGAAAGAGGTGGGATGACGACGATTGTTGACCCCATGGAGAGAAGGCAATACAGCAATGACTGAAAGAAGAAATCCCGCCGTGTGTGTTTATCATCCTGTCCGTCCGAGGGTGACAGGAGACATATGTCCGAGTGGACGTGCATTCGAAGCGCATGTTGTCCCATGCCCATGCATATTTCAGTTCTTTCCTCTCTTCCCACCTGCCTGTTTCTTCCTTTTTACTTTCCTCGTTTGTTCATCTTCTCATTCTGCTCTCTTCTCTTCTCTCTCCTCTCTCTCCTCTCTCTCCTTTACTCTCACACTCCCCTAATACTTTTTTACCCTTGACTCCTTACTGCCAACAACCAACGAACCCTCTTTTTTGTTTCTTTTTATCTTCGCACTCACTTTTCACGCACCCACCCTCACTGGTTTACTCTCCACGCGCTCCTATTTTTTTATTCACTCTCACTCGCGCACCTTGTGCTCAACATCCTTTCCTCTGCATCATCTTTGTTTTCTTCACTTTCTCTCATTCATTCAACACATATACCCCGAAGGATTTACTCTCCTCATTCTTCTTTTGTTGATCAACTTCACTCACTTTTCTATTTTTGACACCTGTACACTCCAAACCCCTGTTTTTCATTTTTTTTTTTTTTTTTTTTTTTTTTTGGACGCGACCTCGACACGTCCAGTTTCACACTTCTTTTTTTTTCTTTCTTTTCTTACGTACTCCCTCACGACAACGACAACCACCATGACAGTAACACTCACAGCAAACAGCACCACATCTCAGGTACGACAACGCTGTCTTCTTCTTTATTCACAAAGAAAAACGTACAATAGCACTTCGTCTTTTCTCAGCTAAAGGAAGATAAGAGGGAAGAGCGTATGTGCTTAGTGTTCTATCTTTACCTTTGCCCGGCCGTCTGTTGGCTGGCTAGCTGGTTGCCTTGACACACTTCGCCTTTTCACTGCTTTTCCCTTTCTCATACACTCATTCGCTTCAGCCCTCCTCTCCACAGTTTGTTCCTTGATTTCCTTTCTTTTTATTTTCTCCGCTCGACCCAATTTCCCTTTTGTCTATCTCTCTCTGGTCGTCCAACGGTCATTCATTCATGCCCCTCTCTTAATCACACGAAAGGGAAGAGGACACAAGGGAGGGAGTGTCAGTCCCTATCTCCCTAGTTCCTCTCCCGCACAAACCCATGCTGTTTTTCTTCCCTTTCCTGACCCCCTCTTTTAACAATTTCCCGCATTATCATCAACAACGAAGGGCAACCACCACCACAACACAACATAACAATTGTATGTTTACCTCTCTGTCTTCCCTCTCATATTTTTTTTTTTTGCATGAATTTTTTCAACTAATAGAACCACCTGTCGGCACTCCCACGGGTCACAGAAGAGATCTTGAACGAGCAGGATGAAGACAGCAATAACATTATCATCAACAATAATGGACCTAAGATCTCATTCCAGGATCCTACTGCTTCAGAACAGTACGACCCATATTATGACTCTGACGCTGAGGCTGCTCCCTTTGGATGGGGGTCTGCTGCAGGAGCGGGAGTCTCGAAGGACACGTTGCAGGAGGGGCAGGTTATTAAGGCCGGCTACCTTATGAAGAAGGGCGAGCGCATTAAGGTAATTTGGGTCTGTGTTGAAATGATGAAGGTGTTAGCGGTTAGAGGATGGATGGCATGACACACATTTGTACTCGCTGTTGTTGTTTTTTTCTTTGTTGTTTGTTTAAAAAAAAAAGGACAGTGGGTGTCACAATACGAAATTGGAGTAGGGGACCAGAATTTGTCCGAGGGGCATTAATGATCCACTTCTGAGCTTACTTTTGGCATGTGGGGGAGACAAAAGGGACTACGTGTAAAGAGAGGGATGAGTGGAGAGAGAGAGAGTGGGCTGTCTTCGAACCATGCAAAAGGCCACAGGGTTAACCCATTGGCTCAGAATGGGTTGGGGTGAACACAAAACTGACAAGAAAAAAAAAAGGTCAGAGAGGCAAGCGAGTAATGGTCATTGGTTCGGGGAAAACATACTTTAGCAGAGCAAAATGCATTGACGAACAAAAAAACGTGCTAACTGTAATGGTCTTCGCTATGGTGGATTTTTGTTACTTAGATCTGGAAGAAGCGCTGGTTCGTTCTCCGGACATCCAAATTCGCGTACTACAAAGACGACAAGGTAACATATAATACTACCACTGACAAACACATGTCTGATAGCAATGAGCAGAGAATTAACAGCATACTTTGTTCATTCTTGTAGGAGTACGAGTTACTGAGGATTCTGGATGTGCGTGATGTGCATAGAGCGGCAGAGGTACCGGTGAAACACAAGTCGGCCGTGTTTGTGATCCTCACACCCAGGAGGACATTCACCGTCCAGGCGAAATCTGTCGCAGAGATGCAGGAATGGCTCCAGGCGATCAACCAGGCCAAAGTCCAGTCGGATTTCATGGCGTCTACCTCGGACCTGGAATCGTTGGCGGGATCGACATTGCAACTTGGGTTGGGGTTCTCGTTGCCACCTACTTCTCCGACCACTCCTCGGCAGCTACCGGTAGCACCTGCACAGACTTCTTCGTTACAGCAGTCGGCGGCAACGCAACATAAGGCGATGGCCAAGCAGAGTATTGCGGATGTTATCCTTGCGAGGCGACAGCCGCCTAATACGCAGCTCTCGTTGACGGATCAGGAGCTGCATGATAAGCGGGAGGCGTCTTCGACGCGCAACAAGGGCAAGAATGTTGTGCGACCCCTGTCGGTGGCGATTGCGGCTGGTGATTCTGCAGTGGGGTCAGCGCCACATACGGGTGCCAGTATCTTGGACCGCCCTGCACCTCATAGAGCAGGATCTCGACGTGCTGCTGGTGAGGGGCTGTCGTTGATTACGACAGGAACACAGGCGATTCAGATTGCGACTCCTTCGTCACCAAGGATGGAGCATGTTCATGCCCACGATCCAGCATTAGGCTCCTTCTCGTCTGGACAGTCGTATACCGGTGCTGGAGGACCAATCTTGTCAGCAGGGCCAATGACACCGTCGTCGCCGGGGTACAACTCTGGAGGCGAGCTCTTCTGGAACACAGGGTATGACCAGGGATTCTCGTCTGGTGATGAGGAATGTGCAGATGAGGAGGAGGATTCGTCGGTAGTCGTGGAGGCTGGTCGTGTTGCTACCGAAGCGAATGCCCCGGGGTCGGGTATTGTTACGGGCGAGCAGTTGGAGAGTAAGGTGGTACGGACTGGCAATTTGCTCAAGTTTGGCAACAAGTACAAGGTACGTCGTCATTTTTATCGTCGAGGGGACGGAATCTGTTCATAGGCGATTAATTAGAGTGAGACTGAAAAGGGGCCATTGACTGATCGAAATGACATTTTTGGATTTATTGATCGCATTTTTTCAGACGTGGCGGAAACGGTGGTTTGTCTTGCGCGGTGATAAACTGACCTACTACAAGAACCACAAGGTAACAAACGGCTACACACGTTTCACACTCTTTTTGAGCAACAATGAACCAAACAAGAAAATGCTAACTTAAGTTTGTTACCGTCTTGTAATCGATCGTAGGAGTACCAACCACATGGAATAATACCGCTTACGACAATCATCGACTGCCTACAGACCGACCCAGTCTCAAAATCAAAACAGTACTGCCTCCGGATCGTCACCGCCAAACGATCCTTTGTCTGCTGTGCACCCGACGAGGATACCCTCCTACAGTGGCTCGATGCCCTTCATGTCGAGTGTGATCGTGTTGCTTTGGAGGCACGTCAGGAAGTAGCGTCTGAACAGGCTGTTGGCACAACTGCTGGTACTGGCGCAGGAACAGATGTAGGACTGACCAAAGTTGAGAGTGTGGAGGAGAGTGAGAGCCCTACGAAGCCCATGGGAAGAACTGCACGGATACGAATGAGCTTCCACAGCACCCTACCCCGCGCTCGATCCATCTCCCGGTCAAGGTCGAAATCTGGAGATGGTTCTGTTACTGGCGCAGGAGGGTTGTTGTTGCCCCCTTCGGCGCCGCTTCCGGGGCAGGGAAATGTTCCGGGAGTGGTGCTGGTGCATAATGCGTCGCCGACGATGACGACGACTACGAGTCAGATCCGGAAGGTGATGAGTTTGGACAGCGGTGTGGGGCCGGGTGGTAGGCATGTGGGAGGTGGGGATGGGCTCCAGGTGCAGAGTGTCCCGGCCGCTATTGAGCCCGTCGCGTAGATACTTGTCATAAACGTAAAGGTTGTGGTGAAATAATCATGACCTATCTAAATACTAGTTGGCCATGTCGTTGCGTCGCCAGCATCATCTTTTTATTTGTTTCAGCATTTTCTTTATCTCACGCGTAGCCACTGGATTGCTACTTGTGGTGAGCCTAAGGTACCACTCAATAAAATTTTCGCGGCTCTCAGATACACCAAGTCCGATAAAGTACATGCAGGCTACAATTCCCTGAGCAGCCTCGTGTCCTTGCTCAGCAGCTTTGAGATACCATTGGAAGGCCTTGGATTCGTCTCTCCGGAGACTGAACCCTTTCCTGTACATGTCTCCCATACAGACCTGAGCATGCGCCACACCTTGGTCAGCAGCATTCATAAACCACTCCCTGATCTTAGAATAAGGTTCCAGGTCAAGGGTAACGCCAGGAACGCATGTCATCCTGTTGTTATAAATCCCATTTAGCATGGACTGAGCCCTGGTGTGTCCCTGGACCGCAGCCTTGATGAGCCAGTCCACAGCCTTGGACAGGTTTTTAGGGAGACCACAGAGGCCTAGTTTGTGAACGCGACCTAGAGCGAATTGAGCTACCGGAAGTCCTTGATCGGCGGCTTTGGTGTACCACTCGACGGCCATGAGACCGTCCCGCGAGACGCCCCGACCAGCCTCGAGCGCAGCACCAACTCGCTCCTGGGCCTTGGTGAACCCTTGGTCGGCAGACTTGAGGTACCACTCAAAGGATCTGGAGTCAGATTGAGGAACACCCTGGCCCTTTTCGTATGCAGCCCCCATGTTGTACTGCATCCCTTCATGACCATTCTCAGCTGCCTTAACCGACCACTCCATCGCCTCAATGTTATCTTGTGGGACGCCGGCGCCATCGGTATACGCCTGGGATACTTTTACTTGGGCATCGGCATAGCCTTGGAGAGCAGCTTTGAGGAACCACTCGAAGGCCTTGGCATTGTCCTGAGGAACGCCATTATGACCTTGATCGTACAAGAGACCGATGTTGAACAGGGCACGCGGATGATGTTGTTCAGCGGCCTTAAGGTACCAGTCCAAGGCCGCATCGCAATTCTGGTACACCTCTCGGCCATCGTTGTATCGATCCCCAAGAGCGACCTGGGCCTGGACATCCCCAGAATTGGCCTTGATCATCGTCTGCATGAGGCTCATGTCAGCAGCAGCATCATAGTCCTGAGGGTCCAGCAAGTTCTTGGTGACGGCTTTGGGCTGGTGGCCTTTCTCGGCCGGTGCATTGCTACTGTCGTCTTTGTGCTCATCATGAACGGTCTGGGGTCCTCGACGATGAGATACGGATGCTGGGACGTCCATGTGGTTGTATTCTGCAGGGCCTCCAATTCGTCCCCGTAGGTGGGGTTGCGTCTAGCACTACTAGAAGAGCTCTGTGGAGGAGTATTGAGTGACAGGTCTTGGACAATCCTTTCCATTGAGGCGACGTCCGCGGCTATCAATTCTCCACCCACGACGACATCCAAAACGACATCCGGTACAGCGGTGATTTGCCGTGGTTCAAGGCTACAGTTTGTTCATCCATGGAAAAAGAATACACTTCTGTGAGTACATACTTTTTTCCCTTCACATCCCGAGCAAAAAACAAACAGATACATTTTTCTTTCTCTCCCGCCCTGCTTGCTTGACATGCATATCCAATGATCATGTCGCCATCCTGTGTGAAAAAAAAAGCGATTTTCACACACACAGACGCACACGTACGCTCTGAGGTCTTTTCCTTTCGCAAAGGGGAGCACCTTTGTCCTGTTCCTGACCGACAATGCCTCACTGAACGCCTGTTGGATGTCTTCCCAGAGGATAAAGTCCCTGTTGGTGTCGGGGTCAGTGTAGCAATCGATATGGACTACTTTGGGCGAATTGAGAGGGACAGTGGTGGTGGAAGGTGGCTGGCTCTCGTGGACAGAGCGGAACCCTTGGACGTGCCCCTGTACTGCGTCCTGAGGTGGCATGGTTTTTCTTTTTGTTTAGCTAGTTTCCTTGCTGGGTGTGAGATGTGGACTGCTGAAGGATGAGGTGATGGTGGTGATGTAGGCGGTCTGGAAGAAAAGAGATGGAGGAGTGCATGTGAGACAGAATGAAAAGAAAAAGAAAAGAGAGAGAGAAGTGAGAAGACGATGCGAGTAAAGTCAAAAAAAAGTAGGCGAGGGTTCCTTGTCTTTTTGTCGACAGAAATACGAGAGGGCACAGCTAGTTTTTTTGCGGGTGACTCGTGATTGGACGAGTGACGTTGTTCGTACCCGCGTCAGAAGAGATCTCTGTGTGTGTTATGACCAACGCGACAAAGAAAAGGTCTACTTTTTTTGGTCTTGGTCTTGGACGTGAGTTGGACGTGAAAGGGTCACCAGGCAGGCAAGTGTTCAAGATTATTATTGTTTAATTTCTAAGCATGTATTTAAGAATGTGTAGAGCCCAGTCATTGCCTTCTTTAGCGAGTCTAAGGTACCATTCAAGAGACTTTTCGCGGCTCTCAGTCACGCCTAGACCTGTCTCGTACCTGTAGGCTACACGTCTCTGAGAAGCCTCGTCTCCTTGCTCAGCTGCCTTGAGTAACCATTCGAAGGCCACATATTCGTCTTTGGGGACACCGAGCCCTTTCGTGTACATGTCTGCCATACAGACCTGAGCATGCGCCACACCTTGGTCAGCAGCATCCATAAACCACTCCTTGATCTTGAATTGGGTTTCCAAGTCAATGGTACAATCAGGACCACGATAGGACGTGCCGTAGTTATAAATCTCACTTAGCATGGACTGAGCCTGGGTGTGTCCCTGGACCGCAGCCTTGATGAACCAGTCCACAGCCTTGGACCGGTCTTTAGGGAGACCACAGAGGCCTAGTTTGTGAACGCGACCTAGTGCGAATTGAGCCACTGAAAGACCTTGATCGGCGGCTTTGGTGTACCACTTGACGGCCATGAGACCGTCCCGCGAGACGCCCCGACCAGCCTCGAGCGCAGCACCAACTCGCTCCTGGGCCTTGGTGAACCCTTGGTCGGCAGACTTGAGGTACCACTCAAAGGATCTGGAGTCAGATTGAGGAACACCCTGGCCCTTTTCGTATGCAGCCCCCATGTTGTACTGCGTCCCTGCGTGTCCATTCTCGGCTGCCTTGACCGACCACTCCATCGCCTTGATGTTGTCTTTTGAGATGCCGGCACCGTTGGTGTACGCCTGTGATACTTTTGCTTGGGCATCGGCATAGCCTTGGAGAGCAGACTTGAGGAACCACTTGAAGGCATTGGTACCGTCCTGTAGGGCCACGTTGTCTCTTTCCTTGTCATCTTCTTCCCCGTCATCTTCTTCCCCGTCATCTTCTTCCCTGTAGTCTTCTTCCCTGTAGTCTTCTTCACTGTAGTCTCCTTCCTCGTCGTGTACTTTCTCGTACAGAAGACCAATATTGTACTGAGCCCGAGGGTGATGTCGTTCAGCGGCCTTAAGGTACCAGTCCAAGGCGGTGTGGCGATCCTGGTGCACCTCTCGGCCATCCTTGTATCGATCCCCGAGAGCGACTTGGGCATGGACATCGCCTTGGTAGGCATGGATCATTGTCTGCATGAGGTCCATATCCTTAGCAGCGGTTTCGTCCTGAGGGTCATCTAGTCGCTTTGTGGCGTTGCTGGTCGCCTCTGAATGCTGGGTATCGATGGCGTTGCCGTAGTTGTTGTCTTGTGAATGATACTCTAAGGCTTGGGGTCCTCGAAGTGGGGTAGTGTTTTCTGGGCTATCGATATGGTTATTGTCCTGTGGGGCTTCTGGCTCGCCGCCACAGGGTGGGCTATGTGCGGCGATTTCGATGGGGGTCTGACGTGGGATGTTGAGAGAAAGTTCCTGAACGGCGCGCTGGAGAGAGGCGATCGTATCTGCAGTTTCAGTATCGGTAGTAGCAATCGGTTTATCAGCCACAACAACATCCAAGACGACGTCCGATACGGCTGCAATCCTGCGGGGCTCAAGACTAATGGTTGTTCATACAAAAAAAAAAAAATGTCAATGGGTAACCAATTTCTCCCTCCCCCTATCTCACTTTTTGCATGACATGCATATCAAAATGATCATTTGGCCATCCTGTCGGGACAAAAAATAATCGGAATCCAGAGCGCTTTTCAAACACACTTACATTCTGTGGTCCTTTCCTCTCACAAAGGGTAGCATCCTGGTCTTGTTCCTGACAAAGATGGCCTCGTCAAAGGCCTGCTGGATATCTTCCCAGAGGATAAAGTCCTTGTTGGTGTCCGGGTCGGTGTAGCAGTCGATATGGGTGATATTGGGAGAGTCGAAGGGAACTGAAGTGGTAGAATGTGGTTCGCTCTTTTGGACTGAACGAAATCCCTGGACGTGTTCTTGGGTTGTGTCTTTTTGTGTCATTTTTTTTCTCTATTTTTTGTCCTAGTTCCAGGAACGAGACGTAGTTTTACTGAGGGAGAGGCGGGGTGATGTGAGTTGGTTCGAGGATGAGCGATGGAGGTGTGTGAATGTGAATGTGCAAGTGGAGGAAAAGGAATGAACAAAGTGCGATAAATGAGGGAAGTGATGCTTTGATGCGTTGAGTCTCGTGATTTTTGATTAAAAGAAACCTTTGTGTGTGTGTGTGTGTGTGAATGTGAAACCCCCTAACGTGTGCATAATGAAAGCAACGAAGACTCATCATGGCAAAGCAGCAGCAACCTCAACACAGCGGCACTAGGTTATTCATGCTCCTTCTATTTCCCTACTGACTCAAAGAGCACACCACTGTACTTCTATTTCCACCCCTTAGAATAGATTTGGCAGAGGATGAGAAAAGAGTGGGGGAGGGAAAGTAAAGCCGGGAGAAAGGCAAATGAAAGGTTGGAAGTGAATAGGCGAATGAAGAAGAGCGAAGAAGGAAAGAAAGAAAGAAAGGTGTGTTGAATGAAAAGAGGGGTTGGTGAAGGCTTTCATGTTTTTCGACGAAGGCAAATCAGGGGTACTGATGTGACGGATACGCGTGATTGGACAGAACCTTTCATGTTCCATACGATACTGACAAGTGTCGTTGCCATGTGTATGTGCAGTCCAGATGTCCCAACGCGCATAAGCAGTTGTCGACTGAATCGAAAATGCGTTGTTACGGAACTGACAATGCGTTTCAGCAGGCACATGCCCACTATTGCTCCTTCAGTGTTGCCAGCGCATAGCACATGCATCAACGGTGCTTTTTATTTCTTTCCTTGGTTCGGGACGTTCATATCGATACAAAACAATGAAGGAAAAATATAAAAGCACGCCCGCTCCTCTCACTTTTGTAGCTATCACTCTAGCTATGAGCCTTCATCATTATTTAGAGACTTACAATATTGTCCCTCACGGTACCACAATAAACGACATTCAAGTCGAACAAGGTAACCACAACAATTATCTTGTTATCCTACGCCTCCTAGAGGGGCAACGTATGGTCCAAAATCTTAACTGCTTCAAGATCTCCAGTATTAAAAGTAAAATGGCCAGATAATTACATTTCAAAAATTAGTGTTTTCTACTTTCTACTTTCTACTTTCTACTTTCTACTTTCTACTTTCTACTTTCTACTTTCTACTTTGCTACTAATTACCCATAAGAGGTTTTAGTATTCCTGAGGATGGTTCTGGTGTCTCGTGCCAGATTCTTGCCCATGATAGTAACCGGGCATATCCGTCTCGTTGTCGATCGCCTGAGGCGCGCGACCTGGTGAATGGTGCACTTGAGGACCTCTGGCCTCAGCGACCCTGTAGTTGTCAGCGGCTGCATCGAGTTGGTACATTTCCACGCCGCCCTGGGGATCGGATGGTTGTGTCGGCTGGGGAGTCTGAGGGCTGTTGTGGTTGCTGTTGTTGAAGGTGTTGTTGGCAAACGTTTGTGGCGAGGACATGGTGGTAGTAGCTGCGGGGGGGTACTGCTGTGGGTGGTGTTGCAGATATGGAGAGGACTCCAGCTTGCCATGGTTGTCGTGTGTTGGAATAGCGTTATTGTTGTGGTTGGGGGGATTAGTTGGTGGTATAGGGTAAGAGACTGGCGCGTTGGTGATTTCGCCGCCACCGCTGATGTCGTTGTAGTTGATATGGCCACCACCACCGCCACCGTCGAGTCGTTCGCTGTCAATAACCAAGCTCCGCTGTGAGAGTTGTTCCCCGAGTTCCTTCAGTCGTGTTTTTTGTCGACGACTGTACGCCAAGAACCCAATAACGACTCCAACCACGGCCAGTACACCCACAACACCGCCAATAATCGGTCCAGCTCCCGCAGATGACGATCCCGAACCTTGGTTTCCGCCAATTCCTGAGCCAGATGTTGGAGTTGGCTTTGTGGTCGGATTGGACGAGTAGTAAGACGGAGCCTTGTAGTTGTTGACCCATTGGTTCAAGGTGAGATCATAGACGATGGGTTCGGCAGAGACCACGGTGTTGGTGCCATCGCTACTTCCACCCCAGACCACGAATTGATCGCCGACCAGGGCACAGGCGGCGTAGACTCGAGGTGTTGTGTGTGAGGGTCCTGCGGTCCAGGTGCTTGTGTCTGTGTCTGTGTCGATGGTCAGAATGTTGATTGCGCCTGTGAAGGCTGGTGTCACGACTGAAGTTTGGCCGCCAAAGACGACGATTGTTTTGCTGTCGTCGCCTGGTTTGAGAAATGGAACAGGAAGAAAAGAAGGATTAATAGATGATACGATGTGGAATTTGTTTTCTGGGGATATTGTTAATGAGGTACATACTGATGGCCGAGCAATGGTTTGAGCTTGGTGCTGGTGGTGATCCAGTGGTTCTCTATGATTGTTCACCCCATGGCCAGTACAACAAAAAAAATGAATACACATGAAGCAAAAAACCCTTTAACATTCAACCCAATAGATTTGCCAAAAAAAAACAACCTTATTTGCTTTTTTTACCAGTAATGACCAGCCAGGTTTGATGGGCGAGTACTCTGTCACGAATACCTGGGGATCGAAATGGGTTGGGCTGACCCCATAATTATAACCGCCCACATACATAACAGTCGTCCTCGCACGGTTAAATAGCGCCGACCCAAAATACCGGGCAGTCAAGGTATTATTCGGGATCAGCGCCTGTGTCCTCCAAAAGGTCGGACCCTCCGGTTGATACTCATTCATGCTCGTGTTGCCAGGGATGTACACCAACCCCGAGATCGGATTCAAAACGGGCTTGAGTCCTGAAGCGAAGACATCTGGGTTATCGGTCAATACCCGGGGCGTCTTCCAGATATCCATCACGACATCGTATTCTGTGACAGTGTAACTCGATGGCTCATCATATTTGAATGTGAAGACGGTGTTATTGTTGGCTGAGCTGACTGCATACAAGGATCGAGATGCGGTGCCGTTCGAAAGTGCGCGCCAGGGCGCCGCAGAGACTGGCCAGGAGGTCGAGAGGTCGAGGGCAAATGTCTGGGGGGATAAGAACTGGGTGACGCCGTTGAGGGTGACAGCGCCGCCGTGGATGAAGAGGTCACGTCCGGCTCTGGTCCAGGCCATGTCCTGGAAGGGAATGGGGGTGACGCTTTGGGCTGAGACGGAGGAGCAGCTTATGAGTAGGACCAGGGCAGCTGCGGTGGTGGTGGAGGTGGCAAAGGTGAGGCGTCTGCTTCTGCTCATGGTTCGATTTGCAACCATGTTTTTGGGTTGCTGAAAAAGGGATGGCGGAAGTGAAAGAAAGAGGCTGCTGAGGATAAGAGGGGTATATATATGGTTAGAGGTTATCAGGAAGAGGGGAGCCAGGAAAAGGGAGAAGGAACAGAGGGAGAAAGAGGGGCGAAAAAGGGAAACAACAGAAGTATGAGTCCTTTTCATTCGCCACCCTTGGTAACACCCATTGACGTATACCACAGCATGACATTTGTCTTTGCTCTCGTTTGCTTGTTTGCGTGTGTGCATGTATTAATACCTCTTCACCGTGTCATTGATTCATAGAGGGCAGGTTTTTTTGCGTGAGTTTGAGTTGTCTTTCTGCCCACTTTCCAAATGACATTTCATTTTGACAAAGATCTTGCATGTTGTTGTTGTTGTTGTTGTTGTATGTGTCGACAACAAAAGAGAAGCTCACAAAAGAAAAAGAGAGAAAAGACAAAGTCGAAGAAAACAAAGAAACCTTCACACACCTATGCTCTTTATGTACTCCGTGCCTCTTACTCCCAATGTCAACAGCATCCGTCAGCAATACTCTGTGGCATCTCTTTGTTTTTGCAGAAAGATACCTCCGAAAGTCAGCTCTCAAAAAGGGACCATCTTAACCTTATCCCTCACAAAGAGAGCCTCCTCAACGACCTGCTGAACATCCTCCCAGAGGACAAAGGCCTTATTGGTGCCTGGGTCTGTATAGCAATCGATGTGTGTAACATCGTCCGAGGGCTGAGACGGTGGAGGGACGTTGACTTTTATGGACAGAGTGGAATCCCTGGACTTTTTCCTATGTGGAGTGTCCTTGTTGCATTGAATGTCGTTATGGTGTTGGTGTGAGATGTAAGTAGAGGAAAGGAAGGAAGGAAGGAAGGAAGGAAGAAGAGTTGACTCAATGAGGTGCGCGGGCATTTTTTTTGGGTTTTGTTTCATCGAACTGTGATTGGACAAAAGTCTCTTGGTTCCAGGCCGTTGTGCAGAATACATTTTGTGAGCGGGTCTCCCGGTATTTATTGGAGGAGGCAGAGTGCAAACGCAATACCAAGGCTGACTCGACCACACCACGTCTATCCCACATCGCCCTTTCAGGAAAAAAAGCAGTCTCGTTCTCATTTTTTTAGCAGTTTGGATCCAAACTCCAGCAGACATACAAAACAAACAAATCGACAAGACAATAAGAAGAGGGAGCACTTCCCCCGTTGCTTGTTTCTTTTTATTACTCCGTTTTGCAATTACAACAATGCAATAGACACAACGCCACTCAGGAAGGCGGCGATCCAAGACAACGCCTCAACCGACACGCCACCACTTCCTCCACCACCAGTACCACCCACAGCACCAGCAGCAGGACAAGCCGTCTTGAATCCCGCCAACGCATCATAAACCCCTTTTGTGAAACCCTCCTGCTCCGAACAAGCAGACGGCGGTTTGGCAATACAACCTCTCACCCAGAACTCATCCCCCTCCACTCTTACCAATCCACAGAGACATGATTTCTCGTCTTCGGTCATGGTGGTGTTGGGTTTCCAGTTGTCGACTGAGAAGGTGGGGTCTTTTGAGCAGGAGGGTGATTTTGTGAGGGCCGCAGTGGTGAGGCAGGTGATGCAGGTTTGGTAAGGGGTGGTTGTGCCGTTGGTTGCGGCGGAGGCTGGGTGGAGGATGGAGGGGGAGAGTGCGAGGAGGAGAAGAGTGGTGAATAGTAAGAGAGGAGACAATTTTGAGAAATGCATTTTTATTGGCGCTATGAGGAATGTGGTATAGAAAGATAAGACGACGTGGGGTAGAGTGAACGAAGGGAAGAAAAGAGAGTAGGAGCGTAATGAGAAATGAGAAAAAGAAATGACACCGTGCCTCAAGTGAGCAAAGATTAAACTTTCTCCAAGCGACAAGCCACATCTTGCACCTATGGATGTGTTTGCCCCTTCACACAAGTGCTCACAGGAGAGCGCCGGCGGCAACAACGACAACAACGATGAGGCAAGACAAACCACTGGAAGAACCGCCAAAATGCACACCAGCACCACTCACAGTCGGCCCAGTCGCCGAAGGTGGAAAGCCCGTAGCAGCCGCCACCACAGGGTTTCACGCGTAAGAGTGGTAGTGGGCGCAGCGGCAGATGGATGAGCTTCTCAACATTCTTTTCCCGGTCCATTTAGCTCTCATGTCCCGCCGCTCTTAGCGAGTATCCTCCCTTTACTCGCTTGCTCCTTCTGGCGCGTTTACTTGATTATTAAGCCGGTGAGCCACCACGAGTAATCTTGCTAATTCACACATATATAAACCCCCTCTCTAGCTAAACTTCCTTCCTTCACATATACACCTTCCTGCTGCACTCTTCCACACTATTTTCTCTCATTTCACGACATGACAAAGTCTTTCACTCTGCTGGCTCTTCTGGCTCTCCTCACTCTGTACATTGTACGAGCAAATGTCCACTGTTATTGCCATAATTGGCTGGATTTAGTTATGAAATCGGAGACAAGACAATGCCTTGGCTTGGGAGCAGTTCCTCAATTCATAGAAATCAACAGCAAAGGCGTTGTTGTGTACAGCAGCTGGCCTAAGAAGGAATGGAGAAACAAATGGCATAAGTGCTGCGAGGATGCTTCAATCACTTCTACCGGCCTAACGTGCTTTTGAGGCTGCTTAATGGCCACTCCGCCATCTGTCCCTATCCTCTCTATCCCGTCTCCTACCGTTCCATTTTCTTCTACCGTTCTGTCTCCTTCTACCGTCCCGCCTCTTTCTACGGTCACATCTCCCTCTGCCGTCCCCTCCCTATCTGCGGTCTCCGCCCCCGATCATTTTGAATCCTTGTACCCTCATTCAACTGTTACCACCCAAAATAAAACCTAGTACCCGTCTATCGTGTGCCAAAAAAGTGTTACAATGACGACAACCGTAATGTGTCGCCAAATGGTATTAAGGAAAATGACGAGTAAGGAGGTTGGTTCTTTTATCATGAGCTTGTCCCTGAGTAGCATTTATGGTGCCTGATTGAGGTCATGCAGGTGGCTTATTCACTTTGTCTAGTAAAAAAGAAACGGAAGTGGATCCTCTAATAGAGTTCACGCTTATCCATAACACAACTCCCCCTTTACGGACAGTAAGGCTATAATATGGGTAATGAAGGGAGAAAATACACCTCTCGATTGGTATGTCAACAAAAGGAAGCCTACTGCATGTGTGAGAAAAAATGAGGATAGCCTCGTACGATCTGGGGAAACATTCATACAGGACTGTGCAAAAACCTCGGTGTAATTCTCCGTTGAGGAAGGTATCAATCACTAAGGAGCAGTACGCGCGGGTTTGACACTCCGATGTAGTATGTCCTTTGGTGATCTAGGATTGCTTCGATGGTTGTGGCCAATCTGCCTTGTGTGGGCGCGATCTTAGAGATCGCTTTTCATCGTCTCTCAGCCTTTTGAAACTTTTTGTTCGTGACATGAGGATTGAAAATCATTGATTCGTTTGTGGTAAGTCACAACAGCAGTAGGAGCTAAGTTCTCAGAGTGTATCTCAGAGTTACGTTGCTCGTCGTAACCTTTCCACTTTGCGGTTTACATTTACAGTACATATCCTCCAATATATTCATTCTTTGTTCTATTCTTACATGTTTTCGACTCCATAAAATACCACTCGTGAAAGAGACCTACCTGCATCCGGAAGAGTTTTCATTCGGCAACTGCACCATTAGCAAGTATATATTATATTATATTCGTAGACCCCTTAGGTAGCTAGATCATATAGCGGAAGTACAGCCCACATTCTAACGCGCGTATCACATGCACACGTCCAACAGTGTTCGCAATAATTTTTTCGTTATTATTCAAGGGAGCCTCTTTTGTAAGGAAGGGGCGATGATGCCAGGGATGAGTCCGATGGGAGGTCGTTGTCGGAAATAAGAGTAGCGGCCGCGAAATTCATTAGAACGCAGGTAATGAACAATCATTGGAGCTGCATTTTTGGATGGGACGCTTGTTGTTCTTCTTCTCTTTGTCCCGTCGCCCTTTTCACTCTCCATTGTCCTTCTCTTCTGTTCTTCGTCATTACTGTTTTCATAGGTCCCTGCTCTTTCTATTCTTTGCTACAGTCTTTGCTTAGTTCTTGTCTTTCCTGTTTTCATTATTCTTTCTTTTATTTATTTTTCTATGTCAACTTGCGGCCTGCACATATACTACCCCTTTACTCTTCCTTCTCCTTGGAGGCATGTTCTTGATATTGATATTTTTTCTTTTGATGAACAGAAAATGAGCAGTCGGTTTGGCTGGGATTTTTTTTAATATCCTTTGCATCACCTATGAATGAGTCCCACGATCAATTGTGATTGCTTTTTCACGTAGGTTGCTAGAGGCGCGCGCGTATTCGTGGGTATCAACTTATTGTATTGTTTTATTCAAAGGAAAAAGTTCATGTGGGGGAAAACGGGTCGAGCACAAAGAAGAAAAGTAATTTAAAAGAGAAGTAGAGCAGACACGATGGTGACAGCTAGGGCTGCACCAGCAACCATCTTGGAAGAAGCCTCTCTCAAAGCTAGGGCAGCACTGTCGCTGGCTGTTGGGGTAGCTGTAGGTCCCGAAGTAGTAACGGATGGAGTAAGTCTGGGAGCCATTGGAGGGGCGACGGGGACAGGAGCAGGTGGAGCAGGAGCAGGTGGAGCAGGGGCAGGAGGAGCAGGGGCAGGTGGAGCAGGGGCAGGTGGAGCAGGGGCAGGAGGAGCAGGGGCAGGTGGGGCAGGGGCAGGTGGAGCAGGGGCGGGGGGAGCAGGAAAATGAGGATAAGCGGTAGGAATGCCAAAGGTACAAGCCGCCCTCCTCTTCAGGAAGAGATTTCCATACGCACTACTGACCTCCTGAGGTGTACAGGTGCCAGGCTGGATACAAGGTTTCAACCAATCGCTGTTGCTAGCGAGAGGGCAGAAGCAACGCTTGTCATTGAGGTCCATGAAGATTTTAGGAAAGATCGGCGAGATGACATTGTGGGTGCAGAAGGGTGAGATGGTGCGTGCGTGGTTGGTGAAGCAGCCCAGGCAGGCACCTGAGAGCTGGGCTGAAACTATTGTGAGGGTGGTGGTGATTGAGATGAGGCCGAGGGCGATGGAATATACGAAGAGGGTGGAGAAATGCATTGTTTGGTTGTTTGGGTTGTTGATTTGTTGGTTGGTTAGATGGATGGTTGTTGCTTCTGCTTATTGTTGTTGCTGATGATGGAAAAAAAAGAGAGGGATGAGGATGTCTTTTATAGCGGATGACAGATCCTGGAGACTCCAGCATAGCCCATAGTACCGGCACTTTGATCCTGATACTCCCTTTCCACTCTTTCCACCTCACCTTACCAAAGAACAAAAAAATGATTTCAAGGAGTCATTTCGCACTGCCTTAAATCCTCTCTGATTACTGCGTTGTACAGCCGTTGATACTGTTTCCTCCATCCCCTTAACTTTTTCGCATGGTTGATCCATGGAGGTAACAAGAGACCATTTGTGGATCTATTTCTGACATCAATCGCTCTGGCTTAGGGACATACCCCCTCTCCTCATGCCACTTTTTGTCTCCTTTAGTCGACGGATGCCTGTTCCCCTTGACAATGCCCAAATGTCCATGGGACAAAAATTTGGTCGAGTCGCACAGCCGAGTGTAATTGTAAAAGATGGCCATTCCCCTTTAACATTCCGATAAAAAAAGTAAGCAAACTCGCATGTCACTCTCGACCATTGCCTTAAAAGAGGTTACTTGAGTATTTTCAATCAAGTATTATCCGTGTTGTTATTTCTTGATCAAGTTGGTAGTAAAGAAAATATCGCGCTTATCCATTGGATCAGTGCCAACTCTCAATCATGAACACCATTCTTTCCATTCAGTTTTGGGTACCCAATTGTTTGACGTAAAGGTTTGTTAAAAGGGGCGAACTACCAGTAGGGCACAATCAACGTCCTTCCTATTGGTACTACATACAAAATGGCTACAGAAATACTCATAGACAGACATACATGGCGTATATTCAACAAAAAAAAAGGGCGGGTACATGTTAAAGGAGAAATGCAGCCATGGCAGCAGCGGCAACAAGAGTCGATCCGGCAGCAAGCTTGGGTGATGGATTTCCCGATCCATTGGAATGGACTCCAGTAGGTGATGTATCAGTGCCAGTGATAGAATGATTGGGCGACAATGTTGACGTTGACGACGAATCAAGTGTGGTGGTGGTGGTCGTGGTGGTAGTGGTGGTGGTCGTGTTGCGGGATCGAGCCGTTTCGGTCTTGAATTTAGCGGCACCGAGACAGCTCTTTTCATGTCTGCCTTGGAGCTCCTTGGAAATGTTTTCGACAGTGTCAGGTGGACAAAAGTTGAAAAGTTTGCATGCCAGAAGCCAGTTGGTATCTGAACTCAACGGGCAGACGCATTCCTGTTGTTTTTTGTTCATGTCAGCACCGACCAGGGTCGCAAAGACATCTTTGTTGCAGGTGGGTGAGATCACCTTAGCAATGTCCGCAATACACTTTTGGCACTTATCCAAGGGCGCTTCGGCGGCTGCGGAGACGGTGACGGTTATGGGGATGGAGAGGACTCCGAGGATAATGGCCAAGAGGGAAAAGGCAAGGGTGTTGCGAGCAGAGTGCATGGTTGACGGAATGACAGGAGTCAGTTAGATAGATGTGAGATTGAGGTATTTTGGCTGTCGTGTTGGTTGTTTTGGAGAGGGAGAAAGTAGTTGATGAGGCAGGGTATTTATCTGGGTGAACGGTGCCAGGTTCACATCATTGCGTGCTCCAGGTGGATTTTTCCGGGTAATGAGAAGAATGACGGGAACAAAAGAGGTGGATGACCATTGGGTCAGGAATAGCGACAGACAGGGGCTGATATACAAATAAAGGGCCAACTGTTCATGTTTCCTATTTGTCTGGACTGTTGAGCAATTTGCTCCTTATTCGCGTCTAATGAGAGCAAATTAAAGAGGCGCGTCCTTTTTGTTTACCTTACTCTCATCTTTTTTCCTTTGTCTCTACCACACTCCTGTCCTAATCACCCCTTCCTTGTGCACTTTCTCTCTCTCTCACCCTATACAACATTTCTTTGTCTTCCTCTCATAAACCCTGACTACATTCCTTCGTCGTCACTCACTTACGCTCTCGCCGCACAAAGAATACAAACCTCTCCTTCTCACCGACATCACTCGCACCACCACAAATAACGACTGCTCCCTTTCCCGCTCCCTCCCCTTTTCTTCCATTCCTTCCATTTATTTCCTCCTCCTTCGTACCGTAGCGTGCACGCACACACTACGTTCCTGGTCCTTAATCCATCTATTTTTTATTCTTCTTTCATAACAATAAAGACTTACTCCTTAAACCATGCACCTCAAATTGCGCTAGCTCCACTGCGGTGGCCATGCCCTATTGTTATCGCAAGCCACTACTGCAATGCCATCTTTTTATTTTAAGCAACTTCTTCGCCTACCGCAAAACATTAGCTATTTTTGGGATGATGGGTGCTTTTGTCTAGCCATCACCTTCTATTTATTATATCCAAGCGGTCGCCACTCCCAAACCTTGTGGGCACCCCATGCTTCTGAACCTTCAGTAAAGTGTTGGTCACTTGCCCCAGCCAATTGTCCCAGCCAATTGTCCACGGCATCCATTGCTTTGTCAAATATACTTATCTAATCCTACTTTTTAGTCCCTTCGTTTTGTCCTTTTATTGAAGAAGGTTAATACCACGTTGAGAACTGATATGTTGTCCTAACCGCGCTCCTTCTACGTGGCGTTCATATCTCGACTACAAGAAAAAATCGCATACCGACGCGTTTCCTACTTATGAGTCTCACTGCTGTTTCAAAATCAACGACGACATTCAGGCGATCCATATCTGCCTATCGCCCAAAAGTTTTTTTACATGGATTCCCCATGTCGTTCAGGTTTTTGGGTCTGTGCATGGCAAGACCTTGTGTGTGGGTTCGTCGGCCTTTTCGAAGATGATCTTGCAGAAGGAGTATGTGGTCGTGGAGGACTTCTCGGCGGACGCGCTTGGTGTTGAAACGAGTCGGAGTGTTGAGGTGGTTGTGATCATGAGGGATAAAGCGGAGGGGGTGATTGTGGACAGGCGCATTGTTTAGAAATCTGGCTTTGCTTGTGCTTGATGGATGGAGTAAAAACTGAGAAGTAGAAGGAAGGAGGAGAGGAACTGAGGTTCTCTTGCACTAAAACGAAAAAGAAAAAAGAAAAAGAAAAGAGGTAAACGCTTCTCTGCTGTACGTTTGTTCCTCTCAACTTCATCCATAAAAATTGAGGAGCGGCGGGCAGGAATATCTAGAAACCACTGCGAAGGGGAGGAGGAAAGTAAACCCTCTTGACATGACATGGGAAATGGAATGCTGGTGTTACCCCGTCATTATTTTATTTTTATTATTTGCATTCGGAGAGGGAACGTGATAGGGATCATGTGGGGGTCTTGGAGGGAGTTGCCTTGGCTGGCCGAGTCGTTGGCGTCAGTGCCCAGTTGAACAAGGTCACTTGTCGAGGGAGAGGGAAAAGGGAGAGTGGAGTTTCTCTCGGCAACTCCTGTATCCAAAGGAGTATCTTCGGGGTCAACGGGCATAACTCGAATAGCGGCAGACGAGGAAAAGGATGTATAAATATATATATATATATATGTGTGTGTGTGTGTGTGTGTGTGTGTGTGTGTGTGTGTGTGTGTGTGTGTGTGTGTGTGTGTGTGTGTGTGTATGTGCTCCCTCTCAATATCGCGAATAAAGACAGTAACTCTCAAGACCTGCTCGTATCGTGGAAGAAAGGTGTTTTATGTCAATAACTATTCTCCAAAGGCTAGAAACTACTATTGCTACCAATGGTCAAAGGGCATAGTGCCTACCTGCTCGTATCGTGGAAGAAAGGTGCTTTTCCAGACACTCGCAGGCAAGCGCGTAAAATAGCGAAATGGCCACCAGAAGCTAAGCCACTCCAAATCACCACAATCACATCTAGAAGACAAGTCCGGTAGCAGCCAAGGCAACAAAAGCACCAAAAGCTACAAACTTGCCAGAAGCAATAAGCCCATTGGCGCCACTTCCAAGAACTGTAGGCTTGGAAGCACCAGTAGTTCCAGTCACAGTGCCGGTCGAAGTCGCAGCAGGCGCATCAGCAACAGCGCCAGAAGTGGCATAGGTAGGGTTAGCTTCGATCAAGGCCTTAACAGTCGCGGCCTGACGAGCAACATACCCCTGGAAGGTAGTCACCTCTCCGGCTTTGCACTGCGTCTGTGCAACGCAAGGTTGGTAGACAGTCTTGTTCTTGCCCAGGAACTCCCAACACTTCAAGTGCTCGGCGGGGGTGGCGCTGTTCACGGAGGGGGGGTTGGATTCCTTGGCACAGTCGGGGGAGGCCTTTTGGTAGAGCGGGTAGATACACGTCTTACAACCCGTGGAGAGAACGGCATCTGAGATCGTGTACAAGTTATCGACAGGGTCTGCAAATTTCATGCCCATAGGGCCAGCATTAGAGGCGGCGATCTCGGCGTGGGTAGTCTCGACCTGTCGCAAATAGTACAAATGTACCTCGCTGGCCTCAGCCAGGGTACAGTTCTTGGGTACAATACAGGTCTGAAAAGGGGACGAGTCGCCGTTCTTGCCGATGGAGTTCCAGCATTTGAGGTGCTCTGCGGCGGTGGCGCTGGCGACGGTTGGGGGGTTGGTTTCCTTGGAGCAAAAGGTGGAGGATTTGTGGATGGATGGGATGAGGCAGCTGCGGCATATTGCAGAGACCCGGGTGGAGGATGTGATAGTGAAGAGGTTGTCGGTGGGGTATGAGAAGTCGATGCCGGCAGAGGCGGCTGTGGAGGCAAGAGCCAGGGCGGTGGCGAGGAAGATGGCGGTGCGCATAGTGGTAGTTGGGAAGGGGGAGAAAGAAGGAGGAAGTGTGAGGAAGTGTGGGGCGTAAGAAAAGCGAGAGGAAGGAGATCAATGAGAACGATGAGAATGATGAGGAAAGTAAGAGGATGAAGCATCGTTTTATACTGAGGGAATAAAATTGGGCCAAAGAAAGGAGCGCCAATGGGCTGTAGGGTTAGATGTGTGCTCTTTGTTTCAACAGTGTCAATGCTGTCGGTGAATGAGAATAAAGTTAAGAAGTAGATTGCACGTCTCTCCTATAATATACACCGGATTCCTTGTCGTCGTTTGTCCTCATTACTGTCCAGCAGCTCATTTTTACCGTCGAAGGAGAGTGGCACAGGTGAAAGACGATAGGGCAAGCGAAATTGAATTAACTCAAACAACAGCCCAACTGAGGCTGAGGCTGGAAAAGAAACAGAAGTGAGAGAGACGACAGGAAAAGAAAGAGAACAAAGTTCTTTGGAGTGCAGATGAGAGCATTGCTTGGCAACGGTGCAACTGCAACGGCAACATCCTCATTTCCCCGGTGTGTAGCGTTGTGCCATTGTAAATGAGGCGCATGCATGTTGATGATAGAAAGTGCATAAGCTCAAAGTTCCTGCCAAACTTTCCTTCGTCCGTCTAACTTGTTGTGGACTTCAGGATGGTAGGTATTAGTGACTGGAGAAACAGAAATTTGATGGGGGGTGGCGCCGAGGAGAGGCAGAGAGGGATGGAACGGGAATGTTTTTTTATGTTGGCAGCAACAAGAATGTATTTTCGTCGTTTCTTGCATGGGCTGTAGCATTTTTTTTTCATATCCGGAGAACGAAATAAGACGAGGGTGTGGGAACCGTCATTACTCTCCCCGCGCCATCCATGCTATACCCGACGAAGCACAGAAACGCCGTGCGTTGATATTCTCTCGCTACGTCTGCTTAGCCCGGGGGTCTATGAATGCCTTGGACTAAAGGTCAAAAAAAAAGTACGCTCATTGGTGCAGGATCTTGTCAATTGACATGTTTGCTCTCAACGTGACTTAAGAAAGATTGATTTATTATAGGTGTGCGACTAAAGCAGTGCATTGGATCAGAGTTTCATCGTCTTCTCTTCCTCCTTTCCACCCCCTTTCCGTCCCTCGACCTTCCTTCCACGCCCTTACAACAGAAGAGCCGAGAGGGCAGCGACGGCAGCAACAGTCACCCCTCCCATAATCTTCACACCCTCTGCGCCAGAATTGGTAGGGCAGACAGCAGGCTTGACAGCAACCAACGTCTGCGCAAATGACGACACGATATCCGCACCGCACAGCTCGGGAGCACTACAGGTCTTGACCCATGCATCATTGGACGACAGCTGGCAATAGCAAGTCTTTTGGTCAGCCGTGAGGGTGTTGAGGGCGAGGTTCCCTTTGGGCCAGGCGTTGTCGCCGGTGCAGGTTGGGACTTGGGCGATGCCGGCGTTGACGAGGCAGTCTTGGCAGACTTGTGGGACTGCAGAGTCGGTGGAGTTCTGGGCGAGCGCGATGGTGCAGAGGGTGACCAAGGCGATGACAGAGGAAGTAGAGAAATGCATTTCTGTGGATGTGTGAGTGTTTGTGGGAGAGTGAGGTGTGGTGTTGATTTGATTTTTGTTCTTGTGTGGGACCCGGGACTGAGACTGTAAAGTTGCTGATGAATAGGTCGATGAAAAGAAAAGAAAAACTGAGACCATCAGCAACGCGTTTTTATACCTGCGTCTGTTAATTTCCGTAGCACTTTTGTTTTTATATGCTTGTTTGTTATTTGCTTCTCAGGGATAGCCATGGATCTAGATCCAACTCAAATGACAGTAAGCATGGCCCAGAGCATATCTCCCATCCTGGTAATACTAACCACATAGAAAAAAGAGCTTAAAAATTGTTCGATGCGATTCCATGCCCTTCCTGAACACAAGATTTTAAGGTATCTGCAGGGTACCACATGCAACATATATCGCTGGAATCACAGCCCCCTCCCTTGATTTTTTTCTCCCTCGAACAAATGCATTTCGAGAAATCATAGTGGAGAGAGAGGAGAAAGAAGGGCGAATAGGAGGGAAGGAAGAGAGTACTGCCACACAAAGCCCCCTCGCTTCCTCAACAAACATGGACGTCAACATTTCGAGAAAGAAACTAAAGCTGCAGTGAACGTTTGGATGTCTGGACCTTACTGACCCCGTAGAGTGGTGCTGCTCGCACGTTGTAGGGACTAGAGATGGTGGCGTAGTAGGTATGGGCTAGAGTATATTTTACCGTTTGCATCGGTCATCTCTTTACCATAAATTATATCTCGTGGAGGGAAAGCAAGGAGATATGCATGCACCTCCTCCCATCCAACTCCATTCAGATACACTCCTCCCTTTCCCTCCTTTTCATTTTCCATCAAGGACAGTTAACTCGTCATTTGTATCTCGCTTGGTGGTCAGAGTTTTTGCCTCAGCCCAATTGCATACCTGCTTATTGCCACTCGAGTGAATAAATGCCACCAAGAGGGTGCCCAGCCTCTTTTATCTTTTCTTTCATGGATGAGAGGTGTTGACAATCAATACCATGCACGCGTCTATTGATTACGGATCGAATCTTCCAGAACTTTTTACACGCACACACGCTCTCACTTCCGAGGCAATAAGCAATCTACACTTATTTATTAACGCGCAAAAAAGGGTATCTCCTACGCAAACCAAGTCTGAGATACAAAGACTAGTTAAGCAAGACACCCATGACAGCAGATGCAACGACTCCGACTATAGCAGCACCGATCAAAGAGGAAGGGGCCACCCCACCTCCCTCGATTCCATTCCCCTTCCCTCCCGTTCCACCATCCTTCGCCGCCGCACAAGCACCCGTCCAGGCATCAACAAGGTCCTTTGTCCATCCATCCACCAGCACCTTTGGATACAACGTCTCACTTCCAACACAAGTCTGCATCCACTCAACAGGAACCGCACTGACAACACAATAGCACGTCTTCAGGTCTTTGGAAAGGGTTGTAGCGTTGACTCCGAAATCGAGGATGACGGAGTCGGCGGTGGAGCAAGGTGGGAGTTTAGAGGTCCCGAGGTTGATACATGCGGTGCACTCGGCGCCCCGCGAGCCTGTTTTTGGGCCTGTTGAAGGAAATGTTGATGGAGGTGTGGTTGTTAATTAGGCGAAGGCATGGTTTAGAAGTGGGATGGTTGTGGTGAGGATGAGGATGAGGAGTGCTAGTGTGAGGGTGTGAAGGTGGATGATGGACGGATGGGCAAAGAGGGTTAAAGTAGAGAGAAAAAAGGCATGATGTACCACTTTATGTAGGTAGCAAGAGTCAACCTTTTTGTTGTCTGGCAGAAAAGGGTGATCACTCGTCGCTCGGTAAAGGGCAAAAAGGCTAAATTAATGAACAACAACAAAAAAAGAAAAGATGGCACGATCCCGTGTAGAAGGGTGCGTACGGGGTGTGTCGATGAATAAAAAAATATGTATACGGGCTGTGTTTCCCCTTTTTCGCACACTCGAGTGCCATGTATAGCTTTGGCCATATGTTTTCAAACCCATGCGAGTCCATTTTTGATCGAATTGACCTGCGAGGCAACCATTCTTCCTCCCAGGGACAATTGACCTTGGAGTTTTTGACGAAGAAGCGGTTCAAGTTAATCAAAGTCGATAGATTCATATCCAATAATGGCTAGTTGATGACTGGAAACGGTAAGCGTGCAAGGTAGCTGTACAACTGATGCCACACACGGATGTGAACTTCTTCACAGCAGTCAACATATCTACTTTGGCCCTATTTAGACATCATTCTGCATTCTTCACCCTTTATCCTGTCCTCTCGTTCTTCCGCTCTTCTTCCCTCTTTTCTTTCCCCTATTTGTGTGGCTTTTTCATGTCAGAGAAAAGGAATGACTGCCAAATCTTTCTCTCTCCCCTATTCTTTGGAGCAGGTTAGCAAAATGCGAAGGGATCAAGTCAGGGAACTAGCCAAGTCGCCTTCTCTATTCCAATACGCTTCGAGAAGACGATTTATTCCGGCCTCCGTCAAGATCCTGACAAGCGCCATGACAAGAACTCCTTCGATTCATAGACGTAAACGGCCGGACCTTATTGAGCACGATCGCTTAAGGCGAGTACGCTGTCCTTGTTCCGAGTGGAAAAAGTAAACGGGCGGTAAATAACGAGCCCGATAGCAACTGAAAGAATAACACAATGCCAGTTAGCAATAAATATGCACATAGCTTTTTGGACATGGAGGATAATCCATTCTTACGACATGTGTTAAATTGTATGTATTGCTAACTGGCATTGTGTTATTCTTTCAGTTGCTATCGGGCTCGTTATTTACCGCCCGTTTACTTTTTCCACTCGGAACAAGGACAGCGTACTCGCCTTAAGCGATCGTGCTCAATAAGGTCCGGCCGTTTACGTCTATGAATCGAAGGAGTTCTTGTCATGGCGCTTGTCAGGATCTTGACGGAGGCCGGAATAAATCGTCTTCTCGAAGCGTATTGGAATAGAGAAGGCGACTTGACTAGTTTTGTGTATAGATGAATCATTTGCTTAAATGGAGTAGTTCAACTTTTGACATATCAAACCTTGTAAGTTCCAGGGGGAGTTAGATGTAGCCAACTCCTCCAGTTTCATTTATAGAGCATAATATGAAGGAGCTGGTTACATTTAACGGCCACTAGAACTCAACAACGATTGTACACAACAGACTGTCGACAAAAAAAGCGAGGCGAACTGGGAAAGTGGGCACTTGTCAACTGAATGGAAGAAGGTTAAGAACATTAATGAAGCAATTGACAAAGGGACGTGAGAACTAGAAAGAGAGATGAAGATATGGCATGAGGGGAAGAAGTGTATGTGGGTAAGTGGGCGAGGAAGGATTATGCCAATTACTCAAAACATAGTAAACTCGCAAATTCGAATAACACACACAATCGAGTGCAAAAACATGTATTTGGACCAGCCCACAGGCGAGTGTAGCATGCCAGCTACAGATCATGGCACTCGAGTGTGCGAAAAAGGAGAAACACAACCTTACACACCCCGTATAAATAACCTTGACACACCCCGTACATGCCCTTTTACACGGGGTTGTGCCATTTTTTCTTTTTCTGCTTTTTGCTCGCGGCATCAAAGCGCCTAAATCAAAGTTGAAAAGGCAAATAAAAGGTGAGAGGAGCATACACGCACACACCTCACACCCGGGGAAAGGGCGAACGAGGCAAAGAAGGCCTGCAGCCACTAATCTGTTTCTTCCCATGCAAGAAAAAGTGGCGCAAAAACACAACAGCCAACACTCTCTCTCTCTCTCATACATACCAATTTAGCGCATAAAACGGAAAAGTCCGCAAACAGTATCCCATCTTGTAGTTTCATGAGTGGCTTCTGTCCCTTTTTTTTGCTGTCTCATGAATGAGCACGCACCGCGAATGGATTTTTTTACATATCGTGCGAAATTATCTACAAAGTAATAGATGTGCTATGTGTAGCAACCACCTCACAAAAGCACATCAACGGCACTAACAACAACGAAGCAGACAACAGTCAACGACGCAGCAGACTCAAGGCCCTTCATCCCACTCTCTTTGATACCACCATTCGTTACACCACCCCCACTCATGCTAGGTAGAGGGCTGACCCTGGTCGTTGGTGGGTATGGAGTCAAAGGACCACTCGGCCTTGTAGGCACGTATGGATAAAAGTCGCCGGGACTACTCGCATTCGCAGTCGTCGCCGTGGGCGCAAGGGTGGAAGTAAGTGGAGAAGCTGGACAGGCGTAAGGTCCCAAGCCGCAAACTGGCGAAAGGGGGCATTCACCGACACAGCATTGCAAAGGCTTGGGTTGACACAGGGCGTGATACAGGTATTGGAAGTGGTCAGTAGACAAAATCAGGACTTTAGCGGGTCGAGGAGGATGTTGGGGGTGGGGAAGGTTGAGAAGGATTGGAGTGTGCATGATGGAGAGGAGGAGGGTTGAGGTGGTTGTGCAAGGATTGTGGTTGATAGGAGGGACAGGAGGAAGAGGAAGATTAAAGAGACAAGAGATGATATGCTGCGCATGTTGTTGTTGTGTATGTGTGGATGAGCCGTGTGGGCTATGAAGGAAGGGCCCGTCTGGTAGAACAAAAATGAAAAATCACAGAAGAAATAAATGCACATGCACTGCCTCCCCGGCAAGTGCTCTTTTCCCCCTCCCAATTGTCCTCGCCCTCCGTCTTTGCAACATCAGAAAAGGCTTCAAGAAGGAATCATGAAAATGACTGTGTGTTTGTGGGCGAGCGTGGGCGGTGTTGCGCATTTTTAATATGACAATGAGTTCATGTGCTCACTTTTCCCTACGAAGAAAGTGACCGCGATCCAAGAGAGGCGATGATTTTCTTTGCTGAGCCGGAAGAGACATGCAGATGTGACAGCTCTTTCTTTATTTGTTCCTGTGTACCACAACAAAAAGCACCTGTTGCAAAACAAAGGGAGATCATGATCCCACTCCAACAAACAGGGCCATAACTGGGGAGAGTTCTTTGTTCATGTTTTTATTTTGCAAACTGGAATAAAATGACATTGCGCATCA